AGAGGTAGAAAGGGAGGAGGAGGGCATAGGATAGGGTTGTGTCTGCACGACACTATAGCAGGGCCCCGCCGATTGCTACCTTATATGTACGCTGCTGCACGTCTCAGCCGGCGGATGCATATAGATAGAAAGAATAGATACCCAACATCACGGGCACTGGCCAGCCAACACACCTTGATACACCGCCCCAGCGCGCTGCGCGCGTGGTCCCCCCCTCCCCCCGGCTCGATCCTCCGTGGGCTCTTGGTTGGGCGGCGGCGGGCTGCAAGGTACTCGCCGGTCCATACGCTCGCGGAACTAGCTGGTTATACTGTATAGTTAGCGCTCGTACGGGCTGAACCATACCAAGAAGAAGCCTTCATGGGTGACCGGTATCGGACGCTGGGTCGGGCCAGCTGATGCCAATTGGGGGCAGTACGAGAACGCTGTTCATGTGTTCTCGTGAACGACGCCCTTAGATACAAAAGGGAGATCTTAAGTCGGATTGTCTTGAAACTGCCGAATGATCCTATCACGAGGCTGCTATCCCTGCTTAATATGCAGATGGGACGGTGTCTGCATGCCTAGCTGTGTATACCATCGTCAATTTTTAAGATTAGAATCCGCTTTTCTCCCGTTGGTGTTTTTTTATCGAAATAATGCACCATTATTGTCTATTGGCCTGTTTTTCAACCGGCAGATGCTGTGACATGCAGATATTCACGGAAAAGAATGATCCTGGCCCGTGAAAGGTCCTTTGACCTTGATGCTTGCATATACAATGCTAAGCCATGGTCAATTACTGTCCTTGGGGTGTTGGTCAGGCAGCTAACTGCGTGCTACCAACCCCAGAGACATCATACACATTCATCTCTATACATTCTACACCTCCACGATACCTCTGAAATGAATGCAACATCCAAGCAATATCCTTATTCATAGTCTACGACCGAGAAGCCCCACAGTTCTATATCCTACTAGCTATATGAAATGCATGGGGCCATCGTCGTTGACCAAAGCTGGCTCCGGGAGAGCTGATCAACTCCAGCCAACGTCTCCACCACGACGTCATTCTATGTACCATATTTCCTTTTTAGCTATTGTGGCCTCTCATGTTGCTAGCCTCGAAGAAAAAGTACCCTACAAGGCCGTTGAGTATTATTATCAGGCCCGCCAGGCCCCCCCCCCTTTTCCACATGCACACAAAGCTACGTTGCGGGGCGGCAGCGCGCCTTGGATTTAGCAACTCCGTACACCGGGCCAGTTTCTCTTCCTTGCATGAGTTCTTGACCCCAGCAGCAAGTCTCGTTTCGTGTCGGATAGGTTCCCTTGAATTGGCCGATATGAGCACCAGCATCATCATCGTCAGCTTCCTAGATTGGGGGGTTTGCAATGGCCCATGTGAAGATGTCGTGATTTTGTCAATAATCTTGATAGCAGTAGAGTTTCAAATAAGGCCCGTTTATTCGAGAAATGGCGGGTTCGGCTGTTTCACTGCTAGAGTAGTTAGCTGGAGTTAAGTTGCACGCGAGTCATGTCTTGATGTGGCAGCATGTCACATGTCATCAGGACGAGAGACCCCGTTTGGGGGTTAGCGAGAGCCGGTGGGATGATTGGGAAGAGTTAGGGGAGTTTCAGATAAGTATTGTCATTCATCGCTAATCATATAGCACAGAGGACGCTTGAGGTATGTTTGTAGTACATGCAGCCAGCCAGGGAACATCAGCAAAGCCCAGTATTCAGAATATTGAACAAGAAGAGAGAGAAGAAAAAAAAAAGTATGCGCATAGTACATGCTCAGCAACCGCTTGCAAGGGTAGCAAATTACATCAAAGAATTGAGTTGAAACAAAAGCAAAAGACCACACCAACCAACGCCATTCAAAAAAGTTGTGGGTGAGTTTTGTTTTTTCAAAGAACCCGAATCATGCCAACCAGCCAGCCAGCCCGTCCCGCCGCGCCCACCCAAAGCGTGAGTTGTTGTTAAAAACACATGCGGAGAAGACAGAACAAGGAAATAAAAGGAGTGAGAAGTGAAGTGAGCCCTAAGCCGATGCCCGAGTTATTTGTCGTATGGTTGTCCAAATCAGGATTCCACAGCTCTAGGAACCTTGTATTGGAGGGAGATATCTGCATCAGCTGCAGGAGAGTAGGTTTGCACCATTCTCCGTCGCCAGCCGTGGGTTGGACGCGAGCTCAAGAAAGGTGGGTGTGGGGGAGGGAGAAATTGAGGTGGTGTCAAAGCCTGCGACAAGAATTCCAAAATAACAAAAAGAGGAACAAGTGCCAGATTCAGACTGGGGGTTTGTTTCGTTCTTTTTTGGATGGAGTCGTTCATGCCGTCCTTATAAAAGGCGAGTCGTCGCGCTGCGAATGCCCCTCCGCCCTTCAGCGAAAAAAAAAAAATTTTTTTTCTGTGTAAAACCGAACACCTCGCGGGACAGTGACAATTCCCCATTCCTCTAAAAAATCTAGACAAACATGCTCGCGCCGCCGGTCTCGACAGCGTCGATCTCGGCCTGCGACCACGGCACGCGCTGGAAGCGCGCGGGCAGCTGGCTGCGGTCGAAGAACTCGCCGTGCTTGGGCTGCACGGAGCCCAGCGAGGCGCCGGTGTTGCTGCCGATGACGCCGGCGTACAAGAAGGCGGCAGCGCCGGCGGCGGCGCGGTTGGGCGGGCTGTTGAGCGGGCCGTGCTGCTGGGCGCGCGAGCGGTATTTCATGAACGAGTCGGGCAGTTCGCTGAGGGGCGAGGCTGGGTGGGCGCGGGGCGCGGTGTCGGTGGTTTCTAAGCAGGGAAGAGTGTGTGTTAGGAGGCGAGGAATGGGAGGGATTGTTTGATGGGGTGTTTCGTACCAGGGTGTGCTCGCTTGCCGACGAATCTGATCAGGGGAGTGCGGGCAGCCGCAGCTTGCCGGAGGAGAGAGGTAGCTCGCATCTTCCTTTTGGGTTCGGTAGGTCGAGCGAAAGCTGGGCTGGGGTTGCAAGAGGGTTGGTGCGTGTAGGCGTGAGGAGACAGCGAATTGGTCTTGCTGGAGGACTGCAGAGACTGGACTGCGGCGGTGGCTGGGTTGGTTGAGAGCAGGCGTGAAGAAAGCAGCGGCGATGCGGGCCTTTTTGTGTGCCAGCGCGGGTTGGCCGATAAGCCGGGGCTCGCCAGCGGGCGGTTTCGCCCGAGCCCACGAGAACGCGCCGGCGCGGCGCCGCACGGAGGAAGTCGAGCCTAAACTTGCCGCGCGCCTTATCGCGTCACCGAGCCAGCTCCGCCGCCGCCGCGCGCTGATTGGCTGCGATACGCAGCGCCACGAAGCTTGACGAAGCTTGCCGGCCCGTCGTTGTTCCGGCCAGCCCGTTGCGGCGTCGCTCGACAAAGCTGGGAAGGGAGAGCGCAAGAGAGTGCGCGCTGTTATCTCGCCGGGCGAGCGCGAGGCCTGGGCTGGACCGCCGTTGTGCCGGGCGAGCGTATCTCCGAGGAGCGCATACCGAACCCAAATCCCCCGCGAAAGCTACATAGCTAGCTTACCACTAGTTTTCCTTCTCGGCTCCGAACCCACTGCCAGCGCGCGCTGGCGCCTCCCCATCCGGCACTGCTCACCTCCGGCCGTTTCTGACCACTACTACTGCCCGCGCGCGCGCTCTCGCCAGCCATTATTAATCGCTCTACCCTGACCCTGCCCGCCCGCCCGTCACATGCATGAACACTCGCTGTTCGCCGCCGTGCCCGCCGCCCAGCACCATGTCCTGCTGCAGCAGCTGGCCGGCGTCACGGCCATGCAGCCGGCGCCGGTCTACGAGCGTCGTCTCATCTTCCGGCCGCACAAGGCGCCCGGCTACCTGAAGCCGCGCCTCGGCGCTACCCAGGACGTCCAGGCCACCGAGATCCAGAAGCTGAACCGCATGCTGAACGCCCGCCTGTTCTACGTGCAGGCCGTGGGCGATGTCGCGGAGGCCGATTTTGGCAGCGGTGATGATGTCGCGATGGGCGGAGCGGGGCTGGACGGCCCGCGTCAGGACCGGTATGATGTCGCCGACCAGTCGTGGAGGATCGAGTTTCGAGATATCCCGGATGCGGGGACCTCCGCAGTGACGTCGAGGCTGATGTGCACCGCGAAGATACCCTACGGCGATATCGTGCCTATCATGAAGGCCTGGGGCTACGAGTATGCCAGCACCACATCCCTCCTTGTCTAAGTACAAGAACGCTAATGCGCCGACGTAGCTATGTCTCAGAGCACGTCTTGGAAGGCAGCCTGTTCGTCCTCGATGACACCGTGCTGCTGCTGCACCGCATCCTGACCTTCCCACCCGACGACAGTGCAAAGCGCGCGCCGGCTCGCCGTCTTCCCGGTCTCCAGACCCTGCTTCCTCTCGACAAAAGCGGCGGGTTTGTATTGCAAGCGTCGATTATCGTGCAGGACAGCGTCAACCGGGACATGATGGACACGGCGTCGCAGCGGCTGCTGAGGCTGAAAGAACAGCTCAAGTCGGCGGTGAAGCTGGAGCCGGCCGATCGTCTTGCTCTGGATACGAAGGTGAAATGAATGCTTTTACGTGTGGTTTCTGTCCAGCATCTAGGCGCCTTGGGATTAAAAGCGGTCTTTGTGATATCATTCAGGCGTTGGTTTCGATCAGGAGGACCGGTGTGCAGCTATTTTCTGCTGTGATAAATACACAGCTAGAGCATTTTTTTCTAGCCACAATACAACCGCCTTTCCCTTTTCTTTGCTCTCTGTAAGGGATATTCCTCCACCGTCAAAACGACTTGTATATCTACACGTGACCTGGCGTCAAGAACGTCGCGTCTCCCGATAATTGTCGATTCCATTCGGCCTATGTGTACAGTATCTAGCATCTATATTCATTAACACATGAGGCCATTCTTCTCCTTTCATCGTCCATGCGCATTGCTATCGGGTATTCCTAGAACCGTGTCCCACTGCGCCTCGAGAATGGCCAAAGACCAGAAGGCTGCTCCACACCGAGCCTCATTTTTTTCAGAAAAGCCCGTCTCCCCACCGCGCACTGCTAAACGACAATTATCGACAAGTAAAGGTGATTGTTTATATGCCATATTTCTTGCTGAGATGGCTTTTGTCTAATCTTTGGGCTGGTAGGCGGTGACGTTCATGACTTTTTCAAACCCGCATCCAAGAAACCGAAAGTCCAGAAAATCGCCTGGCGCATTATAGACAACAGTTGCTTGGTTGGGAAATACGCATCTGAACCAAACGCTAATACGGAAGAAATCGTTACCCCCAAAAAGAAGCCTGTTGCGGTTTTTGATCTTGTATGTCCGGTATTTGACCAACAACTGACATACCTGGCCCTGCTGACAACGATTCCACTCGAAAGGATCACACATTGATCAAGACAAAATCGGGCAATACCTTCCCCAGAGATGCGAATGACTGGGTGTGGTGGGATGCGCAGGTTCCGCGGAAGTTGAAGGAGCTGCACTCCGACGGGTGCGTCTACAATCTAATCTAGACGGCCCTCCCCCGGACGACTAACACAACGCCATGTCCTAGGTACCAGGTCGTGATCCTCAGCAACCAAAAGAAAGTCCTCCTCAAGCACACCAAGAAGTCTGCGCTCGGCGAGCCCAAAAGCCTATCTATCTTCAAGGACAAAGCTGGGTCGATTATGAGAGCGCTGGATGTACCGCTAAGTGTCTACGCTGCGACGGAGTATGACGAATATCGGAAACCGCGCATAGGCATGTGGAATATGATGCTGGATGATTATGATCTTAACATGGAGGGCGCAATGGACCTACAGGGCTCTGTGTTTGTAGGTGATGCTGCAGGACGGCCTGGGGACCACTCGTGCGTGGACCGGTATGCAACATGGGATTGTCGACGTGTTCGTTGGGTAGCCGGTGGCTGAACTGTGTGTAGCAATTTCGCAACGAATGTCGGCATAGCATTCAAGACACCTGAGGAGTTCTTCCGCGGAGAAGCTGCTCAAGCAGTTGAAGTGTTTGATCCGAGGAAACTTATTAAAACCGAGACGAACGGTCAACGTGAGTTTCCTTGTTTATGCTGGAACCCTTTAGATTGTGTTGCCGTGGGTGACTGTTGGCTGGTGTGACTGCTGATACATAACTGCCATCTCAGCAGCCATCGAATTCACAAAGCCGCCGGGCCAAGAGCTTGTGATATTCTGCGGCAGCCCGGGGGCGGGAAAGTCGACATTCTATTGGAAATATCTCGAGCCGCTGGGGTACGAGCGGGTGAATCAGGACATTCTTAAAACTGTAAGCATGGAGCTCCTTGTGTACGCCGTCACACGTATCCTACAGTACATGTTAGAAACCGTTGTGGTCTGGTGTGCTATATTTGCTTACACAAAAGCCTATACCAGCGCCCAAAATGTTTGAAGGTTGCAAGCGAATATCTCCAAGCTGGTAAATATGTTGCTGTCGGTATGTTTCACCCTCTTATCTCATGACTTAGTTCCCGAACAGGTGTGGTTGACCCAACGTCCCCTTTGTTCTGACCAGATAACACCAATGCAAACGTTGAAACACGAGAGCATTGGATAAGTATGGCAAAGGAGCACAAGGTGCCGATTCGATGCGTATACTTTTCTACTCCACAAGATATTTGCAACCACAACAATGCCGTTCGCGCGGCAAACTCGAAACTTGTACGTCACACATGTCCCACCCTCTCAAACGGATGCTCCCATGCCGGTTCGCGCCTTCTATCCCTCTATTTGCCCATTCCTGCCGCAAGCGGCAAAGAGAGGTAGTATGGAACCAAAAAGCACAGAGCTAACCCTGCCACCCCTTCTTTCGTGTCCTACAGGAGTCAATCAACCCGGAAAACCGCACCTTCTTGCCCCCCGTCGCATTCAGGGACTTTCTACGCCGGTTCGAGGAACCGCAGCTGTCTGAAGGCCTTCAGGAAATCATCCGCGTGGATTTTCTGTTCGAAGGCGACGCGGCTGCAAAGCAAGCGTGGTCGCAGCATTGGGTATAATTTAGCGGGTACGACAAGCGGTTGAACATGACCTTTACGGATCTCGATTCTGGAGGAGTCTCGTGTATGTGGGAGATAATGCGCATTGCCTGCACATACATGGACATAACCTGCCTTGGGCCAAATCTGTATCATTAACCAGAGAGCAAGAATTGGTGGGACGGATTCTGCATTGGCTTCTTGACTGATTACGCGTTGTATACGGACTACAGAGCGGGCTCGTACTTGCGGCATCCCTTCGTCCTCGACCAGGAGAACGAACAGGTGGGTGGGAAATAAGAGAGGGAGAAAAAAAAAAAAAAACAAAATATCTGCATCTCCTTGCCGGATCCCCCTCCCCGTCCCACGCAAAAATGTCGTGCCACCCAGAAGCGAAGCAAAAACAAAACAAAAAAAAAATAGAGTAAATTCTATATCACGGTCCAATTGGAATATAATAATGGGCTCTCTTGCGTTACCGGATCTGCGGAATTCCTTCACTATCCCCCGGCTGTGCTTCCCCAACCTATTATTGATCCGAGAGAGACCCAATTCCGGAAGCCTTTCACCCCCCGCTCTCTCTCTCTCTCTCCGTTGAGCTTGTTTTTGCATGGCCTGTTTGCGGATTCGCAGCCAAACCAACACACGGCTAAGGGAATCGAGGGGTCAGATTTTTTTTTGTGGTTTCTCTTTGTTCTGTATTAAACATGCCAAAGAATATTATGCGGGAGTGAGGGATTGCTCTCTCTTTTTTTTTTTTTTTTTTCGGGTTTTTGGATAGTGACGTGTGTGCCTGATATGTTTGTGGGTGCTTTTCCTTGGGCAGCAATTGTGGATGTTTAGAAGCCAGAAACAAAGCGGAAAGAGATAAGACAGAAAGGCCTGCATGGTGAAAAATAAGACTTGAATGTTGTTGTCACAGATTATACTATATTCTCTATTCTATACCGCATATTCTATGCGCATATATAAAACCACACATCCCTCTTCAAGGCATTATACATACATACATCCATCATCCTATGTGCGAGATTTCTTTTTCTTTTTCTTTTTCTTCTTTCGTTCCTTCGTAGAACAACATGCAGCTTTCCCGCGTTTCATCGTACAATTATGGCCTGTACCAGGCTAGCATTAAGGAAGGACAGCGTAATATGTAAGAAGGCCTAAGCGGAGTAACGTAGGAAGAGAAAACAGCCAGCGCAAATGCCCCCTGTTCCCAGAGCGCACGAATACGTAGTTAGAACATATATCATCATAAGCACGCATTTTATGAGTCAAGGGAATGAGGGGCAGAGTGGGCGCATATAAGCCGCCCAGCTGGGGAGAAGGTGTGCTGAAGCTTAAAAAGTCAAGGAGAGTAAGGAAAGATAGGAAATTTTTTTAGTAAAGGGCAGTAGAGAAAGACGGAGAAAAAAATGGCGGAGAAAAACTATCATCTGAATCGAATTCCCCGAATAAATCGCTGGTCGTTTTTCAAATGAGGGTCTGGATTTTTAAGCATATGTTGAACGGAGGCAATGGACAAACGAAGGGAAGGGCTTAATGCCAAAAAAAAAGTAAATAATCGTCCATTGTCGTAGAAAGAACCCCGATTTAAAGAGAAAGCGGGAAAAATGATTTCTGCCCCGAAAAGAGAGCTGCAGATGCTGGGGCTAGTATGCAAAAATAGACATTATCGTCAAAAGAGTGACATGAATATAGATCATAAGGAGTGTCATCATTTGGGGGGTATCATAAAAAAGAGCGTATATCATCAGTGACATCACGTGAGGAATCAAATGACAAAATAGAAAAGAAAGACTCCAGGTCGTGAAAGTGAAGCTAGCCATATCAACAAGAGTATCAAAGGCATATTACAAAAGGATATATTTTATACAGTGCGTGAAAGAGTATTGAAAGGCATAATATAAAGGATAAGGCGAGGATGTCGAGGTCTTTTCCCTTTAGTGTCGGCTAGAAAAAATATCTTGCAGGAACTTGAAGAAGGACCTCTTGCGCGAGTGCGACGGCGGTTGTGGCTGAGCCGGCGCAACAGACATGGGCCCCACGATATCTTCGTCACCAAGGTCAGGGAACTTATTCTTGTCGAGATACGGGGGCATTTTAACAGATTCGCCGGGATACGTGCTTGATTTGCTCAGCGAAAGCGGCTTGCCGTCACTGTCCGTCAGCTTGGTGAGCATGACGTTGTGGTTCGTGCGCCATTGCGTGTCGATGGAGTCCCACTTTTCCTCCGTTGAGCGGTAGATGTTGGATGTCAGGCCGTAGTGTTCACCGGTGCGAACGAGGTGCTTTGCATAGTTGCGCCGGGCGAGGCTCCAGTTGTTTCGGTGCTCTTCGAAGGAGTCGAGTGTATATTCTTCGGGGGTGTAGGGCATGGGGTGGATGGTGAAATTCGCGTGTCCAAGCTTGCATGACCATTCGTCTTCCGCGCTCAGCATGGTGATTGGGGACATCTCTGATCCGTAGGCGCGGGACGCGGCTAGTTGTCGACTGATGGACGCCAGTGAGGGCTGCGTGGATAGAGGCGGCGATAGGAGGCCATTGGACCGCTGTACGTCGATGGGCGAGTCGGTCGGAGTATCAGTGGCTTCGGCCACGGTAGGCGATTGGAGAGGGGACTGAATCAATTCTTCTGTGTCTGAGCTCACTAGATCCATCATTACAGGAGGGAGAAGGGGCGTGGTTGCCTGGGGTTCGCGTTCCTCGACGCATTCACGGTTGGCTTTGTCGATGTCGATAGGCGAGATGCCCGCTTCGACGAGGTTCTCTTCAAAGATGGTTCTTGCTGGAGAGTTAGACGCTTGGCTGTGCCTGGCAGAGAAAGAACTTGCGAGGGGCGTTGCTAGAGCCGATGTGGCAGAATTGGCACGCGATCGTAAAGATTCATCATATTTTTCGAGTGCGGCGGCGGCGTCCGAAACTGGCTTCTGCTTCCACCGGGTCGAGATCGAGGAGATTCGACTACTAATACGCGAAATGCCGCGCAGAGAGCTGGCGTCTGGCCTTCGTTTCTTTAGCGATCTCGACATGTCGCCGAATTCGTCCGATAGATCATAACCGCGCTCATAACAAACGCGTCCATCGCTGTCATCAGCGTGGATTTCGTTGAAATCGGCTAAATGAGCAAAAGTCAGCCCAAGCTGAGTGCAGCACAGATCACATCGCGAACTTACGGAAGTAATTGTCTTCGTCGACCAGGCTGTACTCCAGCTCCAACGGGTCTTCCTTCACCCCCTCCAGCTTGGTGGGCACCGACGCGTCGGCGGTGGCACCAAAGGCGGGGGACGAGGCCAGCGACGGGACAGAACTGGGAAAGCGATTATGAGCTCTCGCAGAGAAGAGCGACGCCACCGGCGATCCTGGGTTGGACGACATGGTGGAGCGCGGCGAGTCGGGCGTGGGGTGGGACGCGAAGGGGAACGTCAGGGCTTCCATCCTTCCTTCAGGATCCTCGCGAGGCCTGGGGTCGAAGAGATGTGGTAGACGGGGCATTTTAATAGGACGTTGGTAAGGAAGAGGCTGGGGAATTGCGTAGGTAAAGATGGTGACGGGGCGGGCGATGTTTATCTAGCCCGTCGGTGATGTCAACGATGTGCTGGGTCGCAGGGCTAGTTCGTCTGTACGTGGCGTCCGAGGCACACGATGCGCCCAAAACAGGGGGCTGGCACGCCGGCGCGGGCCGTGCAGCAGAGGATATGAAGGGGATGTCGAGGAGGAGGAGGAGATGGCGGAGGCGTTCGGTTCGGCCAGGAGGAGGAATATGCTGTGTCGTGTGGATTTCCCGTCTTGGGTGTCTCAACACACACGCACACGCTGTCTCACTCACACACACTCGCTCTCTCACACTCACTCTCGTTCACGCTCACACTCTCTGCTCTCTCGCTTGGATGGATGGTGTGTCGTCAAGCCATACTCACACGTGCAGTGCCGTCTGGGAATGGGAAGATGGGTGCCAGGCCGGCGAAGAGTATTTCCAGGTACGAAGCCACTCTACTACTCGTTCCAGCAGCGCAGGAGACCCTCTTCTGTTCGTTCCTGTAAAAGCTTCGTGTTGACCAGTAGTGGCCGGAGTGTCTGCAGACAGCGAGAAAAGGTCAGCGAACACGTTTCAGCTATTATTGCAGCTTCGGCCTGAAACCCAGAGTTTCATCCAGCACGCAGCTTTCTCCAGACAGCCAGCGCGGGGGGGGGAAACCAGCGGCAGATAAAGGCACGACGCAGCCGGCGCCGGCGGCCAGGAGGTGGTGCAGGGTGCGCACTGGGCGTCGCGCCGTGTCTCCCGCTCCGGCGATGAATGCGTGGAGGGAGCGACACTCACGCCGGCCGCCGCAGCGCAACGTCGGGCAACAACCAGCAGCGAGAATACGACGATGCGCGCCAGGCTGATTGGGTGGGCAGGGAGAGCGAGCAGCCACTTACCGTCGTCCAGCGCAGCCAGGGCGCGCCGTTGCAGCAGACCAAGGCGGGCTAATATGGTCGTTGTGATGCCGTCTGCAGGGGGTGAGGACGGCTGGGGAGCGATGGGGATGATTCACGATGATGGCTGGGGAGAGAATGCGGAGGGTTCAGATGGGCGGATATAACTCTCTCTCGTCAGCAGCGCAGGCTCGCCGTTTTTTATTTTTTTACGTTTCTGCGTCCCCATCGCGCCGCCGCCGTCACCGCCAGCAGCCACCCAGCGACCCGCCGGAATGACGAAAAGCCTAACAAGGGTCTCCGACTGGGAAAAACGCGCTGCCCTCCCGAGGCGCTAGTTAGCGGTTTGATGCTGGCGGATTGCCAAACAATTGATTCTCCTCGCCTCTGCAGCATCTGCACTCCTGCTCTGCCTTTACTGCTCTGCCGCCCGCCTCTGTCACATCATTGAAACAAAGCTGCTCCTCCATGCGGGCGGGTGTTTCGACGGTCAGAAAGCCACTCCGCGCGCTCTCAAGAGCCGAACCATGGAACTGTGCAAAGCTAATTTGGTTGGCTGGCCGGGCCCTCACATTCTCTCTCGGCAGAGGCGAGCCTTTGTGAGGAACAAAAAAAAAAAAAAAACGCACAAAGCGGCGAAAGGGATGCCTGAAAATCTTATCGTCTGGCATCTTGGAAAAAAGACTCGATGCTCGTTTCCTGTTGGTTGACAGCTCCGTACTATTGTTCTGCCTCTTTTCTTTCTTCTGCGGGCTGCCGGCTGCTGTCCAGACAGACGTACATAAGCACCGTTTCACCGGCTAGCCTTCTTGTTACATGTGTCTGCGGTGCGGGTCGGTCCAGACTCACCGTCAATTCCTGGTCCACGGATGACTCGCAGCCTTGGCGAGATGGGCTCCTCCAAACCGCTGGCCGCTTTATGATCGCCGTGCATTATTGTTTCCTGCTTGTAGACTGGCAGATGATTGCTTTGCTGCGCGATGAATGAAATGGCTGTTTGCTCGAGCCGTTTTTTTGTTACTATTTTTTTTACCTTCCGGCTGGGGAAGCTGACTCTCATGCAGGCAGCCATTCCCATCGGGCCACACCGCTGTATGAATCCTTCGGTGTCCCTTTTGGTGACTACGTCGTCGGTCAGGTACCCAGATTTGGACACTCGAGGCGATAGACCAGCCTAAAAGAGATTCCAAATCTTTGTACCATCTTCGTTGATTGTTCCACAATGGATGACCTCAGTGTACCGTGGGTCACTATCGAAGCTTCCGAGCCACACAGCTGACATGCCTACACGAGCTCTGTATGAAGACGTACCCGCTGTGCATCACAGCAACATCTACCGCATTGCCATGAAAACAGACCTTTTGCGGAAAGAATTTGCAGCCGGGACCAGGCCAGACGAGGATTCCTTCCACACAAAGCAACCTCTACGATATGGAAGAAGAGCGGTGGCCGGTGGGATTCGGAAAGCAAAGCATTTCTGGACCCCCGGCCTTCCAATCTTCACCGTCCTCTTGTCCCGAAATACTTTTGCCGCGGTATCAAATGTACACGCGCTTTCCTTGTAGCAATCCCTGAGAGAATCATGTGTATTCAACCAGAATACGAACAGGATGCTGTTTGTTCACTGCTTGACCACCGCCCGGCTCAACGGGCTGGCTTCCGGGTACCTGAGTCTTGCACCCGGGAAAAACGGCCAGGGGGTTTGAACTCTTTCCAGCGTCAGCCCTAAGCTTAAACGAAATCTTCGGTTTGCACCCTTTTCTGTAAGTCTAACGAGCTCATGGCCATTGTTGCTGATGTCTGGCCAAACGACGTGGATTCAGCCCCCAGCAACCTATACAAGTGGTGTGCAATCTGTTTTCTGTAGTTTGTAAATATCTTTGAGCGAAGGAACAAAAAAACTATAAAAAAAGTGCACCGCCTCATGCATTCTGCATCGCCAGCCATTGAAAACCAAGCCATCCAACGGGGCGACATCTTATGCTTGCCTTTGTTGCATCATTGTTGCCATGTCATCACGGACTCCCTACTCTGTACAAGAAATTTTTATTCCTATTTATTATTAGTACTCTGCTCTGCTTTGCTCTGCCAACGTTGGGATTACGGCGTGCATCCTATCAGCGTTTAGCGAAAATACGAATATCCCAGAGCTTGGTCTCCGTATTTTGCGTGGCTGCACAAAGAATGGGCAGGATTCCGATCAGACGCGACAGTTTTTTTCAATTCTATCGTTGACGATGCTGTTGCTGCAACGGCGGCCCCTGCAAGACGGTCTCTGGACACGTTATGAAGCTATTCGTGCCCGAGTTTTCCGGGGCGCGGCCTTTCAGAATGCCTGAGTGCCTGACAACGTCCCCCAGGGCTCCCCCGGCACCTCCGATTGCTGCACCAGTGGGGGGGAGACGTGTCTTGCCAACACATCAGCGCGTTTTTCTACGCAAAACAGACCGGGAATGTGGGGAGAGTAGGGACAGCTGCAGGCAAATTCGACCAGGACATCTATTCGCGCTGCTCGGGGCAGTCTCGGTCTGGGCGGAGGAGAGACGGACAGGATGTCGACCAACTCCCAAGCCCTTGGCCCGGGCCGTCCTCGCCGTCGAAGATCAGGTCAATTGCTGTGGGAGCATTGATGTGTCACAAGTCTGTACTTGGTCTTGTTCCGGCACATCACAATTGAGTTGCCCGGCGGAAAGTCGGTGCCGGCCTGTATGTATGTAACTAGCTGGCATGGTACGGGATTGCCCGATCCTCAGCGTGTGTTGTGCATTTGTCCGACAGAGATTGATTGTTGGTGCATTGTACGAATCGGAAAAGAAGAGTGGCTATCAATCCAAATTCTATGTTTGGATGTTGAAATGTAGTTAGAATATTTTATCTGAGCTGTTGTACATGTCAGGCAGGCAACCCAAATCCTTGCAGCATGCATTGAGGGCCCAACAGCCCTTTGATACCTGCATTAAAGAGGGACGTCATAAACGGGTAGCTGGGTGTGACTTCATATCAACGTAAGTTCAGCAAAGACTCTATATACTTTTTCGCATCAAAGCCAAATCCCTCCGCCATCTTCCCGGGCGCCATCCAACCGCCCGGCGGACCACCACCTGAGCCGCTGCTGATATTTCTAAACAGACCTTTACTCGCGCTCTGCCCTGGAGCGATGTAGTCACTGGCCTTGCGCACCAAAAACGCCACTTTCGGTTCACCCCTTCCGGTATCTCGATCGTCACGCGAGCTCGGGCGAGAGGAAGGGTCTCCAAGTCTCATCCAAAGCACCCACCAGCCGCGGCTAGTTTTGCAAGTCCGCTCGATCTCAGTGGGGCGAAATCTTGTCTCGATTAAAGTATTTAGAATTTGGGTGTGGACATTTAGAGCGTCCAGCCGCGTCCAGGAGCTAGAGGACCGGATAGAGATTCCGGGCTCAGGAATATTTGGAAGGGAAGCACGAATTGTGCGGTTTAATGGGTCAGAAACGACATCGTATAATTGTTGCTGCAAAACGTCACTTTCCTGGACGCCGTGATATAAACTACAATTCGCAAGCCGTTGTGATGCTTTGGAGGGGCAGGTTGACGACAGAAGCGACTTTTGTAGAGGTCCAAGCTGGTGGTGTATGCTGCGATAGAACGAGGGCAAAGACAGAGACGGTGTGTTAAGGTCAAAAAGGAAGGTAAATATAAAGGGTCGATACTAGACGAGCTGTTAGTGAGAGCCTTCCTGGAGCGGGGTTCCTGATGTACCAGATAAACCACTACTCGAAGCTTTCTCAAGACAGTGGAGCTGCCGTCCACAACGCTAACATTTACAGTCCGTGAAGATATTCTTGCTTCCGGTTCTTCCATTTTAGTGTTTTCTTGTTGTGTTCCGCTAGGTGAGTCCATTTCGAACTCATCTGAATCTTCACTTTCGAGGCCATTGCGTAAGCCTATGATGAACATCCCAGGAGTTTCATCAGCCTGGGAGAGAAGAACGCCACGTTCCGTAGAGCTGGTATCTGAAGGGGAAAAATCTCTATCGGATACACCGCCTTCGCCACGTCGCAGTGTGTTGATTCGGGGGTGCACTGGACTTTTTGACGATCTGCCCCAGGCGGATCCGTACCCTAGGGTGATCATCTTCATGAACGTATCACCCCCAAAAACTGGATAATCCGTCGTTACTGCTGAAGATGTATTATCTTTGGCAGCAAGTGGAGGGGTTGTATCCTTCTGAGCGGCGAGTTTTGGTCTAATAACGAGCGGCGGAGGGATCCCGGGCGACAGATTCCGATTTGAGCTAAGGCCTCTTGATATGGGTTGTGAAACAGTGCGTAGGTGAAACTGAGAGCTGGTATCATGTGTATTAGAGATCGAGGATAAGTTTCGCCGCTTTTTGCGACGTTTCGTGGACCCTGGGTCCTCTCTCACACCGTATGCCTCCTCTCCGTCCTGATATATCCATTGCATCCAATGTGATATAGTCGCCATAGAGGGTGCCGCAACCCTACCAATGCCAGAAAATACCACACCATCTGATGAACTAGCGCTAGAACCACATCCAAGCCAAAAATGTTGGTTGGAAGTTTCATCAGATTTATTCAGCCCCTTTTTGGCAGGGCTGTTCGTTTCACTCGTTGGCGCAGGGTCTGCAAAACGAGAAAGCATCATATCAACCAGACCATCTGTCCTGGAAATGAAGCCTTCTAGAACCTCTCGTTCTCCACTACCCCATTCTTCTTCTCCTACCCCTATGCCGAGTTCCCCACTCCCAGAGAGCTTCATGCCATTGAATACATCCACGGCAGGATTTCCGTGTAAAAGAACATCCCAATTTATAGCAAATCTTGTCCAAAATCGGCTCAATATCCTGCAAAACTTGTCTCTTGAGACAGCGTTAGAGAGCGAATCGAAAGACGACGCATGGTGGAGTAGAAATATAGCATGAGCTCTATGCAGTTGCTGTAAGAGTAGGTATGGAGGAGCTACTTCGCGGGAGGAGTATTCCACAGACGCATTGGAAGTTGATTCTGTATTTTTGCCAACCGCGGGGATCAAACGGGTTAAATCGATGCACTGACACGTTGGGTTAGGGAGTGATGTTTGGCTATAAAGTATTCGACTTACCGCAAGTATCCACCAGTTTGGTTCTAATTCACGCAGTATAAGCCGCGATTTTTCAGTTTCGACCGTATCTGCCGGTTCACCGCCCGAGAAGGTTCTAATTGTAAGCTCAGCATATATTCTGGGTGATGCTGCTAAGGCTGCTACGCACTTCGCAAAGCTTACCATACCCTGTGCTAGGCCAACCTGACGTAGCTTTTCATTCTCATCTTCCCGCTTATTCTCACTTCCTCCATGGCTGCTCGAGCGTTCCCTCCGAGATGCCCTCGAACGGCTGGATTTGGAATAGTAATAGACAATTTGGTTGTGCAGCGTCTCGTCGGTGGTGCCTAAAGTCGGGTTGTAGATCGTAAGGAATGAAAGGTGCGCAGGAACTACTGAGGAATATTCATTTGGAGGCATGTCATATTGCCTTGGTAGCTCTCACTAACATGCTGCACTTTCGCGATGGGTGCTGTTTGATGTCTGGCTTGGGAGCATCTGATTAATTGCATCACTGTCAAACAGAGCAAACAGCCCTTAAGTTGTCCTCGAATTTTGGATACCAAGAGTTCGTTCGATGGCAAAAGATCTCTTAAAGCGGATAATAGTTGCCCTGTCGCTTGTATGATGGGTTTTATTCAGAATTCACGCGTAATTGATTTTCGACCACGGCTTCTATTCTTCCGAACGATACGACTATCCTCCACAAAATCATGCGAGCCACTCAAGATACTCTTTTGTGGATCGGACGAGATCAGCATTGCTTCATTGAAGGCCCTTCATGCTGAACACAAAGCATCTCCTACAACAATCGCCTCTATTGATGTTGCCTGCAGACCTGGGAAACGTGTGGGCCGAGGACGGAAAATAATTCGTGAAGGTCAGTTGCTGTGTCGATAGAAACCCTATGGTGAGATCATTTAACATGGATTTATAGTTCCAATTAAGGCTGCAGCAAAGGATCTTTCTCTTACGGTGCATGAGATAGACACTTTTACTGGGTGGACTGTAAGGTTCTAATAGCAGCTACCAAATATGCATTTTCCTGACACTCTTACGAACAGCCTCCTCACAAGGATCCGTATAATTTGATTGTGGCGGTATCGTTTGGCCTCCTAGTACCTCGTCGTATCCTAGGACTTGCTAAATATGGGGGCCTCAACGTTCATCCTTCGTTGTTGCCGGAGTAAGCTTTGACGCATCGAGTATAAAATCCACAGTCTGACAAAAGAAACCACCAGTTTTCGAGGCCCTGCACCAATATACCACACCCTTCTGGCAGGAGACACAAAGACCGGGGTAACATTGCAGACTCTCCACGAGTCTAAGTTTGATCACGGAACAATTTTGGACCAGACAAGTTTTGATATTCCACAGCCTGAGACGTGTGGTGTCCAGGAGCTTAGTAGTATCTCAGCCAAAAGGGCTGCAGAAATACTCATTAGTGGAATTAAGAAGCGGCTTTTTGTCCCGCCACTGTTGCCTCTCCATCCTCCTTCTTCGGAAGCGAACGCTAGGAATGCTGCAAAAATCCACCCATCTGATCGTCACATTGACTGGTCATCATGGACGTGGGATCGAATATTTCGATATCACAGGATTCTAGGTTCTCTGTGGAACCATGCTGCCGTACCGGATAGTAACGGATCATATTCACACAAGAGAATTATTTTTATGGACCTAGACACTGTTGAACCAGATATCATGCCGGAATTTATATTACCAGTGGAACCGGGGATACCTTTCGCACTGCACGATTCATTCACTGAAGATCAAGATCGACCGATATACGTTCTTTCGAGCGACAAAAGGATTATTCGCGTCAACAAAATCAAGGTTGAAGGATATCCATCTAAAGGAGCATATCAAGCGGCTATAAAGGCTAAGATCATGGACCCGCTAATTGAGGAAGAAGTCCACGATAATACCATTTCCAGATTCCATTCACAACTCCAGTAACTACAACAGCCTTGCATATGATATCGTACAAGAGTAATAGCTCTTTCGCCACGATTGCCTTATCTCCGTACCGGAGTTCACTAAACGAACCAGCGCTGTGCTCTGACTCGGGTTTGGTCTTTATATTAAGAGCCCAGCATCTTAGAGCTGCAGTCAGAATGACATATTCGCACTACTAGGACCGGAGCGTACTCACCAACAGGGATCTGCTGCCCAGTCATAGACGAATTCTTTGCAATTGCAGGAAAGATATCCGCGCAATCGTCAACGCTTGGCTAAATTAAATATTAGTAGGGATATACCAGGACTCGGGGTGACGGAACATACCACACGCTTCAATGCTACTCGATTCTCGTACATCTCCACTGCTTCCTTCGGAAACCGTTGTCCCTAATTCACGGTTACCAAGAGAAACGGGTTACAAACTTGATTGCCTTACCCATTCAGTGAGGATAAGGCCTGGCAGAACGGCATTGACGCGAATTTTAGTGCCTTGTGTACTTGCCAAGGCCTTCATTAAATGCAGGCCTGTTTTGCATAAGCTAATTGTGTATAATAAGGCCATCCTCTATCTTCTTACCTGCTGCCTTACTCACGGAGTAAGCCATGCTACTGCCTCCTGGGGTTACACCCTAGGAAAAAAGTAAGCACGGGGTCCATAAAGGAATATAGCGTCGTGGAAAAGGCTTACGGCAGTAGAAGACGTCACAATAAACGAACCTCCTTCTGGGTTGGCATCCATGGTCGGCTTCGCAGCTCGGAAGAGATGCAAATTTGCCTTGACGTTGGTCGACCAGCACTATACAATATGCGTCAGCATCAATCGATATAGAATGAGAGCTGGTAGCCACTCTATGTGTATATACCTTATCCCACTCATCGTCGGTGAGTGCATCAAGGTCGGGAAAATTGGACATCTTCGTCCAACCCTGTCCATTGTTAGTTACCAATATTGTGGTTGGAAAACAATACTTACAGCATTTGAGATTATGATGTCCAGTCCACCTAACTGTTTAATCGTCTGCTTCACCAGATTCTCGCAGTCTGCACGGGAACCAACGTCCTACGGTGAATTGTGTCAGTTGGCAATTGGAATGCAAAATCTCTTGGGCATGGAGGTCATTTGGGCACAGTTTATCAAATGAGTGCAACATACCCCCTGTAGGATAATTGTTTTGACCTTGTGATCCTGCTCAAGCTTCTTCGCGAGTGCAGTCGCGCAATCTTCACTGAAGATATAATTGATAGCAACATTTGAGCCCTCCGCAGCAAATCTCTCAGCAACTGCAGCACCCAGGCCTCTATTGAGAACAGAATCGTGGGCAGTGTGTCAGTCTCATGAAGGTATGTGCGGGGTATAACCTCACCTAGCACCGCCAGTGATGAGCACGTTGCGACCCTTAAGAGAATACGGCATGTCTGGTATTCTAAATTGGTATTATCGAAAAGCTCTAGAACGATGTTCTATCAACAGAAATGCAATAGGCTTCTTAACAGCAAAGCACTCTGACCGGCCTGCAGGCCCTATATTATTCGGCGTAAATGGCCGAGGGGCGGCCCTTGGTAGCTTCCGCTCCGTCATTACGCCGGTACGGAGTACCTCGGCCGGGTCAATTAGTTAACTAGTGGTTGGCTCCGCCGTCGGTCAATCGATCCTCTATTGTAAGGTGAAGGCAAAAATGCATCCATCGACGCATCCTTTCACTACCATGCGCATATATATTGTACATGTGTGTCATATAAAAGCTTCTTCGGCCCCCCGTCTCGGTGATATCTACTCCGTACCCTATACGGAGTACATAACTACCGTACTATTTCACGAAGCCTGTCGGCGTTGTCGGCGCACAGTTTATCCGATCCCGTTTCGGTCCGACATCGCTCAACGTCATGTCAACAGATTCCAGCATCCTTCAACAAGGCGGGATGCTTTGCAAATGACTTGCTATGAGGAATTTGAACTTGGCCGTCATGTTCCATTTCTTTTCCTTACTCTTACCTAGTAGATAGGTAAAATGTTTTCATTTGATATTTTCTTGACATCTGTAGCAAGCTACTTGCAATAAAAGGCGATGGCTGTAGGGCATCTTAAATTTGTCTACAATGTGCGGAATGGAAACTGGCGGCTCTAGAAGACTAGAGGCAAGGTTATGCATTCTGCTTTTGTTGGTATAGCTTACGCCCCACGGGGCTGGAGATGAAAGAAAGAGAATTCGGTTCTGGATATCAGAATAATGCAGCGATTTCTTTTCTTCTTCTTAGTCGCTCTTTGGCCCCATCAACGCCTTTCCTCCCACGATGACTTAACATACTGCAGAGTACACCTAAATGGATGCTTTATCGAGCTATCGAGTGTGGTTAGCCTAGCCAATGACCAATAGCCGATAAGAGCATGGTAGTCTTCCCTTGAATATAAACATGGAGCCTTAACTGTCTGGAGAGAAACAGGTGAACTCATAAGTTAGGGGGGTGTGCACTTACGTGATCAGAAGAGGGTATCTCCAGGAGTTTTGTTCTGGCCATGCTGAAGCCCCCCATTTTCTCACTCTCACCCCTTCGCGCATGTCTCCTTTTTGGTGTCCCATCCTTTGCGCAACCAACTTACTTCTTGCAATGCCTTTCATGGCTTGTTAATTGGCTTTTTATATCTTATGTCTCTTTTTGGAGAGTTCTTTTTCTTCTCTTGGAACAATCTTGTTTTCTAAGGATATCATTTCCCCTAAACTTCACACTTGCAAATGCACTCGCTTATTGCTCCTGTTGTGTGTTAGCAGTAGAGAAGTATGGCATCCTCAAGGAAGCGCTTTCATGGGCTCCCAGAGTCACAGGCAACTTCAGAAACTACTTTGCGGCCAGTGCCAATTTCCCCACCCTCACGCCCCCTTTCTCAAGTTGCGTCGGTGAACTGCGTCACTTCAATAAACTCCGCCACTGAGCTTCAATCCAAAATTGAAGATGCATATAAGAGAATGCAAGAAGCCAATAGGCAATTTCAACAAGAACCGAAGGGATTATGTGAGGAGCTCTGTGATAGAGTGAAACATAAGTTTAAGAAAATCCTGCTCCACAAAAATACAGAGCTTGCAAATACACCTGATAATCGTATATCGACCTCTTCGACCGCCCCCGTAGCCGAAGAGATTTTAGATACCGCGATTCGACGAAGAACTTTCGAAGTTATCAATCTCACGAATCCTAAAGTCCAGGCACTGACTGGCGACGGCAGGATTCCTCGAAAACCCTCCCCCTTGCAGCAGGAGCTAAACAAGGAACTGGATGAGGAAAAACAAGTCCGTCGCGAGTCAATCCTCAACGTGAGAGATTATGTAGCTTTCATCGATACTGACAAACTTGTTTCTGACCATGATGAAACGGACGAGTTAGCCTCCAATATCAGTGAGGATGAGACGGACACATCTCACATAGAAGATTTGCTTTCCGCACTATTTTCCGAGCCAGCTGAATCAATTCGGATGCCTTTTTCCGTCGAATCTGATATTCAAGACCGCTCAATTCTCCGTAATAGCCCCAGTCCCGAGCCTTTTCAACCAAGGAGAGTTTCGCGCTTTTTTGATAGCCTTCGTTCAAGTTCTCGCCTGAGCTATGTTGACTCAGGGTCGAGAACTCCTGTCAGCCTCAGAGGGAGGTCAAGGGCCGTGGTTAGTCCTTCTCCACCAAGAAGTGAAAGTTCCGACTCTCCACAACAGGGCCCTCCTTCACCTTATCGATTGGGCCGCGCTAGGCGAGGAGGGTGTGCCAATTTTCACCAACTTGGGGGGTGACGCTGCTGGATTGTGCATGCGACTTCTTTTTCCCTAATATGGATCCTCTGTGACACAGGGCTAAGAAAAATTCTACAGGTTGGTATGGGCCTCATTTCTTGTTCACCCATTACTTATTTACGAGTACTAATGGATATTTTACATAGACATTGTTTAGGACAAGAGGTCATTGCATTTCCATACTTAAATTTTGGTACAATTTGGGAGGTTCCTTGGGGACATTCCTTGGTTTATCACTGCCTTTTATTTGCTTGATAAGAGCATTTAGCGGTAGCTAGGGGAAAGTTTGACATATTTTTTTGACTTCTCTTATTGAATGAATTCAAGAAAATAAACCCTCACGACTACTCTGTAGCTCAACTGTTTCCAGCTGAAGGAAAAATAGGAAAGAATTACCTTATAACATAATAGCAACCCAGGGGTTTTATGTGCCTTTATTTTAGCGCAGATAATCATATATTTGCTCAAGTCTTTACAAAAAAATATTGGCTTCAAAAGCAAATGAGATAATAAATACATTATTCCGACCATCTGCCCTTCCCTTAACTGAACAATCAACACCATTTCCAGCTAAAAGATACCAGAAAGCAGCGAGAGTGAAGAAAAAAGAAAGCCATTACATCGTATCCATTGACCGATCATGTCAATTTTTGTTTGATGAAGAACGACCGAAGATGGGAGAGCTGCCAGAAGCAAGTGATAGACAGCACAGCAAGCTGAACTAGAGTCCAGCGGACGACACGCGAGTTGGTAGTTTCGGATTGATCTCGGAATTGCGCCTCTCGTTCCTAGAACAATGAGGTTAGCAAAAGAAAGCCTTACCAGCACATTTACGGCAAATAATGCCCTAGAGAGCGATTTCGATCCACTTACTCTTTGGAAAATCTGTTCGCGACGAATATCTTGAAGCCGAGCGTTGAGGTTCTTCACTCGCTGAGCCATATCTTCCATCTTGCTCTTGTCTTCAGTTTCCAGTTTACTCGACTCGCCAGTAGCAATGTCAATTGTCAATTTTACTGCTGCGCCGCCAGAAAACCAGCCGGAATTCGACCCATGTTCTGGTTTGAAGCAGATTTTATGGAGACCAGAATCAGCTGCGGAGAATGTGAATTTGCCCTTTTCGCCGCCACGTTGCGAAACAACACGGTGATCGTTGTCAAAGGTTTCATCGACGGTAATTGTGATGCCGAGAGAGGGATCGGAACCGTAGTGACCAATTTTATCGTTGTAGGACTCCGCGCTATATGTTCCTGTTTACGAGTGTTAACTAGCTGAAGCACGCGAGATTGTATTCAAGGAATAGAAGGCGGCACGGGCAAGGGTGAGAAAGTCACTCACCAACAACTAAAGTTCCATGCGGTAGCTCTTCATAGAAGCATTTGGGCTCCTGGCCAAATATGTAGAAAAAAATGGCATTTGAAGGCGTAGAAAAGGTAAGGATGGTAATGATCGTGAAGAATGTCGACAGCCACGATGGGCGCGACTTGGACGCTGCCATTGCACAGTATACAAGAACCTTGACTCCGACAACTGGAAATTGGAGAAAAGCGACCAGGCCCAAGTACGCAGCGTTGGCCGAAGAGGAGAGCAAGCGTGTTGGTGAAAGGGGAATTGTGTCTTGAAGGCCAGACGACCACCTTAGTCGTGACCCAACCAATCACGTTGCTTGCCTGAACTCGAAATTTTGAGCTTCCCACCCGCATCGCCGGCGCCATCGCTTTTGCACCGAAAAAGCGTCCTGGCATCGAGCTGGACTATTCTGTCTCAATTATCGTCATTCTGACTGGTTATATCGCTATCGTTTTGGCCTACCCTACCCGCCTATCGACGCGCGACGAGGCCGTTGCCTCACCCCCGGATTCATCATGGCGGCCGCCGACATTCGTGATATGCTGGATTTGCCGCAAGAGAGCCAGCCCAGGCCAGCTAAGAAACAGAAGGTTGGCGAAACAAAACGCCCTGGTGAGTCTAGATGTATATTTTCTCGAGATTGTAAGATGCTGATTCTCTCATAGACGGCTACAGCCGGGAACTGTACGCGTTACTTGGAGATAAAGCCCCGCCGATCGCGCTCACGGAAAATAAATATAAGGGGCGGAAGAAGTGGGCAAGCAAATTGAAAGTGAGGCCATGGTAGGATTTACTGGTATTCCAATAGCTAGACGGAGATGAGTTATACTAATATAGGGTCATAAATTAGGGACATTACGCCGTTTACCAACCCGGCAAGATCAGACGAGCTCGTTTTGCATCACTGGCAGAGAAAGGTTCCCCCAAAGAACTTGGAACCATCTGGTGAAACTGCAGAATCGAACGGTACGGCTGGAAAAACTAGCCAGCCAGAAGCGAAAGCAGATAACGATGACTATGCGTTTGCAAAATATAATATTAAACCCCAGATACCACGACGATACACGGACGAAGAATACGATTGTCATTTACAAAGTGAAATTTGGAGCCGTGAAGAAACAGATTATCTTATGGACCTCGCCACAGAGTTTGATCTAAGATGGATCGTCATTGCTGACAGGTACGAATATCAACCGAAGACCACTGAACCGGAAGGCAATGCGTCAGCGCTTGTAGTGCCGGCACAGATACGGACAATGGAAGATATGAAAGCACGATACTATACTGTTGCTGGGAAAATGCTGGCCATTGAACACCCTCTGTCGGAGATGTCACAGCCAGAATTCAGCCTTTATGAGACTATGATGAAATTTAACGCCGAGCGAGAAAAGCAACGTAAGGAGCTTGCTACCGTACAATTTAACCGTAGCAAAGACGAAGTTCAAGAAGAGGCTCTTTTATTAGAAGAGTTGAAAAGAATCGTGGCGAGTGAGCAGAGCTTCATTGAGGAACGCAAGGAGCTCTATAGCCGGCTAGATGCACCCGTAAGTACTGGTAATACCACTGTATACCAGTCAAGTCACGGTCTAGCGCAGCTACTGCAGTCTCTATTGCAAGCAGATAAAAACAAGAAACGCCGCTCGCTCCTCGGTCCAGACCAGGCTCCCAGCCCAGGGGGCCAGGCTGGTGGTCAAAGCAGCTCACAAAGTGCTCGTGAGAGCCGGCCAGAAACGCCTGCGGTCACTGCGCCCTTATCAACCAAAAAGGGCGCCGCAGCTGCCCAACAGCCTTCTATTCGCACTCTCACACCCCTAGAAGAAGCCAAATACGGTGTTTCGCACCATGACCGCCTAAGCTCCGGCGTCCAATTTCGCAACGATAAAGCCCAGAAACTCACACAGGCAAAATCCAATATTCAATCGCAGAAGATCTCTGCTGCTCTTACAGAACTGGACATTCCACCGCGGCTGTTCATGCCTACTGAAAAAGTATGCAAAGAGTTTGAAAAACTCATTCAGTCCGTCAATGTCTTACTTGATGTAAGGAAGTATGCAGAAAAGGTCGAAGCGGAAATCCGCGTGTTGGAAGCTGCTAAAGAAGAACGAGAAAGAAAAGAACGGGAAAAGGATGGAACTCTTACAGGTGAAGGAGTGGAAACGTCGACGGCGGAAGGTGGTGAACCTGTGGAACCTAATAGTGAAGCAGGCAAGGAGAGCGTCACCGTAGTAGAAGCTCCTAGCCGTTCCCCAGCAACTAAGGCCCCGGCAGCTTCATTCCATAAACGCAGTGCCAGTGTTCTTAGTGCTATCAGCGAAAAGGGAACTAAAAAGCAGAAAAAATGACCTAATCATCTTGAGACCAAGTATCGAAAGATGCATTTTCTGATTCTTGTTGATACAAACTGTATGTATACACGAATGGCCCCTATGATAAGCAATCTTTTCGAGCTTTACTAGAGCCCAGCCTCGTGCGATCCAATGCTCAAGCACGATGCCATCCAACACAGGTCTCCAGCGACGATCCTCCTAGAAATGTGCAGTACATACATGCATAGCTTGATCGATCCTTTTAAACATCTATCCCCATCTCTCATTCACCATTTGAAGAAGTTCGGCACGCATGCTGGCCTCATTTGCTATTTGATATGCTTGGAACTCAGTGGTCGATTCACGGAGCTCTGAACCGTCTAGTTCTACGCCCACTTCCACCGCTTCACGGATAGTTCGAGCGTACTGCGCGCGGGTTGATCCCCCAGAATCCTCGGATCCTAATTCATCATTGATTGTAGGGGCATATTGTGCGCAATTGGAACCTCCTGAAATAGTCGACAGAAACTCGCAATCAGTTACAGCCGGACCATCCACACAGTTTTCATACATCAATGACCAGGCTTCAGCTGTCTCTGGTATTCCTGTCTGAGCTGGAATTTCATCATCTTCAATTAGTTCTTGATTCTCAACTGGGAAAAACACGTCAAGAGATGACAAGCTGTGGAAACAATTTTCGGTACTAGCATGACTAAGGTCCGCCGCATGCCCATTTTGCGCTTGTTCGGGGGCATTTAGTCCATCGTCGGACGTTATAGTTCCCTCTTCCGAGTGGTTGGAGTGGCTGGAGACGTGCTTGGTAGATTCGTTCAATATTTCGTGGCGATTAGTGCCGCTGGAGATGGAGGGCATTTTCCACTTTTTGAAAAATCGGGCTCCCTTACCAACAACCACCGTACCCTCAGTCTCATTGTCCCCGGGTGAAGGTATATCAGTTGGGATATCATCAGCCGGACCTCGAACCTCAGATACCGTTGCTTCAGTAGCATTGGAAGTAACACTTGAAGCTTGTCTATTTCTAGTTTTTGAAAAGACACTGAGACGAGGGAACACTCCTCCATTCTTTTTGTTTTGGCCATCTGATGTTCTCCGCTTAGAATTCGGAAGCTCAGTCACAGTTACCTCTGATTCTATATTTTCCTTCTGGGATCTTTCTGCATTTTCAATGTCTGCCTCCTTGACAACTGGGAGAACAGCCAAGCCTTGTTCATTAGGGACTAGTTCATCTTGGTTCGGCGCTGTAAGAGTACCTCCCCGGGGAATGAAGTCATAGTTGTAACCTAGCCTTTTTCCTCCAGACAGCCAACCCTCACTTGTTTTTCTTGGTTCGTTTCTTAGCTCTCCCTTTCCATCCCCTTCTACCCCAATGCCTGCAGGACTGTCGAAGAAGCCGTCGTCGTTAAAATTCTCAGTGAATCGGCTTTTAACCGGGCAGGGGGATGATGTTCCAGCAGCTGGCGCTTCCTCCCCGCTTTCTTTCACTGTGCTGCGTGGACGAACCCGAGGATGATGCAATGCAAGAGTAGGACCTGACCTTACTGCAGCTTTGCCACCGTTTGAGGTATTGAATGCGCTGTTTACATCTTGGATCTCTGGGCCTTTCGGGGTTCCTTTGTAGATCACAGCGTTGTTGAAGCCTTCTGCTACGTTCTGAGACTCATAAATTTTGTTTTTATGACCTAAGGGTGAATCATCTCCTTGGGAATCATAATCAGAATAAACTGACGTGCTGACAGTCCGGTTATCCTGTAATTGATCCATCTTCTTGTGAATCAATGGCTCGCTTGCGTTAATTGCTATGGCGTTGTTGTTAGTTTTTATTTTGTACGGCATGGTATTTCTTTCCATACCTTCCAAATTTCTTAATGGAGAGGCTTGTTTCCCAGTTTCGAGGACGGCAAGGTCGCCATTCTCTCGAGCACATTTTGGTTTTCGGGTAGGGGTTGTGTTGGCATACCAAACTTTGTCGGAAACTTCTGCAGATATGTACTCAGACTCGGTTTGCTTGTCGACGTTGATGTTAGCTAGGTGGTCCCCTTCCTCTGCCAATGCCTGAACGGAACATTTCGGGGTGGAATCGTCCGGGGAAGAAGCCACATTATTGCCCGTATTCGGGAACTCATTTGGTGGGGTTTGCGTGCTCTCAATGGAAAGGACGCCCTGCGAGGGATTCAAGCCATTTCCAGATTGCCCAGCAGCAAGCTGTGCAATGATTTGAGGTGTCAGGATATTACGAGCATCGCTATCATAACCGCCGTCGCTAGAAATCATGCCTGCAAGAGTGTCTGCTGAATAACTTACTATCCCGTCGCTCGTTGCGTTATTTATACCAATTTCGCTTTCCCCTGTTGCTTCTCCATCTGTGAAAGGCTTCTTTGCCAGCCACCCTTCACGCGAAAACTTCTCTCGGATCTTATTTGATAAACGCGACATACTGGCCCTCTTCTTTCTTGGGGTTTTTTCATCGACCGGGCCAACTATCGCTGTACAGGGAAGCTCTAAAGGACTTCCATTGTCGTTGGACTGACCAAAGATGATTTCCAGCGCCTCCTGGTCCAGGCACGCGTCGTCAGGGAGCCTAGGGGAAATGGCGTCGCTTGGAGGTCCCTCTATCGGTGTGGTCCCCTTTTCCCCTGTTCCTCGAAGAAGCCGAGGACAGCAGCGGAAACCCATTATGTGGGATTGAAGCAGCAGGAAAGAGATGGATGTGATGAAGGTGTGCAAAAGAGTTGATAGCAGCACCAACACTTGCACTGATATAAAATACCGGTATTACATTTCCAGGCACGTGAGTTCCTTCTGTTTTGACAGTGAAAGAAAATGGGAATAACTTGAAGAGGCAGCATGTTTGTTTACATAGGCATTTAGCACAGGGAAGGCATGGGGTTGGCCAAATAAGGAAAGTACCATAGGTACTGCTGTGTGAATGTGTACATTCAGCAGCATTTTTCTAACTGTAAACAGAAGATATGTTTGAGCTAGGAGGTGATCATTGATGTTTTTTAGGACCTAGTAGTCTGGCTGAGCTGTTCATACCCCATCTTCTCCGGATTATTCCTCTGCACAGAATTCCGATCTCGCGGCACCTGCCCTAACTTAGTCCTCACAAACAGTTTAGAGTTTTATATCACATGGTTCTACCTTAGTCAGCACTTCATTGCGTGCTTTTCCTGTGCTTTTCATGCAGCCAATCGGCGCACAGAGCTTTTACTCGGAGCTGCTGACTCAGCACCTCTCCCGCGTCGCTCCGATTCGGAGCTGCGAAGCCCGCGTAACAGCTGCCCCTCCAAGCGATCAGCCCCGCCCCCGAAAATATCTTCTCTGCTTTCTTCCTCTTCCCTCCTCACCTTCTCCCACCACCTCCTCCTCACCTCTCCCCTTCCCCATACCCTTTCACAATTGATCCTGTGGGCCAATTGCTGCGTGGGAATATATACTCCAATTGTGAATACTTTTTTCCCACTTATCCTACCCACCCGCCGTTTTTAAGTAAACCTCTCAATATGGTTCAATCGTAAGTTACAGAGTTTCATAACCTTAGTGGATACAATGTTGACAGGTACGATATAGCTCTATCCTCGGTTTCCCTCGTATGGGACGCCTTCGTGACTTGAAAAAAGCCACCGAGGCCTACTGGGGAGGGAAGCTCTCCCGTGATGATCTACTGGCTGAGGGCAAGCGCTTGAGATTGGAGCACTGGCAAATCCAGAAGGCTGCCGGCGTCGATCTTATTCCAAGCAATGACTTTGCCTTTTATGATCAAGTCCTGGACCACATTCAGCTCTTCGGAGTAAGGCCCCTTTCTAGAGCTGTGCCAATTCCTTACTGATGTTTGAACCTACCTAGGTTATTCCTGAGAGATACTCCAAATATGGACTCAATCCACTCGATGAGTACTTTGCCATGGGCCGTGGTCTGCAGAGACCCGCTAAGGACGGCGAGCCTGCTGTTGATGTTCCCAGTTTGGTAAGCATAGCTAGCTCTCCCATCTTCCAATCACAATGTTCTAAACGCCTTGTAGGAAATGGTGAAATGGTTTGACTCCAACTACCACTACGTCAAACCCACTCTTCAAGACAATCAAGTCTTCAAACTCTCCTCCACCCCCAAACCTGTTGTCGAATTCAAGGAAGCCAAGGACGCTGGCATCATTACCCGCCCTGTGATCTTAGGTCCAGTATCATTTCTGGTCCTCGCCAAAGCCGACCGCGGCCAGTCAGTTGAGCCCATCACTCAATTGGAAAAGCTCTTGCCTCTTTATGAACAGCTCTTAGTTCAGCTCAAGGAAGCTGGCGCCGAGACTGTCCAAATTGACGAGCCAGTTCTCGTTTTCGACCTTGCCGCTAAAGCCAAGGCTGCTTTCAAACCAGCATACGAAAAACTTGGCTCGCTTGGTGACAAGGCTCCTCGCCTTGTATTTGCTACGTACTTCGGTGACATTGTTCACAACATTGACGTCCTCAGCCACCTCCAAAATCTCTATGCCATTCATGTCGACCTGGTCCGCAACCCTGAGCAGCTTGAGACTGTGATTAGTGCCCTTGGGCCCCAGCAGACTCTCTCCGCCGGTGTTGTTGACGGTCGCAACATCTGGAAGACAAATTTCAAGAGAGCCATCGAAACCGTTGAGCTTGCCATTCAGAAGCTTGGCAAGGATCGAGTTATTGTTGCTTCCTCCAGCTCTCTCCTCCACACTCCTCATACACTCGAAAGCGAGAAGAAGCTTGACCCTGAAGTCCGCGACTGGTTTAGTTTTGCCGTTGAGAAGGCTAGTGAATTGGTGGTTATTGCTAAAGCTGTCACTGATGGCCCCGCTACCGTTCGCGAGCAGCTCGAAGCTAACGCCAAATCTATCCAAGCTCGCGCTTCATCCAAACGCACCAACGACCCGAAAGTCAAGGAAAGACAGGATTCTGTCACAGAAGAGATGCACAACCGTCAATCGCCCTTCCCGGAACGTATCAGTCAACAACAAAAACACCTCAACCTCCCAATGTTCCCTACCACTACAATTGGTTCTTTCCCTCAGACTTCTGAAATTCGAGTCCAGAGAAACAAATTCACAAAGGGCGAAATTACTGCAGAACAGTATGAGAAATTCATTGAACAGGAAATTCAAGACGTTGTCAGAATCCAGGAGGAATTGGATCTTGATGTCTTTGTCCACGGTGAACCTGAGCGGAATGACATGGTCCAGTACTTTGGTGAGAGATTGACTGGTTACGTCTTCACCACACACGCTTGGGTTCAGAGTTATGGCTCCCGATGCGTCCGCCCACCAATTGTTGTTGGTGATATTTCCCGCCCTGCTCCTATGACTGTCAAGGAGTCCAAGTACGCCGCTTCCATCTCCAAAAAGCCAATGAAAGGAATGCTTACTGGTCCAATCACCTGTTTGCGTTGGTCTTTCCCTCGTGATGACGTTCACCAGTCTGTCCAAGCTCAGCAACTTGCTCTCGCACTCCGCGATGAAGTTGTTGACTTGGAAGCTGCTGGCATCTACGTTATTCAGGTCGACGAGCCTGCTCTTCGTGAGGGTCTCCCTCTCCGATCTGGAAAGGAGCGTGATGACTACCTAAAATGGGCCGTGAAAGCTTTCCGCCTTGCCACTTCTGGTGTTAAGGATAGCACTCAGATCCACTCTCACTTCTGCTACTCTGAATTTCAAGACTTTTTCCACGCTATTGCCGCTCTCGATGCCGACGTTCTTAGCATCGAAAACAGCAAGAGCGATGCTAAGCTGCTTAAGGTTTTTGTTGATGAGAAATATCCTCGCCATATCGGTCCTGGCGTCTATGACATTCACTCTCCTCGTGTTCCAAGCGAGCAAGAAATCAAAGATCGTATTGAGGAGATGCTTCAGTATCTCCAACCAGATCAACTCTGGATCGATCCCGACTGTGGTCTCAAGACCCGACAATGGACGGAAACCAAGGCTGCTCTCATCAACATGGTGAACGCCGCCAAATATTTCCGCCAGAAATACGCCAAATAAATATATTATTCTAATACTCCGCAATAGTTGCGGTCATTTTTATATGACGATGAAATGACGACCTTTTAATTTAACATGAATGGAGTCGAAAACAAAAATAGGGGGGTGTTTCAACATGTGTGCATCGCTGGTTTAGCAGGGTTTCATTGTGGGGTGGTGGTAAGGTAAAAGCAGAAGGATACCCACGATCTCAACATCGGCGTTAGTGATTTATGATAGCATCCGGGCATCTTTTGCTTTTATTTTTCAAGGGTTTTAGACCATAATACTTTTTATTTCCTAGGATTATGCTGAGATGATTTACTTGAGACTCGAATTAGCCGGGTCGCCTACTAGAGAAAATACAAGCACATTCAACAAGCTCGCAAAAAAATAATATGCCTAAAATCATAGGACACAGTGTAGAATAATTAGGCGAGGATTGTGCACAGATGTTTCATTCAAATATGGAAACGTGGGTCATAGCCACCGAAAATATGGAATAAACGCTCCTCGTCCAGCAACTGCGTTCTCGCCAAACCGCTGCGTGTACCACTTTCTTCCCCACGCCGCTCTCGCTCCAGTGGTCAAGATACTGTTGATCAAGAACACAACAAGAGGAAATGGAAACGGTAGAGCCAACTTCTGCAAAAATAACTTTGCCAAAGGCCCATAATACGGAGCCAGGGGAATATATGACATTGTTGAGGCGGCATCAGCCGGCTGGCCTGAAGGCGACGAGGTTACTGCGAGCCCAATAAGGAGGAATCCAGACCATTCAAGCCACTCAAACACATAATGTGGGAAGAGGATGGAGCGAAACAGGCCAGAAGGCGGTGGAATGATGTAGACTTTGTCGTAGATGGATTTCTCAGTATTAGTCTTCGATGAGGATTGCAGTTGCTGGCGACGATGGGCTTCTTCCTTGCGTAGACGGAAAAGGGTGCTTTCAGCGGAAATATTGTAGTACATTCCGATGAAGAAAATCGCAAGGCCGACGTATGGAGCGTATACAAGCCATGGGTGGGTTGGTGGAATGTTTGGGGAGCCAATCTTTTCGCCAGAGGAGCTAATGGGCAGGCCGTACCCTAGAAGCCACCCGGCAATGCAACTGGAATTAAAATAATTGTAAAAAACGGCCGTCATAATAATAATAAGGTGGATAGGCGACATGCTCGGGGCGAAAAATAGGGGTGTGACAAAAGCACGATTAAGATAATGAAGCAGGTAGAGAGCCACAAGGCACTGATTCCACATTGGCATTAATGATAGGAGATTCGGAAGGGTTTGATAGTGTGTTTGGAGAATGTAGAGCATGTTGAACATGCCGATGCTCTCCATGAAGCACCATGCGTAACGGCCGGGGAAATTCAGGAGGGAGCTCGCGAGGGAGGTTTTTCCTTGGGGGTAGAAGGGTGTGAGCCATTGGAATACTGTTATCTGCGTCATAGATTAGCATTGTGCTGTAAGCCGAAGGCAATGCGAAGCTGAGCTTTTATCTACTTCAACTCACAACTGGAAAGTACTGGAATATCGATAGAAGAGTGGAGTACGCGTTGGGGGTAAGCGGGAAAAATTCAGAGAAAGGAGGTAACGAATGAATCCAATCAGAGACGGTGCCCATAATGGACTTGCAGCGCTCAGTTTGAGCTGTTCTGGCTAGATGGGGCGCGATGTCTGTTTGACGGGCGTTGACTGTTTTGGAGATGAGGCGCCGATTTAAGGTTCACCATGATGCCATTTAGAAATGCGCTAATGTTCTTTAGGTTAGATTGCCTAAACTTCGCGGAATATCTTTTATACGTTGGACACTTTGAAGTTTATCCGCGGATTGAAGATACGAAGTACGGAGTACTGTGGGTAAGAGGATCAAAGAACGCGCTGTTGGGCAAGTCGGAAGGCTTGTTTTGGACAGCATAAGTATATAAGAGCTAGAGAAATACTCCAAAGCAAATAGGCTCTGTCCCCAGCATTACAGCGGCAAGGACACAACGTGTCAGAATAACTCCAAATACTCCAACTAATTGTCAAATTATCCAGAACTGGTATCCATCGCATCTATATTCTCTGTGGTGTCTTTCAAACTCGCCAGTTTTGCAGCCTTTTTTTCCGTTTTAAACGCTTCAATTTTAGCCTTCAAGTCAGTGTCTACAAAGAGCAGCACAACATTAGAGACACATATATAAAAATTGAAATCAACTGACGACCTACCGGGTATAACATCTTCAATCTTAAGGGGAGCTCGGTTGAATGGATCATTCGGGTCGCTGAGAAGGTGTGACCTAATAGTCGAGCGGTCGATGGAGATTTTCGAGCTCGGGAGTTGGACAGGGTCTTCCATAAGAGTAAACATCAATGGATCTGAGATTCGTCTGGTCAGTGCATTGTTTGAGTTGGAAATATATTCCAGAAAGAATAAACAAACCGAGGAACTCATCGGGGATTTCTCCTAAATCTTCTTCGGCTTGGTCATCTGCATCTTTGGCCTCCTTAACTTTAGTTTTCAGCTTCCCCCATTTCATAAGGTCATCTTGAGGTTTCAGTGCCCATTTTTTGAGAATATCCGCTGCCGTGTCTAAGTTAGCTGGTTTGTAAGACCTTCCATCCCGTGCTACTGCTAGAATAAAATTATCCTTCGCCATTAGATTTAAATAGACATCGACAATCTCGCTCAATAACGACCTAGGGTTAAAATGGTACGATGCCAGGTTGTCCACGCGTAAACTTGCACTCTTTGGCCCAACCATGGCATCTAGGTTGTAGTTTAACATATCAGCCAGTCGTTGAACAATTTCCGGCATGGTAAAAGAATCCGCCAATGCTTCTGTAAATAGCTTCAGCATCGTCACGGTTTCATTAGTTAGTTGCATATAGCTTTTCGCTCGTCCCTGAGCGGCTGAGAGCTGCTCTTCTTTTTCTTGCCGAGTGTTCTCATCCATCGAAGCACCATTTTCTCGTAACTCGACCTGAGTATCATGAATTGCCAAAAACGCCGTGAACGACTCATCGAGCACAAATGTGACGTCGTTCAGTAAAAGGTTTACAAACTGAATAAAAAACTCGGAGTTCTTTTTGGCTTCGTTGGATAATTGATCTCGATAAATCGCGTTCGGCCAAATGCATTTAATAATCTGGAAAATTTCCAAGCGAATATTGAATTTATCGAAAAATTGAGTGTGGGTTCCTGTGAATTCGGCTTCAATGTAGAATTTCAACAGGGCATGAAGAAGGTATTTGTTAGCAAATGGAATAGAATTGAGAAGGTCGACTAAAACCCCTCTTCCCCCATGAGGTCGATTCCACGTTCCACAGAACAAGATAGTGATTAGTCCGGCCTTGAGATAAGGGTTCTTGATGTACTCGGAACTTTGCAGGAAAGTAATGCAGAGCATTATCAGCTCATCTCCTTGAGTCGAGGTAACGATATGGGGCATGTTCCATATGATGAATTTGAAGTTGCTCACGACATCGTCCAGAAAGTATTCCGGAAGGCATTTAAAAACGTCAGGCTCCGCCACAGGCAATGGTAGTTCCAGGGGCTCTTTTGGAAAGTTGCGACCAGAAACCAATCTTAACATCCAAACTATCACATATCTCATGAACTGCATTGACCTAGCTTGCCAAAGGTCATCCAACAATACAGCCTGAAAGCTATACTTTAGCGCAAGACCCAGATCGACTCTATCCTTGTACTTCTTCAGTGCTGCCTCAAACATTCTGGCCTGTACAGGATTTGCGGACCACTTAGGTCGTTCTCTTTCGAATTTATCAATTTGCGTCTGCATATGCCGCAAATCCTTCTCCAGTTGCTCCATCGTTGAAGTTAAGGATTCGCTTCCATAATGATGAGCAGCAACAGTTAGGAAAAAGATCTCGCTGATAAAGTTAGACTCCCCTTCCATAGTTTGAGAATAGAACTCGTCGGAAGCTTTTTGATCGGCGTTCATCTTAGTTTCATCTTTTATATTTACACGTGGATTTCTTTTCAGGTAGTTAGAATCAATTCTATCAATCTGCGTAGATTAGTATGGTGGTTTATAAAACCAGGACAGCCCATACCTTCGTAAATGCTGCATCCATGAATGGCTCGCATAACTGATCAAGACAAGTTGTGATGTTGAACATGAATCCATCTGAAGAGACTTCCTCTGGGTTCACTTGCAAGGCCCTTCGTTTATGATTTATATTGACTGATGCCGCGAACCAATCCAGAACGCGCTCTCTGGCACTTTTAGAAGCTCTAACAAGGTGATTGATAACATCGACTAGATCCGAGCTATGTAGCTGTTGAGTCATTCGCATTGAACGCTGGGCACTAATAATGGCAGCTTGATCTTTTGTTTTCGGGCTCGAGAAATATGTCATAGTCGTTTGTTTTTGCAGCGGAGATAATCTAAACCACGGTCCCAGCAAAGTAGCAGTCTCGAATTTATCCGCTCCTACATCGAGATTAAACATAGGAGACTCCGTGATAGCAGATGCTAGGGTAGGAAACCGAACAAGGTTGCGAAACGCCTATTATAATTAGCCATATTGTGTCCATGCGCCTCTTCACAAAGATATATGCTCAATTTACCATCATATGAAGTTTATAGTCGTCATTCAAGGACAGAGACGAAATATCGCGGCTCATCTCCTCCACAGCGCTAATAAATGCAGGTATAATAGTGTCATCCTCTTCGGCACGCCGTATGGCTTCCAGCATAAAATCATGGCATAAACCAATGTCACAGTCTGGTTCTTGCAGGAGATAAGGCTTGAGGGGTGAGGACAAGGGCGTGTCGAGTCTGCGCGGTTCGTTAATTCAAATATTGTTGCGTCATCAGGGGACGCTTGTAGATTCTCACCCAAACATCTCCGGCATCGTAAAAGCAAAGATGCAGTAACTAAAGCAAAGTCGCCGAGCTTCTGTAACTACTTCGTACTTTGCATCGTTAGGTTGAGATTTCTTAAACCCTTTGTATAATCTTGTTACTCTTTTCCAACAAGGAAGCAAGTACTCCAAAGGTTTCTGCCCGCTTGATCCCGCTTCCAGTAATGCTTGGTCTAGAACACCTGTGTTCATTCGAATCGGCTGGCCTTGATCTTCCAGTTCTTGCCGGACACCCGGAATATAAACTAGTTTTTGACCATGGATATCTCTCTGTTGCTTCTCATCCAGCGTAACTTTAAACAGAGCACTAAGAGTACGGTCTTCAAATGCTTCCAATGATTCCTCTGCTCTTTGTTGGGCCGCACTTTTAGTAATTCGGATCGCCGGAGATCCACCACCAGATGTATCCATGCCTCTCTCAGAATGTTGTGATATATTGGTGTGCGGTCTTTTAAAGCGCGGTGCTTCGGAGTCCTCAGCAGGTGGGGCAGTCGATCTTGAGTTATCTTCGACGGCCGATGCAGTACCTTCCTGCGACGCTGACGATGAAACTGGCTTTTGGGCATCAAGTTTCGCAAGTCGCTTATTCCTGGTCTTCCACAAATGTTTTTAGCTGGATTCAATATGGAAATAAAGTAAAAGTTTGGTGTAAAAGTGTCACACTTATATCCGCAGGGCCCTTCACACCTTTTCTAGATCGACAGAGTCTTCCATGATTGCAGAGTATTCAATACTGACATTCTCAGTATTATGGCCTGAAGTGAATACTTCTTGGGTTTGTTACGTGCTTGGTGGTTTTGTCTTATGTGAAGCAAAGAACGCTTTTGGGCAAGTGATGCCTGGTGCTGATTAACTAAGCGTGCCATCATCCATGGCTGCACAAGATGGAGTACATAAAATAGCTTTTGTTCCGTCCTATCCGAATAAGTATATGGGTAAACCCGGCTCAGCAGAGCTTATCATATATCAATATAAAATAAATTTCAAGCATCCAAATCCAGTGCTGCGGACGTCTAATGTAGCAAAAGCAATCTGCCAATGAAATATACAAAATCACCCTATACCGGCTGGAGAAGCTAAAACCCATACACAGAACGCCCAGAAATCGTTGCAGAAGTGTAGCATCTAACAGTATGTGGTAGAGGAGGTAGTAAAGATAGTTGTAGTAGAGAATGTATGTAGAAGGGAACCGAATGTATTAAATGTTTAAAGACTCCAGTTTCTTGCAACTTCGAAGCTCCAGCTTTCGAGCTTCTTTCATTTTCTCCACATCTGGAAAAAACCAACCCTGAGCATCTTGTATCATTCGGTCCCTTGCCCTGACCTCACTCTCACACTCATACCGCAGGTTTGATACGTAGTCAATTTCCACTTTCTGGTCTAGCTGGCGTAGTTTTCGCGGACTATAGTCTTCAACTTCGATCGGATTAAGGTAGTAATTCAATTTTAGTTTCGGAGTTTTCCTGTGTAGGGTATGTGGTGGTGCGGGGGTATTGAATCGGAAAGAAGGGCCGGGAGAAGTGGAACCTGAGAATAACGAGGAGAGGAGAGGGAAAAGGAATAGTAATAAGAGAGGAAGGAATTGTGAAAGAGACGAAAGGCCATTTGCAGGAGTTGCATCAGACTGCTGGTTCGCTTCGCGGGGTCTTCTTCGTGGCCGTGCGCCTCCAAACTGGTGTACACGAACTCCCGGTCCGCCTCCCATATTGAACACAAAGGATGGGCCGGCTTCGAACATACCTCCGCCTAACCACATATCAGCAAGCTTGACTGGGGATAAACTTCGAAGTGCTCACCAAACGGTCCAAAGCCACCTCCGCCAAAGAACCTATTGAACAGTTCCTCAGGGGAAATTTCGTCTTCATACATGTTCCCTCGCCCCTGTGGAAACCCGCCAAACCCGCCGAAAGGTGAGGATGCAGATGCCCCAGAGAATCTATTATCTGGATCCCCGCCAAACTTGTCATATTTGCTCTTCTTATCGGAATCTGAAAGTATTTGGAAGGCGCGGGAAACCACTAAGCGATCAAACGTTAGCATTATCAGCGAAAGCTGGGCTTATCTGCGCGCAGTTTGCCAGCTCGATATACAACACACTTTTAAAGGCTTCGTCCGCCCCCTCGTAACCATTCTTATCCGGATGTGTTAACAAACTAAGCTTGCGATATGCCTTCTTAATCTCCGAGTCTGTCGCTGTCTTTTCCACGGATAGGATCTCGTAGTAGGCCGTGGTCGCACATTTCCGTACTCTAATCACTGCGGCCTTCTGTTCAATTGTGTATTTGCGGTCTTGGTTTCCTTGCTTGTGTTCTCTCGAGTGTGCTGACGCGCCATTTTTGACATCCGCACCGGATGCCGACGCCGATGACATTCTTCAACCAGGTTCTATTACAAACCAACGATGAATGCAACGGTGGGGGATATCTGCGTGGCAGATTTGGGGAAAGGTGCCTGTGATGAGAACAAGACCTCACACCGCCGCGCTAGCAAAGGATACGTTGTCGGTAGAGAATAAAAAATAGCGGCGGGCCGCTTATCTGGCCTTCTGAACCCTCGTCGGCTGGAACTGCTGGCAGTCTTTTGGCAATCTGGATCAAACGGACAACAGCCGCAAACCGCCATGTCACGTGCGGCCCAACATCAACTTAACTCCACGCGGCCAGTCTGGGGCGACCTAGAGTTAAACAGAATTTTCGAGGAATTCACCCATGGAAACGCCCTGCCGACTACTACGAGCCGAACATCCGCAAGATGGCGTTTACCAGGGCTTCGAACTTGACACCCTACAAGCCCTGATGGTCGAGCATCTCGGAATCCGCCAGCCCCCCCCTAGACTCTAGTTAGAGAAGCCAAGCCCGCAGCCTAACCCGACACTCTGCATATCGGCACTCCGTGCTCCGTAGGCTACTCTATTTTATTCCCCTATTAATTCCATTAATACAGAGTATTGGTGACATTATCATCTTCGGACGTTGACTAAAACCCAAGGCGTTATGATAGCAGTTTTACACATGCGTTATTCAACAGGTTCAAAGAAGCAGAATACACTTGTTCTATCCCATTGCAGCCATGGCTTTATATTCCTCATCCTGTCACCAGATACAAAAATCAACGCAGGTTCTGAACGAGCCCAAAAAGCAACGATCTCATCAAAATCCTCTATTGCCAAGTTTGTTGTATCTCGATCTTCCTGGGTGATATCTTTCCTCAAGCGACAGGCGACCCGAAAAGCAATTAACGATTTTGTATCTTACCCATCGTCTCGAACAATTTACCTTTGAGAAATGTAGTTCGAGCAATCTCAATCTTGTGAACATTTCGATCAACACACCAGATGTCTAGAGCTTTGTTGACCATAGCACTAAAAAAGTCAGTGGTTGCTGATAGCTTTCGTTGAATGATGGAACTTACAGAGCTTCGTCATTCTCGTCTAAACGTATAAGGTGTTCGGCAACCTTATGGATGACATTTGCAGTATAAAAATCCTTTTCTCCCACTGTTGCAATCATATGACGCAATGCTCTCTGGTGATATTCAAAGCTCGCATCCCACAACTGTTGCGTGGCCTGGACGTTCCCAAGTACGTAAAGAATCAACCCAGTTCGAGCAGACTCCTTATCATCCTTGCCCAATGCCTTTTCTCTACCCGCCAAATTTTCCAAGAAGAGGGCGTTGCACTCATCAAGTTTACCCTGCGCAAGAAGCGCCCAGCCCAAGTTTGCCTCGACCGGGGAATATAGTTGCCAAGAGCTTTACGAATCCGTAAGGCTTCTTCGAGATCTGCTTCTCCTTCTTCATAACGCCTATCCTGAACCCGTGAGATCCCTCGTTCTGCATAGGCGAGATACAACCTCTCGTCCGCAGCCCAACCTCTTGACAAATTTTTAAGACTAGCTCGAGAGAACGCTCTTTGTCAATTCTACTAGTATCGAAATTGCCAGAATCCATTGCTATAGATCCTAAGCAAAAGTTTATATCTGCGAGGAGAGAGTCTCGATCTGGGTGCAACGAGGAGTCGCAAATACTACGAGCAGTATCAAAGAAGCCATCAAAATGCTGTGTTCGCCCGCGCTCCTTTTAGTACCTGCGCCCATTAGACGTGGAAACAAATGAAATATATCAGTGCCACTAATACTCACCACGCTGCTTCATTAATTAGCCTTGCAAAAAGCAGCTTGCCACCATCAAAAGGTCTGCAACGACCGGCCAAAGTTGATGTAGTCTCAAAATATGGGGATATATTGCTGCAAACACAGGCCACCTTCCAACAAGCAGTCTACCGTCTGCTGATTTGGGCTGTGGGGAATGAAGTGATGGAAGCCCAGATATCAAGGATAACACATGCTGTAACTAAACCAGATCAGGGAGAGTGGCTCTTCATAGTCTAAGACTGCATAAGTGCCTACGAAAAATGATGAATACACACGTAGTTAGGTATGCCAAGGCTCACGCCATTAGCTTGATCCTTCACAATAAAGTTGACTAGTGAAGCGTCAGGATGATTGGAGACCTTTCACCTCCAGCCCACTCGATGCGGCGGGTTGGCATTTGACTGCATTGAGAGTACGGAGTATCCTACGCTTTACATTTCACCTTGATCTATACAACCAAAGGCATATTGATAATATGCCGCTGGCCATGCGATTACTGGAGGTCTTAACGGCTATGTGTGCCTCTCTAGGTAGTTGGCTGTTACCGTTTATCAGACAAGCTGCCAGAGGTGCGCCCTCTAAATACACGATATCAAATCAGAAGCTGTCTCCTATTGCTATCCTTAACAAGAAAACCCTGGGCAGGCTTCAAGAGCAACTCATGGCTAATCCAGAACTTGATTTGCTTTCTATTTTCCCATCAGATTATCGTCGCCAAATGCAGCTAGCCCTTTCGCAACAACCGCGTCTTAAAATAAGTCCTGCTGAAATAAAATCACCTCCAGATTTTCGCGACAATCTTAGTGGTGTTGATAGGGCTGAAGTTGTGTTTCCCCTTTCTGAAAGAGTGACCGAATTGCTCAAGCAGTATTCCCTGCCAGAAGGCTTTGACAATCCAGAGCAAACGCTGCTACACTCTTTGAAGCAATTGTTATGGAAGTCACCAAAACTCTGGGAGAATGTTGTAAGGGGTATTGTTGTAAAATGCAGTGATGATATTGTTATCAAATTGCTGTCACAACGTATCCCAGAGTACACTGAGTATACTACGCTACAATATCTTGCAGAAAGGTTACCAGATATCCCTGTTCCTCGTCCTCACGGCCTTATTAGATGTGGCCGGTATACTGTCATATTCATGTCCTATATTCCGTGCATGACGTTAACACAGGCGTGGCCAAAGCTCAGCCACGAAGCCAAACTGTCAGTACAACACCAATTAGACGATATTCTTAATAAGCTTCGTACCTTAAGACAAGAGGATGGCCTGCCGCTAGGCGGTGTACGCGGCGAAGGCGTCAAGTATCAACACTGGGACGTTGTGCCATATCAGGAAGCCATAAACTCAGCTGCTGCATTTGACGATTTTCGATTCTCGATTCCCCATCGCGGAAGTAAATCGTATATTCGGCTTTTGAGAAGTCTTTGGCGTTTGCCGACAAAAGGCTCTGTTTTCACTCATGGAGATATTCGGCGAGACAATGTGATTATAGAAATGGGGGTAGACAATACGTGCCGTGTGACTGGGCTTATTGACTGGGAAGACAGTGGTTACTATCCGGAGTATTTTGAATGTATGTCGTCAACGATCACTTTGAGCTCAACTGAGGACACCGATTGGTATGACTATTTCCCGCCTTGCATTTCCCCTTCGAATTTCCCTGTGCCTTGGCTTATTGATCGCTTTTGGAACCATCATATGGGACATTGGAGAACTCCAACCAAATAAGCCATCCGTATGTCCTAAGAAGGTGATAGTTACTTTTTAAAATACCCTCATGGTCAGTCAAATAATATGCAATCACTTAGTAGATACTTGAAACACTGAGCCTGGAAGATTTTGTAAAATAGGTTCTCTTCTCTCATATAAACCTCCCAAAATTGTGTACCCATAAAAGGAAAGTCGTTGCCACTCCTATGAAAAGCATGTATATGTTGGAAATCATTTTTTTGCCAGCCTCTATAAGCAGATCTGCTAAGCAGGGTCATGCTAGCACAATGAGAGCAGCGTAAATAAACAATCCGTCAGACTAAGCCATCCAATTTGGAACAGAGTTGTTTATATTTTTCCCTATACTCATCATCTTCCATGATTATCCCTTCCTCCACAAGCTTTCGAAGAAGGTCAAGAACATAGTCCTGGCAATTCCAAACTGGAATATCATTTCGGATAGGAATGTTTTCAGCGGTGGTTTTGATTGCGTCGTACTTCGATGCGTCAACGTCGCAGATGAGAAGAACTTCGACCACACTTCTGGAATTGCGAGTATCCAAGTTACGGGCGTCAAATCTGAAATTCTTGTCGGAACCTAAGGCTTGAAAGGCGATTGGCTCCTCCCCATCAACAAAAAGATTCCAATGCTTGAAAAAGCCCATCCCCTCATCATGTATGGTGACAAATATCTTCATGATGAAAATCCTGAGAAATGGGTCAGTCACAATTGTTTACGCCCAGAAGAACAAGAAGAAGGCTACGGATAGAGAAAGAAATACGTTTGTTTCAAGATCTCTGCAGTAAAGAACCACTCAAGGGGCGAGCTAGAAAATCTAGAATCAATAGAAATAGTTGAAGTGCTATGTATATTAACTGGCAGCTCAATCCTGTCAAACCGAAAGGTGGCTTAGGGGTAGAATGGGTATGCTGAATGACAGTGTTAATATACACAAAATCGAGGCTCGGCCGGTCTAAGCCGCCTAACTATCACCCCGCAGTACATCTGGCGCTCAAATATGCAAGTAGACCCGGGAGCGTCAATGCATGCAGCTCCCTTCGGGTGTGTTATAGCACCGTGTTTTTGCCAGCAGGGTAAACGTATCCATGGTGCGTTGCAAAAAGAACGGTCTACCAAACTTAAATAGGGATGTGGCGTGATTGTAGCTTCTGTGTTTTATGCACGCACACACCATTTAGTTACTCTTGGGCAAACACCAAACTCCAGTTTCACTCGACACAACTTGACGAGTCCCAGCAACCATTCAAAATGCCGGATACAAATTCAACAGGAATAGCAAGCCCAGAAGTTCAGCCAGCGAAGAAATCGCTGATGCAATATGCTCGGGCGTGGGGAGGTAAGCAAAGCCATTGAAAGCTCACAGCATAGGTCTATAGAAGTTATTCTAACAGCAACAATAATCTAGAGTCATCATTTCCGCCAACTCTGCTGGCAACTTTTGTAACAGCACTACATATGCGCCCCTTCCAGCCCCTGCCTATGGTGTTTCCGCCCGTCCTGCTGTTCACAAGCTACATCAACCTGCTTGGCTACAAAGAGGATGCTGCTGGTATAAGTGCGGCCTGGTCTGGATTATACCTCCTGCTTGCAGGACGCAGAAGGCAGGCTCTGAAAAACAAATTTACCGTAAGGGGTGCCGTGAGAGGAACGGCAATTGGAGTCGGACTGGTAAATTTGGTCAGTGGAGGTTTGGTATATATTTCCGGCGAGAAAACAGCAGAAAAAGATGATGATAGTTTGTAAACCCAGTATATGGTTTAACTGGCTTCAAAGAGGCTTGTATTTGGGCACGGCGTTTTTGATCCACAGGGTGTCGAAGGCGTCTTGGTCTGGAAGGCGTTGGATTGCGGAGCATGCCTGAACATTTTTTGGCGAATGAGTATCTAGAATGTACTGCAAGAGAATCTCCCTATCGAACGATATTTCGGAATAGCAGCGCGCCGTTCCATACCATTAATTTCTATACAGAGCTTTCTCCGCCATCCAACTCATCACCCGATCCGTCACCAAATTACCCAGTGCCTTCCGATTCCCGTTAACCGCCTCCTGCCGCGCCTTCGTCGAGCTCACGGATTCTTCTCCATTCTTTCTCCCTTCGACAACCTCGATCCTCTTCGCCCACTCCCTTCTACCACCGATCTTCTCCATCTTTCCCCCAGCCAAATCCGGCAAGAACTTCGTTTGCTCATCCCCGTCACCCCAGCTATCGTCCGGTCTTAGCGACACTCGTAAACGATGATTCTCAAGGAATGGTGCCAGTGGGTCCAATGTATGTTTGGGTGGATAATACTTTGGGTCAAAAATTCGGACCAGGGTATCATATCCAGTGAGATGGACTTGTTCTAAGTCACTTGGATACATTCCAGAAGAAGATATGGCAGCCGCCTTATCAATAAAATATGGCTCTTTGGTAACACCGATATCAATGGTTGGAGCTGCGGCATCTGCCTCACCTGCAAGGGCGGGAGGGCACCTATTGGATATAATCGCATCCTGCAGGTCTTGGGCGAAGAGATTCATCATGACCAAGCGGTCTTCAAATAATGCTGGCTTAGACGGCTTGTCTGCATTTTGTGTTGCTAGTAGTAGAAGTAGTCGGACGGCTGAGGAGTCAGAGTTGCGGTGGGAGAGGAGGGCAGACTTCACAATGCGTAGATGTGCGCGGGTAGGTGGATTGAATGACGAGTCTAGCACGTGGAGCGTGGTTGTCCTGGGCGGAGAGGCCACCTGAGGTGCGATGGTGTCAAGAATTTCAAAGGATTTGGGGCCTGTAGTGAATTGATGGAGGGCTGTGTAGTATCGTTGACGGAGAATGTGCAGAGGGTGGGGGAATGACATGTTGGATAAAATGCGGGGAAAGCTCCGCAGGCTATGGAAATGGAGGTGAACGGGAAACGGCCTATCAATACAACGACATCTTCATATTGCTGGGCGCAGAGCGATTCAGAATAAGATGATAACCATGCAAGTTGATATTGAAATGGGCAAACTATGTTCTAGATTGTTGATAGGAAAGCTCGTGGCCAAAGAACAGCGCCTTAAAAAGACCACATAAACTTAAAGTTATCATCAGTTCTTTGGCTTTTAAAGTGTTCTATGCTGATTCCAATGGTCTTCAGGCCTGGATAGCAATATTTTATTGACGACTTGAAGGATGGAAACTTCTCCACAAACACATCCAGGAAACCACACCGATCATCCAGTAATTTCTTCTCGAAATATATTTTCAAGCTTTCTCATTCTTATCAGTGGACCCTCAAGAATATACGTATGCGCGCTGCACATACGGAGCACACATGATAAGAACAGCCCGGATTCGGACCATTTCCCAGCTTTTGCTGAAATGACTCGTAGTAAGACGAGTAGACGGAAATCCAAGATTCCCAGTAAAACTAGTTGTTTTGATATACAATCCCCACCGATATTGGCTCTGCCTTCCGTACCGATGGCTCCGCTCCAACGACGTTCAAACCAGGCCGAAGATGACATGTGGCCATGACACTAAACACATTCTCCATGGTAGCATTATTGAATCCCCATATACTGGGAACGGAGAATGACGACGCATTTTCACATCTCTACCAGGCCGTTCCCGCTCGTACATGATTCGGGGTGGAGACTCCCCATCAAACAACTGGGGACGGCATACCCCACTGCCACGAGTCTTATCTCTTTCTAAAATTGCATATGATAGCTCCGACGGCATTTCCGAAGGTTTATACCGCGAATTGATTTGCCCATAGACCAACAATAGGGGCAAAATAGTACGCTTCTTGATCAGTGGTTATTCTTTCATTATTATGATCACCATCAGAGCGGGAACGTACACCTCCACAGTCTGAGCCGTTTCAAATGCTTTTTCGTATTTAAACGGTCCTTTGTATGTAGCCCTAGGTCATCAACGGCTGACAACAGTGTCAGCATTTGATAGAAGATCGCCTGCTCTGTATTGATTTCTTGGCTGCTGATGTCCAGCGGCTTTAACGCCTTATAGGTGAGCCCCTAATAGAGCTGAGATCCTAATCTTAGCTAGATCTTTGACAAAGGCACCGATGTCGAACCATTCTAGACACAGATAGGTCTTCGCACAATGTTGACGGGCTGGAACGCATCGGTTTTCTCAGCATGATTTTCAACTGTTACTGATAAGGTCATAGCGGTGTGTAGAAATTGCCACCGTAATTGAAATGTTCTGTACCTAGGAACGATAGTAAGAAAAGATATTTGCAACCTCTGTCATTGCAAGTTTGACCAGGTTACATTAGGATTCCTAGGAAGTCATAGAGGGGATGTTGGCGAATAGTTAAGGCAAAAATCAAGAACAAGGTAGCCAACAGGTTAAAGGCTGCTCGAGCAGGCTTTGAACAGAGCTGACACCGTTCTCGTTTGTGGTAGCAAAGCGACATGATCTTGCGTTTGAGGGCGGTTGCCGCCCTGTCGCTCCAAATCCAAACGAAGGGAACATCAACTCGATACGGGCGCTTTGCAGCTGCAGCCCATAGAATCGAGCCGTACAGAGTACTCTGTACACCAGTCTCATCGTCACCTCTTCAAACGAGCAACTCGTGTTCGTTATTCTACACGAACTGATATATCTGACGCCCAACCACGTACAGGGAATCTGACACGGATCATCACCGATCTTCCGATTTGCATCTCGTGTCACAGCACTGATGCTGGAGTTTCAGGAGAGAACCAGCACGGCGTCCAAGAACTGCTATCAAGATCAGTGGAAGGGGGAACGTGGCTAAACTGGGGTTTGCTTTATGAAACATGTTACTCATCTATGCCTTTTTCCATCCCCTCTGCTTGTGAAAACAGGCGCCCCCTCACTCCAGGTGCGGAGAGCTGCAACAGGAGAAGATTGAGGGGCTGAGTATCGCTGATCGGGATCGAAATTCCTTGTCTTCTACTTGCTGGTGTCTGCATTGTACCACACAGCATGGATGATGGAGTTATAGAAGATCTCCTAACTGACTGTTCACACCGCGAGTTGTAACAGCCCAAGCCTGATCATGGAGATCAAGGGCAGCCTCCCCGGCGCGGCAGATTGGCATTCCAGATGGCGCGACATCATTGACAAATCTCGTTTGGCAGGAGACAGAAATGCAAATTTCATCGCACAGTAGATAAGTGGCAGTGTCACATTCACAATCGTCTATCCGTACATAATTTTGAGATCCGAGAAAAAAAGCAGTCATCCGTTTCAAACCATGCATCTCGTTTTCATCGGAATATCGCCCTTGACCCAGTCCCAGAAGAAAAGAAATAGAAAACAAAATAAGGACTGCTCTCATAGTTTGGAAATTTGTATGTTTTCGATAGCTTTGATCGTTTTTCAGTTTGGAGCAGTCGTTATCCAAGTTGCTGTTTGTCAAAAGAGTCCAAGTCTATCTCGCGCATTAAGCGCCCGGGGTGCGCTACTGGGTTTCACCTGGAGAGCTCAGCTTTTGGCTTTGCGCTGAGCAACATCAGAGTTGAAAACGCAACATGGGAGGTGCAATTCTTTTATGCTGGGGTATTAAGGGTGATACCAGGGGTGTTTGGTTGCAATCCTTTCGGATGCTGGGTTGTTGGTATAGTTATGGCGATCTGGGCCAGGTCGGGCAACCTTTCCGCGCCAAAAAAGATAGCTTGCTACCTGAGAAAATGCCCTTTTGGTTTTTTAATGCGCGAATCCCTGTTTGCAAGTTCAGCGGAAGATTTGTGGAAAAGCTCGCACTGGCCCACGGCATTAAATTCCAACTCTTATAGCTGCTTCGATAGAAGCATCCTGGTCGAGGATCCCGTGGCAGTAATAATAATGTACACAGAGGGAGAGGCTAGGCAAGACAAATGATCGCTGTTTCGGCCCCCAGTATCTAGATGGAGTCCTGTCATTTTCATCACAACCAGGCTCGGAACAATAATGATGAATGCTCAGAACATCGATGCTAGCACATGGCTCAAAAATGACGAGCATGTACGGAGTATGTAGGGCTGCAAGGCTGGGACTGCAGTGGATCCCTTGTCAAATCACGGCGAATTTGCGGCCTCAATTGGCAAAGCAGAAACAGAGAATGCGTCAAGAGGTTTCAACATGCAAGTAGAGTTCTTCCGGAAGCGCAGAACGCTCACATTTGAAAAAAGGGGTCAAGTTCAACTGGGTAGAACGCTGTTGTCGCTTATCTTTGCTCCATATTTCGTACGTTCTCTACATGTCCTTCGTAGAATGATCAGTTTTCCCCGCAGACAGCGTGTGCGCTGGCAAATTCTCATCGCTGGAAAGACACTGTTTCGCTCGGGTCTGTGTCCGGTAGCGAAATAGGCGATTGCTATCGATATGTTCCTGTAGCGAGTGCCACATTCCACCCGGCCAAGCTGTTGTTTCCTGAGGTCTACATCTGTGTGTACTCTGGATCCAGGTACTGTTCATGCAGTTTTTTGCGCTGCAGGAACTTTTTGAAGAGTTGATACTGCGGCTGTTGCAGACTGCCCATGTGATGAACATGCTATTATAGTTCGACCTGTGATTCCGTGGTTCGAATAACATGCTAGCTGTTCCATCCCGCGGATGATTCGTTGGCTAGTGAAAACCTAGGAGCTGGAGTGGAACTATAGAGCAGACAGCTCAGCGCTAACAAGCGCCGTCGCTCTACTTTCGACGCCCTGAACACCGATGCAGCAAGACCAGTCGGTTTGAAGGGAGCGTGGCTAAGACAGCGAACACTTCTTGAAGCGCCATCACCGTTGTAAGCTCAGGCGACTCGACGTTAACCGCTTGGCCCCCCTTTTTGAGGTTGTGCTCTGGCTGGTTGGCGTGCTGTCAAACCCCTGCCAATACCCTGCCTGGTGCAAGGTTGTTTAGTTTAACTAGCCCAGGGGTTTCAAGCAATCAAAACGAGTTTCTGTGCTCTGGTCCAGGGCCTAAGAGCTGGGATAGGAAATTGGACCAAAAACAAGCGAATCAACAGTTTTTGCTTCCCAGAAACCCGGATTCTTGTCTTCTCGGCCAACATGTTCAACCATGCAATTTTACAACTGTTCAAGGGCGTCTGCTCCATACTCCCTGCACCGCGCGATTATGTACTGGAACTAGAGGTATTATTTCTTTAGGGGTCTTCTTAGTCGAGATCTCTATTGTCGACGGTTTAGTTTAGGATGTTTTGAGAGAACGTGCACTTTGTGCTTTGGACACAGCGCCAAACAGACACAGCGGTGGTCCGCCGCTACGTAGTCTGGAGAGACATCTTGGTATGATGGAATCCAGTTCTACCCTGATACTTTGTGACAGAGGTTTTAGAGAGACACGGTGCTTGGGCTCAACCACAGAGTGAACACGTGTTTCGAGACTTTCGATCAACCCGTAACGAAGCTCTGAAGCAGCGCAACTGTTTCCCGTTTCGCAGTCGATGAATCGAATCAATCTGAAGAGAAGCACCTGGTTCCCTGGATCACAGTTGTTCTACTCTGGTGTTCCCCTGATGCTCTCTCCTTTTCTGAGCTCTGCCTGGATTAGGGAGCCAGGTCCAGGTGAGACAGTCGGCAAGCGGCCGACCACCGGCCGCACTGCGGGCTTGCTAGGACAGATATGGAGTCGAGGGACCCCAGGCAGCGGCAGAGCGGGCTAAAATATTAATCCCAAAAAGCTGGAGTAGCAGAGAGCCGCGTCATGCGAAGATAACGACGAGGCTGGATAGGGGCCACCTGTTGTCGGCGCATGCATGGCGATGTATAATAATGCGGCGGTGTATGCATGTTTGTAACTAGTTATGTAGCTCACGCATCCGTGCTGGACAGGCTGCCCGCTCCCGTGCGTGTTTCCCCTCATCCGATTCTCCAGATCCGTTATCAAGCCAGATTCGAAACCGCTCCAGAGCCACAGGCAGCGACTGGTGCCCAAGACACGAACAGCCAATTGCTGGCACGGGCGGGCGCCCGAAGGTTTCTTGGGCTCGTGTTAGCGCGGGACAGGAGACGGAAGTTTGATTGCATGGCATCCCCTGCAATCTCTGGGCCGGCCAGCACGGCTAGTCTGGTGGGCGGTATCGCGGTGGCCTGAGCCAGAGGGTTTTGGGATGAGCCGGACATGTTCTGGACGGCGACTCACACAACGGCTGCTTGATCGACCTGCCAGCTCGGCCCCTGGGCCTGATCCTCGCCCACGACACAGGTGTGACGGCGCGATGGATCTGGCGCGAGAGAAGGCATAAGGCCCTCAGGCCTGGATCGGCGGGCTTTATGCAAGGAACCACGGCGGCGCTGGAACGAGCACAGGCAGCGGCCGGCGGCGGGCGCAGTGGGCACGAGAAACCACCACGTTTCAGCTTAGCAGCGCCTGATTGTTTTGAAATGCTCCACTGCGATTCGTTTCGTGACGACGGAGTGGGCGCGAGGCAAGAAAATAATAATAATGTGGGCCGTGATGGGCCGCCAGGGTTGCGAGGCTGCGGCGGGCGAGTCCGCCTGCGTCCCGCGTATAATAATCGCCGGCCTGCGCCGCGTCGCTCCATCTTCTTCTCTCTCTCTCTCTATTGCTCTGGTCGCCGGCTTTACGCGCTCTCTTTTCCCCACGACTCTCTTTTTCTGCGGATTGACTTCGCACGCCATTCTTTATATCAAAAACTGCTCTTCAGCACTGGGTTGAGAGGCCTCTCCCCGTTCTCGTCGCACACTCGTCCAGACCATCCGCTCGTTGCATCGCAATCAATCCCCCCAGTACCTCTTAGTTACCAGAATAACCAGCACTACCGCCAAAATGCAAATCAAAGCCTCCATCGCACTTGTTGCCGCTCTTGCAGCCCTCGGCGAGGCCAATCCCCTCCGCCGTCGCCAGGCTGCCTCTCCTGTCAAGTTCGTGACTGTGCACCCCGTTGCCAAATTCCCAACCGGTGGCTCTGCCGCTGCTAGCGTCACTCCTCCGCCTCCCATGAACACCGGCGTGCCAGCTCCCAGCGGTCCAGCGGGGCCCCAGGAAACCATCGTTATCACCTACACTCTCGGCAAGAACTCGTCGAAATCTGTCGTTACTAGGACTGTCACCCGCCCCGGTGCCTCCCCATCTCCTGACGTGAGTGCCTGTAATCATGCCATTCTCATACCAGCAGCAAAACTAACATAGCTCGCTAGGTTGACATCAAGGTGCCCGTTGATTCGCCTGCTCCTGCTATTTCTAGTGACAACAAAGTCACTCGTCTCCAGACAAAGGTCTACCTCACGTCTACCACTACTGAAACGATCATATTGGCAAGCCCAACTCCTCCTCCCAATGGCGGTGGTGCCAATGCTGTTCCTGGCAATGGCAACGGCAACGGTAATGGCAATGGCAACGGAAATGGCAACAACTGCCCTCCTCCCGCCACAGTTTTCCGCACTATCACTGTGGTATGTTCTAAACGCGAAGCAAAATGTGCCTCATAATACTAACTGTTCATTTTCCAGTACGCACCTGGCCCAAGCCCTGCTCCTGGCCAACAACAACAGCCAGAAGTCCAGATCCCACAGAACCCACAGAACCCCATCAAGGTCGCCGATACTGAACCACAAGATTCGGAAACTCGTGCTCCCACCCCCGTGGTGTCTCCAACTCCAATCATTCCTCCCTTCCAAAATGGCACGTCCATCGTCATTCCTGCAGGTACTGGCACCGGAATCACTCTGCCCACCGGCCGATAAACTCGTACAAGCAAGAAGGAAAAATCTAAAACGGCGTTGTCAAACCATGGGGAAACACATCATCTCGTCCTCATCGTTCATGGGTTGAAATCTTCTGGAAGGATCGTCACACATCTTCTTTTGTTTTTTATGCTCCTTGCCGCATGTTGAGCTCTGTTTTCGCCTTAGAATCACCCGGGGACTGGATCCAGCAGCAGCGTTCGAGTTTTCAAAGCATTGCTCTGTTTTTTTCTATTCGTTCTGCGGGTGCGTGCCTGGGGCAATTTCTTTCAAACTGCCTTGAGCCTAGAGCCTTGCAGCCTTTTTTTCTCGCCAGGAAACGCTCGTGTTCGTCCTGTTCGATTCTATGTGTAATATTTAGATATTCTATGAATGCCCTTTTTTTTCCCCTATCTTTGTATGATGCGGACGTGGGATAGCAAAAATGCCGTGATGAAGCTAATACCATATCTCTGAATTTTTTTTAAACCACTTTTGACCTTGTGGTCTAGATTTCATCCTTTCCGACTTGTAGAGCTGCTTCCTCCCGCTCATTTGTGCATTATTGGCATTCCCAGCAAACTTTACATTATTGTTATTGAAATTATCCGCCTTGTCAGGGCCCTTCGCCCAACGTTTGTGTGGTTCCAGGGCACTCGCGCGCCTTGGCAGGCACCAGGAACCGGCTTCCGCCTTTTCCGATCTTCGCGCATCACCTTCCGTTGCCCTATATCGCCACCCACGTAAACGAGGAAAAAATATATATATAGAAAAAAATAAAATGAAATTGAAAAGTCGGTGATGGCGAAAAAAAAAAAAAATGAGAAAAAAAGAAAATACTGACTCTTTGTTCCCCGCTGTGCTACGCACGCACGCTCCGATGTCAGCCCGCCCTCAGGAAGCAGCAGTCATTAAATCCTACGGAGTACGGAGTACAGATTCTTACTCCGGTCGTGAAACAGCTTGGTCTTTCATATTGGCAATAACAACGATCTTATTAATATTATGTACTAGATAATGGCTTGATGACCGTCACCGCCGTCCCTCCGGGCGCTGATCTATCATCACGACATCAAATTCTCCTGCGATGTGGGATGGGTGGATCTCTCAGGCCCATCACTATATCGCCTCCAAATTAGCCATCGAGACGATGGAGTACTGTGGTGCTCACCAAGGTATTTATTCTCCATATATCTAACTAATCATCCTCCAGTCCCGTGGGTTTCTGAAATTTGCCGACCAAAAAAAAAAAAAACGGTATGGATCGCGGCGTGAAAGTCGAGAAGGCACATCCACACATTTTATCCACCGACTGCCGCTTGCGGCATAGCATCTGGACCCTCCGCGTTAAATCGCCGCCTCCAAGCGTGCCACTCCAGCCATGCGATACCTTGAAGGAGACAATCAGCTAAGTCGTCCACTTTGCCAATATCAGGCCTGGTATCATGATGACTGTCATATTTCTCCTCCGATTTTGCCACCGACGATGCTTCAAGCAGCGCCTTTGTGACAAGGGCTATTTCATCCTTATTTCTTCCTCTGCCCCATTTTTTGAGAAAGGCCCTGGACATGCCCATCACCTGGGTGTTTGTTGAGAGGTCGAGTTTCGCATGCTCACCTCCCCTGTCCAGCAGAGCGGCAGCAATCCACCGTCCAGCGATGCCAACTTTGGCTTTTTTGCCTTCCATCGATGTTACTTTCTTCCTCTTTCCCCCAGCCTCTGGTGCTTCTGCGCCTGGGTCTGTTTGTATCCAGTAGTCGACTACCCGTCGTGGCTCCACGCTCTGCACTTTGAAATCCAGCGTGTTGGACTCTCGTCTGAGCGCGTAGAGGATGGCGTGCAACATGCCCTCGAAGACGCCAACCCGAATGCTCCATTCCTGCACCGCACTCGCTCCTCCGCTGCGGAAACGCTGCCGTTCAATGAGGAAGTGAGTGGGTTGGTATGTCGAGATTAGCGATTTGATAAGCGTGTAGGCATGTGCGGCGTAGAGATCCGGCGCAAACGATTCTTTTTTCAGGATCGCCTCATTTGTCTCCTCATCCTCAGACCTCGAATTGCGTTTGTTCGACGTGCTGTGGCCAGGGCTAGATAATATCCCAGACGGTTGGCAAGAAGGATCTGGGAAATCCGAGATCACCAGCCGATTCCATGCATTGAGTATCGGTGGCTTGAATGCTTTAGATTTTGCATGTCCGCTTTCATTTATCTCTGGCTCAACAAGTAAATGCGCATAGGCCAGATTTCGAATTCCCATGTCGATGCTGAGGATGCTCAGCGGCCCGTCCTTTTTAGAGCTGGGCTGCATTTCCGCATTGGCGGTCGCAAATGCATTCGCCAGCCGGTCAGATACCACGGCTTTTCCTCCGGAGGACGCTGTTCCCGTTAGAAAAGCGACCCTGTGGAGCTGTGCAGCTTTCAAGGAAGAAAGCCATTCTAACTGCGAAAGAAGCGGGTAGGACACCCGCATGTTCCTCTGATATTCAAAGGCTCCGGGTACTCAGTTTTTGGGATAATTCGGTTATATATTTTTCTACCAAAGATCCTTGGAAGTAGATTAAATGTTATTGGAGTGCCCCGATAAAAATGGCAGTGTTTTGATATGTGCGTTTTTCTGGCAGAGGAGAACCCTGAGTGGATATACAGATTGACAAAATGACTAGTTACTAAGAAAGAGCCAAATGGGCTCCTTAGTTAAATATAAATACTAAATACCAGCAAAATCCTTATGCTTAATAGTTCGTGAAGTCAAGCCGGTATATGAATGGTTTAGCTACATGAGCACGTGATATAAATATTCAACCTTGGCTAAGGGAGCTAGCTGGCGGTGATGGAAAGACTCAAAGATATAGGTTACTCAAAGATATAGGTTTTCAATTGTTTATTATTTGACTTAATTGATTAAGGTACAGGTTTTTCTTTGAAGCTCTGTGAAGAGGAGAAAATGAAATGAAGTGTATGTAGCATTTTGACACTTTGCAAAGGGTGGGGTATAAATGTTTTGAGGGCAAAAATGACCCACGGGGTTTATCGATCTGTAAAAAGGTTGGGTGAGAAGGTACCTGGAAACCCATAAGATATCTTCACGGATAGTAAGGGGGGAAATAGGTCAAAGCCAAATATCAACAGCTGAAAACAACAGTGAAGCCTTTCAATGAAGGGAATTAGTCTATGTCATAAAATCATTGTTTTTGGTAGTGGAAGCCCAGCAAATGTTAGCTTCCACCATTTTCCAGCTGATGCAAAAGCAGGCGTTGCTGAGCATCATAGCTCAATCTCTTCCCCTCATAATATACCGGTTGATATGGATCTCGAGTGTATAAAATCGGGCCCCACACCCTCCAATGTAGCACACCAATGTGACAAAGCCGCTTTGCAATATTTTCAATATCCCTTAGTCGATCTTCTGATCTGCCGTCTGATCTTGTACATGGCTGGTCTTCGCACATGTCTAGTGAGGACATATCCATGTAGCGTCTAGCAGTGACAAGTACTTCCTCTTCCAATCTCTCCTGGATAACGCACTGAAAGTGTTTGTATTGTCGTGAATGTGAGGCAAAACATGACTCGAGCATCTTTCCGGCAAGAAGTAGAACGTGTTCATCTGGCAAAGAGGAAGTAGCTCCCTTACTTTCGGCTTCTAGGTCTGAGATGGTGCGAGCAATTTCTAGGGCAATGGAATCGATATTATTTCGCCATCGTTGGTCGTCAATTGTGTCGGGGTCTCGATTGTCAGCGCAATCCACAATTGACCATATATGCGACTCCAGTTTTAGATAGACTTCCCGATTTCGCGGAATATGGCGAATGTGGCTAGTAGCAACAACATCGAAGACGTGGATGCATATCTCGAAGGCAATCAAATCCTGCACATCATATCTCAGGCCCCAAAGTCGACCAGTGTCAAATTCGAAAGTCTCAGGAAATGCTGATGGGCTATTGAAACATAGTAGGAAATGAGATAGGCCTCGAAGAAGTGTTGTGACATTGTCGAATTCGGCCCATTCTGGAGGTGGTGTCTGGTGGTAGACTTGTTCGTACATGTAAACAGCATGAAACCATTTTCTGGCGCTCTCACCGTGTATCGAATCTTGTAAGAGTCGTCGCAAAAAGTATATTTGTAGAAATCGAACCGTGTCCTCGATTAGGATCAGCCGAAAGGCGCGTATCTGATGATTGGCCACATCCTATTCAAAGTCAGGGCGTTAGTCTTGTGAGAAGTTCAGATCGCATATAAATGACTGACCAGTTTCATAGCTTCCAATATGCAGAATAAGGTCTTTATCCCTTGCACCGCTTTCGCCATGTCCATCGATGCAAACCCACCTTGAATTTCGTTTACCATTTGATCCGCCCACTGGTCTCTCATTGGGGCACAATGTGATTTCAACAGCTCTGCAAGCCAAAGAAACAGGCCAGTAATATCCAACACACCTTTCTCAACCTGCTGCATGATGAAAGGGATGTCCAGGTTTTCAGCTATCCCCATATGATCTCGTTCCGGTACAAGCGTCCAGAGCACATCCTTTAAAGTCTCCAGCATGCCAGGCAGTCTCGGCTCGAAGTAAGCCTGTGGCTCATTCGTTCGTGAGTTATCGTTATCCTTGCGACCCTCGGGAGACCCCATGTATGTGTAAATGGATATTTCGAGGGCGACAGCCTCCCAGTACCCTTCCGCTAACCGACGCTTTTCCTGACCTTTCTTTCCGTCCACGGGGCGAAAGTGTAAGTCGCGATCGAAATTCACGTCAACCCGCAGATTAATATTTCTCAGAATATGATCCAGATCTAACTCGCTGAGAGTGCCTTTCGTGACAGGTGGTAACCGCTCTGCAGATTGTAGCAGTTGCAGGCTCCTTTCATCGAGTGACATGCGCGACGGAACTGGAACACCCATAGTCGTTGGTTTGGGTTTGGTAATAGCTAGGGCAGAGAAGGCATGGTGATAATAGTTGTATCGCGATGACAGAACATGTTGTAGCCGTCCATTTCCCTTATGGAGTTTGCTTTTGCGTGAGGGTGACGAATTCGTAGAACAGTCTCTCGAATCTTGCTTGGGAACAGTCTTTGAATCCTTCCCAGGCCACCATTCACCACAATCAGAATCCTCATCCTCTTTCTCGTGCGGTCTCCTTGCGGGTTCCGCCTTTGGTTTAAGATTCATTTGTTTTAGGGTAAAGTGCAAAGATTATGACAAAAAAAAATAAGAAATAAAAAGTAAATGGAAAGAAAAGGAAATGGAAAGGAAAAGGAAAAGGAAGATTCACACAATTTTTGTCTGAAGCGATGGATAAACAAATGTTATCACAGCACTGAGTGTCCAAGACAGAAAGACGTTCTCGCCTAGAGTGACGCGAACACCTTACACCACCTTGGGGAGTACAACACTCTGTATAGATACTGCTAAGAAGAAAAAGGAAGGTACAATTGAAATTATGGGAGAGAGAAATGGGGTAGAAAGTCACCTTCAGAGGAAGGGGTCTTTCAGAGAACGTGGAGTGGGCGGCTGCGGTGCTGAATATGCCTGACGCAGCTAAAAAGAACCCAGTGCAAAACGACAAACAACTTGTGAGGACACACAAGTTAGATCAAAAGGAGGGCACAAGCGATAAATGATACGTCTGCAGAAGGCTTCAAATCAGCTCGTATTCTTTGGCATTTCTTGTTGGGTCAGGAAGAAGGCATGGCATTTGTTTCTCATCAGTTTGGTACAAAAGGATTCCGCAAAAAAGATGTAAAAGACACGGGCGGGAAGCAAGAGTCCCAACATTTAAAAGCCCTAGGGCAGGCGGATCACGAAAAATTCTCATTGGCTTTCCCACCCTGTGCTTTTTTAAAACAAGAACCCACCAATTGCGTTTGTCGACAATGACGATGGAGGCATGCAGTAGCTTTCATCAGAGCAAAAGTGAGGCGGCGAAGGACTGGACCTCGGTGGTTCACGCAACTCAAAAAAGACTTGGCGGGCGAGCGCTGGCATGGCACCAGGCAAAGCAACTTCAGACCAGCCAGCACCTTGGTGTTGGCCATTTCACCAGAATGAATTTGAGAATGCACGACCCATTTGTATTTGTATGTTGTGGCTGTTTTACATTGGTGGTGAGTGGCTGCCATCAACCACACACCGACGCCCAAGACGCTGGAGGGATCTCGGTGTGTCTTCGGGATGAGTCAGCGGTGATGCACAGGGGAAACGGAACGGCCCCAGGATGATTGGGGGCAGGCCACTGGCTTGACTAAATCCGGAGCCGAATTCCACCGTCCCGGGGGGTTTTGGGTTGTGAAATTGATAGATCGACTGTTGACTGTGGAATGGCTGTAAAAAAGTTGGATGCGCCAGCATGCGGGTGTCCGTTGTAGGCTTCCAGGCAAACAAAGCCAGGTCACAGTGCCCAAGGGCATTTCACCGACGGGCATACAAGGCCCTAGGATGTCATAATTTATAAAGATCCGGAAACTCCCCGTTATGGGCCGCAGCAATCACAATCCTGCCAGCCCTGCAAGTAGCCACATGGGGGCTCATTTTCACATTGCCGTATGGCTTAAATGCCGGGAGGATTGTACAATGTTCCGGCATTGACATCCTCGCGATGATTGCTCGCTTCAACCGAATCCACGGTCCATAACGGTCAAGAGCACCGTTTTGCGCCATAGAGTGCCAGGGCAAGGGAGTGAATATGCAAACCCCTGTGCTCACTTGGATTTGCCGTCGTGCACTCCGTACACCGTACCAGCTTCGTGCTACTGAAAAAGTTGATACGCAATGCGGAAGTGTGGATTCTGTGGGACAAGGCAGAGGGCCTGGAAACCTGGCTGCTGCGGCTCGATTAGCTTTAACTTGATCTGGTTGAGATTCTTTTAACTATAGAGCAGCAACGCAAGCACAGCTTACTGTTCCTTTAGCATAGCCATAAATCATGCCATGAGTACCATCGGGAATTCCCAGTCAAGCCGCTTAAAACATCACGCAGGGCTTGAATGAGGCGCAAGTTTAACGCGCAAAATCGACTGTAGCCCGTCAACAAGGCCAGCGGCGACAAGCACCAACCAAAAACGACCAGTAGAAACCCTGAGCCATGCAGGGAGGGGGGAATTGCGCGCATAGCCTATCGGCCGGGCAGAAGCTGGCTAGGCGCATCAAAGAGGATCGCGGGGAAGCTGGACAAAAGGATGGCTCCCCGCATCACTTGCGTTGCCTGGCGGCTTGACGGAGCATATTGACCCACGCATCCTTCATGGCAGGCCAGCGCTGATCCGCTGCGCCTTAAAATAAGGCATCGTCTGCCCACGCATCCTGGTGGTTGTCGTCAAGCCAGCTTCCGGCGCGGCGCTACGACGGTTGTTGGCAAGTGCAGTAGCTAACTAACTAGTTAGTAAGGGCTTGCGAACCCAGTGACCACATCATCGATGTTGCCGCAGGTTTCAACCAGCGAACGCCCTCAGCCTTGGAGTCTGGCGTCCTAGCTGCACAGCAGCGTTCTGCCGCTTGAAAGAGAATCTCCCGTTTGTGCGGCCGGTTTCTTTGTTGCGTCTGACGCGTTCGTTTGAGCCCTCGTGATGCCGTATCAAGGCCTGCAGACGCAGTGCTCTGTCCTCCGTTGCCAACTGGATCGAGTCTGGACAGCTTGTGGTTGAGCTTCGGATGGCTCTCAATGGAATATCCGTCCAGGTGTTTGACCTTGCGCACCCCACTATCATAACGATTCTTCGTTTGCCGACCGTTCCGCGGGTGATGCCGGCTGCGTGCAGGGTAGAGATGCACACAGAACTGGCTGAGCTATCAGGCCCCAAAGCAAAACGTAGGTAGTCACTTCGTTTCTCCCGTAAGACGCCTCTCCCAGGCTGTGCCTTGCTCTGCAGGGCTATCTTCCCGTGCCTCAAGCTCCCATACCGGCTATTTCCCAGCCATCCCCGGTTTTCTTCGGTTTTACTCGCCTCACCTGTGGCGAATTCTCGGATCTACATCAATGTGGAGATATGTGCAGCATCATCGCACAGACAGACTCGACCTGTTTCATGAGGATGGCGGCGCCTCGAATTTGCTCATGTGGCCTGACATCTGAGGGTCGTGATCCGTATGGCCCTATGGCTCCTTAAGGCGGGACTATGGAGGACACTGGAGTGTTCTTTACCCTTTTCATAAAAACTTATATTAGGTTAGGAACAGTTCTGATTAAACGTGAGGCACCGTCATTCGTTTCGTGCCCTAAACTTGAGGTTGATTGCCCCAGAACTCGATTTAACGGTGTTGACCCGAGATCGTGCATAGCTGCGGTAACATTCCATCGAGTAGAACGAATCGTCGATCGCAATTCATCGGCCCCGAAGCCTGGATGCACCTTGTGCGATCCAATTATAGAGCGTGCATCGCGAAAGCTGTGCGATCAAACGATTCGATGGCAGGCTAACAAAATTATCCCAATCACTGCATGCTGCAGATCACACAAAATTTATTCTACTTGCGCCTTTGTAAGGAGTTAGTTAGTTAACTAGATGGTTTACTTTCATGCACCTCTTCTTACCTCTGGACCTTGAAGTCTTCTAAAATCGTGGTCATTGTTGTCTGCTTCCCCAGCTCCCAACAAATCGACAGCCACACAAAAAGCACGCCATACCTGAACTCACATATTTAGATGAGGAGCATTAATAATTATTGAACGCCTTCTCTTTCATTTCTTCTCGGAGTGTTCTTTTTTTTTTATTTTTTGCCCCTGAATACTGTCTGCTAGCTGCTTGCGTCGTGTTGAAATTATTGCTCGTCCACACAACCCTAACGGGTCGCCTCCTTATTGATATCCCCTTTGGGAAATCGACTCTTTACTCCTCCTCGACTTGGTCTGATTGAGCTGTATTCAATGAATAAGCTTGCTGCGAGAAGCAAAATGTCTACATGCCTCTCTTCTCCAGTCAGGAGCAGCTCTGTTCTTCAATGTTTCCATTAACAGTTTCTTAATCTTTTAATTTGGCCATCATTTCTACGTTTACCACTCAAAGTTGTTAAATAAACACAGGAGCTCTCAGGCTAGCAATATGGTACTCAAAGCTTCTATTACCTTCGCCCTTGCGGCGGTTGGGATGGCCGTGGGAGCGCCACCTCCAATCTCTTCTGGAGTTAGCTGGAGGACGACATTTATTCCAATTCCGGTCAATGATATCCCCTACAAAGTGCCCAGCTGGAATGGAGTTGAAGACCGTGGCGACTCTTTAAAATATGCCGTCAATTCACTTCCGGATAGCCCGCCGATTCCTCCAAGTTGGGCAGGCCGTATTGGTGTTCCAGGGGAGTCTGTAGAGAATCAGATGTTCTTCTGGCTGTTTGAAACGGAAGATAAAGCATATGATGAACAGCTTATCAGTGAGCCTTCTCTTCAGTTGCTATAATCTGGGTTGACCAGAGTTGACGAAACAACATTTCTAGTCTGGTTAAATGGCGGTCCTGGCTGCTCGTCTATGATTGGAGCTTTTGCGGAGAATGGCCCCCTCATGTATGGAAATTCAAGCAAAATGGAACAGAACCCATTTTCCTGGACCAAATTAGGCCATGTCCTCTACGTCGATCAGCCTGTTGGGACGGGTTTCTCCATTGCGGGTAATCCAACTCCTGCCGTGAACATTGAAATGGTAACAAATCTCTTCTACAAATGGCTAAGGCAATTCTTCACTACTTTTCCCCATTTACGCCAAAAACGAATCCATTTGACGGGGGAGTCATATGCGGGAATTTATATCCCATACTTTGCGGAGCGCATTCTCAAAAATAATGACGAATTTCTCATCGACCTGACCTCCATTGCAATTGGAAATGGAGCAATTGGTAATAATGTTGCTATGTCCGATGTAGTTGCTGGGGCTTATATTCGAAAGAAAGCTGGCGACCTGAAAATTTCTCGGGATATCATTGATGCGTTTACTGAAGCAGAACGTATCTGCGGCTTCGACTCGGTTTTAAAAAATGGAACCCAATACCCTCCCAACGGTCACTTCTACCTTCCCCAAACTCTCCACAATGCATCAGGTTTCACAGGAGACCAAGATTGCAATATCAAGCCAAAGACTCCTAACGCGGTTCTCTCCTCTATCCTCAACTCTACATGCTACGGACAATGCGCCATCTACTCCACCGCTCGTGACCACATCGACGCTATCAGAGAAAAGGACTGTTTCAACATGTATAACATTGATTACAACTGCCATACTCCAAACCCCCTTATTCCCCTGACTAGCTATCTCAACCGTGCAGATGTTCAGACTGCCCTAAATATTTTACCGTCGAAGCAAAACACACCTCATCGCTTCGAAGTCTGCAATCAAACTATTCTCGATTCCCTTTTTTCTCCTTTGATTCGGCCAATTCCGCCAGCAGAGTCAATCCTCCCTTCGATCCTCTCGACATACAAACTACCAGTTCATCTCTACCAAGGCCAGCGTGATATGGTCATAAACCATATTGCCGTAGAGCTCGCCTTGCAGAATATGACTTGGAACGGCCACCAAGGCTTCCAGAAACGCCCAAGTATTCCGTTCGGATCAAAAGTGAACATCGGAAAGAAAGGAGAAGTTAAAGACCCATCTATGGTCGCACTAGCTGGTCTATGGGCGTATGAGAGGGGGTTGACCTACCATCTTTTCAGAGACGCTGGACACGGTGTGCCTAGAGATCAGCCCGAGGAAATGTGGCATTATATTAAAAATGTGATTGATGGTGCCTGGAACGAGGGTCTCTTGAGAGGGGAGAGGGTTTTCAGTGCTTGAATATAATGTTCTCGGTTGTTTTTAGTTTTTTTTATATTGTGTCTGTTGGTGGTTGCGAGCACTCGATACAACTTTTGTTTTAAGTAATCTGCGTATCCCTTCTTAGTCTTATTCCCAAATACTCTTCTCACTTTTCATCTTTCTAGCTACCCACTAGGTTATATAGTTTACTTCACAATTTCTTCAAATAGCCAATCACTCTGCTACCAATAGGGATATTTGTGCGCCTTAATATCTACGTCTTGCTACTCACTCACTGAAGACATGATGTGCATACCTTTCAAGAAAGTGTTTTCCAGCAAACTATACACTCTCAACCATGGAACCACGTGTATCTAAATAATTGGCTTCGCTATGTTCAAAAATTACTATCTTGACAACAAAGCCATCGACAGGCCTAAAGGGCATATTTTCTTGGTCAAGATCTCGATAATCGTAAAGTAAGTAGCTTTGAAGACGAAGAACGCCCCATTTTGCCCAAAAACCAGCACACCCTCGGCTAGAGGCAAATCAACAAAGGACAAGTCGAACCAGAGATTACTAAATCAATAAAACACTGGCAATGCTGACGTTTAAAATTGCAGAGTGAACAAGTAACGACAGACAAGCAACCCATACTATTTTCTTTGGCCGTCAAACTTGCATTAATCCCATTCAAAACAAAGCGAGGCGAAGTCAGAAAACTAAACTCCCAGAACCGACCGATGTGGCTAGATGCAAATCAAAATTAAACAGTATATAAATATCCAAAGATGCCTGCGTCACATAAAGCCGTAATATTAAAAAAAAGAAAAAAGGCAAAAACAATGGTTAGGGGATCATCGACCTGGTATCTGGATGTATTATCAAGGTGTGCGGCAAAGATAAATCGACAGTTAGAGTAGGAGAACGAATTCGGCCGTTGTAGCGAGGGTGCCACATAAGGGTATTGACACCTGTAGATTTCCTATCGACGAATGAATAATGGTGCTGGCCCTGACATGGAGAGCAATGAGTCTGCTCTTTCGTATAAATTCCCTGCAAAAAATCGATCACTGCATGCGCTCACGGGAACAGCAGGAACAGTCGCCTGTGCTGCCGGGCCCAAAGCAGCACTTAGAGGTGTTGCTGGCATCGTGATAGATTGCGGTGAGGACCCGGCAGTCAGAGCGATTGAGGCCGTCGTTGTTGTAGAGCCGTTAGTGGAATGAGAAGGGGCCTGTGGGTGATGAGATTGCGAGGATTGTGGGAAGATGGATGACGGATTCGACGTGTTCAATTCCGCAAGATATGACCATGGAGAAGTGTCTATTAGCCTGCCTGCTTCTCTGCTAGCCTTCTGAACCGGCCTTAAAATGGCGACGATATCAGGAGGTAGTAGGCGCAAGTTTTTAGCTTCGCGCATATCAATCACTAGTTCAACAAAAGACTGTAAAAACGTCTTGCATAACTGCCAAAATTCTCGCTGGTTTCGCATTCCACCATTAGGCTCCTTTAACTTCATTGTGGAAAGACGTGCTTGCAGTGCTTCTGAGACATTGGTGCAAGTACGACAGCGAGTAATGAGTTTACTTAGCAGAGAATGTATGGGCTGCGGAGCTTTTGTCGTCTCTGCTAATTCAAGACATTGCGAAAATTGATTGGCAACGACTGGAACTGCTTGCAATACGGACCGATAAGCAGCGGTGAGTTGAACGAAAATCTTTTCAAAAATCCGCTCTTCTTCATATTCATCTAGCCCGGTCATTGGATTAATGCGGTTGGCAGTAGAGGTGGAAGCAGTGCTAAATGATTCGCCAGACCGAGGGGTATTAGCAAGCGACGATGGTCCGGATGACGTCAAGAGGGTATTGGACCGGCTGCTGGACCGGCTTCGTGTGCCGATGCTGGAGTTCGAGCGCCAGGCTTGGCTTGGGGGGTTAGGAGCACCATTGGGAGCACTGGGGGTTGGCAGATTGAGAGGAATAGATGTAGGCATCTGAGCTTGAACAGTCGTTTCACTTCTGAGTCGCCTCACCGGCAGAGGGCGCTCTCGGGCTGGAGGAGTAAGGGATTGGTCGGAAGTCTTATTTGGAGGTACCTTCTTAGCTGTATCGGACAGAGACTCTTTGGTAACGTTGGGCTGAGTCTTTTCATTCGGATTGATGCCCAAATTGACGTAAACATTGCGCAGTTCCGTAACGCTACCGTATATCATAAGAAGTAACGACCTGACATATCTCTGATCAACAAGGGACACGATTTTCGCGAGACTATGCCTAAATTGCGTAGCAACATGGACATAGGCATTGATACAGGTTTCACATTCATGCCTTACGGCATCCGACATTCGTTTGGCGGTATCTGGATCCTGCAAGTTTGCCTCTTTCGTCATTTCGAGCGCCTCATTCAGCTGTTCAAGATGTGTGGATGCATTGTAGAAGACAATTTCAAGTCTTGCCTTTCCGCATTCCTCACCTCTGATAACATTTATTACCGAGGATATATGCGGATGCACCTGGTATAACGCAAATAGTAGAGTTTTTGCCGCCTCAATCACGGGAATTTTTATTGTCGTTGATACTTTGTGTTCTGGTAAGCTCGACATGCGACGAACGAATCCGTCGCATGACTTCTTTCGACCCTTTGGGCTATTTGGGCTGGAGTCATTGCTGCTGCTTGAGTTGGCGCTATGTTGATTTCGAAGAAGTGAGCCGTGACTTAATCCGCGCAAATGACTATTACGATAGGGTCGAACCTCATCGAGAGTGCCCAGATCGTTCATTCGATGAAGCAAGCCTAGCCGTTTGTTGTGTAAAGAGGCTGCGCCTTGAATTACTCCTTCGCTGTTACTTCGATTTCGTTCACTAGCGGAAGGAAATCTGAACCGAGTTATGCTATTATGGGCGAAATTGTTTTGACTCGATGTGATTCGGTGGTGGGAGCGAATCGGAATGGGTGGTGGTCTGGTATATGAAGGAGACTTCGAGTCTTGAGACGAGCTCGTCCCATTACTACGTGGAATGACCGGGAATCGGGCGTTGCCTCTCCTAGGTGGCTTCGGGGTGTCCATTATACTATCACTTAAAGCAATGTTAGCATTGACAATGAGATAGAAAAGACTTAGCATACTGTGTATCCGATATACTCTCAATATCAATAACTGGCTGTCTGCTTTTTAGATATCTCTTTAGTTCTGCAGTTAATGCACTTTCTTTTTCAGCATCTGTCATTTCAGTCATTGCTATCTCCATTTCTTTCAATTCTAAAATCCGCTTTAAAGGTTGAGTTAAGCAATTTCCAGACACTTTCAGCACTTGTAGTTTGCTCATTTCGGATAGCTCGATAGGAAGATCTTCTAGGACATTCTGCATAACCGAAAAAACTCGCAAGGATGTGAGGTTCCGAATTTCCCCTGGAATTGTGGCAATTTTATTCCGGCTCAAATCGAGAATCTCGAGGAAGGAGAGGCTGAATACCTGCGGGTAGTACGGCCCGCATTAGTATGGTCGCTTCATGTGCAGGGATGAAAGTAAACTTACTCCTTTTGGAAATTCTGTAAAGCCATTCGCTCGAATATTGAGGTATCGTAGGTGAACACATTCTTGGAATCGGGAGGGTATGCGATCTATATAATTGTTGGACAAGGATAACCTATCCGAGAAGGGTAAGAAACATGGAATAAAACGGTGCTTGAGTGTAGCACCTAAGGAGTGTGTCTTACCTAGCAACTTCGTCCTTGATAATATCTACGATCTCATCAGGCACCCAAGAAATGCTTTTGTGTCCAAGATCAATTGTTAACTTTGGGCGAACCGCATCGCCCACCGCTTCGCTACCCGCCAGAGACCTTTTTGTTTCCTGCAGGCCATTTTCAACGGCACATCTAGCTAGGCGCAATGTCTCTTCCCGGCTGAGGACTTTGGAAGGGGGTGGTCGGTTGGCTCGCGCTGGTGGAGTATCGCCGCGAACGGGAGGACCAAGGTTAGATGCAGATCCGCTGGTGTAGGACTGTTGTTCTTTCGTATCTTCGGGATTGTCACCTCGAACGGTTCGAGAAGGCCGTAGGGCCTCGTCGGTGCGGCTCATGGTGGTGGAACCGTTTCCAACGATGCCAGGGAGCCAGCAAGGAGTTTTTCACAAGAGAAGGCGGACCCAGACGAAGATAAAAATTCAGCTATTGGTTTTCAGTATATCCCAAACGGCTCGAAGGGCTGCACGAAGGCATGCGAAGCGACATAATCAGGGCAAGGAGGAGCGTATTCCTTTTGAGTTTCGACGAAAGACGGCGTCGCATGCGGGAGGAAATGCGTAGAAGAGTCGGACTGAAGACTGCACAACCATTCCCTAGAAAGTTGACCAGTAGAAAGCGCCGCGAGGTTGCTGCGTTATCGCCTGATTCTCAAGCGAACTGACCATCCGAGGGTTCAAAGCTGGTGCAGCGTGTTACCGGGCTGAGACATTCAAGGGTAAGTAAGCTCATGAACCCAGCAGAACAGGCACGGCCGCAACCAGAATGCCATTACTCTGCGAACTTGAGTAGGCCGGAAGTGCTGTCGTGTTGATTTGCTGGTGGCTTGAGAGAATTGCGCTTTGCCCCAGACGCAGCGAATGATCGCCATCCGACCGTCAAGGCGTCTCGCCGTGTCGTTGTGGCGGCGACTTGAAACAGCGGGTGGTCACGTGGTAGACACCAAGACTCACCCAGCCGGGCCCAAGGACGATGACGAGGCAGCAGACAGAGTAGGAAAAGATTGAGGAGAGCATAGAAAAGGAATAGCAGGAGGAGAAGGGTTGGAGGGGCCCATCATGAGAATCAAGCGCGTGTTGTACAGGAGTTTACTATGGCAAAGGTATCTATGTAGTGAACATTACATGCAAAGCACGATCGGCAGCTGCGGAACGCGCCGTCACCTTGCTTATGGCTGCGGAGGCTCTGGCTGCTCCATATCAGACTCAGCCTCGAGTAACTCCTCGGCCGCCGGCTCAGCATCGAGAGCAACACCCGTGAAGGACGCTGTACGTTGCGAAGCTAGCTGCGACTCTCTATCCGCCCATTCCCTCCAGACCTCATACATCTGGTCTTCCATAGCCATTCCAGTAGTCAACATGTCTGGGCCAAAGTACGCGCCCGTGGCCATAGCTTCTTCCTGCGCAATCCTCCGCTCAATGTCCTCCTGTAGTCGCAAGTTGTAGAATTCCCGGCGGGCAATATCGTAGGCCTCGCCTTTGGTAATGTCGGGAACATTGTTCAGGAGATATAATTGGCGTTGGATTACACTGAAGCCAATCAGCAGTCGGAAATATATAGAACCAAACACGCATCGCCTACCTCTCACCATCCAGCTGCTTCCCAGGCTGCTGTAATTTCGACCAGTCATACTTTGCATGATCATTTCCGGTGGTTTCGACAAGTATTCGTGGTCGAGCAAGCTCCCACGGATGGTCTTGGAAGAATCGTTTCCGCAGTTGGTCCTCTTCGTAGCATATAGGTACCGGCTGAAACATACGGCTGGCCTTTCTTTTTCTCTGTGGCCTCTTCTGAGTCTCGAAAACTGTCTGAGGCTTCGATTGTCCCGGAACTGTCTTTACTCTTTGCTGGACAAGCTCATGTTGTTGTGGTAGATTTCGGATGAGAATCGAGCTGGGAGGGACTTCGAACATCACATCGGTCCAGCATGGTGTGTTCGCAATTTTACCAGCCAGGTTCTGAGAAATCGCTGTTTTCCTAACACGGAGAGCGGTCAGGTTAAGTTTTCCCATTTCTTTCCAGCGTCTTCTAAGGGCGGCGCAGCCCACGAAGATTATGGTTCAAAAACGGGGTCCGTGACTTCGAAAGCGGCTGGGGATGGATGCTGGGGTTCTTGAGGTGCGATCGAGAGAAATCTGGTATTGCTCATGGAATTGACTGTGTTACCGACAAATTGTTCTCTAGAAGAAAAGCTCATCTGAACCAAGTCCACTCTCAGAGGATTCTGGCCAATCAGAGCAACGGAAAGTGATGACCATCAAATTTTTGGAAACTCATTGCGCATCTACGCTCCAAATCCTCAACAAGCTCTCCAAGGAGCCATTACGGTGGCTGACTGGATATTGACTACAGACGGGTTAGCTTTAAGCTGTCTTGTTCTTCTTTGGGCATAAATGTCTCTTTGTGTGCCATGATTTCCCCCTAGACCTACGCTCCCAGCCCGACAAACGCGATGTTATCCAACTCATGCCTCTCTTCCGGTACTTGGAGGGCCAGCCCGGTCAAGCTACTAGTACTACCTATTCCCATGCCGTTCGCTCCATCTACTGGCCAGAGGGGCATATTCAGACCCCTTCATCTCGGCCACCTGGCCTGCCATCCCGACGACCTAAAACTCGCATTTTCTCCTTCGCAGACGTCTTCATCAATTCCCTGGTTATAGCCGGATATTGTAAGAAGCACTCTCCGTGTCCTAGAGAGTCCTTCTTGAGTTCGCGGAAGCATTATTCAACTGCAGCGGCAACCCAGACTTTCACGTCAATGAAGTCCTCGAGACGGTTGTCTAATACTGGCTTTCAGGAATCTAGACCCGTGTTGTTCAGGCAGGCGCAGCTTTTTAAGGATGAGAAAAGGATATTTTTGTCTCTTAGATCCAGTTTACCGGCCTGTGTCCCCCTAAACGCCAGTGCGTATCTTGCCGCTCGACGAAATCCCAACCCAAACTATCGGGCTCTATTTTCTTATTTCTATAACACGCTCGGATATGAAGAAGGTACAAGGAGTCTAATGGTTGCATTATCCAATCCAAATTTGGACATGCGAGTTTCCAGACCAGAAATGCAGGATGGTGCCGAACAGGGTGATTATGAGAGTGCCCAAACCCAACACCTTGTATCTCTGTTACAAGACCGTTCAAGTTCGAATGAAGTTATATTTAATGCATACACATCTCTTCCCGCGCCGAGAATCACATATCTCTCCCCTCGCTACCGCACAACTCTTCTCTATCGTTTCGCAAAGCCTCGTCAACGCGATCCCGTGGCTGCTCTACGCTTTCTAGGTATGATAGATGACATGTGCAACGCGTCGCTTGATATGTCACCTTCCCTGTGGGCGTCAGCGATCAGTCTCGCTGGGAAAAAATTAGATAAAGTGTCAAAAATTTCCTTTCAAGCTGCACTTGATGTTTGGCGGCGAATGGAATTTGAAGGGAAAGTCGATAGCAATTGTGTTGTGTTCAACATACTTTTTGACCTAGCAATTAAAGCAGGCCAGTTCAAAGTGGCCGATAAAATTATTCTGGAAATGCAGAATCGCAGGATCGATTTCTCTCGCTTTGGAAAAGTGACGCAAATATTCTATCTTGGAATGCAGGGGGATGCCGAGGGAGTCCGCAAGGCATATCATGACTTCGTTAAATCAGGTGAACTTGTTGATACGACGGTCCTGAATTGCGTAATGACGTCCCTGGCTCGCACAGGCCACATGGAACTAGCCGAACAGATGTATCGTCGTATGCAGGCTGTTCACAAAACAGTTTTTGGGGAAAATAAAGGCTTCAAATACGGTTCATATTCCTTACCGTCTAAAGATTATGCTTCATACAGGGAGGCGAGCAAATATATTGGCCGAATCCTTGGGGTTGCTACCTTTCTACATGATAAACTTCCTGAGAATCATCGAAAACTACAAGCATCTTTACCCTTAACGCCAGATGCAAAAACATTCCACATTTTTCTTTCATACCATGCATATATATCTGGTGATTTGCAGCGCTTCCTCGGCTATGTGGGTGACATGGAAGACACCCTCGAATTCCCCCCTAAAGATATGGTTTATGTACTCTTGTTAGAAGGCTTTGCGAAACATGGCGGCGCGAAAAACTCCCCCTGGAACTATAAGCGACTATCACGAACCTGGGAATCGTTTCTTAGTGACTTACAAAAGGGAAAGCAGGCGCAACGGAACAGGATATTGCCTCACTTGGACCGCAACACGCTGGAACATAAATGCTCTGATACCTTCATATCTTTGCTAAATAATGTCAAAGACAGGGAACCAAGCGTTCTTGATGACAATGTACCTCTTACGGCCGGCTATACCACCGACATATCACACCTTCATTCGAATACCAGGGAGAGTGGTGAAGACCTCGATCAACTTTATAATAGTACAGGTGATGAAAGCAATGAACCCATTGAAAGGAAAGGCTTATACCTTGGCCAAAGAATCATAATTGCGTGCCTTAAAGCACACTTTTTACATGGCGGGCCAAATGCCGTTTTCCGTGTATGGCATCAGATCGCCCCTCTCTGGCAAATGGAGTCTCGACGTCTCAAAGAAATTTACGCGGTGAACGATGTGTTATCCGACCTTTTGCGCAATAGACGTGTTTAGCGGGCATTTCAAGGGTGTATCATCTTTTTTACTATCGGCCATACTTTACTTCTGTGCTATATGAGATTTTGGGACTTTCGAGAAGCATGGAAACGCCCTTGCCATCAATCCATCTGTATTCTAGAAAACTCACAAGGCAAATTATGATCAACTATATGATATTCCAGATTTATCTTCATCAAGTGTGTTTATATGCTCCGTATTGTTCTATCTTCTCGATTTTCATTTTTGAATCATCCAAATTGGAGAGCATATGTGTCCTATGCGTGCTCCGTGCATAAGTTACGAACCCAGAAGTGTCAAAACAAATATATGAATCAAATGAGGATGGAAAACAGCCCTTACCTCTGCTTTTGTACTTTATTTTTACTGGGCTTCACAAGCAAGACATGCAAGCTCGATAGCGCTAAATTATGATCTGCCCGGCTGCTGTTTAGCACCAATGGGCCAGACTGCAAGGTTGATAGTGAACTATTCTCCACATGACTGATTTTCAGCTTGCAGGGTTAATGTCATATCATCACCTCAAACTCAGTAAACATTAGTTACCTGTCGTCATTACAATTGACCAATGCCATAATGCCATTTCAGAGGAAAGCATACCCTACGCCTCTTACCATTCCGCCATTGACTCACCATACTCACACCCTGATCTTGCTTCACGGGCGAGGTAGCAATGCTGAACGATTTGGACTAGAACTTTTACAGTCTACAAGCCTACCCGCTCAACTTCCTTCCGTGAGGTTTATTTTCCCTACGGCAAGCAAAAGGAAGGCTACCGTTTTGAAAAAAATGCCGATCAATCAATGGTTTGACAACTACTCGCTTGAAGATCCCAATGAGAGACCAGACCTGCAAGTGACTGGTCTATGCGAGACAGCGGCATTTCTAAGAGCCCTAATTGAGAAAGAAGCGGAGATCCTAGGCCCTAGAGGATACAACAGAATTATCTTGGGGGGCCTAAGCCAGGGCTGTGCAGCTTCAGTAATCACCCTTATAGGTGGCGGGTTTGGCCCGGAAGGCAACGAAGAACTGGGAGGATTCATTGGTATGAGTGGATGGCTTCCTTTCGAGAAACAACTACGAGACCTAACGCAGCCCGCTGGTGATGATGAGGATGACGCCAGCCCCTTTGGGCAGGACACTTGCGACGAGGGTGAAGAAGGCCACCAAGCATTTCATGCCCTTAACCACATACGTGACATACTCGATCTCCCAGAGCTAGCGCCAGAAGAGCTAAGCCCTGGCCAACCTCCTGGTTATCTTGCAATTCCTGCGTTTATCGGCCACGGGTTCCTAGATCCGAAAGTATCGGTTCGTCTTGGTGAGGGGTTGGCAACTTTCATGTCCAAGGCATTGCAGATGGATGTAACATGGAAGCCATATGAAGAGCTTGGGCACTGGTACAGTGTGCCTGACGAAATCGATGATATTGTTCAATTCCTAAGTAAGAATGTTGGAGTGCCAGTCAACAAAGACCTGCCCAAAGCATGATCCTATGAAATGGTACATATGAAAACAAGGACTTCCACCAGTATTCATTTTTTGCAAACGTTCATGGAAGGATGACTTAAGAGGAAGGATAGTAAAATAACTGCTGATATACAGTGCCTTCTTCTATATGACCTGCTGGGAAAGACTGAATGTTAGAGCTCCAAGCAAATGAAAGTGTATGCAAAACAAGATGACGTTCATAACAGTCAGAGTGCCCCAAAGAAATGAAGTGACACACAAACACTAGCAACTGAGATCTCAGAAAGAGGTGAATTAAAGTAAGCTTTAGTATCACACAACTGACTGATCCAGAGGACAAAATGCATCTCTCTCAAGTGAAGGGAAGACCAGATGTTTGGTCTCCTCTATTTGTTAGACAATTATAGGTGCTGCAGCAAGGGCATTCACTGAATGACAAGTATGATCAAGAATGCTGCAGATATTTTTAAGTAAAGAACTAACAAACACTAGATGAAATAAGTTCTCCTCATCTCGGCTAACATTAAAGTATTTAGATTCAAGCATATCCACCCCCAAGGGGAACAGATAGTACTCTCATATTAACAAAATGCAATCCAGTTTGATGGCAAGTTAGGTTTCGGAATAATTGGAAAGGTCCCTTCATCACATGATCGCGCGACTTCATTCCATTAGGTAATCCGCGATGCTAACCAGAGTCGCGCAAACGATTGGAATAGGTCAATAACCTTCAATCACTTTGGACATATTAGACACTTTGGTCACTTCCATAAAACAGATTCTGTTAAGATGGCCACGGGATGAAACGCCACTGTGTTGACATTGATTTTACCTTGCGGCGCGTCTTTGGCAAGAAATCGTTTCGGTAACCTTTTCCCATCCGAAAGGCTCAAAGTTTTGGCGTTGACATCTCAGCTTCATAGTCCGCTCCAGCGAGAGGTCATACAGGCCGCCCTGGATGGTCATGATGTATTCCTTCAGGCGGCTACTTCTTTTGGGAAAAGTCTCTGCTACCAACTCCCTGCAGTCGTTTCTCATGGAAGTATGCTCAATCCCTCCGAGGTTCTTTTGTTCCAAATAATAAATAGAAACTGATAAACTACTGTGTAATAGTTACGATAGTGGTTTCGCCTCTTTTATCGCTAATGGTGTGGTTATGGATTCTCGGTGTCTAGTATTAGTCCCTAACTCGCTTTCCAGGTAGACCAAGTAAGTGCGCTTGAAGCTAATGGAATTCCCGTCGCGACAATAAATTCAACCACGCCCCAGTCCAAGCGTAAAGCCATTCTTGCCGATATTCTCTCTGGCCACCCCCACACCCGGCTTCTTTACGTGACCCCCGAATATTGTCAAACCGAGGGGTTCAGGAAGCATGCCAAAAAGGTGCACTCTCAAGGCGAGCTAGCTCGCATCGCAATCGACGAAGCGCACTGTGTCAGTGAATGGGGCCATGACTTTCGCCCCGCATACAAGGAGCTTTCCTGGTTTCGGAAAGAATTGCAAAACCCTATTGTTCCGATAACAGCGCTTACAGCAACTGCCACAAAACGAGTCCGTGAAGACATCATAGCTTTGCTTGGCCTGGATCCGACAAGTTTAAGAAGATTTAGTACCTCCTCAGCACGTCCCAACATTCATTACGAAGTTAGATTCATACCAGATTATTCTGGCGAGGAGCCTTTTCCATCAGCAATGGATCAGCTGAACGATCTAGTAACATGGTTGAAGTCGATCAATGATAGGCGTGTTAGTAGGCTAATAGAGGTAAATACACCCGATAAGCCACCGATTCTCTCTCCAATATCTGGAATAATATACGTCCCTTTGAGAGCAATGTCAAGTGAACTCGCTGCTAGGCTCTCTACATATACAAATCCCAAAATAAAGGCTGTTGCTTATCATGCGGGCCTTCAGGCAGGCGAGCGTGCCAGCATCCAAACAATGTGGGCGGCAGCTTATAAAACACCAACTTTGAAAAGTGCTTCTAATACTGAGCACCCAGCCTTCTATATTGTCGTTGCAACCAATGCATTTGGTATGGGAATCGATAACCCTCATGTCAGATTTGTTGTACATTGGACCCCACCACGCAGCTTTGAGGGCTTTGTTCAGGAATCGGGTCGTGCAGGGCGAGATGGACGGGCGGCAGTATCCCTTGTGTACTACAACCCTGAAGAAAGAGACCGCGTAATGGAACGGATTATACGTGATCCCGATGGCGGGCCTTTTGATATGGCAATGGCGGATATCATACATCGTATGACAGGAAGACAAATACCAGCACAAATTCTGGTGCAGAATGCCCAGTATAATCAGGGACGTGAAGAGTCAAAATCCAAATCCCAAAATCGTCGAGCGATGATGGAGAGCTTTCGAAAAGTCGTTCAGTATTGCGAAGATACAAAACGCTGCAAACACGAAATTATCAAAGATTTTTCCGGCGATCTGGAACTTGAGCTTGCAGAACGGTCAGGTCAACAAGGAGAGGGGGAGCCTGCCACAATGACTGTACAACGCGTATGCGATTTCGCCTGTGATTTATGTAAAGACGGCCATAGGGAACTGGAGAAAAGAAAGGAGGCCATTTCTTATGGTTTGCAGTCTAACAATTCTCTTGAGACTTCTAATGGATAACGTATCCACACAAGGCGTTACGTTTAGTGACGGCGGGTGACAATAACCATTATTTTACATTTCATTTTGGAGGTAGGCTGAATTCAACCTCTTTCAGGATAATTTCTTAGCTAGATGAACGAGTGAAGAGTTAGGATGTACATACGGGCCATTGGAATTCTTGTCGTTGACCCAAGAATTGTATTCGAGCGACGGAAATACCTGGCTGGGCCATGTTATGCCAAAGAATAACAACCGGCTACGGTGATCTAATAATAATGTACAAACAGTACGAAGCATGGGCGTTACGCACGAGACTCACCCTCATACTTTGCTATTTGCTCCATCTTCTATCCACAATCTGGTGCGCAGCCGCGGTAAAGCCTGCAAGCGACATTGATAAACTTCCATACGGAACAGCAAAGAAACTGAGGGTGACATTCATATTAAAATTGCGGATCAGTCGAAAAACAACACGTGAGGATTTATAATCCCGGAGGAGGGGGAACCTAAAAATCATACTTGTTAGAGATTCAACGGTCACAACATACCGACATGGTTTACGTACAGCGTTATATCCACCAGAAGTAGCCGGTGGGGGCGGGGGCGGTGTGCCGGATGTTGGTGGAGGGGGAGGTGGTGGAGGGGCATCAGAAGTAGCTGGAGGCGGCGGTGGGGACGCCGAAGCCCCCTGGCTCTGGCCCTGGGTTTGTTGCTGAGCAAATTGCTGCTGGTAGTAATGATAATAGGCAACGTAATTCTGATATCCTCCGTAGGCGGCGTATGGGTCTGATCCGGCTGCATAGTACTGTGAATATTGTGCATTGTACTCATTGCTCCCAGAGCCTTGCGCTTGCGTTGTCCCTGGGGGATTTGCCCCTGAAGGACTCATACCAGGAGGGGACGACTGGTTGTTGTAACCTCCGTTGCTGTAACCAGACCCACCATAGTGTTGACGATCACGCTGGCCATACCCACCGTAACCACGTTGGGGTGGTGGTTGTTCTCGAAATCGCTCATATTGGTCTTTGACATTGACTAAGAGATCCTCGCAGAGTTCTTTGGCTCTTTGAACCTCGTTGGGATCCGGGCCTCTGTAATCGTATCAGTTATATGAACTTATGTTGCCATATAGGGGGAATGCGAGCCCTACAAAACATGAAGATACATATCCTCGTCGCTTTCTTGGTTTGTCCCATGCTCTTTAAATCCAGACCCACGGCCCTTGATCTGGACACGACAGCCGGTCTCTTGTTGAATATGCTTGACATATTGGCCACCTTGCCCCACGACTTGTGCACGGAGATTGAAACCGGGAAGGGGGTCAAGACCAATAGGAATCCGCTCTTCAGGCCATTTACGCTATAAAACACCGTGAGCAGGTGGCTCGTTTTCAATTTCAATGAATATTTCGAAACTTACACGGCCAAATTCATCTCTTTCAACGGGATCTCGCTCCTTGCGCTGAAACCTCCTTTGGTCAACGAGGTCTGGCAATTCTTGCTTCATAAGCTCTTCAATTTTGGCTACAGCTTTTTCCAATCCTTCTTTAGATGTACTCGTTACATGTAGGTATAGCGGTGGGTTCTTTTCGGAAACTATACGTTAGAAATTTTATGATAAGGTATTAATGAAGTTAAGAGTTAGACTTACCGAAGGCGTTGCCATGCTCTTATCAGGAAAATAGCTTCCGCGGGTGGTGACATCTTTAAACTTGATGAGCAAATCTGGCCTAAAATATAACAAAGAGTTGATAAGATAACAAGGTGGAAGAATGCCGTACCGGCGCCAGTCTCATCTTTGATCTAAATGTCACGCATTCGAGGTCAGCAGATGCCAAACAGTGGGTGAAAAAAGCTATGCAAAATCTGGGTAAGCTTTCAACCACTAGCCACCACAAAATAAAAAAGAAACGAGACGCTTGATTTGCGAAAAGCTGAGTTTATCGCATAGACCGGAGGGTAGCCTGGGAATATCAGTGGATGTGATAAGAGATATTTACCATCTGCTGTGTAGCTCCTTTAGTCAGTGTGTAACGAATCCGAAGATCGTTCACCTCGATATCTTTGATGTAATCTCCATCCGCAATATAAATCTCACCGTTGAGATTAGGAAATTGTTGTGAGCCCGCTGACGGGGATTTTGAGGAGGACACCGTCGCCTGGCCGGCACTGTGAGCGCTACGGAGCACAAGATGATGAGACTTGCAAACTTACTGTACGAACGGGTGTTGAAGTGGGTTGTTGGACGCCGCGGGCTTCAAGTTGCGCCTTGATCTTGGCTGCGGCGGCAGCTGATTGAAGTGTCAATTAGCGGCGAAAACTCACCGGTGAAAGAGCAATCTTACCTGCTGCAGCTGTAGGGTCGAGAGGCGTGCTCGATTTCTTGACATCATCTTTTGCAGGGCTGCGAGGCTCCCGGCTCAAAGGACTGCGCTCGCGCGTAGATTCGGATTGCCTGGTAGACGGAGAGCGTGATCGCCGGTCAAAACGCGACCTTCGGGGCTCAGATTCAGTTTGATCAAAGCGAGATCGCTTTGCGCGACGCTCGGTATCAGCCATGTTGTAACGAAAGCTCTGCTCGGAATACGGGAACGGGGAGAGCGAGAGGATGGTATCTGATCTTGACACTGTTCTTTGGGGGCTCAATTTTGAATGACACGCGTTTAGTCAGCATTTGTTGCTATCGGTCATGTGAGAGGTGGACAGGGCCAGCTTGTCTAAATACGGTAAAGCTATCTTCCTTATGTAATCCTGCACGCCGAAGCCGATCTCGGATCCACGTGACATATCTGCAGGGATAAATTCGGAGTCATTCTGGGGATGCGCAGCGCAAACACGCCCTGGTAGTCTGCAAGCTGGCGGTGCGATACGGTGCGCATCTGCTGGCATTCTAAAGAGGTGCTGGAACCAAGAGAGCCTTCCAATTCCTAAAAATTGTCTTTAATAACACTGTTTAAGGTCATTGGATCCTAAGCGGAACCTCTGCCAGCCATGGCTCTCCGCACAGTCTTCACCTTGACGACTGCCCGCTCTACAATTTCGCGAGGCGTATACAGCGCTGAGCTCTATTCTTCCACTGGTTTCCAATTGACCAAATCCTCCCTACCAAGATACCAGACACGTCTGTCCTCAAGCTCGACCTCCGCATTAGCCTATAAGGCACTTCATCGCCGGTCTCCGCTTCCTCTCCCAGTCGCCGAGACCTCACCAACATGGTCCGCTCCGGCGGCGGTCTCATCAATTCTCTACGAAACGCCTGTTCCTTCGACAAAACCTCCAAAGCGACATGTGTTGAACTGCTTGGTGCAAAACGAGCCGGGAGTGCTGTCTCGTATATCTGGTATCCTGGCCGCGCGTGGATTTAATATTGACAGTCTTGTCGTTTGCAATACGGAGGTTGAGGATCTGTCTCGCATGACAATCGTTCTTCGCGGATTGGACGGCGTTGTTGAGCAGGCCAGGCGCCAGTTGGATGACCTGGTTCCTGTCTGGGCTGTCTTAGACTACACAGACGCCGCTCTGGTCCAGCGTGAACTTCTTTTAGCCAAAGTCAGCATTTTGGGACCTGAAGTTTTCGAAGAGCTCCTTCATCATCATAGCGAGATGACTTCGCCTGAGAGTGCCATGGCCATCGATTCAGAGAAAGCCGGCAGCACAGAAACTAGCGGAAAGGATGCCCACAAGCGCGAAGTACAAAAAGTGAATGGCACACTGTCCAGGGCCGCGGACTTTCACCCCAATCGCCTAGCAGTCAGTGAGGCGTTGAGGCATAAACACCAGCATCTCGAAGCTATCACCCATTTAACTCACCAATTCGGTGGAAAGGTGTTAGATATCAGCTCCAACAACTGCATTGTAGAAATGTAAGTCTGCATTTTCCCTTTCATCCTAGAGATCATGCTAACATAGAATCCTCCTTAGCTCTGCCAAGCCATCCCGTATTAACTCGTTCTTGAAACTGATTGCGCCGTTCGGTATTCTTGAGTCTACTCGAACTGGTCTCATGGCTTTGCCTCGTACTCCAATTGGCCCAGTAAATGAAGACTTGGAGAAAGAGGCGGCTGAAGTTGTGGATGCTAGCACCCTCCCTCCTGGTTAGTCTTCTTTGTTTGCGCTTTCACTCAACCTCGTGCCCGTTTGTATGACTACAGTAATATTCCTTTTAGACCATATACTTAAACTACAAGGATTTGGTGTGGAGACTCTTTTCAATTATGTTGGGGGCTATCTGTTGAAGGGCTTCAGGGGCCAATTTGAGGCGTTCAGAATTCCTTCTTGAGAGTATGTATGCTCCTAGTAGGAAATGGAATCACGACTTAAGAGGACGGTTATTTCAACCATCTTAGTTTATATAGTAGGCCGTTAAATTGTTCAAAGAGAAAATAAAGCTTCAAATCCTAATAAAGGGGGGATTGCCCATTGGACGAAACCCGGATCCGATCACATCTCAAAATGAAGAAGAAAAAAGATGAAAGAAAAGAGGATATGAAAGTCTCGATCGCCGTAATATATCTCGTTTCGCTTCTCTAATGCAGTTCATGCACGCTCGTCATCACTTCGTCGAAAATTGTAATATCTCATCATCTCTACTCCGTATAATGTTCCAATCAAAGACCGAAAAAAAATGTCCGGCACTTCTCTCGACTGCCCCGGAAGGGAATTGTGAGCGACATGGCAGCCTAGCGCTTCGAACACTCTCTGCAAACACCGCAATATAGATCGCTTGTGATGTCTTCGATTTTCCGCGAGCACGAGCAATCCTGGTTGAAGACAGTCTCCACAGCTCCACATCGATAACGGATAATGCTTTTACACATGGTTGGTAGTCTTGTCTCACGAGATGTATTGTAACCGGTCGATGGCACCGATATGAGAGAAGCTGGATAGCTCGAAATGTCCACACAAGTGGGCAGAAAAAAAATCTATGAACTGATTGGCCGCTGTAAGGTGGTAGGAGGAAAGAAATGGGGGCAGTGAGAGATAAAATGCAATACAGTTTTTTGGATATCGGTGGGCCTCCAGATGGTGTCAAAAAACTGCGTCTAATATAGTGTTGACCTTCGAATATGAGATAGCATAAGCGTGCAGACTAGAGTATTGCTAGCTGGCTATGGTTCCCCTTTTCAATGTCAGCATTGCAACAACAGCACGGGTAGAGGGAGTAGCATACGTCATCAGACTTTATCATCCGTACTTTATAGCTCAATATAATCAATCAAGAAAAAAAAACACGATAAGCAACAAGGGTATAGTTGCATGCAGAAAGGCAGCCAGGCCAGGGATCCAAGACTATATATAGAAGTTGAATGACAAAACTAGTTCCAATATAGAAAGGGTATCTTGATAGAAGAACATAGCATAATAACGTAGACGAAAAGCGGTACGGAGGAGGCTGTTTTATACTCCATGAGCATAGCCTAAGGCAACGAACGAACTCTAAAGACACACTTAAGAGCTACATCCGCGATAGTTACACCCGCCCCGCTTCCTTCAAGTAACATTTCTTAGACTGTTCGGGCATTGATTATTGGATCGTGAATAATGTTCATGTTGTGTTTCACCAAACTAGGTTCTCCGCAGAAATGAGATGCAGACGAACCAAAAGAGGGACGGATGGTAGTTAGAGAAAGTAAGATATCCGAAGACTAGTTACCGGGAGCCAGAGATACTGGTCCCCTTCAGAAACTGAACAACCCAGATATTGGAGATTCCCAATCGAGATACATTATAGCGGTTGAGAGAACGTTAAAGGAGCATAAAATCAAATAATGACCTCATTCCCGTAGGGATGCATGGATAGGGGCCTTCAGAGGCATTTAAGTGGCAATGCTTCAAGGCGCAGTGGCTACTGATTAGCTTGCGAGAGATGGGGGGTGTACAGCATATAGGAGTGGAGGATTTGGGAGCACGGATTGCTTTTTGCTGATACTCTGAGGCTCAAAGTGTCGATCCCTGCTACCTTCCGCAGTCGACGGGGCGCGCAAGACAGCAATTCGGAGCAAAGGAGAACATTATGACAGGGCCAATTCTCGTATGCATTGACCTCGTCGACGAGGTTTACATTGGGCCGGAACCGACATCCGACGACGCAGCGAGGCGCAGAGAGACAGAGTGAGAATGGGAAGTGAGGGGAAACGGCTTCGGAATCGTCGATTTGAGCGCCATGACCCCATCCAACGCAGGATACGAATCTCACTGGAGTAGTTAAGTGCTGTATGGAGCCATATGACTTCAAGAGCTTCAATGGGATGGAGACGCTTGTGGCTCACCGCAAATCTCTATGTCCGACGTAGCTCCGCGCGGTTGGTGAAGGGAGGATTTTGGACTCGATGCGGTGAAGCGTTGACCAGTCGAAGCTCGATTTCATGAACTAACTAGCGAAGTAGAACCCCTAGAAAGAATCTATTTGAGCGTATTGCAACTTTAATTGGAGCGCTGCGTCGACTCCTGTTGCTCTTCCACTGCTTCCTGTCACGCACGAAGTCGCACCAGAAGAAGCATATCAGATTGTGATGACATCAAGTTTCGGAAGCAGAAGGCCGAATAAGGTTAACCGAGTCAGCTGTAACAGAAAAGGGCAAAGATATCAATCCAATCATGCATACTCGTTCGCCTGGAAAAAAGGAAAAGCTGAGGTCTTTAGCCACTTGGAAGCCCAATCACTCGCACATCCTATATTTGATACTGTCGCATCATCATGGTATGCAGTATCCCTGGTCAGATATGGCCTCTACATGGCTTGAATTCGTGATTGCAAACCCATGTCCCACAGGAAAGATAAGCTCATCCGTATTGATGATGATGTGCAGTGGAGACATTCTTGCTGGACATCAACGTGGCATCGGGTGATGGCATGTGCCATGTAGTTTTAATGCAGAAACGTTAAAAAGGGACAGCCCTCCAACCAGGCAAACCCGAAAGTACCTCCAAAGGTGATACAAAAATCCGTGGAAACCCCCAAAATGTAGTTACATTCAAAAAGTACGTTGCACTGCGACACATGAGAAAAATAACGCCGTCATTATTGGCATCACAATCCAAAATCGAACCCCGACTCCGATCCCAAAAGTCCAATGCTGGTAATAGCGAATGATCATATATTCGTTGTGGCAAACGCCAATATCGGCGCCTCCAATTATAATCGTACCTTGGCGCCGATTCCCTTACCCCAGTAGGATATTGTCTCGATATATTCACCCAATTTAATTCCAATATCTGCAATAGAATCTATCTTCAATGTGCCTCCTAATGCTTTTTTAAGAGCTTCGTAACCTGCACCGCTAAAATCTATTTCCACAGGAAGCCGGGGAGTCTTCGACGATCCCGGCGGAACCGAGAATGGCGAATCGTATTGAATCTGACCAACCGGAGAGGTATGATTGTATAGAGCGGTAGCGTTTATAGATGTGATGAAGAGCGTTGTTTTAGAAAGAGGGGATAATAATGTGAAATCTGCGGTCGAAGACAGTAGATATACCTGGTCGCAAGCGATAGTCAAGTCAGCGTCACGTATGCTTCCAAACAACTCGCGGTTGCGGGCAGGGAGGAAACGGGAAAACCCAAACCCACAAAAAACGGTGAGCGGAATGGCTAAGAGTGTTCCCGCATTAATTTGTTAAATAGAGACCATACCGTGGCATCTTTGATGAATTGTGGTCGATCGTGATCATCGGGGCTTCCGTCATTATCGTCATCATCCGGAAGATGGAGTTTTGGTACTGGTACTTCGATTTGAAGTATTGAAAGCGCTCTTCCAAGTGCGGGCAGGGCCGGAATAGAGCCGGAGTATGCACTTAATGTGACACTGGTGTTTAAGCCTGCAAAAGTTAAGGGGCGAAATTATAAACTGTTTTGAAGAACGCACCTGATACGTAGCGAGAGATCAAGTCTCGACCAGCGATGATCCCATGCGGACCTTTGGAATTGGACGGATTCCAAAGCCCTTCTATTGTAACCAAAGGATTTTTGCCGGGTGATACGGACAAATTACGACCTACAATGTTGGCAACATTGGAACCGTTATAAGCCAGCCTCATATCGATGTAAGGAATATTTGCCGAGTAATTCGTTGGGTTGGTGTAATTTAGAGTCGCCTCAAGAGAGATACTAGACGCTGTCGTTTGCGTTATTCTGATTGAGTCGATTTTTGGCTTTACATCGCCCAGTCCTTCACCAAGAGGTGCTGGAGACCTAAATTAGCCGTCGCCATGTTGCAATGAATCAATGCCAACAACTTACATTTCACAGTGATATTACCACTCGCAGGAATGTCACGAACTACAAACTGTCCGAGAGCCGTATCCAATTCCGCAGCAACTTTCGCCTTCAGATGCAGAGCAACCTCCTCGCCATCGAATATTACTCTTTTCATGACATCGGTGAAAACATCCTCATCAACAATTTGCAGCGGAGCCTTCTTAATATCAAACTCTACCAGTAAAACTGGAGAGCGATCAGGCCCCTCTGTTATGCGACGAACACTCGCATTTTGCCACTTTTGTATATTCATGTAACCAAGTTTCTTACGCTTGTAAAAAACATCCGCGAGAGTACGAACACGTGATATGTTCAACGGCACATTAATCTCATCTGGGAGATCAATAAAAGCCTGAACAAGAGCAGACACCTTTGGCTGCGCTCCAGGGGTGCCAGGTTCGGCGGTCGGGTCTGGAAGGTAGAAATGTATTTGAGACATGGAAAATCTCTTAATGAGATTTGAAAGGCCCTTGTTGGGGATAGAAATCGGGAAGGTGATACTGCGTAGTAAGCGCTCACACCATGTAGGAAGCGAGGATGATGGAGACTTTCCTCCACGAATATAAACAAACGTCTCAAGGCCATTCATGTACTTTTGGACCCAAAGGTCTAGAGGAGAGGATGCTTTTCCAGGGCACACTGCCGTTAACGCATCGGGGACCTCATATACCAGTCCTGTAACTGTTGCAGCTACAGGAGTCCTGGGTCTAATGTCGATAACATCGGTTGTAGCGTTGCCAAGCAGAATATAATCATCTCCCGGCGAGCAATTGGGAACCAAAATATCGAAGGCAAGTGAAGGAACAGTAAATCCAACTGCATACTTATTCCGAACCTTAGCTGATATGTGCGCTGCTAGCACCTTGCGTTTGTCTGGTAACTGAAACTCGTCGATATTCAACTTAGTGACGTTGAAATCTGGAAAATCAGGGAGGTCTTGTCCTATATAATCATGTTAGATAGGTAGGGCTTAAAAATGGTGGGTGATAAGTATCGATTACCTTGGAGAACAAAAATCTCCGAAATATACTGAGACCCCAGTTTAAACAGACCCGATTGCAGAGGGACTGAGGCCTCCCCTTTAAGACGTAATCGTTCAAGTCTGCCATCAAGCCATGCATTCGCAACCCCTCGCAATCCATTAATATCCCCGGCCTTTAGATCCGCGAGAAAATCGACCTTATTTGAGTAGCCATTTTGAACATTCACTTTTAGCGGCGGGACCGTTGCGACCCCAAGCAGAAGGTCTCCATATTCGGGTAGATATACTTTTATATCAGTTTGCCCGGTCTCCACCTCTCGCCCAATCCAGGTTGCGAAACGGCCCAGATTCCGAATAAATGGTTTCTGAACCCTAGACGCATCGAGAGAAAACGACGCTCGAATCCGTGCGCGTACAGCGGATTGCGTAAAAGCAGCAATCGAGATGCCGATTGGTTCGATGACGGCAGCTTCTTTGGCGTATTCTCGAACGGCGGACGGGGTGATGAACCCCAGAACCAAAATGGCAACCACTGCCAAACAGAGGCAGGTCAGAGAAATCACGATGGGCCATCTGACTCGCCGGCGCTTCTGCGGATGTTCGTGGTCGTGATGGCTTTCGGCAGCCGATGATATTGAGCGGTAGTCTCCATCCCTTGGAGATCTTTCCTGTCCGCCCGGCAGGAGTGGTGTTGATTCAGAGGCCGCGTGACTCGACTCCCCGGGCTGCGACTCGCGCTTTGGGCATCGCGCCAGGCACGGGGTCGTCTCGTCATCGGCCATTTGCTGTGTTTCTTTTCCCCCTCTTCTCTTTGTTGGATGGACACAGGGGTTCCGTTTGCCGTGAGAGATGCAATAGAGATAAATGGCCGCCTACATGGTAGAGAGCAAGAGCAGAAGTGGTTGCAAACTAATGCTGGTGGTGTGGTGGCTGTCCGGGGTTGTCATACAACCGGCCGCAGTTCTGGCTGGGCCTCCGAGATGACATCAGCGCACGCCTTACTGTATCCAGCCTAGCGTAGGTCCACTGGCCCGCTGACATAACAAGCTTCCCTAGCGCCCATTAGCCGAACCTTACCGCGCTTTCGGGAAAGCACGAACAGTCACAATATCAATAATGAATGCGGCAATCAGCGCGAAAAAAAGAAGCTCCACCAGAACCGCTGCTGCTGCTCTTATAAAGTGCCTCAGTCCTCACTGCGCCTGCAAAAATGGCTAAATTCAACCTTTTTGCTTCATCGTCCGCCCTTGCGCGCGTCCAGCAGCTCCCCCATCGCGCTTCCTCCCGTTACTCACACCTGCGTAACCTGCAGAGCTTCTATTCTTCCTTCTCTAAGCCTATTTCCATGCAATCTGTTACCCGCAATACTGCATCTACCTGTCACAGCATGGCGACCAAGCAATTGAGACCGTACACCACTGGCTCTACTTCTACCCCCCCTCGACATCTACTTTCCATTGCAGACCTGACGCCGGCAGAGTTCGCAACTCTCGTCCGAAATGCCTCTTCACATAAACAGGCAATAAAGGCAAACGCCATGCCTGAGAGCTTAATGGGCGCACTGTTTGGAAAAACCGTGGCCATGTTGTTTAGCAAACGCAGCACACGAACCAGAGTGTCTACAGAGGGCGCAGTGGTCAAGATGGGAGGCCACCCTATGTTCCTTGGCAAAGATGACATTCAATTGGGTGTCAATGAGTCATTGTACGATACTTCTGTTGTGATATCCTCAATGGTATCCTGTATTGTTGCCCGTGTGGGACCTCACTCCGATATCGCCAATCTAGCTAAGCACTCAAGTGTACCGGTGATCAACGCCCTGTGTGACACATTCCACCCGATGCAAGCAATTGCCGATTTTGTTACCATCCATGAAACCTTTGCCACGCAATCAACTACACATGAGACGCACCCATCAAGTCTGGGCTTGGAGGGTTTGAAAATCGCTTGGGTTGGCGATGCGAACAATGTTCTGTTCGATATGGCTATTGCTGCTACTAAGATGGGTGTAGATGTTGCTGTAGCCACGCCCAAGGGGTATGAGATGCCGCCATCTATCCTGGAAATGATCCAACAAGCTCGAGAAGGAGTGCAGTCACCAGGAAAGCTCACGCAGACCAACGTACCCGAAGAAGCCGTCAAGGATGCCGATGTCATTGTGACTGACACCTGGGTGTCAATGGGACAGGAGAGCGAGCAGATCAAGCGACTTGAGGCTTTCAAAGGCTTTCAAGTGACGTCGGATCTCGCCAAGCGAGGAGGAGCAAAGGAGCATTGGAAGTTCATGCATTGCCTACCTCGACACGCAGAGGAAGTGAGTGACGAAGTGTTCTACGGTGACCGGTCCTTGGTCTTCCCAGAAGCCGAAAACCGATTATGGGCAGCAATTTCTGCTCTGGAAGGGTTTGTTGTCCGCAAGGGAAATATTGTTTGAAATGAATGATATTGTTCAACATTGTATTACCTCATATAGTCCGTTCGGTTGATTTGCTCGTATTGTTATGCGATATTAGCGGGGTCTCGGGTATTGAGCAACTACAGGAATAGATTTAAAAACAACAGTCATGCTATTTGATCAAGTTTGCTTCTGCTCTGTCGCGATTCTCTTCATCTCGGCCGTCAACGCCGTTGATTGATGCTGTGGTCTGTGCGTAATACCAGGGTGCCCATGCCGGTCCAAGGGTTCAGACGAACGAGCCAATGAGCCACGAAAAATTGGCGGTTTAACTGTTCTCTGCCCCCTTACCCGCAGCTCTGGCCACCTGCGAGAAGAGTCGGGCGGGTTTTGAGAAAATTCGTACCTGATTTTCAGGGTTTTCTCCCAGTTTGCCTCTCGATTCGGGTAATACCGCTACCCCGTCACGCCGGCAGGGCCTGGACTCCCTCGGATGAAAAGCAACATCGAACGTTCCTATTTAAAGACAAGCAACCACCATCCGCTCAATCGATTCTTATTCGTTTTTTCGTGAGATCTATAGAAAACTAATCATGGAGGTAAGCATACATGTCGTATCCGGATTGTCTGTATTATGTCTGACGTTGTCTTCGGCAGTCGATATCCCATTCCCGCAGCAACTCCGGCGGCTTTCGGTCTCGCCGGTCCTATGGCAACCTCCAACACATTTCACTGGCTCCATTGACGAGCAGATTCCCCCTAGATGACGATAACGACGATGAGTACGGCGTGGCGTCGAAACGAGAAGGCGACCGCCTACCAACTACATCCTACTATTCCACCACATCCGTACCGGCGACACCTCCGGTGCTCTCTGATTCGCGCACCGCATCATCTACAAACTTGACCAGACTACTCAAACCGTCGAAGACGGCGCCTTTGAGCGATACAGGGCTGGATTTGCTGAACGTCCAACGACCCGCGCACCATCGTCACCACCAGAGAACACAGAGCCACAACCCCCGACACGGCCTGCCGCGCGCGCGGACTGCTCACGACGATAATGAATGGCTACTCCGGGCCGGGCTCGCGCTTGCGACCTCGACGCGAGAAGAGAAGGGCCAGAGCTGGCTCGTGAAACGCGAGAGCTCGACGAACCTCATCGCAGACATCAACCAGGAGCCCAGCCGCAGCAGCAGGCCCCATGCCTCGCGCAGCCAAATGGCACGGCGGTACCGCTCTGGCATCTCCACCCCTATCGACCTCTCCCGGCGCGGCTCCAAATCCCAGCTTCCCAGCCCGCGCAGCAGCCGCGCCTCATTCATGGCCGCCACTGACGGCGCCCTGGACTTCCGCAGCGGCTTCGCCACGCCCGCCGCCTACGACCACGCCGACTACATGCCGGACTTCGTGGACCACGCGGTCCGCGCGGAAATGAAATCGATCATGGCCATGAGTCGCAGCTCGCCACACTTCACGCAGGTCCGCAACGGCGGTAACCATGCAGAGAATGATGATGATAACGACGACGAGGAGGATGCCGCGGACTACAACGCGCGCTGGTCGGCGGGCTTCGATCCGCGCCTGCACGCCGCGGACGGCGAGTATTCCGGCTCGGAATCGTCCGACGACGAGAGTGAGTTCGGCGAGATGGAGATGCAGCGTCTGACGCGCGAGCAGGGCTTCGGGCTGGGCCTCTGGGTCGACCGGCTGGTCGAGTGGACGCTGTTCAACGTCGAAGAGGAGAGTTCCACGGTGGCCGACGTGCATTGGACGGACGACCACCACGACGCCGCCGCTGCGCTGGCTGCTGGCACACCGGCTGCGAAGAGCGTCACGATCGCCCCCGTGGAAGACAACGACGACCCCCACCACCACTGGCAATCTGACGCCGACACAGACGCGCAGAGCACGGGCGCGCCGGACGACGATGGGTGTCTGGCGGCGGTCGACCCTCCCCCGCCCGGCGAGCTCGCCGGAGGCTGGGCCGATGTGAAGTGGTTGTTGCGTGCGGCCAGGAATGCCCTCTGAAAATTCATTATTAGCCCTGCTCCCCGCATCTCCGTCTCCTTTTTACACTCCGCACGGTGTAACTGCTTCTTGAAACGCCGAGCCTAGCAGCGCCCCTACATCTTATTACATATAGGTTCTCTCACGCCCTGCTTCATTGCTGATCCCTTGTTCTTTTTTTTTCTTCTTGCATGATTACGGAAGTACAGACATCGTTATGCTAATATATACGTTATTAATGCGGGGCGTCGAATAAACGACTCCGGCCCTGGGAATCCGTTGGGTGCCCTTGCTTCTGTTGCTACATACCTACATACCGTCCTGACAAATATGATGCTTTTTTTTTGCTTTCCCTTTTTTTCGAGATGCATGAGCTGTCAACCTTCAATTTCAAAATCCTACATACCTGCACGCACGCCCAACACACTGCCAGATATTCCCCGGCTGACCGGCTTGTCGGAGTAGTTTCCACCGACACCAGCAGCTGGCGTCAAACCCTCCCCCGCCCGTCCTGCGTGCTTTTGCTCACCGCAATTCTCAAGGGCCAGTTGTTGGGAAGCGGTTCCCAAAACCCCGCCTCCCCCCTCCCCAATGTATGTATGTACAGCAGGTATCATGAAAGCATATATCTCAAGAGCCATTGATAGCGCGCCAGATGGTGGGGAAAAAAAGACTGAATGAAAAAACACAAAAAAACAGCAGACCGAGTTTCCGCCGACATTTCGGCAGTTTCCTGACGATGATCTCTCCCCTGTCAGCCCCCGGCACAGGCTGCCGGGCGGCCACCACTTTCGCAGTGACTTTGTTGTATCACACCAATCACATCCCGCGTGATTTTATTATTATTTTTTTTCGTCGCTCGCCATTGATCTTCGCTGCAGGCTGAGCTGACCGGAACACGTCGACCGCTGCCTATACAAGGACGTACGTACGGGGTACGGAGTAGTTACAGACAGAGCGTAACTACATGCCTGACTACGGAGTGCTCCGTACCTCTCATGTTGGCTTGGGTCCTGCACACCAGCCACAGAGGCTGAGGCTGAAGACCCGGCGCTTCGCCACCCGGCGGCGCCGCTGCTTCTGTGGCTGGTAGCTATGGCGGCTCGGCGCGCGGTGATTGGCCAGCCGCGGGCTGATCACCTGCCCAGGTTACGGGGCGGCCGCCTCGAAAATTTACAGGAACGGACACGCGCGCTGGAGCGCGCATGCGTTTGCGGGTTGTGTCTGGGCTCGGACTTCTCCTAGAGACATGCTTTGCGCTTTGGAGCTCACATTTCTGAGAGAGAGAGCGCGCGGCCCGGGGCGTGGTGCCAACAAAGAGAACGGCGGTGTTCTAAGTGAGGGGATATTACTGCTACTATTATTATTATTATCCTTGGGTCGCCGGAAAAAAACGCTGTTTTTTGAGATAACGGGTTGTGCGGTTTCTTGCGGAACGAGTATAACCCTCCCCCGTATCAACATACGGGGCCTGCAAATCATCATCATGGGGGTGTTTGCTCACCTTCCCTTTCCTCCCCCCGCGAAGCCAAGTGGAGTCCAGCGAAGCAGAAGGGGGAGCACACACACGGTGACATACGGGGGCCGGCGAAAGACTTTTTTTTTGACGGCTGTCTCAGCCCGCCACAATCCGGATGCCCAAAGGAAGGGGGGAGGGGCACACACACCCTTGCCGCGCGCGCGCACCCGCGGGAAGCCCGTACCGAGCTCGGGAAAACCGGTCGCATATCGAGCAGCGGTTAAAAAAAAAAAAAAAAAAAATCGACGCAGGGTTCGCCCGGCGCGCTTGGGGATAAGCCCCGAGTCTTGATCCGAGCCAATACGAGAGTGCTTTGCAATTATTTTGGGACCAAGGGGGAATAAAAAGGAAAGAAAAGAAAAGAAAAAGAAGAGTGAAGTGCTTCGGATTTGCGATTCCAAATTGAATGGATGTTTTTTTTGTGGCTGAGAGAGGGAGAGAGTGAGAGAGAGAAAACCCCTTGGTCCCACGCCAAGTTGATCATCAAACGCCAAAAGGACCTTTCGTACCAGGTCTTTGCAGAGATGCATGGTAGATCCGAAATCCTGTACGGACTAGTACACGAGAGTGAGAGCGAGAGTGTGATGGGATGGCCAACGCACGGCGAAGTCTCTGTGTTGGCCATGGGGGAGGGTGGTTGAGGCTCTGGGAGGGTCTAGCATAGAAGTGCATACTCCGTAGACAACATCACTACGGAGTACAACTTCTCCGCACTCCATACATAACTACATAACCAGCGTGGGAAAGAAGATCGTCTCTTGCAGCCAAAACAAGCATTCCTGATCACTCATCACGCAGCGCCTGGAGAGAGTGGCTGCTGGTCGGGCATCCCCCATACTCCGTATGATAGACTTCTCTAGCATCAAATAGTGAGGACCGGACCCACATCGTCCAGGAACAGAATTGCTTCTTCGTTTCTTTTTCTTTATTTTTCAGCTTTGTCCCTTTTTTTCTTATTTCTTATTGTTTATTTTTACTTCTTTAGGACGTCGGCCGGCACAACCGCGGTTGCGAGACGGGACATAGGCGAAGGGGGGAAGAGAGCGTTGCTTCTTTGGACGTCAAGGCCAACGGCGGCAGGCCGGCCCGGCGTACGAACTAACGACGTCAGCGCCCGAAGGGGAAGGTTGAACATCATCGCCTGCCCTTTTCGACCGCCGTTCCGTTCCCTGTTCTGGCATTTGTTTTTTCTTTGCTTCTTTCCTTCTTTCCTTGTGTCTGCGTTGTTCGGGCGTGACTCGTCCGAATGGAGCAGGCATATTGATTATGATTTCGCCTCCGCATCGGCATCCCCCCAACAGAAAGGGGAGCGGGGGATTAGCTTTGTTGGCCGCGCTGGCCCTGGCGCAGCCGGGGGGTGGGCGAGGGGGTGACTATCGAAATCCAGCGCCGGACCTGCCCGCTGACTCAGCACTCTGCCCCTGGTTCCTGTTACAGGCTGTCAACTGACTACATCTGTCAACGACTACTCCGTACTGCCAGCCAAAGCAGCAGACTGACGAGCAAAAAAAGCAACGCGCCAGGCACAAACACAAAAACGCCCAAAAATGCCAACCACCGGCCCCGGCGATTTCTGCTGCTAGCTTGCTGGGCCCGTCAACGCCCGCGGAGGCGTCCAATAACGCCGCCCCCGCGCGCTGGGAGAGTTCTTCTTTCCGTCGCCGCGGAGCTGGGTCTTGGGAGAACCCCCCCCCAGCGAGCTTGTTTGGCTGGCTGCCTGGCTGCTGGCCCTGTCCGTCGTCATCGTCGTCGGCGGCGGCGGCGGCGGCGCTCGTTCCCTTCGCCTTGTTATTACTGTTACTATTATTATTCTCTCGTTCCCTGGCGCCGTGACTGCTGGAGTCGGCCAGTAAGCGGACACGAAGGGCTGCCTGACTCTGGCGGGCGATGCTCGTTCTGAAAGCGGGCATGGATTGGCAAGGTGTATGGCTAGCGTTCTCATATTATTAATACTCCGTATGTATGCAGCGCAGCGTGGGCGAGCTTCGTGCTGGCTGGCTGGCGAGGGTCGCGGGGGCTGCCGACGGCCAGCGCTCCGCCCACCAAACAGCAGCGGCGAAGCGTCTAACGAGCTCGGCTGGCCAGCGTCCAGGCCAGGCACCGCGACGCCCGCGCCTACGCCCCCGGCGGTCTTTGTGTGCTTCTCCCTCTGGGGCTTGGTTTGCCTTTCAGCGGTCCTTACCTTTTATTTTTAATTTTTTTTTACTTTGCCCCAGCGCCAAGCGGCGCCCCGTCCGATCTCCTCGTCGACCCAGCGCGAGATGCCCGCCGCGAGCCTTCATAAACTCAATTGCATCCTCCGCCCGCCAGCTGTGCCTGCGCTCTGCCCGCCCCGGCCCTGCGTTGTCTCGACAGTCTCTCGCCGCCCCCCCCGCTCGCTCGCTCGCCGTCTCTCCCCCCTGTCGCTCTTCCGCGATGCGCCCCCAGGCTGCCTCATAGCACGCTTCCCGTCACCCCGTCAAGCCAAAAAAGCACGCGCCGTCCCCTTTCGACTGCTCATACTTCTACTGCGCCTCTTCCTCTTCCTCTTCCTCCTCTCCTCCTCTCCTCCTCTCCTCTGCTCCTCCTCCCGCCCCCCTCCCCCTCCTTGTCTGCGCTGTCAAATGTCAGTGCCCGCTCACCGGCCAAAGAAGGATTCGCATTTGGTCAGGAAGCTTCTCAGCAGCACCGGCATCGCCTTCCGTCCCCTCAGTCGACGCTTGTCACGGAGCAGGTAACGTCTCTCTCTGCCTCTCCCTTCTCTTCTCTTCTCTTCTCTTCTTTCCGACCTGCCTGCAACCCTCTCCCATCTCCTCGCCCTCGTCCTCGCTCTTCTTCCTCCTCTACCTGTCTGTCGCGGGTTCTCGGTAGGTCAACCCACACGTCGTCGTTCTGCGGCCTGCGCCGGCCCCCTCCCCCCAGCCCCGGGCCACAGGTCCAGCTCCCCGTGCGTTCAGGAGACCCGGACGCTAAACGGTGTGCGTTTCGTTGCAGGACCAGTCGCCGCAGCCCCGTTGGCCGGCCGGAGATGAATCCCGAAGCGCGTCTGCAGTTCGAGTCGGTGGCCATGGCCGGCATGACGGAGGTGTCGCAGCGCCACGTCGAGGGCGCGCGCTTCGACATCTTCGATTGGCACCCCAACTACCAGAGCTGCCAGCGCTACTTTCTCGACCAGGCCCAGCACAGCACGCCCGTGCAGGCGCTGTCCTCCTTTCTCAACATCCTGCTGCCCTTCCAGCGCCAGCCCAGCCCCGTGTACAACACCACCGCCGACGCGGCTCGGTGCCAGCCCCACGCGTCCACCGCCACCAACGCCAACGTCGCCATGCCCCCCAGCGTCTCGCTGGTGCCCTACATCCGCCGCCTGGTCGCCACGGGCATGGACTACCCCGGCGTGCTGCACGGCTTCTTCGGCGACGACTGGGCCGCCGGCATAGGCCCGCTGCACGAGCAGGAGCGCCGCAACTACCTCTTCGCCGCCAAGAGCGGCGGCTGGGCCGCCGTCAAGCGGGAGTATGACATCCCTCCGCTCGAGACCATCCCGTTCTTGCGCCCACTGCAGGGCCCTGTCGACTCGGAGATCGAGGCTGCGGAGAGGAGCTGGAGCGAATGGCTGGCCATGGAGGATTGGATGGTGGGGCCTCGCGCCCCCGACGTCCTCAACGAGTCGTCACCCTCGTCGAGACCACGTAGTCCGCGCTCGTGAGAACTATTGCTATTATTAATACCGCTTTTTCTTTGCGCTGTTATATTTTTTTTTTCTCCTTTTCTTTTTTGCTTGTGTTTGTTGGGCACTGCGATCCATCCCCCTCTCTACGCTCCTCCCTTGTGCCGCCTTCGGCCGTGGATGCTACGGAGTACGTTTTTTTCTTACCCCTGCTTCGGGGGCGCGTTTTTTTTTTTTTTTCTCGAACCAGACCCTGTCGCTCCCGGTCGACTGCCTGATAAGCCAAAAAAAAAAAAAAAAAAACCAAATTATATTGATCGCCGGGCTCTTTTTCCTCTGTTCATCTAACGCGCCAACGAACATCCTGTTTCACTATCAATTCTTTTTTTTTATTTTCATTTATTTATGACTTTCTCTCGAGTGGGACTTGCGCCCTTTTCCGCTTTCATTTTTTGAGTTTCAATTACTTTTGGACCCCGAGACCAAGACCCTGCTCCTTTCTTGAACCTGAATCGACATGGATGCCTGGACGCCCGGCCACGGCAATTGGTTACTCTCTCTCTTTTCTTTCTTATCGTTCTGCATCTTGGCGATAGAAGAGCGAGGCGAATTTCGAGAGCATTTTTGCGCGCAACTGTTTTTCTCTACGCATGTTGGACGATGTGCTTGCAGCAGATCCTGCTGCCATCGTTCCACCCCCATAATATACCAATCATGCAGATAATCGTCTAATTTTCGCATTATTGGCTGCGCGCCTTTCTTATCCTTTCTTAACCTTTTTTTTTTCCTTCTATTTATCGCTCGGGTGGCACGCCATGCAAAATAGGATTTCTCGACCCAATTTTTTTTAAGGTACGATCTAGGGCTGCACATCATACCACAACCCCCCCATCAGCCCATCATCCTCATCCCCTGACCACCCCTCCTCTCGTCCGCCCAGCGATCAACTCCCACCCCCGATCCTAGCCTCACATCGCGCTCTCGCGCGCGCGCGTGCGGGTGTCCTCGCAACTCACACCGAGTCGGAGGGTGTGGGCCAGCCCTTGAAGGCCCATCCATCATCCACCAAGGGGGGGCCGCGAGCGTTAGTCAGCGGGGACCCGGCCGAACGCTCTGGACCGCGCCCCAACAAACAGCTGGGCATGTGTCGCCTTCCCCGCGTTAGCTTTACCCACCCTCCCCCCTGGTCGCGACAAGAAACAGAATCATGATGTCGCGCAGCACCGCGCGGTGGTGGTGGTGTGCTGCTGCTGTTGCTGGCGGGCGGTGGCTGGTGCTCAACTAACGCTTTTCAGGGGAGAAAGCCTGTTTTTCTTTGCGGACTCGCGCTTCTTTTTACCCCTTTTTCTTCTTCTTAGTATGTGATGGCCCCGCCGGATGACACTTGATCCCGACCACCACCATGGTGGTGTGGATTATTGTTGTTGCTGAAGAAGATCGTCGACAGGACCCTTCTTTTAGTGAGTGTAGGACTAGGCGATGAATATTAATAATTAATGGACTGTGGCGCCATACTATTACCTACATATTGGTGGGACGTGCACGACTGTGGGAAGACTGGGGGTGGTGGGGAGGGGCTATCATTTACATATAGATTAGTATTTGCCACTACTAGTTACGGGGTGAGGCTGATGATTTGGCACTGCTGGCAATCTTGACTTTGTTTTCTTCATTTGATTGGGTTTTTGATGCCTTAATAAAAACCTCCCATATTGCTTGACTATGCGGCCAGGGGCGGAGTTGGTGCAACTAGGCTGCAGCCTGCAGATCCTGAAGAATTTTGGGTGGCCTTGTTTTTTCATTAGTTCTGGGTTTGCTGCTGCGCTGTGTGGATGATAGTTACATGCATCCAACAATCATCATCCATACATACATATATACATACATACCTCCAGCCCAAGGAAATAATAATAATACTAATACACTTGTGACCGCCGTCCGACCGGTGAAAGCGCGGCTCCTCGTCAGCCCCGTGCCTAATAATGGCTGGCCCCCTTCCCTCCTCCAGCCCCGGGGGTCTCAGAACACCCATGATTGTCACACGCACTCGCACATGCCTGGATCCATAAAGCCCCCCCCCCCCCCCGCCTCTGTCGACGTATACAAGTTCCCCCTCCGGGTGAGTTCTAGGCCAGCTGCTAAATAACTAGGTACCTACTTAGTTAAGTAGCTAACTCGCCCAGCTGGCTAGCGGCGCCGACTACCCCCCCCCCCCCCCCCCCCCTTCCCTCCCCGATTGATCGCCCTTACTAACGGGCCTTGAGTGGCGGTCGGACATACAAACTCCGTAGCGCTCCTAGGCGGAGGAGGGGGGGCTCCGAGAGAGCTAGTTAGCTAGCTAGCTGTCCATTATCATAGTTCAATTGATTGATGATGGGGCATTCTGTGCATAAATACTCGGAGATGCTTGTTTGGTTCGGTGTTCAAGACGTGGGCCCGCTCCGTCAATTCTTCGTTTGTAGTTGTTGGGGAGAGAAGGGCTAGGGGGTTAGAATTCGGGTTTTAAGGGTGCGGAAATTTATTTTATCGTTCCTTATTAATAAGAAGTCTAAATGGATCATGTGGCTGGAGATATTTTTTTAGAAAAGGGTTGGGCTGTCCGTTGTTTTTGTCGAAACGGGTTATTATTGTTTGGCTATTCTGCTCAGCCCGGACCTCCCCCCTGGAAGACGGAGTATTGTATGTGTCTGTGATCCATTGGACACTAGGGCAAAAACAGCAGCAGGTGACGAGTTTTGATGCTACGCTGGAGAAACTTGGAATACGCCCTACAAGACCGCAGGGCTGCTGGGGGAAAAGATTGTAGTACTCCGTAGTAGTCGTGTTCTATTTGACTTGAACGGGGAATAAAATCCACTAGGGGCTCGGTGGGATGAGACAAAATAGGAAGTCGCTGGCATAGGGCCGCCATTTATTATTTCCTGGCCGCCAGAAAATAATAATAAGAAATGCAACATACTGCGCATGTTCTGTCTCAATGTGGTCGTTTGCCGTCCGCTCCGCGCCCGGAGTTAATAAGGTTGTAACGTGGGTCAACATGCTTATGTCATCCAGCCAAGCAGCCCACCTCGCTTACATAACTAGCTTACTACCTAGTTCAATCCTATAAACTCAAACCGCCGTCTTCTCAACGAGCTTTTGTTTCGAGCGGCCTTGGAGCGGTTGAAGGTGGAGGTTGGTGCACTGCCACTGAGTGCTGGGCAAGGGGGCTTGACTTACCTGGTTATTGCTTCATCTTTCCGCGATTCTGTCCTGCCCAGCTCAGAACCACCTTAGATAGTCAGCTGTGAGAATTTGATCCCACAAGGTGGAATAATTACTCTGTATCACTCGTGAATTCTATGGTACTTTGCTATGAGAAAAAAAAATCCACATAAAATAAAACTCTAGCTTTCATTTTCTAATGTGTAATTCCAACACTGCCATTGGCCAAAAACCAGCCCTTTCTTACCCTTTCACAAAAAAATATTTATCCACCCACCCACCCCTGCGCTGTCCAGGAACTTAACTCAATTCAAAGCGTCTGATCTCACAGCGAGTCATCGCCTGCTCTCAGACCCCCTCTCCATTATTTACCTTATTGATGACCGGACATTGGCCAAGGTGACTGTCCTGCTTTGAATTGCTGATCTGTTGATGGTACTTATTGCAATGACCCTGTCTTTTGTGCTGAACTGGGTGAGCTCGGCCCTTATAAAACTGGAGAGGGGTTTAATAATGGTCCTATTTGAGCAATGAAGCTTTCTCGGAATAATATGTGATTTGATCTGATGGCCGAATTTGTGAAGGCGTTGCCTTTTTGTTCATACGCATTTGGATCTGTCCCCGAGAAATATCATTGTAGCTGGGGGTAGGGTGGTGGCACTCTTAAATTGGGAAATGGCCGGTTATTTTCCTGAGTATTGGGAATATTTCCAGGCGTCGTACTATCCAGATTGACAAAGCGAATGGATTAAGGGTGCCGCCATCGAAAAGATACTAAATCCATATCGTTTGAAGCACGCAGTCCTATCACACATGCAAGAAATTGTCTTCTAGCTAGAAAACAGGACCATAGTCCGCAAGGCTAGTTACCTTGGGAGCATCCCGGCCAAGGAAATATCATGAGCTCTGTTCTACAGCCACGTAATATATTCTCCAGCGTACTAGCATTTCACTTTACCCCAGTTGAAAGCCACCCTCACACCGTGACCTAGCAGGCCGAGAGCATAATTTTGGGGGCCGCGGTTGGTAGATAGCTGGCTGGTCAACGAACCGGTGCACTGGGGCTTCAACTAGGATTAGTTCGGTGTTTAGGTAGTTTCTCCGTATGTATTCTCAAGGTGGTTTCTCGGGCCTACGAAATTCCGATACAGAAGACCAACGGACCCCGCGTTAATAATATTCCGAGAAGTCTTGGCGCTGTGGCGCCGGCGCAAAGCGTCATTGTGGTCACCATTATGGCAATGGGCCGGGCAGTCCTGCCAACAATGGGGGGACTCGAGGCTATATCATCGTCGACTTGTTAATTGTTTCTGTGCAGAAGCATCAGCGACAAAAATGCCGTGTTGATACATATTTCATTATTTTGTTTTTCCTACAATGCCTTTATATTCAGATGATAGCGCCTCCGTCCCTGAGTGGACTCTCCTCATGAAGAAATGCACCTCCAGGAGAGTTCTTTCTTCGGACTTTCGAGACTACTCGAAGATCATGATGCGCCGACACCCGATCACCGCAAAGTCACTGGTCCGCATTCTTCTGGATGCGAGGCTGGAGTCGAACACCATGTGGGAGCCACTGATACCCCAATACATCGATGTCTTGCAGAGACTGGGCTACCTGAAACTGCCTGAGATCATGAAGTTCCTTTTGCCGTATTCGACTATTCACTGCGATACGCACCCCGCTGTGAAGCCGGAGAACGACGGCAAAGGCGTGAAGAGGAAAAGAAAGCCCTCAACTCTCATGACCGATAACAAGATTATTCAAAATATCATCGCTGCTATTTCCTTGAGCCGTGCGCCAAAGTCCACATTAGAGGCGGTCGGAATTATAAGAGCCACTGCGGACTGGATCTCTACGCTTCTTTCGTGGGATCCTTACGGCGATGATCCAGATGGTGTCAACTCCGGTGGGCTTTTAGGCCACCAGGAGGGTGCATGCCTTTTTGGAAGTTTAGGCCTTCTGGTGGTTGCGTTGGCGGCAACAGAGAAAGGCATAGGTGCACTGTCTTCTCTGTCTTTAAAGGGTAAGTTACAGACCTTTTTTGTTTCTAAGAATCTCTCACTGATTTGGATAAAACAGATCGAAAACTCGTTGGGGGAGCACTTACATCTTACTCTTCTCTTTGTGCTGGGTACTCTCTCCCGTTGAAGAGCAGGCTCGAGGGAATTCAGAAAGGCTTCAATATTTACCCGCATGATGGCGCCAAAAAATCAGACGAAATGATTGGCGATGTCGGCGTTGCGCTTCTACAGTTTGAATCTAGCGTAGTCCATATTCCAACTATAAGTTCTAGAGCTGGTCTCTACATTTATATTAATTCTTTAGTAAGGTTTCTCATCTGCTCTAATATATATGGCAATGCTAAAGCTGATTGCTACCTAGCTGGCGGGGCGCCCATTGTTTGATGATATGATGCTTCTTAACTACTTAAACAATCGCTATGGGGTAAATATGCCTAATCCGTGTTAAGGAACTGCATGAACTAAAATGAGATAGGGAGATCTCGTTTCTTTAGTTGAGGAACTTATTACCGCTTCGTTTGATGTTCTATCAAATGGGATGTACCGAAATGAATCCAGCAAGACCATGTTTCTATTGAGAGCGTTTCTTGTCAACAAATTACCCCCCTTTCTTGCATATGTGGTTGCCACAATGGAGCCCATAGATGTGGAGCGGTGTATTACCCATGCTTTAGCCCGCGTCGATCCAAATACATTCCCTTCATTCTCAGCAACGTTTTCAATGCCGGCAAATTCAGTCCTTTCAGACGTTAGACAAGAATTTCTGTTTTCTTGCGCTCTCCACAAGCTTATTCCCGAGTCAAGCATCGAGCGTTTATTGGGCGAGAACCCAATGCAAACACTGCCGGTCGGTGGCCAATTCATAAAGAACGACCTAATCGCGCAAATGAATGCCAACCCAGAGCGTGCAGAGCAACTTCTAGGTGGAGTTGAAGCTATGGAGGGAAATGCTGGGGCTATTGTTGAAGCTATCACTGAATTTATGCAAAGTTTATGCTTAAGAAAAGAAACGATCACGCTGAAAAATATCTGCAACTCGCTATCCCGCAGATCTCAAGTGTTAGACATAATGCTTCTGTTCAAAAGCCCTATTGCGATATTGGGGCCCCTCTGTTCACTGTTGGATGCTTGGAAATGGGAAGAAGACCACGGTATGATACATATTGCACCACTTTTGACTGTATTGTCTGACCTCTTGCTGCAGGAGAATGCCAGCCAGTTTATGATGAGTTTGGAAGTATACTGCTGTTGGTCCTTGCTTTTAAGTATAAATATAATCTAACGCCGCTGGAGCTGGGAATCAGCTCCTCTAACTCGTTTACACTACGGCTACTTGAGGGTGGTGCTTCCAGCCAGCGCCTTGAGGATTTAACAGATAGCCAGAAACAAAACCTCGGTGCCTGGATTACCGCACTGTATGTTGCAGAGGGAATTAGTGACGAGTCGATGTCCTCATGCAGTCCACAGGAGTTTTACCTTCTCGTTGCTACTCTGTTCAGCCAAAGCCTGGCTGCATGCCAGGTTGGGAAATTAGAATTTGAGACACTTAAGGGAGGGTTTGAATGTGAGTCGATCAATGTAGTGACATTTTAATAAACCGAGGAGTTGTGCTAATAGTAGGAAAAGATCTCTTGGAACCATTCCTTCTGCCAGCACTGGTAATGGCACTGAGTTGGCTTGGAAACCATATTTGGGAATCTGAAAGTGACCTGGATACCTCACTAAAAATACTACACGGTCTTGTGCAACCAGCTTCTATCTCCGGAGAGGCACAGGAAATCCATCGTACCGTATTATCGATAACTTCGCGAGCATTGGAGTCAACTCTAAAAGATATTTCGACGAGGCATCCTTCTCGAACTGATGTAAAGCCGATTATGGATGTGCTCGAGCCTTATCAGTCTTTTCAGCGATCTGGTGCCACCCAACTACCCGAATTGGATACCTGGAGAGCCAATCCAGCTGGGGGAGGTTTGGTGACTAGCATTCGAAATACCTTTTCTTCTCTCGTCTTATGGAGCTCGGATCCGGAAATCAGCATGGCTCCCCCTAGTTACACCCATCGCCAGATTCTGGCTGGAATTGGGCATGTCGGCTCGTATAGGGTACTTCAAGGACTAATTGACGAGCTAAAGCTGCAATCAGAAACAGGAAGTGCAGATCTGGCGTTCGACATCGCGACAACGCTCATTTGTGCTCCAACAGCGGAGTCCTTTTCAGCGGAGCAGAGTTTACAGCGAAACATCAACGGCAACAAATATCAGTACAAATATCTAACCCTACGTGATGCGCTTGCTTTACTTCGGGAATCCCTGCCGAAATTGATCGAATCAGACCCCCATCGTGCAGAATTGATAGTACGCCTTCAACGTCGTGTGGAAACACTATGTTCCATGTCACAACTACCACCTGCAGGCGTTGACGTCGGCAGCATTATGGAAAATATCAACCTTGAAGCTGTTGGCGAAACCGCAGATCCACATGATCAGCAGCAGCAGCAACAGCAACAACAGCCCAACGAGTCTGACGCAGCCAACATTATTGCAGCAGGAGGTGATACCACCAAGAACCTCGAGGCCATGCTCGACGCGGCAGTTGGCGAGTCAGCCGCCAACGAAGGGATAGGGCAAGATTTATTTGCGACTGGGGTTGGAAATGGGGAAACGGACCCGATAGATGATGTGTTTGGAATGATGGACATGGCGAATCCGGAGTTCATCGATTTAGATATGGAAGGCATGTTTTAGGCAAATATAGTATTGCGATATAAGCTACTGAGTAGATAGATCAGGATTGAGTGACCAATATATTTGTATGTTAATATCTCGCGCCAGATGAAATTTCACAACATATTGATGCCAGACTATTTCTTTGTTCAGTACTTTGCGGTCTAAATGAGCCGGTGAAATAGTCGTATTTTTTATGTGTATGTTTACTACATGATGATTGGCTGCAGCTTTTATTCTATATATACAGGTATAGATTTTTTAAAGGAGATCCAGGAGCCAGCGGTGTTGATACCAACTCGAGCAATAATAGGCACACCCTAGACTTCTCCCTACGTCACTATTTGTCGTTCTAATTTGTGCTGGTAACTGTTGCACCATCTTCCGCTGGTTCCAGTAGCTTCCACTGACACGAGATCCCATGTTCCTTGAATACACTTACAATCTGGTTTGCAATATCTGTAAAATTGTCTGTTGCCAACGCCAGTATTGTTGGGCCTGCACCTGATAGGCATATGCCCAGTAGCCCCGGCTGGGTGCTCGGCTTCATTGAATGCAAGATTTCAGTGAGGCCGGGGATAAGGTGTTTTCGGTATGGCTGGTGGACCTTGTCTTGCATGGCAAGGTAAATCATGTCTGGGTCAAGAGGTTCTTGGCTAAGGGCGGACGGGAGGAGGGTTGCGCGTTGAAGGTTATAGATCTAAGAAATAGTGGTCAGGGGGTGCTTGAATATGTATGCAAAGGAATTCATTATGTCCAGGTACGGAGGGCCATAGGAAACCTACCACATCAGCACGAGAGTATGTCTCTGGCAGAACTTCTCGGGCTTTGGCTGTGGGTAATTCAAAAGCTGGAATAATGGTGATGGCTTTTATTTGCTTTGCCCAAGGAAATCTCTTGTAATGACCAATTCCTATAGGTGGCTCTGGAGGTTTGATTCCAGTATCTATTCCTCCAGCAGGCGCAGGAAGAACTTCGCTAAGTGGAATTTCCTTCCAAGCAAGGTCTTCAGGTTTTAATTCACGAAGATATGTTCCCACAAATCCGCCATACAGAGCGGCCGCAACGTTGTCAGGATGGCGTTCTATGCACCAGTTCTAATATTAGCAACAGCTTCAGCTGGAAGAGAGATAATAGACCAATCGAAGACCTACCAATCATTAAACAATAATCCAGCATTCTGGCTTTATTCAAGCCTAATTTACCAACTTCATTTCCTAGCACCACCCCTGCTGTGACCGCTGCACCGCTCGATCCCAACCCTCGACCCAGTGGGATAGGATTTTTGATGTGGACATGCGTTTGGACAGGGAAGGCATGGCTGTTATGGCAGCGCAGAACGTACAATGCCACACGGGTGATAAGATTGACTTCAGGGTCAAGGCTCACTTCACTTGCGCCTTCACCTTCATATGTGACAGAACAGTTAAGCTTCGATTTTTCAGAGGAAGGAGTTGTTGCAAGTGTGACGTGGAGCTCAAGATATATCGAAAGCGCAAGCCCTGGATTGACATATCACATTAGGCGCGTGTCTTCATTTGGATGACCGTGTTTGGTTCGGGATGCTGGGGATCCATGTAACGCATCTTACCGATTACATCGAACCCAGGGCCGATGTTTGCCGAAGAGCAGGGTATTTTAATGGTGAAGGACATTATGATACGTTTAGGCGAGCTCAACCGGGAGGCGGCTGGCTTTGCAAGGATATTTTAGCGAACAGAATTCAGCAAAACTTCATCATTTGTTTCCTCGAATGCAAATACCCGGAGGAATGACTCCTTCTCCGAGATCGTGAGCCTGGAGATGTGATTGGCCACAATTGGTTATCCACACTTGGAAAACTTTAAGCGATTTAAGCTTTCTCATGACCGATGGAGCCCTTATCTTATCGATCTTTATCATGCTGCCCTGTCATTCATACAAAGCAAGAGAAGTATTAACATCAGCATGGCTCAAAAATCCCGAATACTGTTTAGTTCCTACACGAGCTTCTCTCCAATCTACTCCCACTCCAGCCTGGGTAAAGCATGATTGATATCGGCACCGTGTCCTCTGCCCACGAATTCCGTTTTACCATGAGGCTGCCGGCACGTGTTGTATCATATTTACAACCTCTCCAGGCTTGACAAGCGTCACGATACTCTTTTTGACTGCATTAAAGGTGTCTCGATACATTCGAGTATCTGTCACCCATGGACAGATTGTGTTCACACGAACGTTGAAATCCAGCATACTGGTTGCACGAAGAGACCGCATGATGCCAATACCATGTTTACTGGCAATGTAGGCTGTGGAGCCTGGAACTTCTGTGAATCCGAGCAATGAGGAAATGAGCGTAAGTGACTTCGGCTGCCCGCCTAAATGATTGGGAGAGCACTTCAGATATGCAAGTGCAATGCAGCAAAAATAAAGACAACCCGTAAGATTGACGCCGATAACATTGCGTAATGGAGTAGGGATCTGAAGGCAATGTGCAGAGCTGGGGTTTAGTTTGAACTCGGACATGAAGATTCAGCCCTACCAACCTTTCTCACGCTCTCCAAATTCAGCTCACCGGCCATCCACCCGTCAGAGTCTTCTATTCCTGCACAATATATGGTCATATCGACTGTTCCATATCTATCCAGCGCAGCGTCAAATACTCGTAGCTGTGCTTCATAATCGGCAACATCGGCTTTTATGAAAGTCGAAGAGCCGCTGTTTGGCCCTGCTTCTGACAATAATAGTCTATTCAATTCGATTCCGTGCTTTCTGGCGCAGTCATAGTGGAAAACATGAGCACCCGCGTGGGAAAAAACGGAAACTGTTGCCGCACCGATACCATTCGCCCCGCCTTGTCGGACGAAGCATCAGGTTAGGAGGTATCAAATAAAAAAAAGCTGCCTTATTCTACTAACCTGCAATGGTCATCCTTCTCTTAATAAGGGCCATAGTATCACCATCTATCAAGATTTCCTCCATGATTTAGAGACGGGAGAGTTCAATCATGTAACATTTGAGCATGTATACGCAATCCTGTTAACCAAAAAAATCGGTAGCATGTTCCTCCCTACCTTCGCCTCGATGTTTTCTGTGAAATGCGGCCCAGTAGATAAGGCTGCCAATGAGGCCAGAGTAAGCAAGGAGTTGGGATTGGCTTGGTCAAGATAATATGTGTGGCCATTTGGAAAGGGATCGCAATACGGAGTATATGTATATGTACAGTACAAACACAAAGGAACAAGCTAATTAGGAGAAAAAGGTCGAAGGGAAATAGGCATTGAGGAAATAAATGCATGATGTGCCTAGGAAAAAAGAAGCCCAGAAAAGTTTAAACATAAGACAACCGTAACCTCGTATTAATGCAACCGTCAGGAGAAAAGGAAAACTGGGTATCACGATCGTAATCCGTCAGAAGTCAGTGGCTTTTTACTGGGGCTTTCGAATCGCTATTCCCGCCACCTTCATCATGGTTCAAATGTACCTTCGCATCTTGTTCATCATCTTCTTCAGTGTTCTCTGAGCCTGGAATTTCGCCCCATGCAGAGCTCCTACGGCTCATTTTGCCTGGAGCGTTAGGGAAATATGAATTGGCTGTGATACCACCGATACTTCCGGTGGAACTATCATTTCGCCCGTGGTGGGACTGTAGACCGCTGCGAATACTGCCACGGTCCGCTAATCCAGCTCCGGAGGTAGAATATACGCTGGCGCGCTCAGTACTTAGCATACCGCTTCGGCCTAGTGCTACAGGCATAGAAGTAGAAAGCTCTCCTCCTGTGGCGTTAAAACTCCCCATATTTCCGCTTAATACGCTCAGAGGTAGGCTTTCGCGACTGCCACTAAATATAGAGGATGGGGCGAGAGCTCGTACGGATGCGTTCGTATCAAGAGAGTTTCGACGTCGACGCTTGGAAGAAGATGCCAGTGTTAGCACAGAGGCATTGTCTGTGAGAAGGTTATTGGCGGTTGCGGTACTATAAGTAGTTGGGTGCGGAGAGATATGGTGCGGGATAGCCGAAACGGGAGTGGTTGGAAATTGATGGGAAAACTGAACAGTCGGTTGATTTCCTCCCTGAGATGTACTTTGTGGAGTGCTGCCCGTAAGGTAATGATTCGGAGCCCCTGATTGAACTGTTGTCAGGGTAGTAGTAAGCGATTGCACGGACGGAGCAGGCGACGAAAAAGTGCTTCCCTCCCCGCCACCACGGCAACTCCTACCACCGCCAGCAGTTGCCGATGTGCCTGTCTTCGAGTAAGCTGTATCTGACAGCACTGTATCGGCATTCGTAGACAGTGTTGGAGCAACGGACCTCCGGCCAACAGCGTGGCCCACTTGCTCACCATCTCTACTACAGGACTCTGAAGGAGAATACTCGCTTTGATGCAAGCTATTGGCCAGATCCGATGTTGAATGACGTCCGTTCAGCTGTTCAGCGCCGGGAGAATACACAGTTCCTGACAACGGATAGGGATTATTTCTAGCAGCCTTCTTGTTCTTGGTGTTCCCAGCACGGCCATTATGCTTTGAGGTGTCATGAGAATCGGAAGATGAAGAATTCTTGAGGTTTGCGAGCCGTTTCATCCAGTTTGAGAAGGGTCGTCGACGACCATGACGATCTACAACCAGATGTCAGCATCCCTACACGAGCGTAGTGCATAGAGGGGTGATAAGTACCATGGGGCCTCGACGGCGCTTCAGTTGTCGCCATCTTGGTCATTCAATTAGTGTCCGGAAAGAAGAGCAGAAAAGCGATGAAGAACAGTGGGTAGTTTGCGCCGGCGGGTGGACGGGATTGCGTTTCAGCCAAAGACAAAGCAATCAAAGGCGCAGCAATGACTACCCAGATAAGCCCCGATACGAAGCGGCCAGACCACCCAACGGCCCTGTTTGCACTGTTTGTGCGACTATCGGGCGCCAATGCTTAGTCATGGGTCCTAGAAATGCTTACTAATGATAAAGCAAGTTTCGACGAAGTACTCACAGGACACCATAGGGCAGCAAGCGATATCCGAAATTTGATCTTTATTATCTGTATAGGTATAATAGATACCTGATAGTTAATTGCGTACAGAGTTTTGAGGAACTTTTCTTTATACCTAAGAAGTCTCGGGGCCAAGGAAATTGATTATATAATTCCATTAGCCCTAAACTTAAATGGACTACATATAACGCGCGGCCCTTTCACGGCCTCGGATCAGTCTTTCTCAAATGGGGTGCCTCGCCCGAGCTCTGGATATACTGAATAGCAAACCGAAGGCGGGGTTTGGAGCGCTGTTGTTGTCGTTGTTGTTGTCTTCGTCGTCAAATTCATATGCTCCCAGTCATGCTGAACCTTCTCAGCGTGAGATGGACTTCTTTCGCTGTCAATAAATGATCTATGAGATCAAAATTCTCGATCGTCGAACCGGAAAATTATAACAAGGGTCTTAACTAGGCCCTTTGGGTTCCCAAGTTTGGTTGGGCGGTTGGAAAATTTGAGTACTGAACTTGCATGATGACTTCTTCAGCACTTCCCATTCGACCTTTACCTACAAAAGTTGCTGCGCAGATCAAATCGTCCACCACAATCATCAGTCTGAACAGCGTTGTCTTAGAACTGGTTAAGAATTCGTTGGATGCGGCGGCCCATACGATAGCTGTTACTGTTGATTATCAAAAAGGTGGCTGTGTGGTCGAGGATGACGGCATCGGCATACCGTCATTGGAGTTTAAGGACGGAGGGGGCTTAGGAAAGCTTTACCGTATGCAAAATCGTCGACCCTTTTCCAGAAGAGAACTACAGTGAGAGCCGCAACTGATGTTCATCTACCGTAGATACATCGAAATTTGAGTGCACACATGAAGTCTATGGTCGTAGCGGCATTTTCCTCTCATCATTGGCCTCCCTTGCCTTGGTCTCAATAACATCCCGCCATAGAGCAGATGCTACGACCAATTCCGTAACGTATCACCAGTCAAACACAATTTCTAGACTCTGTCCAGCTCCGGCGAAATACGACTTAGCCTATGAACATGGTACTAAGGTAATTGTAACTAATTTGTTTGGTAACCTGCCTGTTCGAGTAAAGCATCGCGCCTTGTCGCTGCAAAGAAATGGAGATATAGACAAGGAATGGGATGAGCTCACGCGCTTATTGACGAGTCTATTGATTGCATTTCAGAACCCAATAAAACTTATATTTGAGGATTCCTCAAAATCTCGAAAGACAATAATCCGAGGCCGGAAGAAGAGATCAGATCAGAAAAAGTCACAAGACGAGCCTACGGATAGAGCTATTCTCGACATTGCTCAAGTGGCCTCAATTCTTTCCCAAGTAGGGTATATATCTTCTACGGAATTTGGGTCATGGGTCTCAGCCTCGGCACGAGCGTCTGGTATTTCAGTACGATCTGCAATCTCTCTCGTGCCTAGTCCAACCAAACAAGTTCAATTTATATCTTTTGGGATCAACCCGCTGAATCAACAATCCAATGCCAATGTTCTCTACGACGAAATCAACCGATTGTTCACAAAGTCCAGCTTCGGAGCGGAGGACTACTGCCCACCCGAAATAGCCGATGAACTTCAAGGGTTGAATTTAGGGGATATCCAAAAAGGAGGTCGAGGTCAGCTGGAAAAGGGGTACAGGGCTCATGCAAAAGGCGTGAACCGCTGGCCTATGTTCTACATTCGAATAGACTTGAAAAAGCAAAGCGAAATAATTAATGAAAAAAGTGGGCCGTTGAGCTCAGAGAAATCTCTTGAAAATATTCTCAGCGTACTCAATGCCATGATCTGCCAGTTTCTTGAGCAATATAACTTTTCAACGCCTCGGTGTCGAAGAGGTGAAAAGAGGCCACAGGAAAACGTGGTTGAGGCAGAAAATAAGGAATACCAGCCTTCCAAAAGACCTAAATGCTGTACCACCACCAATCCGGCTGTTGTGGTTGGGGATGTTCAAACAACCCAGGAAGACTTTTTGAACCCTCTTCTCAAACTACCCAATCGTCCTCAATCAAGCCGCATGCCCCCAGGCACTCTACGACCAGACCTTGCAAGTTGGTCAAGAATAAAAGCAGGAAAAAATAAAGATATTTTGGAAGAAATATGCGGCGGATTACCGCGTAGGAAGAGTAAATCAATAACCTCTCTTGACAAATTGCCTGACAGCGAAAGTGGAGAGGGACGACGTCTGAAAGAATCCTTGCGTCCCGCGTCCTTTCCTACCACCCCAATATCCACAGAATTGTGTGAGAGCACGCCCTTAGATCATACAGCTCTGGAAACGCAAACGGAAACGCTGCCACCCAGGGTGGCAGAGGCTGACAGTATTGAGCAAGACCCTTCGAATCATGTGATCGTGTGGATGAGTCCCGTTTCGAAAAAAGTCCTTCATATAAACAAGCGCACTGGGCAGACCATGCCATTACAGAGCACTGGACCTATACCATTCCGCCCCATAAGTGCGACTTCGCAATTGTCAGTAAAATCCAAACGAGACCAGTCGCAGTCCCCCGCCCCAACTCCATGGATCGACTCTGTCCTCCAAAATTGGGAGAATCCTGTTTTCCGCTTGCCCGAATATCCAATACCATCCCTCAGGCCTGCCACGCCCATCCATCCGGAACAGGGAGATAACGGATTTGCCGCCAAATTACGGAATGGGGCAGGCAATACCAGCGATTTCTCTTTCTCGTTCAATGGGCGGCTTACGAAGGCTGGGCTTGCCAAGGCCAAGGTTCTCGCACAGGTGGACAAGAAGTTCATACTTTTGAGAATGGCCGTTCGGCCGAGTGAAGCTGGTGACGACCAACAAGTCTTGGTCCTCGTTGACCAACATGCAGCAGACGAGCGAATCAACGTTGAGCAGCTCTTCATTGAAGTATGTTCACAGACAGTAGACACCACCTCTCTCTCTCAACCAATATCATTCAAAGTTTCTTCCCAAGAGGCGCAGCTTTTCACTTCCCAGTCCGACTACTTCGCTTCTTGGGGCTGTCTTTACTCTGTATCCAGAGAAGAGACACAGTCACAGTATTCTGCCGTCAAGATATCCGCCCTCCCCACTCTCATATATGAAAGATGCAGAACAGAGCCCAAGCTTGCCATCGACATGCTTCGCTCAGAGATCTGGACGCGCAAAGATACCGGAGTCACTCCAAAGCCCAGAGCTTTGGAGTCAAACAGCGAACCTGCACCCTGGCCGCAATTGATCTCCCAGTGCCCTCGCGGGATCATTGAGCTTCTCAACTCCCGTGCCTGCCGGTCATCGATCATGTTCAACGACAAGCTGCGTAATAAGGAGTGCGGAACCCTTATCGCGAAGTTGGCCCAGTGCGTGTTTCCCTTCTACTGTGCGCATGGAAGGCCGAGTATGGTTCCAATTCTGAACCTGGGTACCATGTGCAATGGTGACACAGCCGGGATAGCACTAAACGATGCAGCGACTGCTTTTGGAAATTTTGCTGAGCATGAGAAGGATGCTGAACAGTTTGCGCAGGCATACATGACATGGAGGCATAACCAGGGGTGAATATGCGCCCCTTTTATAGTCATGCCCAGCGAACAAGATCCTAGTGCTTCAAAGATAAGCTCCTTATCTTTGCTTTCAGCTAGCCTATGAAGTACCTCGCGCGGATAGCTTCAGATCCGCCCATGGTCGATTAATTTTGACTAGAATGAGTCCTTCCTTGTATTTGGAGGGTGTCTTGGATGCCCTAGAAGGCTTTGGAAGCCCGCTATTGGGAGAATAGGTTCTAGAACAGTGACGGTGTATTGGGTTCACCTATAGTCAATAGTAATTTATTGAATTGATGAGTTCCCCAAGCCGTATTGAATCCGATGTGTTCTTAATCCATCGGGTGCTTGTCTTTTGGCTAGATGTTGTTTCGCAGGGCATTGGAGCCGTACATCGGAGTAGTTACATATTGGTCGACATGGAGCCATATCGTCTCTAGAGAGACGCCTCTGCTCGCCCGAAATGCGTGATCTCGCGCGACACGTGCCGACTTGCCCGAGAGGGCAGTGCTGGTGGGATGACTCGAGGCGCCAGCGTGCATAAACATCACTACACTCCGTATAGGATCGAGATCTGTGCGTGCGTGGGGGGCCATAGTTCGCTAACTAAAGGATGATGATCCCGTCGCCCCCTTCCCTCAGTCGAATCACGACCAACATAGTGTCCAATAATCTACTGCGCACCATCGTTGCTTGTTTGGCTTCCTTCTACCTACTCGTACTTAAATCGCTATCAGGCCACACTACTCCGTACAGCCTCAGCAAAAAAAAAAAAAAATGTCGCAAAATCCTCCTAGTTCCTTTGGTCTGCCCACTGCCAGGTAGGTAACTAGGTAGCCAAGTAGGTACCCTCAGTGCCACCGCCATCAAAGACGGCCCGCGTTCCAACAGTAGCAACGACACCGACGATCAACAGACCGGCCGACTTCGCGGGCGCACTCCGATCTCACCCGAGGCCCGCGACCGCCGGGCCTTTCTTTGTTGCGTCGCTGGTCGCAGCCAGCCAAGGCATAGGGCTGGCCAATGGGCGGCCGTGCATATCGTGGAATCCCGGACGCGAGCCGGGCTGTTATCTGCGGGGTGGGGGGGAGGCACACGCGAAGTAATGGGATTGAGTAATTTAAATATTAACTAATACTTTGATTGTTTGAAAAGCTTGAGGGCCAGTGTGCGGGTGTGTGCGCGGCAACTAGCTCTCGCTAGCGAGGCCGTACATAGCTAGCTCGCATCTTGGGTTCCGCAATCGGCCATGTGCGGGCGACGGCTGGATATTGGGACGGAACGGCGCTCCGGGCTGCTTGGTGTGGGTGGCTGCGCGCTGGCCGGCATGCTGCTGCAGCTCATCCAGCGCCATATCGACTATCCAGAGACAGGCCGAATATCGCAGAAGAGGCGATCGGTGCCCCGTAGAGTCGCGTGCGCAGCGCGTTCGGGCGGGCATGTGCCGACGACGTCATCGGCGCTTATCCGGCTGCTGACTACGGCGGCCCAAAGCAGCCTGCTTGGCCTTCGCGCGGCGGGCGAGGCAACGCAGCGCTGACCAGCAGGAGAATAATCACCAGTACGGAGTATATTGTATGTAGGAATGCTACGGTGCCGGCCGTCAGGCATCAGCACGGTATCACTGAACCCACCCGATCGTCGCCCCCGGACCCCCTTTGACGTTGCCCGCCATGATTCTGTCCAACAACAACCCTCGTAACAAACTACTGTAGGTCCCACCTGGCGGACTCTTAAGCTCCACTGCCGGCCAAACGTGCAGAGATAGGCAAATCCGGGAACTCTCCGCTGATAAGATAACAAAAAAACAAAAGACCACGGGAGAACTGCCGCTCGCCGCTGCCCGTGAAAGGCAGCGGCGGATGGCTGTGATGTAGAAACAAAATCATCCCTTTGGCCCGCCGGCCTCAAACTGGTCTTGCTCAGAGGGCCCGAGATCGCAATGCCGCGGGAACGGAGGCTGCATTTGGGCCACGGCAGTCGGGCCAAAAAAAAAAAAGGGAAAATAAGAGTCCACGACGCTAGCCTAGCTTCCTATTTGCCCGGGAGCCTGGCAGCGCAATCTCAGGGAAAGCGGGAAACTGAGCGGAGACAAAGGGACCGCCGCACGATAATCACAGGTAAAACGGCGGCGATTAGTATTCACTCGCGCCCGCCCCCATACCAGAATGGCCTAATAGCCAATGCTAAGCAGATGATGAACCGCTGTATCTGATTTGCGAGAGATAATGAAGCAAAAGGAGCCCTGCCGCATCCGTCATAGCTGCTGGACCCCCGTAGGAGCTTGCCGGCACTGATAAGTACTCTCTCTGCCCACATGTGTGCCCTCTGTTTCTTTCCACCGTTATCTCTCGCTTTCTCTCTCATTGCCTGTTTGCTCCCAGTCAGGCGTTATTCTTAGTTCATTTGCCTCACCCACAGAAAACACATTGCTGGTTCGCACACGCGCTAAAGCTTGTTTTTCTGGAGCTCACCTCATTCAACTCTTTCTCCCCCGCGTTCTGAACTTTCCTCCCCTAGACCACCATCCTTCAACAAGCATACCCAGTGTCGAAAGGAGAGCTGTGAATTGCAACCATGTCACACCTCCCAATTGAGCCAGAGTTCGAGCAGGCTTATAAAGGTATGTTCATGCACGCCTTCTGCTTTGCGCATGATAGGGAGCTGTTGGAGCAACCTCTCTGGCCCGTTTCTTTCTGGCAACAGTGGGAATGAGAGTCAGAAGCGACCCCAATGCCTTGATGAGCTGAGCAGCGTGTGGCTAATTGCAGACGTATGGTGTAGAATTGGCCTCGTCTCTTGAAAACTCCACCATTTTCGAGAAGCACCCGGAGTACCGTAAGGCACTTCACGTTGCTTCCATTCCCGAGCGTACCATCCAGTTCCGCGTCACTTGGGAAAATGACAAGGGAGAGGTAAGCAAACAGCTCGCGAATATGCCCTCTTTCCCCACACACAGCACCTAACGAAATGACAACAGCTCGAAGTCAACCGTGGCTATCGTGTCCAGTTCAACTCCGCCCTTGGCCCGTACAAGGGTGGCCTTCGATTCCATCCCACAGTAAACATGTCCATCCTAAAGTTCCTAGGTTTTGAGCAGATCTTCAAAAATGCTCTTACTGGATGTAAGTCATGACATGTGGAACGCGTGTACCCAAGAAGCAGGAGCTAATTATAATCCTAGTGAACATGGGTGGTGGAAAAGGTGGTGCTGATTTCGATCCCAAGGGCAAGTCTGACAATGAGATCAGGAAATTTTGCAGCGCCTTCATGATGGAGTTGAGCAAGCATATTGGTGCAGACATTGATGTCCCTGCTGGCGATATTGGTGTTGGAGGCCGTGAAATTGGTTTCCTCTTCGGTGCCTATAAAAGGCAGAGACACATCTGGGAGGGTGTTTTGACTGGAAAGGGCATCAGCTGGGGTGGCTCTTTGATCCGCCCTGAAGCCACTGGTTATGGCCTCGTCTATGTAAGTGTATCCAACAGACAAAAATATCTGCCACGCCCTCTAACATACAACAACAGTATGTTCAACACATGATCCAGTACGCCACCAATGGTGCTGAGACTTTCGAGGGAAAGCGCGTCGCTATCTCTGGTTCTGGAAACGTTGCCCAGTACGCGGCCTTGAAAGTCATCGAATTTGGAGGAACTGTCGTCTCCATCTCGGACAGCAAAGGCTCTCTTGTTGCTCGTGAGGGAGAGTTCATTACTCCAGAGGAGATTTATGAAATTCAGGAACTCAAAGACCAGCGCAAACAGCTTTCCGTGCTCGCCGACGCACCAAACTTCAAAGATAAATGCGTGTATATCGAAGGTGCCCGTCCGTGGTTGCACGTTGGCAAGGTTGAAGTAGCTCTTCCTTGCGCTACTCAGAACGAAGTTTCCGGCCCAGAAGCTCAGGGTTTGATCCAGAACGGATGCAAGTACATCGCAGAAGGCTCCAACATGGGCTGCACACTCGCCGCCATTGAACATTTCGAGGCTCATCGTCAGCTGCACAAGAAGGGAGGCGCCGTTTGGTACGCACCCGGAAAGGCCGCCAACGCCGGTGGTGTTGCCGTCAGTGGTCTCGAGATGGCTCAGAACTCTCAGCGATTAACCTGGACTGCTGAGGAGGTCGATCAGAAATTGAAGGACATCATGAGGGTCTGCTTCGAAACTGGTGTCAAGACTGCTGAAAACTACACGTGCTTGAACGAAGGCCAACTTCCGTCTTTGGTTATTGGAAGCAACATCGCCGGTTTTATCAAGGTCGCTGAGGCCATGAAAGACCATGGAGACTGGTTCTAAAAAAAAGACCACAATTTTTTATTGTTTATTTTCCCCGCTATTGTTTTCCTTTCGAAGCTTATGATTGCCGCGATATCCTATCCCCTTTCACAGTCGGCGCTCTGTTCGCAAATCATTCATCTCGGAGGCGTCTGTCGGTTATGGTCTTCACACGGCGTTATTCACTGGTCGGATTCGGATTTGGTGGGCGGATTTGCTATGATCACGTCATGATTTGATCTTTTTCTTTTCTGCTTCATGTACATGGTATGGCGGCATAGTTCTTCTGCACTCATATGTCCTGACCTGTATTTCGAAAGTGTGAGATGTTCTAGCCATTGCTTTTAGGCACATAATGAACATTTTATGATAAACAAAACTCCTCAGTTAAGTAGTTATTCTTGTTTTTTTTAACTCTCTGTACTGTATGGGTGTCGTGGGTGTCAAGCTCTGCCCGAGAAGGGTAAGCAGCGATTACATGAGCGATCTTCTCGGCAAGCGCACACCGCTCCATCAGCGTGCAAGCATTGATCAGAACAGAGCAGGAACAAAATTGGGAAGATACAGATACATGAGTCTACTAATTGTTTGGCCTAGCCTTATGTCTTCCATAAGAGAGTGAGAAACAAGGAGCAGCAGGCTGGGGACAAACACAGGCAGGGCATGCATGGCTTGTGGAGATTGCACCGCCAAGTTGAAACCCAAGAGTATGGCAAAATGCCCGCACAGATCTGCCACCAAATCTGTGATAATGGCGTGGGAATTTCTTCCTCTCACTCACTTTGAAAAATTAAAAAATATGCATATTTTCCCAAGAAAACCATTGAAGCATGCCTTGAAGCTTGAACTTAACTACATGAGACGAAAAGTGAGACTGTGCAGAGTCCGGTTGGTTTAGGCCAGTCCAAATCCCAACTTATTGATCAACTCTCTCTCGGAATCTCTTCTAGCACATAAGAAAAGCAGTTGTTGCCCAGTGTGGGCGAAACATGTGTGACTACGATGTCGCAATCTAGCAAAATGGCCGCTCCTCCTATCCAAGGTGTTCCCTACAAGTTAAGAAATCTACATGATGGAGAAACCGTTCAAGAGGCATGTTAATAATCCATTCAGAGACTCCCTCTAACAAAGAAGAGATCACTGTACTCACCCAGCAAATGGGAGAGTCCTCTTAACACACGATCAATCGTATACTTCTAAATCTGGCAAATCCGTACGACCTTGCGAGGCAGAAGCAATGAGACTTGTATCAAAACTCACATCCGTCCCTGTACGTGATGTTATCTATGCCAAATCTACTGAAGGGTACCATATACCTGGACGATGAGACCAAAGAACCAGTCTGCCATCAAACCTGGGAAATGATCGCCAAACTGCGAAAAATCGCACACAAACCAAGATCGAAGCACCCTATTCAATCCGACGTGCAGTTACGATCCCGAATCTGTGAGCGCTACATTCGCTTTGGCGGGCAGCGTTACGAGGATCTGCTCTTTGGCATGCTTCCGTACTCCCGCTCCTCGGTATATACCCACGGTGGATGAAGGGTATCGAATCAGTGGAATTCTTGATTGGAAATTTCCTGGGTGGTATTCTGAGTATTGGGAATATACACAGATTATGAGTCCGGTTTGCCAAATCAGTGATTGGCAACCATGGGTGGATGACAGCAGAAATGGGCCATCAGTGGCATCAATGCTGCTAAATGCATTCTCTTTCAGAAGGATAATTGCCAGCCAGCCTATGGTGCATCCTTCCGAGAACGCTACCCCACCACTACATAATATTCACAAAACACCCATAATTAATAGACACTACATTAATTTCTGCATCTGTAGCACAATTCCATGCTGAAGTAGTTGTAAAAGTACCATGGTTCCCGGACCAACAAGAAACTGTAGTGGTGGTCAACGACTCAAAGGATAGCAGGCTGTCGGTCAACTACATAACTACTCCGTAGCGTGGAAGGATTCCACAGAACCAGCAAACAGAAGGGAAAAAGTCATTCTCCGGATAAAACACAAACAAGTGGATTGGGCCTATTCTCATCACATCTGGACACAAAAAAGAGCAATAATGACGGGAATAAGTACTCGAATCCGCAAAAGGCCCCACGCCCCCCTCAGCATATCGCCAAGTCGGTCGAGACTGTCTGCATCTTGTTTTTCTTATCCGAAAGGGCCGGTAGGGGGCCAAAGTCTTCCAGCCAAGCAAAAATTGCACTTTTATCCACTCAAAAAAACCCAGCAATGCCCTCGAGTTAATTTGAAGAATTCTGATTGCTTCTCGGGCGGCGCAGACCCTCAGATTCCTTCTGCTTGTTCTGTTTCAAAGCGCATGTCGCCACGTGTGGAGCGCACAGTCGTTTGCCCGCCTTTTTGCACCGATTTTTCGTCTTCTTTGATCCCCACCACCCTGGTGGACCTGTCGCCGTGAAACAAGTCTTCGGTCAAGGATTATCCGGTATGGAACCAGCCTGGACTTGTGCCCGACATTCTAGCCCTGGGCATCTTCCATCGGCGACCCGGAGAGGCGGTTGGGAGTGAGAATAATGGGCATATGGATCGGATGAAGGTTCATGTAAGGCGAGAATGGTGCCGGACAAAGGTGGTTGGGAGCCGGCCAGCCCCGTGCTCCAGGCGCGGCATCAGAAAGGACGAGAGGAAAGCGATATCTTTGCTTTTTGGGCCGGGTGACAAAGGGTAGCCAATTTCTCACTGCAGCCAGGCTTGCATGGGGATACGCGAGTGTGACGGCCAGAATACGGAGGGGAAGTTTCGGGATGAGGCCTTCATTGGATGCATTGATTACGGCAATTTACGCGAGCCCGACAGAGTCCGGCAGGAGTACTGCGTGTGCCGTGGCACACTGCCAGACGGATGGTGCCAGCTTTCTCGTCCTTCGCCGCGGCTGGAATGGACTTTCCGCCCCTCCATCTTGTGCATCCTCTCGTCCAAGTCATCGAGGCTGCGTGCAGCGTACTCTGTAGATGATGCAATCACTGAGGGGTCCGTTGCCGGCTCGTACGGGCGTACGGTTTGCCGGCAGACGCTGGGCTAGAACTGGCGGGTTCCAACGCAGGCAAAATTCAGATCGTGGAGCAGAACGAAAGCCAATCGATACCACGCAGGCATACCCACCGTGACGAGGCTGCGCGCCGCGGGTGCCCCGTCATCACGATGAAACAGCCAGGGCGGCGCGGTGATTGGCTGCAGCGCGGGCCGGCGCCACGACTCAGCTGCGCTGGCGGGGCGGCCGGATACGGTCTAGTCAGGGCCGCCACCAGCCAATTAGCGCGGGGCACCGCCGCTTGCCCCTTCTTGGCACACGCTAGCCTGCTTTGGGCCGCAGCAGCGTCGGCTCGCCTTCTTAAGCCGCGTCTTTCTCTCCTTTTCCACGCTCGCTTCCTCTCTTTTCCCCCCCACACACTCTCTCTGTCTTGACGACTGTCCAGTCTTTCTTTCTTCCCTTCCCGACTTTTGTCAATTCACGCTGGCCATCGCGGCCCTCTCACTCAGCCTCGTCTGACTGCACTCCTTAGAGTCCGTCGAGTTTCATACTGAATCCAAAACATCCACCGTTCTACACGGAACTAAAACACGATCCCGCTTTTTTGCGAGCTTCCTCGAGACTACTAGCTAGACAGCCGCAATTCACTCTTTGATTGCTCTGTCCAACCCGCCTAACCTTCTTTTCAACCCCTGGATCGCCCGGTTCGATTCAGCTGCCTTTTATTTTCTTCTACCATACCCTGCAACTTTCGCAAAGAGCCAGTTCTCTTGCTACCCCCGGAGCCAGACCAGCCCAAGAAAATCGTTGTTTATAGACGCATCTTCGTTGCAATAACACCGCATACTCGCAATGGCCCCATCACTTCTGAAGGCTCTCACTGCCGCGGCAGGCCTCTACGCCTCGTTCGCCACCGCTGCTCCTCTCAACAAACGTGTGATTGTTTGGGAAACCGTGACTGATCTTGTTATCGAGACCGTTCGACTCACTGTTACCGTTGACGGACCTCCTGGTGCTCCCCAGACAGTTCCTCCTCCACAGATCACCCCATCTATGGAACAATCACCAGCGCCCCTCCCATCGATAACTACAACTTCTATTCCAATCGCCAGCTCGAAGCCAGAAGAGAGTACCCCTCCTCCACCGCCGCCTCCCCCAAGTACGACCCCAGCCTCCAGCTCTAAGCCTGCAGAGAGCACCCCTGCTCCTCCTCCTCCTCCTCCTCCTCCACCAAGCTCCACCCCAGCGCCTCCTCCACCTCCTCCATCCACACCAGCTCCCCCACCACCACCACCGACAACTACAGCTCTTCCACCTGTCATCAATCTGCCAGCCCCAAGTCCAACCCCAGAGACCAAGCCTCCAGTCAAACAGCAGCCACCTCCCCAACAGCAACAGCAACAACCAAGCGGTGGCAGCGTCGGTGGTGGTCAGACATTTTCGGGCGATATGACCTTCTATGATGGTGGCCTCGGTGCTTGTGGTACGAACATTGACACCAATGGTGAGAATGCAGTCGCCATCTCCGCTGCCCTTATGGGTACCCAAAGCAACAACAGTCCATTCTGCGGAAAGACTATTACTATTAAGTATAACGGAAAGACCGCAAAAGCTGTCGTGAAGGATAAATGCCCAGAATGTGTAAGTTCGCCCGGTCGAGAGCCATAAATATGAGGCGGTAGTTACTGACGTTGCTTCCACTACAGGCGTACGGCTCGATTGATATGACCCGCCAGCTGTTCTACAACTTGTAAGTCCACTTTATTTGCATCTATAGTTAAATGCATATGTACTAATTCGACATGTTTTCAGTGCTCCTGAAGCGGCTGGTCGTATCAAGGGAGTTGAGTGGTCGTTTGACAACTAGGCTGGCTTCTAGTGTCTGAAAGTCTTGCTCAACAAAATTCGCTTCTTGACCTTTATGGTCCCCCTTTTTATTATCCATCACTTTCGCTTTCCATTGTTCTCATGAGATGGAGTTTACCGAGCTTCTCGATGCAGGAATTTTAGGGACGCATCCTTTTGGCGCTATTGCCACAGTTGCATATATTTCAGATTCGTCGGCATTTGCCTCTCTGACTGCCGAAATAAGTCAATCGATTTGATATGTACATACATTAAAATGGGCTGTATCTTCTACTTTCTTTGCATGAGCTGTCCACTCTGAAACATCTGGAAATGATCTTATGATTCATGGCATTTCGGTCTCTGTTGATACCCTTTTTTCTTACCTCCTTCAAGCTAGGATTCTTGTTAGTTGGAGGTAGTCAAGCACATGGGAAATATTGGAGTAGTAACAGGGATGTTAGGGGGGTTCTTTCGTGGAGTGACGTTCTTTTCTATGGAACATCTTTTGGGCTTTATTGGAGACGTTTGGTTTTAGACTTTGGATGTATCTCTTCGAGGTTCGTTGATAGAACGCCTGATTTTGCCTTTTTCTTTCTGGCCATACAAAGTAAAAATCATCCTTTCATTACTTTCCAAGGAGGTTCTCTTTTTTGTTTCAGCAGCCACCAATCTTGAGCCGATCGCCGCTTTGTCAAGGATCTCACACCAGACAAGCTGAGCAAACATCACAGGCACAAACGCTCTTGTCAACCAACTGATGGCAAGGAATGCATGCTGCTAAGAATACCACATGCAAGGAACCGGGCGCCCCTCATGCAAGGAAAAAAAAAGGGCGACCCGTGCGCAGCCCAAGCTTTTGATCGCCAACACCGCCATTTGCCTCCACACGGGCATACCACGATCCTTGCCCATTATTCCTTCCGTCTGCTCCATTATTCAAAACGTCCAGAAGGGCCTGTCAAAGAAAGCTTTTGAAACGGAACTTACATCCATTGCCGCTGCGAAAGGACCGGGGGATCTATACGTCCAACCTGGCAAGGCTAAGATGTTTTTTTTTTTTTTTTTTAATTATTCTATTCCCTTTTCTCGCCTTCTGCGAGCGCTATTGATCGGCGCCAACTTGTGATATTTCTTTCGTTTTCTTGGTTGGACGAGCGTAACTAACTAACAATGCAGGACATTGGTGTTTTTTTTTTCTTTTTTCACGTGCCTCGTTTCAGATGCCCAAGTCTAGCTGAAGTCAACTATTGAGCGATATTGACTGAATTATCAATTGCTGACCCCAAGCATTGTCGTTTCGAGTCGAATAGATATGTAGTTAAAATATTCCCCGTTTGTCTATTATACAAGTTTCATAGCTCCTTTTTTTACCATGCAATGGAGCACTCTTCGGCGTTTTCACATGGCTGGCTATTGAAGATCCATTGGATTGCGATGCCTTCCATTATCCAGGGCCAGATGGCTGCTTTAAGGACAAAGGAGAATGGAAGAGTGAGTCTGAAGTATCCTCGTGAGGGCACTCTTCCCTAGAACCGTTGATCTGTTTACTCCATATTGCAGAATAGACCCTATTAATCTACAAAAAGAGGGGCTTTCATAATTATTTTCTATATCACATTGCCCAGAACACCAGCAAAAGAGCTCTCAAAACAGTCGCGTCATATATTATTTAGGGTATGGAAGAGGGCAAGACAAACATAATCATCAAAATATTCTATGACATGATTAAGCCAAGCAGAAAAAGGGGATATAGTAGACAAAGGAAAAAGGAACAAGGGATTGCCACCAGCCTCTACAATAACTGTCGTAAAACATCACATATGTCATCACCTAACCACTGCACATCTCACATGCTTCTTTGTTTTCAATACTGCCTATATTATTTGTAAAAAAAAGCATTAGCACTGAAAAATCTGCAAATATGTGATCAAGCACTTACATAGTAGCACCTTTTGTGAATAAATATCCTGCTCAGTCTGAGTCTTCTCGGTGCCATTTGTGGTGGCAGTGACTGCAGCGGAATTTTCAGCTCCTTCAACTGGGCTGTCTGCTGTATCGGTTTTCTTCTTCCCCAACTCCTCATCGGGTGGGCCTGTCGCTGGTACTGGTTTGAACGCAGGAACGCCCTTCGGGTCTTCAGCTGTTGGAGATTCGACAATAGGTCCACTTGGCTGTTTTTGATCATACATTGGCCTTGGGACGGCAGAATATGTGCTAGAGTAGCTGCCTGAAGCACCGATCCTTTTTCTTCCCAAGCCGTTTGTCCTCGCAACATTGGTATCTGCAACTTTCAGTTGCTCTTGATCAACCGTGAATTGAATTGGGGCAGAAGCAGCCATAGTCCGAAGATAGTACATGCCGGTTTTCAAACCTAATTTCCAGCCAGCAAAATGCATGCTAGTAATTTTGCCCATTGTGGGCTCCTTAAGATGAATATTGAGGGATTGGGATTGATCAATGAAAGCACCACGATCTGCAGCCATCTGAACAATAGTCCGCTGAGAAATTTCCCATACAGTCTTGTAAAGGGCTTTGATGTCATCGGGGATATTGGGAATATTTTGAATTGAGCCACCATCAGCGATGATGCGATTTTTCATGTTGTCAGACCAAAGTCCAAGGTCAACAAGATCTTTCAGAAGCCATGGGTTAACAACTTGGAATTCTCCTGCAAGGACTCGCCGAGAATAGATATTTGAGGTGTATGGCTCAAAGCATTCGTTGAAGCCAAGGATTTGGCTGGTACTAGCAGTGGGCATAGGGGCAACAAGAAGACTGTTGCGTACACCGTGTTTTGCTATTTCTTTCTTAAGAGAAACCCAATCCCAAAGGTCAGAAGGTGTTACGTTCCACATATCATACTGCAAAATTCCCTGAGAAACAGGAGAACCTTCATATGTTTCGTATGGGCCTTCGGTCTTTGAAAGTTCGCAGGATGCAGTCAGAGCGGCATGGTAAATTGTCTCAAAGATCTGAATATTCAGCTGCTTAGCCTGAGAGGAGTCAAAAGGCAAACGTAGAGCCAAGAAGGCATCAGCGAGTCCTTGAACCCCAAGAGCAATTGGGCGATGACGGAAGTTACTCTTTCGAGCTTCGGGAACGGGGTAGTGGTTGTTATCAATGATCTTGTTTAAATTGCGCACCACAACTTGGGTGACTGCGTGCAATTTACCAAAGTCGTACTCGCCGCGGATAGCGTCAACGTATGTTGGCAAAGCAAGTGATGCTAGATTGCACACGGCGACTTCATCGGGGGCAGTATACTCAATAATTTCCGTACATAAATTAGAACTTCTAATAGTTCCAAGGTTCTTCTGGTTGCTCTTCCGATTACAGGCATCCTTGTAAAGCATGAAAGGATTTCCAGTCTCGGTTTGAGCTTCCAAGATAGCGTACCAGAGCTTTTGAGCCTTGATGGTTTTCCGGCCGCGGCCTTCCTTCTCATATCTGCAGTCATCGTTAGGATATTTGCTATGATTAAAATGAGAACGGACTTACTGTTCGTATAGCTGCTCGAATTCGTCTCCGTAGACATCGGCGAGTCCAGATGCCTCGTTTGGACAGAATAGTGTCCAATCGCCATTCTTCTCAACCCGTTTCATGAACAAGTCGGGAGTCCAGAGGGCGAGGAAAAGATCTCGGGCTCTCACTTCTTCTTTACCATGATTTTTACGGAGGTCCAAAAACTCAAATACGTCAGAGTGCCAAGGTTCAAGATAAATAGCAAAAGCACCAGGGCGTTTATTGCCGCCCTGATCCACATATCTGGCAGTATTGTTAAAGACACGAAGCATGGGAATGATCCCATTAGAGGAGCCATTTGTTCCTGCAATGTAGGAGCCAGTTGCACGGATTCGGTGAACGTTGAGTCCAATACCCCCAGCAGTCTTGGAAATCAGAGCACATGTCTTCAGTGTATCATAGATCCCCTCAATACTATCCTCCTTCATATCAATAAGGAAGCAGGAAGCCATCTGTGGTTGAGGTGTTCCCGCATTGAAAAGTGTGGGAGAAGCGTGGGTAAAAAATTTTTGGGACATCAGGTGGTATGTCTCAATCGCTTTATCAATGTCCTCATGATGAATACCAACGGCAACGCGCATAATCATATGCTGCGGACGTTCAGCAACTTTGCCGTTGATTCTTAGTAGATACGACCTCTCCAGTGTCTTGAACCCAAAGTACTGGTAGTTGAAATCACGGTCATAAACGATAGCGGAGTTCAGCTCTTCGGCGTGTTTCATTACAATATCGTATATTTTTCTGGATATCATGGGAGCAGGGCGGTTGTTCTTTGGGTTCACATATCTATAGAGATCTTCGATAACGGACGAAAATTGTTTCTTGGTTTGCTTGTGCAAGTTGGACACGGCGATTCTAGCAGCAAGGATGGCATAATCAGGGTGGGTGACAGTCATGTATGCAGCAGTTTCCGCAGCCTATATTGTGAAATCATTGGCATGGAAATATAACTTCTCGTGGGGCTTCATTCATACAAGATTATCTAGCTCAATTGTCGTCACTCCCTGGTAGACTCCCGAGATGACTTTCTGAGTAATAGCAGCAGCATCGACATGTTCTGGATCAAGGCTATAACACAGTCTTGAGACACGAGCCGTGATTTTGTCAAACTGTACGCGCTCTTTGCGTCCATCTAGATGAAAAGCGGGGTTTAGTATTGTGGGAAGGCGGGCGGCACAAGCACAATTACAAAGGTAGCAAAGCTATTCAATGTTTGCTACGGTGTAGCTTTTCAAGACATACCTCTTTTATACACGAACATCTTGCGTCAGCTTTAGAGTCGAGGCGCGTAAGTAGCTTAAAGCTCCCGCCTGATGCAAATTAAAGCTTCAGGGAAATGAGAAAGTAAATCACGAGTAGCAGTTTGGGCTGTAAAAGAGAGGGAACGTATAGAAGGGAGCGGAAAAGAGGAATCTTGAGTGAGTACTCTGGAGATCGAATGGAGAGAAGACGGAGTGATGAGTTGATTTTTCCGTTTTAAGTGGAAAGCAAGACGCGTTCCAGTTTGACGCGTTGCGATCGGGGCGGAGATAAGCAGTGTTATTGGATTACATAATCACGTGTTTCGTTCATGGCCGGGCCGTATCGCACACATCTGTACTTTAAGAATTGCCTAAGAATTTGATATCAAAACATTGATGTAAGTACAATTTCGAAGGGCAAACGTCTTCCTATTGCGCTACATCTATTCCTTAACTCTACAAAATATGACTTAACACACCTCTGATGGAGACCTCAGTCAAAGTGGATTCTCCATAGCTCTCTGTCTGTGCCTCCCTGGAAATCGCTACGTGTGTGCATGGTCAACACATTATCGCTAACCAACATATCACCCCTATTCCATGTGTGGTAGTACACAACGCGACGGTCATGAAGCAAACTATCGAGCTGGCTGCACACGTCGTTTGACCCTTCGGGCGTTAAGCCGTCAATGGTGATATACGTCGCCTCGAAGCTCGTTTTGCTCTCTAACCAGGGTTCATGGTACCGTAGGCAAGGTTTTCCGGTTGTAGGGTGATCGATAATAAGAGGCAGGCTGTGCAACTTGGTACTATCAAAAGAAGACGTCGAGACTGACCAAGTTAGTTTTCTTAAGGCTTCAACTGGAAGATGATCAGGAAGGTGCTTGAAAATGAAGGTAGAAGTGGAAAAGAGCGTGAATCCAGTGTCAGAAGGTGACGGGGTCACAGCCGTGAAGAGTTGGAATCTATTGTCAGCCATTAGTATTTTTCAGCAATCATAATTTAATAGCGGGCGGCGGGCCCTAACCGAGGCGGATTCGGCAGCCTATAGACCGTGCCGTCCTCCTTCGTCTTCTCTACTGTTTTAAAAAGACCGTCAAAATGGAATGGCATCCATTCCGCGGAAAGAACGTTGTTAAGACCTCGAGTATCGGCGCCGCGATCTTTAACTTCCAGCAATATCCCAAATTTCCATGGCAAGGGAGTGCCAAAATCAGATGCCTTTTTAATAAAGCTTTCTCGCTCGGTGGTGGATGCGAAGTCGCGCAAGATGACGGGAGAAATGATCTCAGAGAGCACCCGAACTTTCTGTGCGTCAATATCTTGCATAGAAAGTTTTTCTGGCCCTTCAGCAGGAGTGATTATCACTCCGCAAGGGTACAGAGGGGTAATGTTGATGGCACCTGAGCTCCAGGTATAGAGGTCGCTCTTCTCCCGAAAGTACGATGGCCTGCCGTTTTCATATATCAACTCCAAGGTGGGATCGTCTCGGAATGTTTGAGCATGGTTGCTGGTCACTGTGCCGTCTACTCTGATGGCGAGAGCACAGTGCCATGGCGTCGTATAATCTGTGTCTGTAGGTAAGACACTAATCGAGACCTTATTTTGGCCGGTAGATGTGTGAATCGACAGACGCACATGGTCCGCGAATTTCTCCTTGACAGCACGAGCAAACGCTTGGCCACGAATGAGCATCTGCTTGGCGATGCTCTCAGTACCTTTCTCGAAATTGGACTTTGAAAAGTGATCTGAGACGGGGTATGTCTCGGCAAGGTCAGTATGAAGAAATTCAAGATATCCACGATAGGTCATGCGAACATCCTCGTCTTCTAGTATTTTGCTACTAACATCCCAATCCTTAGTGCTAAAGTTGTTCATTAATGCAACTCGGAAGTTAGTCGCGTTGGCAATGTACGAGACTTCGTCCAGGATTTCAGGAACAGCCAGGGACACAAGACCATTGAGACGAGAAAATTTAATATGACTGAATCCCTTGGCTACCGCAAGTTCCCGGAGGGCTTCGCCATATGACCAGACTTCTGCATCCGAAATACTGAGTAGGTCTATTGATCGTTACAAAAAGGAATGAGCAATTGCAGGACTATGAGCGCTTTGCACCAAGCTTACCATTATACACAAGCCCGTCAGAAATAATGATCAGTTCTGCCCCAGGGCCGTAGACATCTTTGATAGCGGCGCACAACCCGTTCATATGTGCTAGAGCAAACTCTTCAGCTTTGTCTGGCAGGCGGCCGAGCACTTTGACTTTTGTGTTAGGAGATTTGAATGGAAAAGCAGGCAGGGCCATCTTGACGGGTCTATTTGCTTTAACATGGCTGTAGACCTGTGTTAGGCCTGCGAGGAGGCCGACGTCTGACTGTATGCCCTCTGTGCCACTACCTCTTCGCTGATATCGATAAATAACTTCAATAATCCTCGCAGCCATATCAATGAGCGAATTATCCACAACACGACTGGAAAATGGAAGAACAACATGGCCGGGTATCCCGCGGATAGCTGACTCCATGAGAACCGGGTCTGCCATTGTGGGAAAACTCGATTGAGACACTCCCACTGACGATATCGGGAGAGAGTAACTGAAAAGGGGTTGACGTCCTTCAGTGAAGAAACGGAATATCTTTACAAGCAGAAGAAAATGCGGCGTGAGGCAAGAACAAGAAGGTATTATGTCTTCAAATAAGCAATGATACTTGAGAAAAGGTGCCATATGCCAGAGCAAATAAAAGTTCTTAGCGGTCCATAGAACCGTTAACTCCCGTCTCTCATCACCGAACCGGCCAGCCCTCCTTGCCCCAGTCGCTTGAAGATCATCACTCGTCGAACTCAGTAGGCTATCTGGGCTGGACCAGGTATCGACTTCGAAAGAAAACCCTGGGGGTGGGGGTTGGAAATGAAATCAACTGGCTCTCTTCTTGAAACTCCGTATTCATTTCCCGAACAGGAAATACGTTTAATCCGCCCGGGTCATCCTGGGCAAAGCTGACATCACAGGAAGCTTCTGACAATCTGTAAAGACTGCCATAAAATTTTCAAGTTGTGGAAAAATAACCACTATGATTCCTTGTACGCTACTTGATTTACATCAACCGTTAACACCAGCTGAATCTGGCTTCGAAACACGAGAGGTGGCAGTGATATTCAGCCAGATCTACACTCCATCATTGCATCCGTATCATCTGCCGAGCGTTACGCTGTTGACAAAATGTGCTCACTCTACCATGGTATCTCGTCGTCTTCCTTTGTCTCCTTTTGTCGAACCCAGGATTGATGCAGTTTAATCTGGCTTCGAATTGAATACTGAGTTCCACTGCATCTGCGGTGAACTGTGCTCCCCTGCCCTTACCAATTTTGATATCATCGCGCGCCCTTTGACATGGTTGCACTTATTCTGCCGTACGCATTCTCAAGGAAGACCCTTAATTGCCAATAACCAGTCTCTCAACATTGACACGAGGCACCTGTAGTCAGATCCCGTGGCGTGATCTACACTATTTCATGCAGTCATGCCTGTGCATAGATACGATGTCGTTGCTGACCCGCGAGATGCCTGTTTCCTAGGCCCTATTTTGATTGGTTGCGAAATCGCCGTTGAGAAACTTTAGTGCTAGGTATGCTGCATATCCATCCATGTTTATGCATGTCGGCATCATAACCAGAACAGTAGCTAGTAAATGCTGCCTGGGTTCGTATACACATGGGGCAGCGCTCATTCTTATGCCCGGCTTTACCCCCTTCGATTCAAGGCTAAGCGTGCTGGCCCCGAAAAGCCGTTGGAGAAGTTTGAGAACGTGGTGAAATTCCGATGGGGAGCTAGAACTTGAAACCCGGCTGCGCATGATACCTGGAGACAGGGTTTTTTTCTCTTCTCCCGCCCTAAAGGCTTTGGAGAAGGCCGTTCTCAGTGGGGAACAAGAGACTAGCTCAAATAACAAGGCTCAAATTACCCGTATTTTATTGGTTGGTTCACCAGAGATATCGCACACTGAAAGGCTTTCAAATGACAAGCTGGAAAGCCTGTTTTAGATCGTCATACCACCAATAAGTTTCGTCATGGGGCCACAAAGGCGAAGTTTACTGAGGGAGCTTAAAACCCCAGTGCTCACCTTGGCTTCAACCCGCTTACCAGGTGTGGAACTCACGGTAAAGAATAAGAAACGGCGAGATGGCCGTAGGCATATGTTGCTGACTGTCTCCAAACTCCGCCCCCTTTTGTGTGATCGAAGGCAAGGATATGAAAACGTCTCGCCGCGCCAATAGCCTCTCACAGAAACCATATACCCTGGTAGCTCATTTGACTCTCACAAAGGAGCCGGATCGTACGTATTGTTAATGAGGCTTATCCATTTCTGGTTGGAATTCCACTTCGATAAATATGAGAGCACCTGAAGATACCGGCGGCAAACACGGCCCGTGCCGTGTGGGGCTCGACAATGGGCTTGCTGGGCGTGACATGCAATAATGGCTATTTTCTGATACCTTGCCCTTACATACTCCGACCTTATAGTACGCAGTGAATTGGCCTAGAGTCTATTGATTTGATAGCAAGAAGGATGAAGAACTTTAATCAAGGAGCAAAAAATGGCCTAGAGCACGGTTCCCCGGTACTCCGTAAACATGCCAACTAATCCTGGCCGACAAAGATTTCCCCTAAGTACTCCCGTGCAGTGTCAACAGGACCAGCATACGCGATATACATGTCAGGCCGAACAACCACAGCGTAGTTCTCTCCCTCTTTGACAATATCGGACAAATAACTTGATGCACTTTCACCGTTGAGATGGTAGTTTTGTCCATCAACTTTTGGTAGGATTCTAAGCCATCGAACTAGATCATTAAAACTGTCAAAGTGGCCTCCATGATCACCAGCCACAAGAACAAGATACTTCCCATAGGTCACCATGCTGTATAAGTACTGGGATTTTAGGTTGCCCGGAACTGTCATTTGAATATCAGGACAGGCGCGGCCAGCTTTCCATATGCTTATTTCGGACTCTCGGATGGCTGGAGAGTCAAGATCATGGTACGCTATCCCCATTCCTGAGGAACAAGTCAGTAAATCTTATGCCAAATACCCTTTCTAATACTTGCCGGTAATAAAATTTGCGTTCTTTTCAACATTACCAACATACTGCGTGGCTTCGAATTTGACGTCTCGCACAAGTCGGGCGGCGACACGAATGACATGCTCCGCGACTTTACGACGCTCCACGTCATAACTTTGAAGAATTTTATTGGCTGCACCGGGTGCCAATTTATCACCAAACTTCAAAACGTACGCCATCCTCCACCCGAGGCTGAATGCATCGGAGAGGCCAGTGTTCAGCCCTTGTCCGCCATTGACTGAATGACAATGAGCGGCATCACCAGCGAGGATGATCCTGCCATTGCCGTTTTGAGAGATAAATGTCTCGGCAATTCTTTCTTTCACTTCATTCAGGCATTAGCCAAAATTGCTCCAAATACGGCATCCGGAGAAAGGAGATATGTACATACCTTCAAAGGTGCTGAACCATTCAGTTCTGGTAAAATCAACCCTGTATGGCGCTAAATGCTGTTTAATGGAGGCCTTCGACTTCTCCTCCGTGATCTCGCCGTCCAATAGGATATAGAAGCGTGCCATATTACGCTCCCGTGGAATCCATGCCACGCGAGACTCACCATTGAGCTCAAAGGTGATAATTTCAGGGCAGCGAGGAAAGTCACTGTCGATGAAGGTGTCCAAAACTGCCCATGTCATCTCAGGCTTCGTTCCTGTGAAAGGAATCCCAAGCGCCTGACGCATCATGGACCTGGCGCCATCCGAGGCAAGGCAATAGGTGCCACGCACGACACGTCGTGATGTCGTGGTAACTTCAACTTCGGACTCGTTCTCCCTCACCGACTCAACCCGCTCGTTAAACCACACGCTATCTTTCAATTCCGCTGCGAGAAGCTGCTCGACAACAGGCTGACCAATCATGAGAAAATTTTTATGCAGAACATGCTGCAATCCTGTCCACCAATGACTCTGCCGCGATGTAAATTCACCCTTCGTGAATATAGAGCTCGCTATTTAGAGTTATCAGCACAGGCAAGGGTAGCACAGCGGCTGAGGCTTACTGTTGCATTTCAAACCCTGGTTAATTAGGTTGTCTAGAATTCCCACTATCTCGAGATATTGTTGCGACCTTGCGTTCAATGCATCAGCTCTTCCAAGCTGGAGTGGACCGGGCTTTGCGTCTGGATTGGAGGTCTCTGGTTAACAGCCACAATGCAAACCAGGAGCCCGGAACGGGAATATACCAAGCACAATTACTGACGCTCCAAGTCTTTGTGCTAGAAGGGCAGTCAACATTCCAGTTGGCCCACCTGCATCAGTTCGTTCATTTGGTCAGTTCCTGATATGCGACTGTAGATTGAGGCATCTCACCGCCAACGACGACCAAATCGGCTTTTGACTCAGCCATAATGCTGCTCTGTTTTATAATCAGAATGCTAGAGCGCTGTTGAGATTCAAGAATTGGTTGTGGAATTGCTATGCTATTCGGTGTGCTTCACATTACGCTTTATACGTTCAAATCGGATACGATACTCGCTTACGGATATTTGAGCGCCATATTTTTGACAACGTATGTATACTATCAATATTTGACATCAAAAATGGTTCGGCAATTTTGGTGACGGGATAAGTCCTGGAAATTTCCTCATGCTTGTTTCCCGGGCTGAACGATGCACACGGGTAGTTTTTATGCCCTTTCCAAGGAGAGAACTATACATGTAGCTAATACGGGATGAGTTCATGCAAGTATATACATTCATCTGCGAAATAACGCTTTTCGGCTCCCTGACTTACTTAAACGGCTGAAAAAAAGAGCCTTGGCCTTCAACATCAGGTAGAGTAAACTCGAACAAATCATGGATAAATACGAATCGTGGGGGGTTGCGAGTCATACGACGATGAGAAGCGGCAAAATCATTCTCCACATATTCTTCAACTGTAGCATTTAGTTACAGAATCGCCATCCTGGACACGTTCGGACGATCTGCACAACCGCTAAGCCGAGATACGAACGGTCTGCAGGTCACAGATCCCCTTCATCAAGAACCAGACCAGCCTTCACTCCCTTGTTGCAGCAACCTTAAATCCGTGTATTTTCTCACATAGCTGACAGGGCATACCGAGTGCCTAGAGCGTTGTGCAGATAATTGCTTTGAAATTATCCCTGTTCTAAAAATGCGCACCATAACCCAGGACCATTTGTTGCGGAATACCGGTTCCTTACGTCATGCCCTGGCTCTCGAGAGCCGTTTTATGAAAAGAGGAGCTACTGGAAGATATCACTGTGAAGTCTTCTGGTAGTGGTTATTGATTGTTTTACGGTGTATTTTCTAACACGGAAAAAGATAATCGAGCCTCGGCCAAATAGCGTAAGAAAACAACAATGGACAACTCGAATAGGGAAATTAAGGCCGAAGAGCTTTTTAGTGTCAAAGGTCTTGTCGCTGTCATCTCTGGTGGTGGCACTGGTAAGCATTTCAGAGTTACTATAGATTTTGTGCCTAAGGAAAGACAACGACCTAACAGGATTATGGATTTTCATGCAGGTATCGGACGCATGATCACTCGCGCCCTCGCTGTCAATGGTGCTGAGAAGGTTTACATTTTGGGTCGCCGTGGGGCAGTATTGGAAGAGACTGCAAAGCCATTCCCTAACGTGGTGATGCCTGTGGAGTGCGATGTCACTTCTAAAGAGTCATTGCAGAAAGCTGTCGAGAAGATTACCCAGGATGCTGGATATATTAATCTCCTTTGGTGCAACTCTGGGACATCAGGGCCGGAGAGTCCAGAGTTGAACAGCTCGTCTAGTCTTGATGAGTTCATTGAGGCTAACTGGAAGCACTCAGTAGAGGAGTATGCTGAAACATTCAAGGTCAATACTGCAGGTTTCTGGTATACGGCTATTGCTTTCTTAAAACTTCTTCACCTTGGCAATGAGAGAAGTAACGGGGGGTGCAGAAGTCAGATTATTGGGACTTGCAGCACTCTGGGCTTTGGCAGATTTGCAGCTACCGGCCGATTTGCATATGGGCAGAGTAAAGCATCCCAGACACACATGATGAAACAGCTATCAACGCACCTAGTACCATACAAGATCCGAGTAAATATGGTTGCTCCAGGGTGTAAGTTCGATAAACGTTGCAGAGGTCTCTTGATATTGACTAACAAATGCAGTGTTCCCCACCGACATGACCTCATCTATGACCTCGACAGGATATGATCCTTCAAAGCTGATTCCAGAGGGTAGGGCTGGCATAGATGCTGACATGGCTGGCGTTGTGCTTTTCCTCACAAGCAAAGCTGGGTCTTATCTGAATGGCAATGTATTGGTTTGTGATGGTGGGCGCTTGTCAATTGTCCCTTCGACATATTGACAGTAAATATTGATAGAGTCGAGGAGTTTCTATTCTAGTTGAATATTAAGGCTAGAGTGAATCAATCTGTTGGCCTCCTAGGAGCACATTGACAGCATAGGCAGACATATGAAGGCCCATGTTGGCAGCGCCCAGGAGACTTCGTCTGTCTCTTAATATCAGCAGCCACTACTCCTGTGTAGATAGTGTTAATGTGAAAAAAGTATTATCTATGGAGAGAATAGTTAAAGTTAGTCTGCATGTAGTAATACTCAATCTGTTCAAATAAAATGGAGCATTATTGTCTATTGATATCACCTCCCAACATGCTATTACTCTGTAGCTAGTGACAACAAACTGCGGCAGCGCCACCATTTAAAATATTCCAAAAATAGCTATTTCCACTAGAGTGTGGTGGCAGTTATGTAGCGTATGCATCCTTTAGAATTCTAGATGGTAGTTAGATTTATCTGAGGACTCAAAAATAATGTCAAGAAATTGCTGTCATAATGTTTCTAGAAAGACTAGGTATGAGTGTAGGAATTAACTGTGATTAGATTGAGGTCTGAGGAAAAAAGGTTTAGTAGTGTCACTCATGAAGGGTTGCTCAGGCCCAATCTTACCTACTCACTGACTCTACTTCTGCAACCATATCCACATTCAGTGGTTTCTGAAGCTTTTTTCTTGGTTGAAGCAATCAGTGTTTCAAGAAGTTTGCCACTTGGCATTATTGTCACAGTGTTAGCTACCCAGTCCAAAAAAAAAAAAGATCACTCTTAGAACATCTTTACCTAAGGCACTGTTAGCATCATGTAGTAGTGTATTGTTCACCAGCTGATGTATGTCATCTTCTGTACTCTGTACTGCGCATATATAGCTATAAGATGTCCGAAAGCGTTCTTATCAAGCAACTAAAAGAATAGCCTATCAGCCGGCGAATGGTATACAACTACTCTGTAGTACCTGAGGCTACAAGTGTTAGTGGTTAACACCATAGAAATAAAGGCCCAGACCATGAGATCCTAAGGATGGCCATTCTTATGACTGAGTGGTTAGCGCTGTGGCAAGAAGATCCTAGGAGCCGAGCCTAGTTCTTCGGCAACAAAAATCACCGGCAAGGGAAGTAAAAGGGCGCTTGCACTTAGCCAAAGGGCAACCATCCTTAGAAAGCTGCAGTCCTGCGCACAGCCCGCGAGCACAGTGAAGGCCAAGTAGGCGTTAACTATGGAGTACTGCGTGAAGTTCGCTGATTATATAAGCCGAAGCTTAACTCCTATTTAACCGCTGATGCCTAGAACCCCTCCCGAAAGCTTCCACCGCCCATCTCCCCTCCTAGTTATCTTATCGCAAGTCAACTGTTCGCATTCCCGAGATGGCGCCTCCCCCCCACCTAGAGCTAGAAGCTCGCTTTCCGCTTTCCTATCCCATACTTTCAAGGCTAGCCACGAGAAACTCTCACCCTGAATTCACAAATTCGGATGGGTATGTTGACTTCGGCCTGTCGGCTCTTGGTAGTGAGGCAGGCTCTCTCGCAGCCGTACGAAATGATATAGAGACTTGAACTTCGATTCTACCGAAAAATGGATATTGTGGGAGATCGCATAGAGAATTTGGAGGGCCGTATGGAGAAGCGCTTTAAAGATGTGGACGGACGACTGGATAGTATCGAAGGTCGTCTTGACCATTTGGAGGGCAGTATGGAGAAGCGCTTTAAAGATGTGGACGGACGACTGGATAGTATCGAAGGTCGCCTTGACTATTTTGAGGGCAGGTTCAACAACTCTGAGGGCATTCGGAGAAATAAGACTCGTTACCGATTATTCCATAAAATTGATGCAATTGCCATGTACAAACACAATCCGGAGCGCGGCAGGTGTGAGTGGATGGTGTCTACCGATTTTCCCAAGCATCTAAAGGCTCTTCGAGACATGGGGAATCATGCCAAAGGCTATTGGACCGATGCGGAAAAGAATGGAATCCCTTTACCGAGGAGTGAGCTGAACTGTATCATATTTGCCGCTAAACCCAACACACTGATAATCTCTTCATAGGAAATACATTACAACTAGAATCCCTCAGAAAGATTGAGAAGCTCGCTAGCTTTTATAATATTGCCATTATTAATGACAATCAAAGTGAAACTGATGCCACTGAAGTTGACCTCCATCCATCTAATGTCGACGATTTCCTCGAAGCCTTAGCTGATGAGTGGGGCTTGGAATGGTATGATATTATGCGGATTCCCGATAACGAACCCAACTTACTTGCTGGGAAAAAACGTGGAGCCAGGTTCTGGGAAGACAGAAATGTAAGAGCAAGGGCAGGTTGAGTATTAAGTTGTCCTTAGTTTGGGTAATATGGTTTTTGAACTACATGATATCAGCTAAGACGACTATCTGAAGTGTGGACAGGTTATGGCTTGTCCTTTATCAAGCGAGAACCCTCACACATCACTGGATTCCCGCTGTATCCGTGTGTAGTCTCTGCGTATCAGTACGCCCAGGAAGGGATAACGATGCCGGTCATCCACTTGTTGGAAACCAAGCAGGTCTTGCACTCTAATGGGGCGTCTGTTTCTGATTTACCTTGTGGGGTATTTTCCAAAGTGTGGCAGAAGTTGAACCTGGGCCTAGGCACTGAGTTTCTCCCCAAAACCCCTTCATGATGACTATGCCTTGAATACTTCTTGGAAGTACACTGACTTTTGTTCTCTTTTCTCTGCAATTTGGTTGATATATATGTGGAATGGATCATCCTACCTGAACAACCCAAAACGTTCATGCATTTTGGCTTAGTGTCCATGTGTCATACGGCTTCATCCATACCGAAAAAGCTAAACAGACGGCTTATCCTATCTACCGCTTACACAATATTAACAGTCATTCGTATGGAGTATTACGATTTCCGAATTATGGTCAGCAGATTACTGCACATGGTACTCTGTATGAAGTTCTGTGTGAACTGCTTTGACTAAGGAATGATTAGTAATTACCAACGGATCGGCCCGGTTAAGTGGGGAATAGTTAACTAACTAGTTAGCCAAGTTAAGTGAACTAACTACCTACTTAATGCAATGGTGCAAGGAATCCTGTTTGAACAACAGCTCGTATGCTCAACTGGAGCCGGAAGCAGAAACACTGTATCCCGTATTTGGGTCTCTTTGATGACTATTATTGATATGATACCTGATCCAAAGATCGGCAGCCATCCTGGGGCCTTCAGCCCTGGCTTAAATTTACGGCTTAGTGTTCCACTAGATGCGAAGTAGCATTCAGCTGCCATTAGCCATTGTCTCCTTTAGTTTTATGGCAACCCGGAGGGGGAGGGATGAGCATCATCTACATACTATTTTGGGGACTTGAATTGGCCTACAAACAACTTCTATCAAGGTCCTACACGACCTCCGAATTGCATTGGATAGCTATGGCAGACACCTTTTATTCTGTTCCTGAGCAAGCCTCCAAGGTTTTTTATGAAGGAATTTTGCGTGGCCCGCAAACGGAGCAGCACCTTATCCATGACTTGGAAAAATACGCCACAGTCCATTTCGAAGGCTCTCAAGATCCATTTATTCCTGTCAATTGGCGATTTGCAGAAAGCGTATCTGCACTCAAAGCACTGGAAGCAACATATACCAATGCTATTCTCCACAAGCTTTATGGGATTTCTCCTCAGAAGGCGGTTATAAACACGTAGGCCACCCACTCCCTATTCGTCTTACTTTTTGCAATCATACTGGAAAAGGCAAATCCATCTAGCTCTCATTGATATAAAATATAGTAACCATGGGATTCTATTCCTTATGTCCCTTACCCTGTTTTCCCTCGATCCTGACGGCAAAAACATAACATTTCGGGATATTCGAAGTGACCCGGAGGCTAAGGACTTCTACCTTAGCTTATTCAACGACTATGATACTTATGGGTCGCTAGAAGGCCCATATCGGTGCTGTGCTTCGAATATTTATAAGACGCGAGATGATCGATTTTTTCACCTTCATGGCTCGCTCAATCCTAGCATCGTTTTGGAAATGCTGAAATTTCCATCCTTACCCCCTGGGGGAGAAGATTCATTTGAAAGGGTGCTTCCCATGTTTCATGCAGCACTCGCACAGTGGAAAAGTCAGGACATTGATAAATTATCAAATGATGTCTTCAAGACCGCAGGCACGATTAGCTATGACGTTGATGGCTACCGTAAAACCGAGCAGGGTCAGGCGAACCGCCATGTTGGCTTGTGGGAGTCTTTCAAAGTCAATGAAAGTCAAGCCCCTTGTTGGTGGACTGATGCCGCTGGCAACAAACCTAGTAACCCGTCAAGGCCTTTGGCCGGCCTAAAAGTTCTGGACGCCACGCGCATTATCGCAGGACCTGCCGTGACTCGTGGGCTGGCTGAGCTGGGCGCGACTATTCTGCGAATCACTTCGCCCTCCATTCCAGACGCTACTATCTACCATCCGGAATTCAATTGGGGTAAGTTGAACGCCGCCTTGGACTTCAACAAACCAGAGGATCGGGAAAGAATGAAGGAACTCATCTTGGAGTGTGACGTTTTTGTCTCTAGCTATCGTCCAGAGGTCATGGAAAAATGGGGCTTCGGAGCCGATCAAGTCATAGAGATGTGTAAGAACCGGCCAAATGGAATTATAGTCGTACGGCTCAACTGTTTCGGTTGGAACGGTCCATTACAACTGAGGAGTGGATGGCAGCAAATATCTGACGCTGTATGCTACCATTTCAACCCATTTTCACCTATTTATTAGGAGTCATTCTGACACGAATGTTTATAGCATACTGGAGTCTCTTACGAGTTTGGTCGCGCGATGGGTAATGACGAGCCTGTCACTCCCATATTTCCAAACAGCGACTTTTGGTGCTCTAGTCCCGCCCATTTCAAGCGCAACTCAAAATGCTGACCCTTATCTATAGTACTGGTATTTCTGGAACATGCAGCGTGATGGATGCGTTGGTTCGGAGAGCAGAAACTGGTGGGTCGTATAAGATTAATGTACGTTTTGCCCTCCACTCTTATGGATTCTGGCCAGTACATCCTGACAGTACCAGCTGGCTCTTGACTACTATAACAATTGGCTGGTCCAAAACGTCGGCATGTATCCCGAAAATATCTGGAACCGCCTTCGAAAGCGTTACGGCTCCCCTGTGTTTCGTCACTATGATCACATGCTAGTCATTATTTCACGAGTGATGACTCTGCTTAAGGAACACTCTCCAGATCTCTTTGACGCAAAGTTCTTCGAAACCCGACCCTGTCCAAACTTGGGCATTTCGATTCGGACTATCAAACCAGTCGTCCAGTTTGACGAGATCGTAAAGCTTGGATTTGATATTGGTACGAGAAGCAATGGTGTTGATGAGGCACGTTGGCCATCCGCAGCTTATCGCCATGTTGCAACTGAAGTGTAGGATGCTTCGTCTTAAACTCAGATTGTGACGAAATGTTGACCCAACAGCGATTGATCTTCATATTTCTAAAAAGCAATTGATTTAAACTCCATGTTTATGCTAACCTCTAAACTCTTGTATGTAGCATCGTCTAGTGGCATGAGTTGAATCATCATTTTGAAATTTAGATATTCGACCTCACATGAGCCTTATGTTCTCCAAGGACTTTGATCATACGAGCTGCCACTTTTTCAGCAACCACCGAAAAGATGCACACTTCCCTATCCCCGGATATGCCCCGAACCTCCCCAAACACCTTTTCATTATCTGTCATTCGATTCAAGATGTTCAAAAGCGCCTCGCCGAGTAGATCTCTTGCGGTCTGTGGTGGAAAGACCGCGCCCGACTCACTCGACAGAAAGCAAGCGTCAGTTAGGTGTAGGCTATTAAGCTTTGGGGTATCTCCAATTATCCACTCGATATCAGGCTTCTCCGCGTGTAATGCATGGAAAGTAGCATTGATAGGCAGGGCCGTCACACGGGCTTCACCAAATGGTTTCGAGCCGAAAAACTCTTCCAGCTGTCTTGGAGGTCCAATTATGGTTGTCGCCCAGGCAGACGTCACGCCACAATACAGCCCTTTAGCATGTGTGAGATCCTGAGATATATGTATTAGAATAAACGAGTATCTTGGAGGGTTGGTTAGTAGTACAGAAGGCGGCAATGGCTTAGCTTACTTTGCTGTCGTTGAATCCAGCCACCACCTGTCGAGCATGCTCCAGGGGCACGCCTACGGCTGTAGCCCAGCTCTTAGAGCGGTCATCAGCGTACTCGTTTGTTCGACGGTCGACGTCTATGCCGGCCCGGATAGAGGTAGCAACAACCTCAGGCGCAGCGTCGGCGAGCTCATCTAATGAATTTGTTGTGGCTGCAAGAGCTGCAGGGATTTGGCCGGCGCATGATGCAACTATGACAAGTCTCTGTTTAGACCACAGGTCACGGACTTGGTCGTCCCTTTCTAGTCGCCTTCAGGGCGTCAGACGAAGAATACAAAGAGGAAGAAAGAGTATTTCGACCGCATATGAAGTTGCGCACTGACATGATGAGATGGCCGACTTGGGCGAAGCAAAGTAGTAAAGTGCGAACAACGACATCTGGAACCGTCTCCGCCAAAATGCGTTCTTCTAGCTCGAGATAGGAATGAAAGCCATATTTCCCCCTGTCAGGGGTACTCGCGGTGTCAAACGCATGACGTGCAGCATTCTGCGCGCGCTCAATAAAAAGCCGGACACGTTCAGACCGCTCACTGTATTCGAAAAGCTCTTTGACACTGAACTTAGTCTCCGTCTGGTCACCGAACAAAAGGATATAACAAGGCGTTGCCATGTTGTTGTCGGTCAAAAGAGGGCACTACTCGTGCCGCCACTGAATCCTGTCCTCCAGATCGCACGACATTCTCCTCAAAAGGACCGAGCCCGGCGGCCCAGCGCTCGTATTGCCCGGCCCCAGCTCATCTCCCGTGCCGCCGTCCCTGGCTCGACGTCTCGCTGTCGCGTTCTCGATCTCGCGCTGTCGGGCCTCCGAGGCCAAGAACTGCGCGCTTCGGCCTTTCGAAAGGCCGGCTTAGTCAGCCCCCAGCCGCGTGTTCAGGCACCCCATCTCGTATCATGTACTCCATAACTCTGCAGCACATATCCAGCTGCAGGCGCAGCCCGCTGGCTCCTGGCACCTGGCGATGTGCACGTATCCCAGCTCGGCACTGCTGGGGAATGCTGTGGCCCAGTGTTACATCTACTGGAGGGTGAATGTCTTCGCCCTTCGTATAGATGACGTTCCGAGGAAGATCTTAATGTTTGACTTTCTGACGTCGTTTGTGGATGAATCTTGTCCTGTTAAGCTTTAGCCAGTCAAAATACGCTAGCGTCCTGGGTACCTTTGGCTGGCAATGTTGAGTCGCAATTGATGATGGCGATATTACGGGATGTTTGGTCTTTCGGCCTTTCTGAGCCTGCGCAGAAAGTTCAAAATTTTTCGAGTTAGTACTGCGTATATTATTTTTGAATGGCGAGTGCCTATCATAATATCACATATGGATACGTTTGGACTGAATAAAATAACCCACCACCGTGGGCCTGTACTCAGTTGGACTGGCTTTCCCAAGCATAAAATTCCAAAATAAAGAATATGACTATTCACTTGCGAAGCATTGGGCTATTTGCAAGTGAGCACCCTCTTCTTCTTTTTCAAGTCCAGCAATAGCAACCAAAAACCCTGAGACACCAATGATGATAGTATATTGACTGGGTCGAAGATTCACAGACGCTTTCTCAAGAGGACAATTTTCAACAAGTTGAGAAGCGCATAAGATTTTGATATACCAATCGTTGCTATATTTCTAGGACAATCCGGTGCAAATTAAGGAATAATTGTTGAGATTAAATATCTATACTTATTTCATTCAGCCGAGACAGGGTGGAGAATATTAGACCATACCGATATCAAGTCGCTAACTGTAGGCTCATTATCAATTCAACTGGAAAACAAACAATAACACTTTATTCTTTCAAGTACTCCTGTTCATGCTTTTACCATTAAACCTAACCCTTTATGAAACTTCCTGGTGAGAATAAGCACCACGCCGGAAACGGCGATTAAGACGCCAGCAAATACCCATAGGTTGCGAAAGCCGTGTTTGCCCAACACAACGCCACCGACGGGTGTGCCTATGGTCCAAGTTAGTTATATCTGTAGTGAAAAAAAGGTATTACTAGTACTCACCGATTAAGAGACCAAATGAAACAATACCGAAAGATTGACCCAGTCTAGTTCCAATCGTTCCTCTACTGTGAGTGGAGATACTGACGATGGTTGCAGTTGGCGAAGAAACAAATGTTCCTGAGAAGAAGCCATATAAAACCATCAGAACTAGTAGGCCGGCAACGCTCTTGATGGAAATGATGCAGAAGCATAGAACTGCGGATATAAAAGCGCAGGGAATCATGACGTTTATAGGTCCGACTGTGTGATATTAGAATTTCTTCAACCTTTTAAAATATCGATGCTTAACTTACTTCTATCGGATAGAATGCCAGGTATGATGCGGCCAAAAGCGCTGGCGGCATTCATGATGGCAAGGATATAAAAACCAAGGTTTTCAGTAGTGATGCCGTTCTTGATTGCAAAGGTCTGGATGTAGAAGAAGGGCTGGTAGAGACCCATGAAGGCAATGAATACGCTGGCGTTGAAGAAAAAGTAAGGCAGTTCTTTAAATGCAGCGAGGTCCATGATTGCGCGTCTCTTATCTGGCACGACTCGTACCTTCATGACCGTGATAGAAATGAGCTGCGTAGCGAGCATGATGAATCCGAGTACACGCGTGGCCCATGGGAAGCCGATCTTTGGTTCCAGTCGGTGGAAGACAATTGGGTAGATGATGCCACCTGTATACCATTAATATACTCCTTTTCAAAGATTGAAAGTCATATGAACATAGATACTCACCAAAGCTACTACCAGAAGCCGTAAAGCCAACAGCAGTGGCTAATTTAGTTGTGAAGTACTGGGATAGAATGGCCGTACTGGGAACGCAGACCAAGCCGCATCCGATACCGATACAGAACCCTTGAGCCAGCAAGACTTGCCAGTACTGTGTGCACAAACTCAACATCATCTGGCCAAAGACGAGAAAAAACGAGCCGCCGATGATGAGTTCGCGCGAGTAGCCAGCATCATAGATAGGACCCGTAAGGGCACCGACAAAGAGTAGCAGGAATGCCTGAAGGGAGCCCACCCACGCAATGGCAGAGGACGTTGTACCTTTCAGGAAGTCCCTCTCATAGAATGTCTCATACGAGCCAAAAGTATTGACGATTCCCCTGGGCGCACAGTTAGTATGACATGTATCTTTTTCAGCCAAGTGGCACGTAGCACATGTGTCAGGAGGCTCGACTGCACCCCAGGCCAGGTCGAGATAGCAACTTACCAGGAATTGAAGAAGAGAAAATGAGCACCGAGAACCTGCAGCCAAGCGAGTGTGCCTCCATTGGGCACGGACGAGATGTTGTTGATCGATGCTTTTGCCTTCTCGGGCTCGATCTTACTGCAGCTTTCCTCGTCTGACGTCTGGACTGCGGCAGCTCCAGGGGATACGGCGGATGCATCGCGCTTCTCATCTGCTGGGTCACTATGATTAGAAGAGCCCATGGTCGAGCTTCCTATTGTCCCTCCGTTCTGCATAGGTTCAGGTGCTCTAGACTCCGATGCGTCTGCGTGGACCATGTTGCGGCCAGGTCACGGCGCCGAAATGGCGGCGTAGAGGGATAGAGCGGGAGCTCTGGGACAGCTGTAGCAGGATAACCGTTGTTTGATATCAATCAAACTTGAGGCACAGCTCAACTCAAGCCAGCACTGCTGCAAAGAAGTAATCAAGGAAGCACCCAGGTCATCAACACGAAAAGTCAGTCTGGCAGAGCTCAGCTCCTCAGAGAAGAAAAGAACTAGAGAGAGGGAAAAAGACCTTCCTACTCGCGGTGACGCAACGCGCACCGAAAGCAAATCCCGCAGGGAAGTCAAGGACGAAGCATCCATGCCTGCTTGCTTGTAAATCCAGGCCCGGATATTACGGAACCGCCGCCAGCGAACTCACGGGCGATCGTCGCGCGCCCGAAGGCTTGATTTAAGCTCCGCCGGGGTGGCTCGCGGCCGCTACTTTAGGCGTGCGCGGCCGGCCCATCGCGCCCCCCGAACGCCCGAGTCACAGGGCTGTCGCACTCCGGTAGGGCCGCCGCCGACGCAGGTCAGAAGGTTGGCATATAACTTAGTTATGAAGTTCGCCTCGCCCCGTTGCATGCGTGGAATGTTCGTTTTCTGGCGGCTGCCGTCGAGCTTGAGACCGTATCCGCCAGATCTCAGACGATGGGGAAGTCCCTGCATGATGTGGTCTCCCTTCCCGCATCGTACGACGACGAGGGCAGCACTGACACACTGTTCTCTCGCTGATCCTGTCGTGCTGCCGCTTCTTTAGCTTGTCCTGCCTATAGGAATCTTTGGGCAGCAGTATGTCCACTACAGCTTCAGATATTAGATGCCGCATGAAGCCCGAGAGAGCTGGTAGACCCCAAGCTTTTCTGCCCAGCTTGCCATTTTCTTTTGCTAACAGCAGTGCTATTCAATAGACCATTCAATGCCGTGATAACGCCCGGAAAGGCTGCCCATCAATACTCCATAAGATCCAGCAAGAGGAGAAAGATATTTCTGTCGGATTCTGAGGTGCGCGGTTAAACGGGTGCAGGGCAGCGAGAGCAACGGCTCCAAGCTGAAAGCAGGCACAAAACAGGCTCTGTTCTCTGCCCCATTGAAATTAGAGGTGTTTTTGCAAATTTTAGCCATCCTGCGGGAACACAGTACGGAGAGAACTAATACTGGGAGGATGATCACGGTTCCGAAACTTGGACGAAAAAGGAGAACGATGTCCAGAAAAGTGACCAAACAATGGCACAAGGACGAAATAAGGATTCTCTGCGACTGGCTATACTACAGAGTACAGCTTTGAGGTATTTTAATGCGATGCTCTCGCCTGAAGGGTCGGAAAGGAGGGCATCTGGTCAGTTCTGCGAAGACCGTGCAGGCGGTGAGCCAATGCTGCACCATCGCACGCTTAAAAAATTCCTTAAAGAATTGCTTTTGCGCGGCTATTGATAATCAGAAAAATCACAAAACGAGTTCTCTATGTTGGTGATCTACGAGGCCTGCTTTGAATGGCAGACTGAATGGCTCGTTATTATCGTTTGAACAGCTGCCAATGGAGAGCACCTCCTTCAGGATACGAGTTTCTTATAACTACATATAAGTAACTAAACTCCTCAGTGCTCCGTACGCCTTTCTTTTTTAAATAAGGATACTTATTTCATCACTTCTGTTACACTCCAGCGATACCGGGCGTAAATTCGTGCATTGGTGCGCTGTCCAATGACGGGGCAGCTCCAATTCTTTTAAGCGCCCTGCGATCTTCATCATTTTTGCTTCTTACAGGCAGTCAATTCCTTCAGTAGAAGCTCAAAACATCTATCTATTTAGACAAATATACTCCGTACGGAGTAAAGCTTGCTGCAAACACCAAAGGGCCGCTGACCAGCATCATTACATTGGATCGGGCTAAGTATGCTGGACATATAAGAGCGACCCTATAAGGCGAATTACTCTGTACCGATTTTCCGACTGGGATGGCACGGCATGAAATGATAGTGATTGATTGAAAATCGATGATAAGTACTGATAAGGAGCATAACTATTTAGTTCTAGTACAAGCGCATTTTCGACTGTCACTCGGACCAAGAGCAGAAAATACATATATCGTAGACTGCAATGATACGTGCTGTACAAAAGAAGGCCTAGCTCTAGTCCTGCTTCAGTCCATTTTGGAAGTAACACTAGTCCAAATTGATTACCAATATTAAGCACTCTCTGCCATTGAAAGACTCCAAAAACCCAACCGCCACGACCAAGCAAATTTTAGGAAAAGCAGAGTCACCGGAGACCAGGACGGAACAGGTATTTTTCTATTTACACGGCAATCGCTCCGAGCATGGCCGCAAGGGCGGCAGCGGCAAGAGATCCAGATTTGAGCGAAGAGCCAGCGTTGGAGGTAGTCATGGCTGGGCCACCGGTGCGAGTACCTGAAGGGCGGGGGCCAACGCCGGGGCCGGAGCTGGAACCAGGACCAGAAACGCCGCCTGTGGCCGTGGCAGTTCCAGGGCGGGAGGCGGTGCTGTTGGCAGATCCAGTTCCAGATGGGGCCAGAGAGGTGGTCGAGTTGGCGGAGGCGGGAGCGGAGATCATCGCTGTGTAGGAGAGCGGTGCGAGTTAGCAAATTGAACAGAATAGAAACAATAGCTTGGGAGCGACTCAAGAGGGATTTGTAGTCGTGAGAAACATTTTTATGTACGTACAAACATCGATTCCGGCCTGCTTGCAGGCGGTCTGATAGGCATTCTGTGCCTTGCGGAGATTGTTGCTATCGCAGGCTTTCATGAGGGCTTCCTGGACATCCTTGGAGGCACCCTCGCAGAGGGTTTTGACATCGGCGGGGTTCTTCTGAGTGCTGCGTGTTCTGGTCAGTAGGGAACTCACAGAGTCGATGACGAATGGGACACGCGGCCACGGCGAGGGAGTGTGTCTTACTTGACGGCGGCGAGCAGACACGCTGGAGGAACCTGAGCGGCCACGATGTTGAAAAGAGCCAAGATGGCGAAAAGGAAAACAGATTTGGCGGAGAGCATTTTGAAAGAGATCGTGAATCTACCGGGAAGGTTGTTTTCTCGTTTTGAATCGGTTTCGAGGAACGCGATGGCGATGGAACACGCGACGGTTCAAGAAGAAAAGACTGAAATTAAAAGTATTGACGAGTAAGTAGCGTTTGATAAAAAATGAGTGACTTGAAGCTGGCAGGTTTGAAACGACTGTTGGATGAAGAAGGGTTGATGGGCGAAGAGAGAGAGGGAGAAAGAGGGTCGAGAAACGAAAGTTCGCGGGTTTGTGTTCGCCCCTGTCGCAGCCGGGCTTGGAACAGGGACAGGTCACCTTCGCAGGATCGCCTAAAGCCTGCAGCGCTAGCGCAAAGCCTGTCGCCAAGCTGGCTTTTAATAGCCTCGAACTGCTGTTTGGCGGTGATCCAGCCCGCTTGAAACGACATCATGGCGCCGATATATCTCTGGCGGCATTTCGGGGGCATGCGAGGTCTACATAACAGCGAGAGATCGCATTTGCGCTGCGCCGGAGCGGTCTCTGCTTCCTTCACCCCTGCTGGTCCCCAAATCGTTACTTAATCATCGCTTTCTGTGGGCATGAACAAGATGTCACCATGCGATTGGATTAAACCCATCCCGAAGTGGGCTGCCAACAGACACCCCAGCCTTGAAACACTATAACTACGGAGCAGATGCTCAAGAACCATTAGAGGGCCACTTGGCGACGTTCGGAGATTCTCCAGGATTAAAGGCAAAAATCAGGGGTGGAGCACCTTGGGGCGTTGGTCCAGTTTTGTCCGGAGACTTACGAACCCTCGGATTCCTAATAGCTTTATGAACACCTCGTCTTTCTCTGGAGGTTGCCTCATCATCCATTCATCTTGAATGAGCTACTTCTTGAATAATCTTTATTGTATGAATCCAGATCCCAAAGTCGGTATCTTGCGGATGAGTCTGAGAAACTCGTCTTTGTCATTCACTTCGCTTATCGTGATACCAAAGTCCTCAAGGCAAATATCGGTGATGGGAGGCTCAGGCGCCCAATTTCCTATGAAAAAGTAAAAGATAAATTCAAACTCACACGGAGGCTAATATGTGTGTCCCTAGATTTAGCTTGTTTGTCAAAATAGCCTGAAACGACAGGGCTGTTGCGAATCTCCGATGGTAGAGAGCCGGGTACCCAATAGATTTGCCCAATGACAACGGAAGAACATATTGATTGTTAATTCGATCCATAGGGTCGAAAACGTTTCTTACCTTCCATGAGCTCAAGAGTCTAATTATTTAGGACAATATCAGAAAGCCCTATTACGGATAGCTTGCGTTGGTTTATGCTTATTGGTAGTTACTATGACACCAATACTCCGTAGACCGCACTTCAACAGCATAATCCTAAGACACGTTCAAAAACGCCTTGGCACTCGATATAAATCCGTCATCCGCCAGTCCAGATATCTCATTGAGAATCGCTGAAGATTCCGTATCCTGACTGACAAATGCTTTGAGTGCGGTATATCGCTTTCCCCTACAGAATATGCGAACCCCCCTTGTTATTCCACGCAGAGTCTCTTGCCAACAGATAGGGTTTGCGAACCCCTGGAATGGGGTCGACAGCATATCAGAGCTGGCAAGGAAGATGGTTGTTTGATTTGCCACAATGACGCGTTGGGAGTACGCATTTCTTCGAAGATTGACTAGGAAGGCCTGATGGGTTCGGAACTGGGTGTTTCTCATCTAGTTTTCCCGCAGTGTACCTTTGGGCTCGTTGACATTGCACGAAGGCATTTGGACGATTGAAAAGAAACATGTCTAGGAATCCTATCAATTCGGTAACTCTCAAAAAAGATTTCCGTATAAGAGTTAGATAATGCTACTCCGTAACCCTAATCAGATCCGGAGCAGTATGCAAGAATACAAACCCTTTAATTCTTCTGGGTACGCGTGAAGGCGAACCATCCCGTCCCTGCCAAGCCACCGGCAACCTTGACAATCTTGGACGCGTCAACACTAAAACTTGTCAGACCCAAGCTGAAAATAGCAGCCATAGACGCGAAGCTGATTACGCCGATTTGGGTACATGGGGGGATTATTGGGATTGTTGGTATTTTACCTTGCGAGAGGCAGCCATGGCATTATGGTGGCAGGTCCTCTATGCAATAATGAAAGCGCCGATGGCTGTAACTCATTTCCATTGCGCGTCCTCCCGGCTTACAATAACCTCGGATACCTCCAGGCGATTTTCAACAATCTCTTTGCCATTAACCAGGTCGTTCTCCACAGCTCTTTTCTCTGCCAATTCCTCGTTCTCCGCAATCCCGGCTTCCACATGCCGCGTGATCAGTCTCCTCTTCGCAACCTCGAAGTCCACTTCTACGAACCACAACTCATCCATCAGACCCGCCGCGTCGCTCCAGGGCTCTTGCTTCAAACTCAGATAATTACCCTCGAAGAATAAAACCTTGGCTGTGGCTGGGATAGGCACGTCGTTTGCGACGGGGTCTTTGAGGGCGTGGTCGAAACTGGGGGCATAAATAGTCGCTGCGTCTGGAGAAACCGACTCGCGCAGGCGACGGACCAGCTCGACAAAGCTGACGGGATCGAACGTCCACGAAGCTCCTCGCCGAGCCATGGCATACGCGGGGTCCGGCATTGCTGCCAGTTGGGCTCTTGTGAGATGATATCCATCCATAGCGACGCAGGTGGCAACGGGTGGCTCATCGGGGTGCTCCTTCTCATATTGGCAGTTTATTTCTCTGGTCATGATCTTGGCTAGGGATGTCTTTCCAGAGCCTGGGCAACCGCTGATGGCAACCATGTAGCGCGAAGATGGCGGCGTGGAAAGGAATTTACCTGCCCCAGGTCGAAGGACATCAGCATCGAGTGTAGAGGTGGGTGCTGTTGTGGTGAGACAACCCCACCACAGTGGTTGTTCATAAAGCGTATGGACATCGCAAGGTAGGTTTCTTACTCCAGACCTTATCAACGAGCCTTTTTACTTGGACATCCATGGCTCCTCTCGATGCGCTTGGTATGAGCTCGTCGCCCTTAGCTAACAGTGCTAAAGCCTATTAAATGAGGAAAGTATTAGAAGTGGGCATGGCGGCCGAAGGTAAGGAGAGATGTAGTTTAGTAGTGGCAGGATATGCAACGATGGCTAAAAGAATGAAGCTTGCTAGAAGTGGCTTGAAAGCTGTAAATCCATGACAGATCAACGCGTATTACTGTTGCTGCTCAACACTGGTGGCGTACTAAGCAAGGCGGGGCGGGGCACCTGTTATTGCCAGAAAGGTGGAGTGCTAAGGCCTCTGGGTTATGACGGTGGTTACAGAGTGTTCCGTAGAATCTGGATACAAAGAGGCATTCAAAACGTAATATCTATTCAAATCCATCCCTCTCATATACAAATCCCCGATATAGCTATGAATCATGGGCCTGATAAAACCGAAAGGTACGCGCAAATTTTACACCGTCATGAATCAAGGTGATGAGATATACACAAGGCGCCTGAAATGCAGGATACGAAAAGGAGGTCATGTCGAATTTGAGACGTAGTTGCCAGAAAAGAGCTGCCAGTAATGCCGTAGCTCTAGCAATTCATGCTAGCAGAATGGCCTAATGGCTTTGAAAGCCAAATGCCAAATTTTCTGGTCTAGTCCAAAGAAAAGAACATGAAGTGCGAAAGACAGCTAATCCCCACGGGCTGAAGAAGTAATGTCAAGCTCTTGCCGGATGGTACGTGATAAACCTGCCGTCGCCCACCACTCGTCCGGAATGTCGTCTCGTCGGGCTAAGTGATCTAAGATCCCATGAATCTCTTGCAAGTCGGAGGGCATAGATGGTAGGTGATGGTTGTTTGACGACGAAGCAGCCGTTTCGTTATTGCCATTATTATTGCTACTCTCGTGGTTATTCTCATCAGAATTCCTCGCGTTGCGCCGACGGAGGTCTTCGCTTCGACGCCTGCTTAGTGAATGAGCAAGCGTGAGACTTAGCATGGCCCTAGGCACACGCAATGCTGCAGTGTCGATATCGGAGTCAGGTTCCGTGTCGGAATCGGTGGGTTCGCAGTTCGGAGGACCGTCGGGGAAGGCTTCATCAAACATGAGGCGTAGTCGTGGCGAAGCCGCTCCATACGAGGAGGCAGGCGTCAGAGTGTTAGCAGAACCTCTAGATAGTGCTGACGACGCGCTTGCAGTCGCTGAGGTAAACGACGAATCAAAGCTGGGTAGATGGTCGTCTGGGGTGATGGTGGTTAAAAGAGTCTCCCACGAATCATGCAATTCGTCGTCGTCAAAAGCGGAACCAGCAGGGCTACGATCTCTATCACCAAGACCGTCGACTTCCGCGCGTCTTCGCTCAGTCGCATCCGTAACAGACCGGTGGCCCATGCTGCGCAGCAGTGACGTCTGAGCATTGACCGTCGGGGAGCCCGTATTTGAACGAGAGAATAAATCGCCGTCCATTTGATGCGCCGGTGCAAATCGTGGCGACAGGGTCAAGTGCTCAGGCGCGGGAGCATGTCTGGGGCGCGGAGCAGGAGGCACAATCGGCTGTGGAAAGTCGCCATACCAGTATGGCCTTCCCATTTCGAATCTCAACGATGACTCGCGAGGAATGCGCATCCGCCGAGGCTGAGAAGAGTTGCGCAAGGACTCCCGTAAAACATGCTGACCGCTTTCGCGTCGCCCGATCGAATGTGAAGGATCCGGGAACGGCTGTATCATGGGAAGAGTGAGGTTGGGGTCAGGCACCTCCCGGTCACCAACACTGGGCTCTGTTTCGACTGTATTCTGGGAGATCGTCGGCCGGGGGCTGCGGCTGTTGCTACTGCCATGGCGCCGGGTTCGACGGATGGCGTTTTGCCGTCGGATCGATGAGCGAGCGGACGCGGCTACAGCATCGGGTTTAGGTTTCTGTTCGCGGCGCGAAGACGGAGGTACGTATTCAAGCCTATCCAGAAACCACGTCAGTTGCTGTCATTAATAAAGGACGTTGCTGGAGATGGTCGCAAGCATCCGCGCAACGCGCAATAGCATGGAAGCTTCAACTTACGGGATACCCATGGTAAAACAGTGATAGGGACAGATATTCGACCACGGAAAAAGGAACGGATGTATCTTGTGCAAAGCTCAAGTCGTCAACGGGCATAAAATCGTGAATTGAAGAAGCAGTTCTGTACAAGCGCTGGATGAAGGTCTTATTGAAACGCGGCGAGGCGGATGGCTGTCTTGAGGGGGCCGGTTGGGGGACGAAAAACGGCGCCGATACGAAAATGACGGGGCGAATCCCGCGGGAGTGGCCGTGCGGCCAGGCGCGACTCGAAAGGTACGCGTAAGCTTGGCGTAACTTTGAGCTGACACGGGTCCGGAAACATGAAAATCCGAGCCGCCGCGGCTGTAGGGCTTGGCGTTATGGTACGTGCATTTCAAGGTCATCACGTGCCAGGGCTCGTTTTGAGTGCGGCGACGGTCGTGCTTCCTAAACGGTCTCGACTAACTTGTCGCATTGAACGACGCCGGGCCGCTATGGCCAGATCTTGATCCGTGTTTCCAGCCATGAAACCGAAATATTTTTTCATACCCGCCAGAACATCAAACCACCCTGTCTCTGTTGCAGCATGATCGAATTGGGACTCGCTCGAATTGCGCGGCTTGTTCCGAAATCGTCCCTGGCCTGGAAAGCAATTCACGTTGCTGGAACGAATGGCAAAGGTTCAATTACAGGCTACATTTCTGCTCTGCTCACAGCGGGTGGTGTTCGCTGCGGCTCGTTTACTTCGCCTCATTTGGTCGACCGTTGGGACTGCATTACGGTCAACGAGCAGGTGGTCCGAGAATACCTCTTTCGTACGATAGAAAATGAGGTAGGGCAGCGAGACCAGACACTGGGCCTTGGGGCTACGGAGTTTGAGCTTTTGACTGCTACCGCATTTGAAATCTTTCACCAGGAGCAGGTTGAGGTCGGTGTTGTGGAAGTCGGTGTTGGTGGCCGCCTCGATGCAACGAATATCCTGACAGACGCCCTGGTATCAATCATCTCGAAGATTGGATATGACCACCAAGCAATATTGGGAAATACCATTCAAGAGATTGCTAAGGAAAAGGCCGGAATCATAAAGCCAGGAGTCCCCTGCATTGTGGATGGCACGAATTCCCCTGAGGTGAAGGAGGTAATAAAAGATCATGCCGACGCAGTGGGCGCACAGACGACGTTTGTCGAACCAGAGAGCATCCGGGAGACGTATCCCGCTCTACACCGTCGATTTGAAACGCTCGATCTGCCACCCCACCAGCGCACAAACCTCTCCTGCGCGATCATGGCTCTCCGCGCTTCCTTACCCGAGATTCGACCGGAGCTACCGGTCGATCGACTCTTTCCATTTGTGCCCAAAACTCCACGCTCAGGAAGACTACAGGAGCTGTGTCTTGAGCCCCTGATTCCCCGAAGAGAGCCAGTTTTGCTCGACGGGGCCCACAACCCGCAATCCGCTGAGGCATTGGCCCTATATGTCGATCATAGGCTCCGAGCGTCTGGTAACTGCGTTACATGGGTTGTTGCGGCCTCAGAGGGTAAAGACATGCGACAATTGTTTGGTGACATGCTTCAAGCGGGCGACAACGTTGCCGTTGTGGAGTTTGGTCCTGTCGCGGGTATGCCGTGGGTGCAGAGCGTTAAGTCCGAAGACATCGCGTCGATGGCCCGCTCGATTGACGGGATTGGAAGTGTAGAGAAATTTGGAGCTGATATTCGGGCTGGCCTGAATTGGGCTAGTACGGTATCTGCGGGCCGCCCTATGGTTATTGCCGGCAGCCTTTACCTGGTTTCTGATGTGCTACGGCTACTTCGGTAAACCAAGAATATTTTGAGGCAGCGATTAAGGTTGTTCGCAGACCATAGTTGAACAAATAATTGCTTTCCCTACGCCCTCGTCGACATCACTACTATTTCGTGAATTTAACTGGTTGACAAATACCAGGAAGTTCCTGGACTTGACGTTAGAATTATTTAGTTTACCCGGGACGGGATGATACGCCACGGCAAGCCTCCTCGCAACCAAACGCGGGTTCGATCTACTAAATTGAGGACAAACAAATGCTACACAAATCTCTCTTTGTATGTAACGTCGGGCTGACAGGCCGTGATAGACATCTACCATCATTTTGGCGGATGGTACGGAGTAGAGCTGACCCTATATATATGTTAGGCCCGATATTCACCTTCCTAGGTGGCTTGCGTGGGGGCTACTGGGCTGAGAGCCGCAAATGGAATGTGGCTGTGAGCCAAACTCAAATGCCGTAAGGCAGGAATTCCCTGGGATCTACGGAGTGCGTACGGAGTAGTAGTACTCCGCATGTAGTCATCATGTTGCATTCGCGGATTGAGGAGCAAACTCCTCCAGGCTGTCTATCTCAATCCCGACGTAGTTGGCTCCCCTGGGTGCTCTACCGGTTAGTTAGCTATTTGTGCATTTCAGCCAAGATCAAATGGTCGTAAAACCGCCGTTGAACCTGAATCGTGTGGCGAAGCCGCACGGCCTTTTTGCTCTCCGACCTGGCAATTATTATTGAAGGGAGCTGCAGGTGGAGATTGTGGCCGTATTTGAAATTGACCAGTGCCGGTAGAAAGAAATATGAGGACCGGCCAGGAGGCTACCGAAGATGATAGGCTTGGTCTCCTGTGGGCTGCGAGTGCTTCTAGAAGGGTGGGCGAATCCACAGATATTGTTAGCATCCTTCAACCAGCAGGCAGGGAGCGGGTAACTCAGCAAATCCCACGGCTCCAGTCTGCTCCTCTGAGCCACCGTCGCGCCATAGTCGCTGGGGCTCCGGCAGTGCCGTGGTCGCAAGGGCCCGTGAGGACGCGCCAGGGCCGCCAGGGGTTTCAGCGTGAAAAAATAATACACGGTAGTGGCGGGCCAGCGAGAAGTGGACCGTCATTTACCACACTCGGGCGCCGTATGTAGATTGCACGGCCAGTAGTTAACTAGCTGGCCCATCGTCGCAGCGATCGCAGCTGGCGAAACCAGCCCGGTGCTCCCCTTCGCTGGCCAGCGCGTCGAGCAATCCTCGTGGCGCGGCGGCGCTAAATGGCCGGAGCTGACTTGTTGTTCGTGCCACCAGCCAACTGCGTCATGCCTGGGCACTCTAGCTGCACAGTCGAAACAACTCTACAGCCACACGGCGCTCTAGTCCAGATGGCTGCTCGAAAACTCTTGTCTGGTCACTAAACCTCGCCGCTCCCCTCCCGTTGCAGTGCCCGACCGTTGGATGTCTCGCCCGCTCTGCAAGCTTCTCCCCTCGATCCCAGCTGAACGCAGCAACCAACCCTGTTCCCTGGCTTGCACCTTATCGCATGGCCCCTCCTCGACTGTCTTGCGCGTAACTCGATCGATTTAATAGGCGTACCTGACATGAAGACCAATCCCTCCATATCGTCATACTCGCCACAGACACTGTCCTACCCTCCGTGTGAGAGGCAACAGGCTCCCCACCATGGTGCTCCGGCCTGATGACGCAGGGGATATCCAGCCTCCGTCCCGTCATGACACTCCAAGGCAGAGAATGAGATCCGGCACTAGCTCGCCGAAAAAGGAGAGATCGAGGTCGTCGGCCAAAGATGTCTCGGAGCTCACTGACTATGTATGTGTACAATGCGGTTGTGAAGGCATGCAGCGGTCCGTGTTTATTGATAATGGTCATTTACAGCAACTGGGCGATTGCCTTGGAAAGGGGGCCTTTGGCTCCGTGTACAGGGCGTTGAATTGGGGGACTGGAGAAACCGTTGCCGTCAAGCAGATTCGACTGGTAGACCTCCCGAAGAGTGAACTGAGGGTTATTATGGTGAGAATTGAACCTCTTTTTTTTTTTTTTAGGAAAAGACAGTCTTTTAATACTCCGCAACTCAATAGCAAGAGATAGATTTACTGAAGAACCTCGATGTGAGTTGCCCCGCGGTGCTACAAGATCCGGTTCAGGAACAAAATTAACGCCAAGTTACCAGCATCCGAATATCGTCAAGTACCACGGGTTTGTGAAGTCTGCTGAGACTTTGAATATCATTTTAGAGCAAGTTGAACATTGTTGGTTTCTTGGTGGACAATTATTAATCTATTTGGCAGATACTGTGAAAATGGATCCCTACATACAATATCAAAGAATTTCGGACGATTCCCCGAAAACCTCGTCGCTCTCTATATGTCACAAGTTTTATCAGGACTCCTCTACCTTCACGAACAAGGTGTTATCCACCGCGATATTAAAGGCGCGAACATCCTTACCACAAAACAAGGCTTGGTCAAGCTCGCCGACTTTGGTGTTGCCAGCCGTACTACGGGTTTACATGAATCGAGTGTCGTCGGAACCCCATATTGGATGGCACCTGAGGTGATAGAACTCTCGGGTGCTACTACTGCCTCGGATATCTGGAGCCTTGGATCTACTGTCATTGAGTTGTTAGAAGGAAAACCGCCATATTACAAGTTCCAGCCCATGCAAGCCCTGTTTCGTATTGTTAATGATGACCACCCTCCATTGCCACAAGGGGCATCACCGGTTTGTTCCAGAACAGCCCGTCTGTTAGATGCTTAACCTGCTGACTTTAGAACAGGCTGTGAAAGACTTCCTTATGCAGTGCTTCCAGAAAGATCCAAATCTTCGCGTAACGGCCCGCAAACTTCTGAGACACCCTTGGATTATGAATGCTAAACGTTCCGATTCTATTGTTCCAACAAAATATACTGAATACGAGGAGGCTGTCAAAAGTGTTCAAGAATGGAATGAAGCTCTCCGATCCCCAAACCCGAATACTCTCCGACGGCCCATTCGATCTGGATATGCTAGCCCTGGACAACCCCAAAGAAATAGCTCGCATTCACGCCAGTCTTCTTCTCGCGATTCCCTTCCAGCTATAAATACAACTGTTGCAGATAAGACCTGGTCTCCAGAGAACAATAATGACAACTGGGACGACGATTTTGCATCAGCCGTTTCACCAAGTGCGCTCCAGTGCCCACGTTTAAAACCGCAAGACAATTTCGGTGGCATGCTGTCTTCGGAGAAGCTAAAGGCTTTTGCTTCCCTTGAAAATATTGCTGATTTTAGGGCCGATAGGCTTACCGAAAGCGACTCATCAGGCAAAGAGAGAAATGCCTTATCTGATTCTGACCCACTACAGACAATTCGTCCATATGCACGAAAGAAAGCTAATGAACCGCAAAGCGCGCCGAAACTTCCAAGGCGGACACGGCACCGACATGTCCCCACACCGTCATTCAAAAAGAACGCAATAATTACTCCCATATCTCGAGGGTCTCCCAAACCTGCCGGCCAGCCTCGATCGGCTGCTTTTTATAGAGAAAACTCCGATGAGGATTATTCGGATCTTATCGCTGCGAATGAAGAAGTGCTAGAGAGGAAGCTCGCTGTTGTTCCGGTGAGCGATCCATTTTTGAGTCAATAATTGTTCCGTAATCTAACCGGTGACTAGCAGGGAAACATTTCAGATGACGCAACTACTCCAGCCCACGAAGTCAATGACTCTTCTGACTTGAGCACCACAACGGCTCACTCGCCTGAGAAAAGCGTATTTCAGTTTCCGGCGAGGAGAAGAAAAGCGCCACTCACACGCGCCCGAACATCAATCGGTATTGAAATATATGCTGAAGACGAAACTGATGAGGATTTCTCAGACATACTTGGAAACGATGAGGATACGCTCGTGAGGCTTGATAGCGACGGCGCATCGGACTGTGGTAGCAGTTTAATGCTAAATTCCAAACTATCCAGCAGCTCATGGTTGGGTGATGTGGACGATGAAGATGACCCCTTTGCACAGCTTGAAGAGGGGTTGGACGAAATGGATCTTGAAGCTAATATTGCTAGAGATAAATATGCACGACTTCGGAATCAAGTTGAGGGTCTGGTCAGTTCGCTGAAGACCTCACAAGATGACGAGGTATTGGCGGACATTTCGGAACAATTGGTAGGCACCCCCTATTTCATATTCTGGTTTCGAAACATAAGTACTGAACAATATAGGTAATGGTTTTCTCTGATTTACCTGAAACAAAAAACGTAATCATTGGCGCTCACGGCATGTTGCCCATACTGGAAATACTCGATACGTGCCGTCGGAGGGACGTTATATCTAATCTCCTCAAAATTGTCAACTCTGTGAGCCGTCGCATTGTCTTGCTTATCTTTCTAACGCTAATGGATTTTGGAAGATTATTTTCAATGATTTTGAAGTTCAGGAGAACCTATGTTTCGTGGGTGGAATTCCGATTATCAATAAGTTTGCGTCAAAGAAATACCCACGAGAGATTCGTCTCGAAGCCGCTGCTTTTGTTCAGCAGATGTATCAGACCTCGACGTTGACCCTCCAAATGTTTGTCAGCGCAGGAGGACTCAATGTCTTAGTTGAATTCCTAGAGGACGACTATGAAGACGAGAGAGATCTCGTTCTGATTGGCGTTAACGGCATCTGGAGTGTATTCGAACTCCAAGTATGCCAACCACAAACTTTCCAGTGAGATTTCAGTATGGCTAACTTCAAATAGGGGTCCACGCCAAAGAATGATTTTTGCCGTATTTTGTCTCGAAATTCGGTCCTGGATCCACTCTCTTTAGTTTTGAGCAGGGTTTTGGATGAGGAAGAGGGTGAAATGGCTGAACTATGCGAAGGACGTATCGCGAATATCTTCCATATATTCTCACAGGCCGAAAGTCATGTAAAAGAGATGGTAGCCGAGAGAACTGTTCTGCATCGTAAGTCTTGATGTCATGTCAACCGATGTAGCATTGGGAAGCTAATGCATTTTTTAGGGGTTCTCAAGGAACTGAAACGGATGTCCCCTACACCCCAGATCACGATGCTGAAGTTCATCAAGAATTTGTCAATGCTGTCGACAACCCTTGAGGCGCTTCAGAATTCAAACGCTATCGACGTCCTCACGGACCTACTGCGCTCCACCATGAAGGGTCCCCATTTCCGTGAAGTTTCGAACCAAGTTTTAAATACAATATATAACATGTGTCGTCTGAGCAAGTCGCGACAGGAGGACGCGGCACTCAATGGGATAATACCGCTTCTGCAGAAGATTGTCAAAACCGAGCGACCCTTAAAGGAGTTTGCTCTGCCTATTCTTTGTGATATGGCACATTCTGGCAGAGTCGGCAGGCGGGAACTCTGGCGAAACAAGGGCTTGGCTTTCTATATATCTTTACTCTCGGATCCGTATTGGCAGGTCACTGCCCTTGATGCTATTTTCAGCTGGTAGGGCCCTTATTTTTTTTTTTTTTTGCTTCACCTTCTAACCGTAAGCTGACGATTTCCTTACCCAGGCTGCAAGAAGAAACAGCCAAAGTTGAGGAACACTTACTCGATGACCGTAACGGCGAGCCTCCCTTCACGATTGCGATACTTCGCTGCATCACAATATCGAAGGCAAACGCGTTTGAGAACCTTCTTGAACCTCTTCAAAAACTACTGAGACTGAGTCCAGCAGTTGCAGCAACACTCGCCAGGCCGGATATGTTTGAACGTATTGGCCAGAAACTACACCATCCAAAGCCGGCTGTGCGGGTGAACTTGCTGCGTATCCTATCGACCATCTGCGATGCTTGCGAAGAAGGATTTGGTCTTCTCAGTCAAGATGGGTTGCTGGATGCCATTCGAGAGCTCCAAAAGGATTCTCGTGTCCTTGTGCGGGAACTAGCTTCTCAATTAGTGAAGTCCAGTGAAGAAAGTGATCATATGAACAGCCAAAAGCGACGGTCAACAAGGACAGGAAGTTCGTCCATCACACCACCAAGCCTGATGTCTAGCCATTCGATGCCTGCTACACCACAAGTCAGCCGATCTGGAGGATCAAAATTCTACATAGATGGAAGAGACAACCTTCATCCGTCGAATGGGATCAATGGCTCACTGGTTCTAAGACCCGGAAGTCGGGATGGCAGAACACCGACTCCGAGCGGCATGCCCAAGCCCCGGCTAGTGCATCGATTATCGCAACAGATCACACCCATGACGCAGCAAAAGGAAGAGGGGGGCAGGACACCTACTTCGGCGAGAGCGCCATCTTTCCTTCAGTCGCGCCGAAGAAGGCCGACAAATGGCGGCGGGCCGGAGTGGGCATGACCAGGAAAATCTGAATTTGTTGAGCGTTTTCGAATTCCACCCATTGACGTTCGTTTCTGATATTTCTTTCCTTGCTTCTCGACTTTCTCTTTTTATTCGTTTTGGTGGATATGGGAAACGTTCGGATCTTTGCATGGCATAGCATGGGCGCATTTGGCAATACAGCATTACTTTGGCCGTTGAGCCCGGGACATTGGGTCATAGCTATTTCCTTTGTTCTCTCTATTAAGGCCATTCTGGCTAGTATTCATTCCTTTTCCATATTTTATTTTTTCTTAATCTCTGTCGTCCCGAGTGTCTTCTGTGGCTCCCCATATACTGGGTGGTTTAATTGTCGAAAAGCGAGAGTGAACTCACACTACAATGTTGTAGAAAGTGACGGTTCTTGTTCAGCTTATCGTCGAAATCACATTCATAATATAAAATATAGCTATACACTGAGGGTGTGCTAAACAAAAGGCACTACATTTCAAGCTCTCGATAAAGCCGTAACAGGCGGAAAATCTGTCACTCTGCCACAACTAACAATCCTTGAAACGTGAAGATGATAGGATAAAGCCACGATGGCACCTTGCTAGCCAATAATACAAGTAGTAATTTCGCGTGATTTGCTTAAGGATACCTCGGCAAGTGATAGCTGGCTTTGGTCGTCAAATCTATCATTGAAGCGCTCCGTAATCATATAGACGTAGCTTCAGCTGCCCGTAAATTCGAGACTACGCAGACATTAACGACGATACATCGAATAAATTTCCCCCGCAGTCGGTTGGCCCAGAGAATAAATAGCCGTTGATATCGAAATCCGTGGCAATCACAAGGTTCGCCCTACGCGCACGTGACGCGCGCCCTGATCGGGTGATCGGAGCCACGAAATTCCGCAAAGTTAAAATAATTTATCGTCATTAGATGCATCGCATCCCGATTCCCATAGACAATGAGGGCGAAGGCGGGCGTTTCCTTTCAGATCGGCGTTGTTTGTATGGCTCTTAGCGTTTTCTCTCTTTTTTCAACGGAAAAGACCGCTTAGAAGCCTGGTTATGAAGTTCGCTGCGTCTCTTCGGCGGTTTACCAGTGCCGCAAGCAAACCCCCCATTCCCCAATCAAAATTCACCCCATGGACCTGCCGACAATGCCTTCAACGGAAAGGAAAACCGTTCCGTTATTTGAATTCTCGCTCGGATTTTTCAACTTCGGCTTTTCGACTTAGCAACCAATCTAAAGGAAACACAGGTGGTGGCCAGAGAAGGAAGCCTCGGCGGGCTCTCAAATATGCTGCAGCGGGGGGCACCCTAGGCGCAACGGCGCTCGCATTCTCGGACGACATAAAACATGGGTATACTGCAGTCGAGAGAACCGGAAGGGTCGTCACTGCGCTGGCAGTCTGTATTAATGAGTAAGTGCCGGCTTCCTCAACATTCGACTTCCTTTCCTTTTTTTTTCAAACCTTTAGATTCTTGTCGGCATCTATTCACAAGAACAAGCAACAAACACATTTACTAATTTCTTTTCTTTTCATGGGCTACAGCTACAGGGTAACTCTGAACCAAAATCCGGATTCCGAAGAAGAGAAAACAGCAATCCTTAATGCTTGCCACAAGCGATGTGCTGAGCGCACGCTTCATGTGTTGGAGAAAAATGGGTCGATATTTATAAAACTTGGTCAGCATTTGAGTAGTATGGGCTATTTATTACCGTTGGAATGGACGACGACTTTCATCCCGTTACAAGACAAGTGCCCCGTTTCTTCGTTTGAGTCGGTGGAGGAGATGTTTGTGAAAGACACCGGACACCGGATAGACGAATTGTTTTCCAGCTTTGAAAGAGACCCGATTGGCGCTGCATCACTTGCGCAAGTACACGTTGCAGTTTTAAAGGGGTCAGGACGAAAAGTAGCTGTGAAGGTACAGCACCCAACGTTAGCGGAATGGGCTCCCTTGGATTTGGCTCTCACAAGGTTTACATTTTCAACATTGAAGAGGTTTTTTCCAGAGTACGACCTAGAGTGGCTGTCAAATGAAATGGACTTGTCATTACCCCAGGAGTTGGATTTTCGAATGGAGGCTGACAATGCAAACCGAGCGAGGGAATACTTTCGGACAAGGACAAAAGCGCCGCTGGTTATTCCAGAAGGTAAATCTACCAGACCGTTTCAGTGCGAATAGCTACATACTAATACATGAAATGCAGTCATGTGGGCAAAACAGCGGATTTTAGTGATGGATTTTATCTCTGGCCACCGACCGGACGATCTCGAATTTTTAGATGCCAACAACATCGATAGGGATGAAGTATCAGCTGCGCTGGCCCACATTTTCAACGAGATGATTTTTGGCGATGGAGCTCCGCTTCACTGTGACCCTCATGGGGGTAACATTGCAATCCGCAAGAATAACTCCCGACGCAAGCCCAATTTTGAAGTCGTACTCTATGACCATGGATTATACCGCGATATATCTAAAGAGGTCCGACGGTCATATGCCAAACTCTGGCTTTCTATCGTAGATGCGGATGAGAAAGGAATGCGAAAATACGCACACGAAGTCGCTGGCATAACAGATGATCAGTTCCCCTTATTCGCTAGCGCCATTACAGGCCGAGATTACACAGTTCTGACCAAGAATTCAATCACATCTTCCAGGTCTGTAGAAGAGAAAGAAGTTATGACAGATGCCTTGGGCGATGGAATGCTACAAGAGCTGGTTAGTTTGCTGGGTAAAGTGCCGAGGATTATTCTCTTGATTCTTAAAACCAACGACTTGAGTGAGTGTCGATATGTTTAGCTTCCCAACTTTGTATCAATTCAGCTAACAGCCATTTAACTAGCTCGTTCTCTGGATGAAAATCTCCACACTCGCCATGGCCCGCTTCGTGCATTTCTCATTCTCGCTCGCTACGCAACTTGCACTGTGTTTGAAGAACAGATGGAATCTATTCGCCAGCACGGCAGCATTTTTTGGCCTAAGAATCTTATGCGTTATATATGCGCCTGGACGAGTTATCTTCGGGTGGAAATAAAATTAGGGATCTATGAGCAGTGGTTATCTATGAGGGGAAGGTTGGGACTGGCCAATTAGTACTAGTTAAGCTCGACCTTCTCTTAGTTCAGTTATAGCTATGCTGGATATTTATGCTCTAATTTTGATAGACATTGCTTGATTGGTTATAAAGTATAAAATAAGTACACGATTAGGACATATGGACAGCAGTTCGCCTTAGACCGCTTAAAATACATCTTCCCCAAAAGCACGGAGTAGTAGCAACGGAATTTAATACACAGCAGCCCAGTTCAGCGGACACTTGAGCTCTGTACTCATAAGAGGTTAGAACTATTAATTATGTGGTCGTGAACAAGAGCTACTCACCAAAGATGGCAGAATAAAAAATTTTTGCAAATTTGATTCGTGGTCCTAGAATCTGCGGCTGGGAGAAACGTCCCGAGGAGGCGAGTAAGGAGGGGGAGCATCGCCTGTTTCCACAGCGATATTTGGTGCACTAGAGGCAGCCCTTTGTCGCCGATCTTCTCTGGCAGCATATGAAGCATCTCTGTTTGTTATATTCATATTAGCTTGAGTAGCAAGAGGGAGATCTAGTTTGTATGGAGTATTGAGATGCCATACGTTAGCGCTGATGCTATGAGGCCGGTGGTACAGAAGAGCATGCCTAGAGGTATGGCAATAAAAAGCAAAGAGATGAAAATTTTTTGTAGCACATGGTCGGCAATATCAAGGTTGCTAGTCGGGCCCGCCATGGTGGGTTAAATTTCTAAATTTGATATGAAGTAGCTAGGTATAGGGATGGATGTCGATATGGGGGTAAGGAGTCGGTAAAGGGTTTATGTATGGCGACATTTGCCTTTTAAGAGAGAAAATTTCGAGAAACGGCACATTTTGGTAACACCGTGTATGAAAGCCAGTGGTATAGTCAGAGTTGGCATGAGCCAGAACTTTAGTCAGTATTTCAAGTCCCGCCAGCAAGAAAGTAGGTGTTTGAGTAGCGGATCGTTTTCGGTAGGTTGGCAGGCTAAATGCAATAAACCAGAAGGCATTTCATCCAAAAGCGGCTACAAGTCCCAGAAGCTCAAGGGTATCAAAGCGTTAGCTTCTGAACATAGGAGCGCGGGAGGCTTAGCCTCAACGGCTTCGCTGATCGCAAAGGTAATGCAACTTCATAGCCATGTACTCAAACCCACTATGAGGTCAACCAAAAAAAATAAATTCCCCAAACTGCAAGGAAGTAAACGGTAGCAAACCGGGTTGGTTCTGGTTGGGGATACCATGTGGAAAGTTTGGAACTTTAAAAACTCCGGACGGGTCATATTCAAGTCATTCCGCTGAAAAACATCACAGGACGCCAGTTGTGTGCCACTGTTGAAACAATCAAGTACTACTGTACAGAACGCCCACTGTGCAAAGAAAAAACAGAAGGTTTTGCGGCTTTAGTCATACAGGGTATGAAGCCTTGGATCGAGCCCTTGCGCCGGCAGGGGAAACATTAGACGTTCTATGATTGTGAAATCCAGCAACGTCATGCTAATCAAACATAAGTAGGGGTAGAAATCATATTCAATGCAAGGCGAAGAACAGAAAAGGAACGTAGTAAGTAACGGTACCTATAGTCTATTCGTTCGGATATCACTAGACGCTGGTCATCCATGTAAAAAGAAATAGCAATATCAGTTCAAAGTCATAATAAAAACCCTGGCCCGCTGTACATTTCCAGGTGTAGCTTCGGAATTAATCATTATCAGTTAAAAAGTCGTCGAAGTTCCCTCTGTCAAGATTTTATCACCTTCGTATTGGGTCCAATGTATGACATTCCGAAGATATTCATATGTGAGCATCGTGGTCATCGCAGCTGGCACTGCACGAAACAAATTGGTTCCGATACCGGCATAAAAGGCGCGCCATCCCTCCTCCCGAAGAATGGTTTGGAAAGTACGGACCACGCCACGATATCGGGGCTGATTTCGCATGCCATCCGACGATGATGCACCGGAGCCTAACCCGGGAGGGCGACCGTGATCCTGAGGTTGCTCTAGAGCCCCACGGAATGTGATTCCTTCAGGTGACGCAGCTGGCTCGAGTCTTTGTTGGGTTTGCAAACGAGTTCGTAATACCTCATGAGGATAAGTAACAGTGCTGGCGCATACTTTGCTCAGAAAAGTGGCTGCACTTATGCCTAGCCATTGGGTATTGCCCTCATCTGGATGCTCGCCAATGCCAAAGCCAGTAAAAGCCATCTTGAAATATTCGTAAAGTGGAAATTGTATAGCGACATGTGTCAGCCCAAGCAAGGCGGGAGTAAGACCAGAATAGAAAGCTTTTATTCCTTCTGTGGCGTACATCTTACGAGCAGCATCCAGCGTACTTTTATAGTGCCAGGGGGCTCGATAGCCATTAGTCGAGGGAGTGAGACTCTGTGACATGAGTCTCGTTTTGATTACCCAAATAGGGTTCGTAGCGATCGTCGAACAGGCTCCCGCAGTGAGAGATGCATAGCCGCGAGCCATCCACCAGTTTTCTAAGTAAGGAAACGTCAGGAGACATTATATTTCTTCCTTAGCAAGTTAAACTTACCTGTCTTCTCCCAGAAGTATTCTCTAGACCGGTCGTATATTGTTAGGTAGATGGCCCAGGTCGGTAAGTAACCCAAAAGCATGGGTCCGAGTCCCCTATAGAATCCTTTAATACCTTCGTCTTTCCAAATAATTCTGCCGGTTCCAATCATCCCCTTGTACAGCATTCCCGTTTCCACCAACTGTCCATTTCGTCGAAGCTGAAAACCACCCTGCGCCTGTAGTTTAGTTTTGATGACATCCAACGGACAGGTCACGATGCCAGATGCGATGCCGGCACTTGCCCCGCAGAGAGGTGTAACCCACGATTGAGGAACGCGTGTGGAATATATCTGGATACTGGTAAGCAGTGGAGTCCCTGGAGGCGGCGTCCCCCGCGTATGTAGTTTTGGAATAGAGGAATGCGGTTCTGAGTGGTGTGAGATCTGCTTCGAGGTAGAACCTGCGGGAGTTCCAGGGGTATCGCCGCCACTGGGAGGCATGATTGACTGGGTTTCGAGCAGATTCTCACTCTCTTTCCCTCAGTGTCGCTGCATGGATGCAAATTTCAGGCTGAGAAGATCTGGCTTCCCCGCTCAAGCTTCAATAGAGGTGGGTTATGAACCAGTTATTACACAGTCAGTTTTGTTTTTGGCGATTCGCGATTCTCTGCCGGTTGAATCCGGTAGAATCGGGGGCTGGAGGATTTGACTCGTGTATCTTGCGGTGTGGTTAATGAGCAGTGAGTGGCCCTGCGGGGTCAATAGCCCTCGCAGCTCCAAAATGGAGCAGAGGAGGCTAGATGTGTGCACTTTTCATGCTATGCAGATGAAGTAAGCCAAGCAAAACGTGAAGAATGAAACAAAAACACAAAAAGCTGTTTTCAAGGATTGTAACCACAAATCAAACGATTGGACTGAGGAGTTCTTCACAAAGAAGAAGAATGCCAGTTGGAGACAGTGTAGCTGTGAAATGAGGAGAAGGACCCCAAACAAGGAATAACCCAATCCTTCTCTCCTCGGGATCTCCCTCACAGTCACGAGATCTGGGTTCGGAGAAAGTTGGTCCGAGCGTTGCCATTTTGCACAACATCATCTCACTTGGAGGAATCGCACCACCCAGTTGACCGCCGTCGCGCCGAGCCATTGAAGGTGTGGGACACAATTTCCGTTGGATTTCGACAGATACACAATCTATCGCATTCTCTTTCTTCACAATGTCGCTTGCCGCCATCGTCAACCGAACGTTCGAGGTGCCATGGGTCAAACGCATGATGATGCCTTTTGCCCAATGGTATACCGGCGCCGCTGGATACAGACAGATGGGACTCAGGTGCGTGCGAAGCGCTTGCTTTTGCAATGGCAATGCCGATTCAGCGGCATTCTTCTAGCCCTTCATGCGAGCCGGCTGACTGACTGCGTGCGGGCTGTGCTTGACAGATATGATGATTTGATTCCTGAGGAAAACGACGTTGTCCAAACAGCGCTGAAAAGACTTCCACCAAAGGAGGCTTATGACCGCATTTACCGCCTTCGCCGCGCGTTCCAGGTGCGTTGTATCCATGAGATTCCTGAAATCCGATGTGTGAGGGGAAGGCAGCAAGGGTATCAAGACATAATCGGACTAATGGGAGTGATATATCCAACAGCTTTCTTTGCAACAGCAAATACTGCCTGTGAGCGAGCAAACCAAAGCAAAGGAGGTGAGCAAACCCGCTTTCCTAAACAGGTGTGGTCATGTGGCCGGCTGCTGACGCTGTATCTTACAATGCAGGACATCCGCTATCTGCAACCCCTGATTGATGAAGTTGAGCGTGAGCGCAAGGAGCGTGATGATCTGGACTCCTTGGTTCTCAAGAGATAGACACTTCCATGCCAAGGGGCTGATGAATGTCAAACCTATTCAGCAAGAAAAATGGCTGTCATCACATACCAGCACACTCCCATGCTGGTAGAGGGATACTAGGAGCAAGAACATTTTCATTGAATTGTACAGATATTGTGAATTAGAATTCATGGTGAAAGAGCTGCTATTCTAGAAAAAAATACTCATATCATCTCATCGTTATTTTCTATCCTGAACTCAGAGTAATAGTGATGATACCCTTACATGTGGGCTGATGTCACTGCTTTTCATGGCCAGGTCTTTATACTGTCTCAAAGCTTAGTCCTGTGATCCAGTTGACACCCGAATATTGAGCGGATGTCACACGTTGAGTACTCTGTTACTTCATGAGGACGAGGTATTCAATTTGGTTCTCCTTGCCGTCATGGCATCTAGCTCATCAACCCGGCCGATGCTAAAGTAGCAATTATCCCGAATTCTTAAGGCATATTCACATAACACCAGTCGCGAATTCTCCGACTCTTATGTACTTTCTGGCTGGATATATGTGACTTCTTGGGCCAATGGTATCTGCACTCCACATGGCTGCATCTAATGATCAGCGAAAGTGATATCATTCTTTCGGCCGTTAGGTATGCCTGCCTTAGCATGTGAGCTTTTAGGTTGATTCGGATTGTTTCGTGAGTGGGCAACCGTGGAATCTGTCCCTGTTTCTGTATCTGCTCGGGTGGGCGTGTTGGAGTGGACGGAAAGATTCCAAGTGGATGTCCAGGGCGTTGTGAATTATGAGGTAAGCAAACGAAATGGAGCCTAGGTTAAAGGCAACGTATTGAGTCACATCCGGATTCAAGGCTCAAGAGTGCCCACATTATTACTCGAATGATGGTATGGTTATGGGTCCTAAGTCCAAATCTTAACCAGCGACCTGAGGCCGCAAACGGGGAATATGGGGCTAATATATCACCCCTCACACATGGGTTCTGGCAGTGTATGCCCTTCCCGTTTAATGCAACTTGAGGGTTAGTGTACTGCAGAGGCAGATGGTGTCAAAGCAGGAGGGGCAAGGTACTCTGCGCTGAGAGCTTCGATCCTGCGAGGGCAGAGACTGTTGCATTGATTCAGGAGCCAGAGCTCAGACGCGTCATATACAACGCCTTTAACGAAGACACTTGTAATACAATTAGCCAAAAAGGTCTCAAGTTCTCAACAAAATACAAGCAAAGTAAAGGGTGCATTTTCTTTCGACGCCCAAACATCATCCCACCAACGCTGCAGCCTAAGCGCAACGAAGATACGGCAGAGGCATGGCGCTCGAAAGCAAATAATAAAACAGGATGTGCATCTAGACACAGGGAAGAAGCGAGAAGGATGGACCCAGCGTGCGGTCCAGAGATGCGTTTTTTTTTTTTTTTTTTTTTTTTTTTTTTTGGATTTTTGATACAACACGACTTTTCTTGGAGAGCCTGGAGTATACGATGTTAGCGAGTGGTCTCCACGCCAAAAAACCATTCTGCCTGGATCCTCAGCTCCAAGACTCGTCACGCGCCCTGCTCGGAGGCAGCTGCGTGCAGGCTTGGTATGCAGCACGCTCCCGAGACCGGATGCGACCAAGATGGGCAGACGGGCGAGGCGGATGGCGCCTTGTGGCCAAACTCTTCACGAGAATCGCCTTCGGCGGATGCTTAACCTTAGCCAGCTGCAGATCGCCTTGTTAGTCAGTCACTCGATAGGCAACTAGTTGGTTCGTTAGCCCGAGAATTGTTTTTACAAGTCGTACCAAGCGAGACATCCAGGGTCTTGCTTCCGCCCGTTGAGGAGCCAGCCAAAGAGCTGCCATGGAGATATATCGATTCTGACCGCCCAGCTCTGCGTTTGTGAACCGACAGGCTTCCATGCGTCCCAAAAACTTTAACCGACCGGCCTGGTGCATCTGTATACGGACGCCGAAGTTTCGCCTTGAGGACATTCCAATCACGCCTCTCACACTGCTCGCGGGTCTCCGTGATGCCCAAAAATATCCCATGGCGAAGCAGGATTCTAGTCCCTTTCGAGTAGCCGCAGCTCTCAGCTCGTGGATTCGCCGTGGCGTTTTGCGCCCGTATTTTTCACCCCTATCGGCTCGACGGTGGTCGACCTCCTTAGCCAACACGTTTTCTAGAAACCAGATGAAGCCTCACATCGCAATCTGCAAATACGGTTCTGATTATTGCGGAAATTGAGAATAGCCATACATTTTTTCACCGTGCAGGAAAACGGCCGGCTAGCACTCCGCGTGCGAGTGGAGCGGAAGTACCCTCGAAGCTCCATAGGATTGACAATCTGGCGGAGATTCTTTCCTGTGCACGGCTCTCTCGCGCGCGCACGAAAGAGCCGGGGGAGGGGGGGGTGGACCCGTGGCAAATTCTTGCCTTGCGGCAAGCTTTCATTTCCCTCCCCTCCCCATATTATTATTATTATTACGGAGTGGTTAGTTAGCTCGCCCAGCGCGGCACACAAGAGCCTTGTGACCTAAGGTAAAATTGGTGTCCTGCCGTCGAAGGATTCTGAGTCGCGGGTGCTTAAACCCATACCATGAGGTAGCTACCTACCTTTGCTAAGACGCAAGCTAAATAAACCCGCTCGAAATGACTCCTTGTACTCCGTATGTAGGTACGGAGTACGTACTACTATAACTGATCATCCGGGATCCGCAGGCACGTTTTCCCGTTCCCTGCTCAGAATACCCATTCCTTCCGCTGGGGCGGGACTAACAATGCAGGATCGGAAGCATAATACGGGAGCGCAGTTATTATAAATGCAGTTTTCTCAAGAATTCTAGCATAGCATCGGTTGGGATATACAAATAGGGCATATATATCGGCAAGAAGAAAAGTGTTGAGAGATATACGTACAGAGGGAGGAATAAAAAGGTATAAGTGGGACAAGATGCCACGGGCTAAAGAAGCTTGGAAGAAAAAAAAGAAAACATGAGAAACTGGGCAAATCTTAAACGGAGCACACACATGGCCCGCCGTCTCCGTTTCAGACGTGCATTTTGTTTATTTAGCGGGAGTCTGAATGATCAATTGTTTGTCCTTCTTGATACCCTCAATGACGTTAATGGGGACGTTGATCGCCGCGGCGGCCAAATCAGCTGGAGTCATCGCAAGCCATTGGCCAAGAGAAATGTCAGCAACGCGGTTGGCCTTGTAGACCTCAATATAGACAAGGTCATCGGTCTTCGACGTGTTTTCAATGTAATGTCCTAAATAATGGTATGCATTAGTGGACAAGTTCTAGGGAAAAAACTTGACTTTATAATAAGGTACGAACCGCTATTGTCGGGGAATACGCCAGCATCGCCTGCTTGGAAGTCAAACGTCCTCGAGTTTCCAGCGCCAATGTACACAGTTGCGCGAGCAGTACCACGGTGGAAGTAGAGCCATTCTTCGGCCTATATTTCGTGGCAGAAGCGGTTAGTCCCGATGTAACGTTCCATGCGAGAAATCTAAAGAGGGGCGGCTTACAGTGGGGTGCCAGTGAAGTTCGCGGAGACCACCCGGCTTCAAGGTGACGACAGTGGCAGCGATCGTTTTGGAAATCGGGAAGTTGCGAGAGTCCACAATCTGGATTGTTCCACCGTGTCCTGGAACCTGCATGTGGTGTTCGGGCCGGCTGTGGAACACGAAAGAACTATTGCCAGTGACGGGGCCATGGGGTCCGGTGACATTCTTGGTGCTAATAGTCGAGTTGACAAGGGCAGGTTCGGGGTTGAACGATGTGTCAAATGTGTTTGGTGGAACGCCAAAGTTCTTCGCAAGAACGCTCTTCGGAGTGTGCGTGATCCAATCGTTGATTTGGAATGTTGTTCTATAAAAAATTGTTAGCGCCTTGTCCGCTCAGAAAACGGGGCCACTCGTACCCAACGCGACTGAAGTCACCATCATCGAAGCAAAGCAAGGCTTCATTTTCGTCATCAAGACCTATCCAAGTGTGAGCCAGGCTGAGACAATGGTGGGCGTATCATGTTGAGCGGACCTTGAAGAGAGTGAGCAACACCCTTGGGGAAATAGTACATATCTCCAACATCCAAATAGTCCAGTTGGAATTTGCCATCCTCATCGACAGCAGAAAGTAAGATTCGACCAGCATAGACATAGCCCCATTCAGCCTGTGGTGGCAAAATCAGCCTCAAAACACGATATATGGGGCCTCTGATATTAATCGTGAAGAACATACAACTCTATGCCAATGCATTTGTCGGATAGCACCCTTGCTCATGTGAATTTGAGCGCCAGCGATGTCATGACTGGTCGGTAAATCCGAAAGAACCTGTTCACGAATCCAACCTCCGTGGAACATTCTCATTCTTGAAAGCGAGAAACTCCATTTCAAATTTGGTACAAAACCACTGTCAGTGTCCGACGTTGCACCAAGGGCACTTGGGTTTTGTAGGTCGATTTGGTGGTTGGTCGCGCCTGTTTGAGCATCCTGCCATCAGCCACGGATTGTTTCGAGTAAGAGTTGGAGCTCCGATCGGACGGAAGACAACATACCGGCGAAGGGGCCGCCTTTGCCGTTTTCACCAATGGCTATTCCCTTGTTGAATTTGCCGGGAAGGACGCTGGCGCCGCTGGCGAGCGCGGAGCATGCTGTTAGGAGGGCGGCGGTGTACTTCATCTTGTCGACTTTTTTTTTGGCCTTTTATATGTATTTTCGAATGTCACTCACTTTGGGGACAAAATATCCTCAAATGGGGCAATGAGTGAATGACTTTGTCCACAGGGCAGGTATGACAGAAAGCTGCGGACCACCTAGTTTATATACAATCCGCGCTGTTTATATATAGCATGAAATAAAGAGGCGTATGTATGGCTGAGGCCATCTGTACCCGGTTGGCAGGGCCAGGATGCACCCAGCCAGGCCCGTACCCCCCTGGACCCCAGGCGTTTTCTCGCACGAATTGAAACAGGCGTACTGGGGCGACATAGATCGTTTTAGTTCCGTCAAATAGCGGAATCAGCATGGCAAACAAATGTTAAATAAGAGAAACTAAACGATGTCAAGAGTATTGGCAAATTGTGCTGTGGTGTAGAGTATCAAATACCCAGTGAAACACTTGATATTGTGAGAACAACTGAATAAAACACAGTCTCGGGTCTCTTTGAATTGCACTTGGCGACATTGCAACAAACGAGAGGGAAAAAAAGGCCCAATATCTTAAGACCTCGGGATCGGCTTTCTCGAATCCCTCTATAGACGGGGGTAGTGGTGATAAGTCGGGTCGAGCTCTTGTAGAGTTTCAACTCGACGACCTGTTTCATTTTCCCATTGCTTTGCCTAGCACACGCAGTGCTGGTCTCCGCTCCCCAAACACGTATCCAGAAAATATTTTTATGCTCGGGGCGTATCAGGCCGCGGGGCACACTGAGGGAGACTGAGAAGGAACCGTGGGGAAGCCGGGATTAACACTCGATGCTAGATTGTACATACAGAAGCCAGCGCGACGTCTAAGTCTTTCTCGTCACGGATACAACGCTACTATCTGGGCAGCATCAAGCGATATCTGATGTGTATGTAGGCAAACCCACCCGGCGCCGTTAGACGGGCGGCGCCTTGAGAGCTAAAACGCGATGCTGATCCATCGCCCCGCGGACCGCATTCCTTCCAACTCAGTTGGCGCAAGTCGGATCCATGCTCGGCGTGTGCATAGACTTATGCCATGTGTCTCTGGCTCCAGCTTCTCCGCAAAGTCCGTGCGACTGGACAATCCGCAAATTTCGAGCCGTCCGCGGAGGAATTGGCCCTACACGGGGGCAGTTCTCAACTACTGCAGCCAATTTCGCGGACCAGCAGTAGTCGATGCCAATGTTGCACTATTATTATATAAGTGCCCCGCGCCATGCCATCCAACCCGTCCGAACGCCGAGGCAGTGTCAACAGCAATAATGAAGCTCGCCGTCACGGCGTTTTGTACGGAGTATACGCGGCGTCGGAGATGGTCGATGATACCCAGCTTAGTCAGCGGTTTGGCCCGTACCGTATATTACAGTGCTCGCCGCATGCCGGCCGCATATTCTCGTATGCCCAGTACACCGGGCCTCGAACTGCCCAATGCGGCCTCGGGATCTCATCAACGCTGCACTGACCGAGCCGACCCGCGACTCGGCTCTGCCGCAGATGCAGCCTCCTCTTGTGACTATGATGTGACAGCTAGTAGGAAATACCGATGGAATGCAGCTCACCAAGAGACTCAGCAAACCGCGCCTCAAAGCTGGTGTATGCCGGGTTGGCAAGCCCGATAAGACTCTCCATCTCGTTTCTACCAAAAAAAGAAAATTAGATGTCGTGGCAGAAAACCTGGGGGGCGTCGCCATCGCCGTCGCCGGCGTGGATATCTTAGGCCGGGCCAGGATTCCGCTCTTCTCGATCTTAATTTTATTCGAAAATGGGAAGAGTTTCTCTCGGGTTCAGCAGACCCCTGCCATGCCTGCGTCTCATGTCCCTGCGCTTCTCGACTGTACCCTTTTACAGGGAATACCTGCCGTCTTTGCCAATCTTGTAACTCTCCTCTGGGGAATTGTCCCAATCTGTATGTGCTCTTTGCGTTGTTTGTGGGCCATGCTCTCTTGCATATCATACTTGCATGCTCCATACTTATGCGACCTTGCCGGGCGCTCTCGGTGTCCGGCTTAGCGCGCAATATGAAGACTCGTACTGAGTGTTGTTGCGTGTTCAATCTGGAGCAATACCAGGCGAAAATCCCCTTGGCGATAGTGGGTTGCTGAGAACTGCAGCAGGCATAGGTATCATATACGGAGATACTCAATGGGTGAAGGTATCACTAGTGTTTGACCTCGTTTCTAGAGTGTTTCCATTGTTGCCATACCTTCAACGTGGATATGGATTTCTCCTCTCCTTGGTGGCACGGCAAGTTGTCCTCAGTTTATCTTCCCCCAAAGGTTTAGAAACCGACGTCTTTTGTCCTGAAAGAGTCAACTAAAATCAAGCAATATGGACACGCGAAAGGAAGCCGTTAGGTTAACTTTTTGGCGTCTTGTCGATCAGACAAGGACGCTTCAAAAGGGCCCAAGCTTTATCAAGCGTATTTTGAGGTGTGAAATTAAACATGTTTCATTCTTGTCGTCCCTGGCCGCCCTTGGCGATCTTGGTGCCTGTGTGGCTAGCTCGCCTTGGTATCAGGATGCAGATGACTAGGCCCCTTGTCACTCGTGTAGTTACGGAGTACATGATGGAAGCTTTGCGATGAAGCCCTTTTTTTGACGGTGGAAATAGCATACTAATGGTTGCCACTTAATGCATCCAAATCCCATTGGCCCTACAGTCGAAGTGGATAGGGGCTGTGTGCAAGAGCTCTAGATGGCGATTTGCGTAGTCAATGCGCAGGTAAGTGCTCTCAATGTTGCAGCAGTGTTGATATTCGAAAAGACCTTGCTTGGCCTTAACCCTTGAGGTCCATCTAAGTCTAACTTTTCTTATCTTCCAAAGCGGCATCAGTTGTTCGGTATCAGCCGAGCCAGGCATGGTGATTTGACTCATCCAAACTTCCACGCTTCTCTTTGCCCTTTGCAATTTAGGCTTCTGCTGGAAAAAGCTACGTTGCGATGGATGGATGTATGCACATACATACGATTCACAGGAGAAGCCTGATCATACGATTCTAAAAAGCTATCCGACGGCTCAGGGCCCGGAAATGAGAGGCGTCGAAAGCTCCCTGGCTGGATGCTTCGAGAGTTCCCGGCGCAGCAAGGTTAAGAATTCTGCGAAAACTTTTTACCGACATATTAAAAAGTGGCTCATCAATAATAGTAACTACTGCAGAGTCTCCCAGTCATTCTCGTATCGTCAGCAACCTGTTGCTGAGGTGGCAAGGCGCACTTCTAACAGATAGACAGCAAAAGAGGGCCAGTTTTCTAGAGTTTTCCTCTCAGATACGATGCTCGTAAATTTGAAGATTTTTTTTCTAGGCATCCGAGGCCAGGACGTCAATTTTTGTTTCTTGTTGCTCGGCGAACGCATCGCCTTCTGATGCATGGTCAAAGGAGCCGAAAAGCCGTCGCCGGTGGCGATCTAAGCACAGCTGTAGTAACAAACACCACGAGTCGTGGTTCCCAGAGTTCATGCTCTACGGGGGTCACACAGAAAGAGCTTGAACAGGATACATATTCAAGGGGCAACTTGTCTTGGGCTCGGCTTCCAAGCAGTTTCGCGAGCTTCACATTAGCTACTGCACATTTGAGCAGTTTTGTCACCCAACAGCAACGCCCAGGTATCAGAGGAGCAATGGAAAGGATGAGTCTGCATACCTCGTACCCGCGAAGCAAGACTCTTGGCGCATCTGGCTGGTCTGGCAGGCTGGTATGCATGTGGGACTGAGCGCTGCATCATCGGCAGCTCCCACGTTGATGGCCAGCCTCGATTGATATTGACGCCACTGGTAACTATTCATAAGGCTTGAGTGTAGGGTTGGCAGAACCCAATAATGACCTGTCAGTCAGCGCTGGCCATCGAATTGCCATTTTTAAATTTTTTTAGAGCCCCAAGCTCAACTGTCGCTTACGCCTTGCCTTTTTTTTTTTTTTTTCGTCATGGTTCTTGACAGTAAACTAAGTGAATAAGACCTTCTGCGTGGGCGGCGACGCACCTTCGGCTACGACCCCCCGGTGAAGCGAACAACGGCGAGCAGATATGACAGCTCAACCATCACTGAGACCGATGTCAAAACCCTAGTTAGTTCGTTGTCGCTGCTGGCTGCCAACTCGCGTCTGACAGCTCCCAAGAGACCAAAAAAAAAAACATCCCAACAGACATACCTACTCCCGCACATGGTTGTTCCATGGAAGACGTGTTAGATGTACAGTTGGGTTGCGATGCGTGGGAGGCAAGGAGGCGACGATCTTCTCCTGGGGCCCTTGGAAGCCAGGTCTTGCGCGCCATGCAATTGCTCTGTCATTCTTTTGCTCTTTATCGCCATAACATACACTCGCGCAAGCGCATCCAGACCAACCTGAAAAAGTCGTGTCATCAGGCATCATTCGGCATCCCGGGGTAGAATCGCTAGGCCCTGAGCAAACCGTGGTTGGGATTCATGCCGGCAGTCGGATATCAGAGGTCATTTTCAAGGCTGGCACAGTGAACGTCGCAGATTTTGTCTGCTACGGCACGATGCCCGGACTCTTTTTGACTCAGCACGGTTCGCTTTTGTGTTACAGCCCCTGGCGGGTCTGCTGCGTGATACCCGAATGGCCTAAGAAGCCGCGTCAAAAAGGACAGCGCATGTATACTACATACGGAGTACTTACGAAAATAACTGCCATGAATGGATTTGAGTTGCAATACATACCCTGCGATATTCGTTATCCTCATCTTCCTAGCTGTAATTATATTCGCGTGCCTCAAAAGCCATTTCCGGGTGCCGGGAAAGTTCAAACGACAACCCGCAATCGTTGCGGTACCCGTTCATCGCTGCTTGGGCCCTTTTCCGTTTTGATACGTTCTCAATCGAGGCTCAAAGAGTCCCTCAGGCTTAGCTTCATATTGCTTAAGATGAAGAACGCTCTCGGATTGAATATCAAACTGGGGTCAAGCGTTCTTGGGCGGCACTTTGCGGGCAAGGAATAAGAGTCAGTGCAATGGAGCGCCGTTATGCAGGGACAAGACAACGGCCAGGCCGCCAGTGGCTATACGCGTAGGTTTTGATTGGCCTCCCCTCCACGACGGTATCATTATTCCCATGGTTGCCAACATGCCTGCCGTTGCCCCTGAATATCGAATCCGTTAATGTTGTGGACAAATTTTTGTCAGAGAAACAGGGTGCCCCGGCTGGCCGCAGCGAATTCCTTCCCATGATTGGCGGTATGGTTCACCTCACTGCCACCTGAGAAGGTGTTGCTGTACCGAGCGTTGCACATTACAGGGTTCTCCAGTTATCACTAAATTGCACTAAAAGGATCCCCGGTCCCCAGCTCCGGCACACTTGGATTATTAGCCTCGGATCCCTAATTCTGTGGAGCAAAGGGTTGAGCAACAAAAATAGCGCACAGCCATCCTAGAAAAAGTTCGAGTCGAAGAAATTTTGATGTCTCAATGTCTCCTGCCGCGATTTCTTTTCCCAGCTATTTCTACACATATACATGTATGCCAATGTGCGCTGTTGAAAGCGCTCATCCTGATGGAAGCCAATACCTTGGAAGTGGGTGATGTTGCCACGCATTGTTGAAACGTCATATTAAAGGGTGATTATCCTGACGGCACCCAAATTTGTTTTGCGTTGCTTTGCCTCTGTTTGATCTCTCTTTTCTTTCTATGCCTGATATCCTGCGCAAATCTGGTGCCTCGACGGCTCTCGACAACCTCAGAAATAAAGTTCGGCCGGTCGAGCGATAACCAAGTGACTCCCAATCATAACCTCGCTGATGATCATGGCAGCAACCTGGCGGCTCTCAGACGACACGAGCAAGGCTCTAGGCTGACCAAGCGGAGGACCAGACGGGCCGCGACCGTCCAGAATGTCGCCATTGCAATATGGCGTGAGGATCAGAGTATGATTTTCCACGTCACATGTAGCATCCTGCGACAATGCGACGCCTGCTGGTCGCCGAGCGTGGTTAACGTGGTTAATTCGACCTCGCCGGGATGTGCGCTGGCGCGATCGTCCAGTCAACTCGACAGTATTGTCTAGCTAACTACCTAACTGACTAGTTATTAGCTATTTACTGGCGGCTCCTAGGCCTTCAGACGTCAAGCACACCATTGATCACCGACGCCGAAACAGTTGGAAGAGATCGACCGGCGAAATCCAACCGGCCTTTTCCATCAATGGCTTTGGCATCTATCAGCATTGCTACGCCTACCGTTGTTCGATCTCCTATTTAGTTGAGGTAATTAATTAACCGAACTAAAATTGCTAGAGAAGCACTTGCGCGTCCTATATTTTCTTTCTCGCGATCAGTGTCCAATAATCCTTCAAAAGAAAAAAAGAAAAGATGCAAAACGAAGATTTCTGGAACTGGAAGTACAAGCTGGCTATCGCGGGTCGGGTTCGGACCGTAGGGCGTCACGCTCTCGGCAGATTGGCTGAAACATGGCTCTTGTTTGAATTCAAGGCCAAATGGACCAGGGACCCGTGAATCCCAGCACGCAGGTCTGTTGCTGGTTTGCCTCTCCAGCATTTTTGTGAAAAACACCCACGGCGCACTGGCCTTTTCAATTGTATGTATATCTATCCTTGATCCCAGGGGGAGTTAGTGATTACAAACAGAGAAGGGCTATTTTCAAAGTGGGTGTGCTCTGGACCGCAAAGTCGCAATTGATTACGGACAATTGTCAGACAAGGCTCGTTCTCTTGTGGTATCGGGTAGGCCCGCTTCCACTTGCACGATTCTTGATGATGTATGTACGTATATATTATTTGCTCTGCACTCCATACTATGTGTATGTGTATACATGCAACACCTCATAGACTGCTCGCATTTTAACGCTTTGACCCCCGATGTCTTAAGTGTGAACGTTTCAAAAAAAAGAGAACACCGATTGATACCCCCTAAAGCTTTAGGAATTGTTTTTTAAATTTAAATCGCTTCTACTCCCTACAGGGAAAATGTCCTCATACATCATCGATAAATAGCACCTCCTACTCCATACAGTATACATCGGCGGGAAGTCAACCTACCCTGCGATGCTGGAAGCGCGACTAACTACGGCCAGCTTGAAACAGGACTGGCCAAAAATTAACGTTGTTGGAGACCTCGCATGAACTTTGCCGCCTACCGCGTGGTAGAAACATGCCCAGGACGGGGAGGTGGAATAAAGGGGCTCCAAGACTCTGGAGGCGCCACCTTAAGGGAAATCACCGCGTCTCTGGATTGCGTCATGATTAAAAAAAAAAAAAAAAAAACAAAAACAAAAACAAAAAACAAACGGGTACGTAGTAGATCATGGTGTGCTCCGTTATTATTTCCAATTCCAGGGACCTTGGTTCGGAATATACTGCCGTCGAAGCGGTGCGCGCGGGTTCCCTGCTATGTCTCATCCTCCTGCCCGGTACTCCGTACTCTTATGATGCCATATTCCTTGCAGGCAAGGCAAAATTATCGCAGGTTTTCTTTTAAAGGGTGCCATCATCAAGCCAATAGCAGTAGCGTTGCTGCTGCGGTTGAAAAACCAACGTCGATCCTCCATGAACCTATTTTATTGTCAACTGGAGGCCTGTGCGCACATAAAAGTAGTTATGTAGGGAATATAAGTGATATCCGCTGCTGTTCTTTCTCCGATATCCGTCATCGGTCTTTGATTCTCGCCTCTCCTGGCTTATTCTCATAAGCCGTCTCGTTTAGCACTTCGTGCTTTGTCTGTAAGCTCAGGAGTAGCTCTCTCCAGCATCAAGTGAATTACAAAATCTGATGTGTAGTGGTCTGCTGTGCTTGCTCTGCCTGTCCTCTTCAACAGTGCCTGATCTTCGAGACCTTGATATCAACCGGAGTGCAGTCGGAAATCCACAAAGACTATGCCTCAAAAACTCTTCATATCGATGCTACCCATTGTGTATACTCTCCTTTACTCCTTTTCGAGAGGTGGATGAGTAGTCAGCGATTCCGCAGCGCTGACAATTGCAATATCATCTGGCTAAAGCCTTCCTAATCGGGCAACACAATATGAACATATAATCAGCAAAACAAGAAATCTAGCAACAGCCCAGTGATAGGTTGGTCGCCCTAGTGTTGGACGCCGGCACTACTTAGTAGACCGCCTAGGCGCTGGTTTGATATCCAGCCTCGACTGGGTGTCGGAGGGGAATTCAGTTGATCTGAGGCCTTGCCATTGAACTCCACTCCGCTCCCCTTCCCCCGTCATTTTCTTAATATATACTTGTTGTGTCTCAGCTTTTTTGCTTTTCTTTTTTAATATGTGCGCATAAGGCGATCCGATTCTTTCAATCGCTGTTGTACATACATACAAACACAGCCAGATAAAAAATGTCTTTGCCCCTGGGCAAACATTGAAAGTTTCACGCGTTCATTGTTATGTAGTGCTCTTATCATGTCTGCCCTAGGACATGATATAGATATCTCAAACCGGAAAGGGCATTCAGCAAAGCATCCCCACAGCTACTGACAGGGGAGGGCGGCGTGTAACTGACTTGGAATCCACGAGCAAGGAGCAATCATTTGCTGCACGAAGCTACAATATGGCACGGATGAGTGTTGAGGCTCCAGTGAAAGTGAGGCTTTGGATGGATATCGAAGCCTTCACGGCTGTTATATCTGCTCGTTGTATATTTACTACAACATAACCAAATTGCGCCAAGTTGACAATAAATGTCACGTAGGCATTATATTAATATTCTAATGGCCTAGATACTCTCTAGGCCATGGGTCTTATTGGCGATCTTGGGTATAAAAAGGGACAATCTGCGGATATAATCCATACATTTCCACCAGTGCTTCAAGCGCACATATAAAAAGAAAGGTATTCCGCAGACGAGATACTCATGTCTAGTTTTGGAAAACTTCGATGTCTGTTTCCGCCCATCGCCACATGTACCACATAAATAGACTTCTATATGGAGAAAACGGCGCTGCAATCTCGACCATCTCTTTTTCTGCCATGTATTTGAACTTACCTCCCTTGGCCTTGAGCTTTGCGACGTCACGACCAACGAAGGCGGCCATACCACGCCTATATCGAGTAGAGTTAGCAATGAATATACTACTCTGATAAAAAAGTACTCGATAAAGGGGGGGTTAAGAGAAGGAAAAACCTACTGCACTCCTAAATCCCCTGTAGAGAACACATCCAGCCTCTTCAGGCCGAATAAAGAGAACATCTCCACCGACCACCGGCCCAATCCTCGTACAGCGATAAGGGTTTCGAGGACTTGTTCATCGCTAGCGGTCAGCAACATGCGCGCGCTCAGTTCACCACTGGCGAATTTCTCCGCCAATCCATGAATATATTCGGCCTTTCGCTGAGACAAGCCTGCTGAGCGAAGAGTCGGAATATCAAGTGTTATAACTTCCTGCGGGGTTGGAAAGCGCAATTTGGCTTCCGTGTTTCCATTGCCCTCGCTATCTTTATTCTCACTCTTGTCCTTGTCTTTATTGTCACCTTTAGCAGCACTTCGGCGGCGACCCGAGCTGTTCTCTTTCTTCGTGTCCACAGGATCACTCAGGCTCTGCTCCTGAGGAAACAGCGATACAAATTTCTTATGTATCGAGTTCGCAGCCGCGCCCGAAACCTGCTGCCCGATAATCCCACAGGCAAGCCGCTCGAAGGGATCAATCTCCTCAGCCAAATGTGACGCCGAAAACGGAGGATCTGGATGTTTTTCAATCATAGCTCGCATCTTAGGCGCCACCTTCATCAGATGCGCTAGGCCCTGCTCGAGGATGTTCCCTGTCGTGGCGGTGGGGCGCGGAAGGCCCGTTTTCGATGGGGACGCTTCCTCCATGGTGCGTGGGTAGGCCGTAACGTGCGAGCCATGGGGTGTAACAAGAGTCGCCGTAGTTCGGTGCGGGTCGACGGGGCGGTTTAGATCTGGGGGCGCGGATGATGCTGGAATAGGCTTGAGATCCGGAAAAAAGGGAGGGGGGGTAGAAGGTAGAGCGGGTTTTTCATCGTCGCGTTTTCGTTTCTTCGGGGTCGATGGACCGTCCGTAGCATTAGACTGGAGACTTTCGGTTGGCAACTTCTCAGCAGCCTTCTTCTTGCCTTTTGACTTGGTGGTTGTCGTAGTAGCGGTAACCGTTACGGTCGCCTTGGTCACTGTAGGCTTCTTCGACTTGGATTTAGCAACTCGATTGCTCTCAGTTCGGCTTTTCAATGCTTTCTCTGGGCCTGAGGACGCCTGGACCGTCTCTTGTATCGCAGCGCTGATACGTAGGGAGCGTCGTGGAGCCATTGCAGCGATGAAAGATGAGCAACGTTGACCTATTCCCACCAAAGACCGGGCATTCATACCAGAACCACAAAGGTTCTGGTGCGAGAAAAAAGTGGCTACAAGAATAGGGCCCTTTGATCAGCTTAGAACTGGCGCCGTAGATATTTTCATTTCTCTCAGCCCGGACGAGGACCAGGCGCTGGTTTTGTTGCCCTGCGGCCGTTGGCTGGGGAGCCGGATGCGGCCGTGGAGGTCGTATCCGGCGTGGTTTAGACGCGTGAAATTAGTCAGATTCACCAACCGCGAACAAAGCAACCAGACCACGCACGCGGCCAAAGAGGCGTTAACCTCGCCCACCAGCCATCGCTGGCTCAAGCTCATAGGCGCGAGCGTCGAGTTTTCGGAAAGGCGCTCGGCTGCTACAAATTCGGCTCCGTGGCGTCCCCTGACTCCAGAGGTCGGTGTTCAAACACACCCGTTGCGTTTCATCTTCGTGCTTCAGACAGCTGCAGACGGGGGAATATCTGTGGTAAAATACATACACGTATATCTTGCATTGCTCTCAAAATGAGATTTATCGCGCATGCCCAGCAGAAAGATCTAGAACAGGGATAGATTAAATACTTGATTTTTTGCTGTTATCATCCAAAGGCTTTTTTGGGAACTGCCGATCTGGTGGATCGCCGATTCGCCGGTGAACAAGGACTTCTGCCCGTGACGAACTCATATGCGATTTCCTGCTGGCATGCTGGAGGATCAGGGCATGAAAAGGGCCATTGTGCGGATAAACACATCCAACGCCGTCATGTAACCCGTGGCTCAAGAGAGTAGCAATTCGAAGTCCATGGAAATGCCATTATTTGCCTCCTGTCTGGTCCGCCTCGGGGGCGTTGTTTCACCTAAAGGTCCCCCGAGTTTCGGCCACTGGCAGCTGAAATTCCTATTACAGCCGTCGGGCCGTCGTCACAATCCACAATAATGCATCCATCCTGGCTTCTGTGCACGACCATGTTGTTGTGCAGGTTGGCCTCCAGTCCTCCGCGCGGTCTCCGCCTGTCCGCTGCCAGACAGTGTGGCTGCTCGAGCTGCCTGTTTTGCCGCTCCGCGCCGATCGCCACGACGTCAGCAGCGGTGGGCCGCCGGGGTGTATGAAGCCACATGTGATGCGACCACTCACATGGCCGTCAGCGCTGTCTTTACGGTACCGTACCTTGAAATTCGGGTTACCGCAGCGTAGTGGGTGGGTTTCGGCTGTAATTTATTGGCCAGTCATGCTGCAGCACTGGGCAATTCCGCCACAGCACCGCCCAATCATAGCCGCCCAGGTGCCGACTTTTGTGGGCCGGTTCCTGACAGCCCACACGCCAGCGAAAGTCAATGTTTCAACCGCCTGGGCGAGAAGCACTGCACCACGCAGACGGAGGCCGCTCGAAGCCGCTAGTACGGGCGTATGGCGGCGTATCGCGAAAACCCTGCGAACAACTCATGACAGAGTCCCAGAAATCCCTTGGGATGTCCAAGATTCTTGCCCCTAACACGCCAGTACGCCCTGTATTGGGATGGCCTCCGGCTGCCGGCACTGCCATTGGCTGTGGTGCTTGCCGTCCGTACGGTACGGAACCCGTCGGTACGTAATGCTCATTTCTGGCCCTCCTATTCTCCGGCCCAAGCAAGCACATCACGCCTTTTTTTCTCGCTCCCCCTACGCCTCCAGGTTCCTCTCTCTCTCTTCATCTCTCGATTGAGCCCGACCACGCCGTCGAACAGAAGAAGGAGAAGCAGTTTTTGCTCGCTCGCTCATTCTTTTTTCTCTTCTTCTTCTTCTTTCTTACTCTTTTGCCCCCATTACGCCTTCTTAATTTCGCGTGGCCTCCCCGTCACTCGCTCGTCCCTTCGTTCGCCCTCACTTCAGCTCGCAGCTCCATCTTGTCTAAGCGCGCCTTCCAGCCAAGTCAGTCACCCTTTTTCATCCCCTTCTTGTCGCGTTTCCTTTTCTTCCCCCTTTCTCTGATCCTCGCCATCCATCGTTCGTGCCTGAAACCACTTACCAACAGCTCTATTCTAGATATCAGCCTTTTAATATCATCTCTCATTTCTCATGTAAGTATACCAATGCCCTCTGCCCACCCTCTCTATCCTTGATGTCATCCCGTTCCTACCCTGCTTTGTGAACCTGTTGATTTGTGGTTAATGGGGGGATACAATCCCATACTCGTTGTCTCGCGACCTGACACCTCAACGCCCACAACAACCAAACCTCACAACAACAAAAGCAACCAACACATCCAACACATCCAACCAACCAACAACATCCCCTCCTCCTACACTTGTTTTTTTGATTTTCTTTTCATTTCAATTTCAATATCAATCCCACTAATTTATCGCGTCTCTATCAGTCCTATCGAATATTGTAACCAAAATGGTTCTCATGAAGCTGTTCGTTCCGGCTTTGGCCCTTGCCGGCCTTGCCTCTGCTGCTTCCGGCGACTGTGATGGAAAGGTGATTCAGAACCAAGGCGATGCGGATGGCCTTGCTTCCTGCAGAACCATCACTGGGGATCTCGAGGTCTCTGAGAGAGCCTCTGGCACCATCTCCATCTCTGGTGTGCAACGCGTCAACGGAAAGTTTACTTGCAAGGGAGCAGTAAACTTGACTGAGCTATCTGCCAGCAGTCTCTCTCGGATCGGTGACGCTTTCTTGCTGAGTGGTCTTACCACACTCGCTAGTTTGAGATTCGACGCCCTCACAGAAGTCGACAGCATTAACTTCGAGGCCCTTCCCAGACTTCAACAGCTTTCTTTCTCTAAAGGAGTCAGCAAGGCCAGCCGTCTCCGAATCGCCAATACTGACTTAGTTAACCTTGGAGGAATCAACCTGAATACTGTTGGGGACATGGAGATTAGCAACAATCCTCACTTGACAGAGGTCAATGTCAACCAAATCACCAATACGACCGGTTTTGTCAGCTTTTCCGCCAATAACATGAAACTTAAGGTCACCTTTCCCAACCTAGAAAACGCCTTGAACATGACCTTTCGCAATGTTAGCGCGATCTCTCTTCCGTCCTTGAAGAAGACTACCGGTCTACTAGGATTGTACTCCAACTATATCGAGGATTTCTCGGCTCCTAACCTCACGTCCACCGGTGATTTAGTCCTTGCGGCCAACTCTCAGCTCTCCAATCTCTCGCTCCCACTCTTGGAGGATGTCAGAGGCGCCTTCCAGGTTGCAAACAACACCAACCTTAAGTCAATTACGGACGTGCCCAAGTTGAAGAAACTAAATGGCGCCCTTGATCTTTCGGGAAACTTCACTGAGTACGCCTATGCCCATGATACTAAATTATGGACAAGACTGACATAGAATTTCTAGAATACGACTTCCCAGTGTGGATGAAGTGCGTGGCCAGGTCAATATCCAGAGCTCTGATGATAAGTTCTCTTGCAGTACCTTTGAAAAGGACCTGAAGCCCAATACTCGCGGCAAGTTCACTTGTCTCTCAAATGTTAAGGACCCGCAGTCCACCGATCCAAACAACAACGGAAAACCCAAACCATCATCTGGCATTGCCATGTCTGATAACGTCCTTTCTCGCGGTGGTGTGACTATGATCGCCCTTCTCACAGCTATTGTTGGCATGGCTTTTTAAGAATCCTGCGACCCGATGACTTTTCTTTGCTGTTTTTTTATCAAGCTCTGTAACATTCCATCAAGTTCTTCCATTTCTTTTTTAAAAGGTTTTCGTATTGCCCGTTGCGCGTACTCGGTATTCATTGGCAGGTAATAATTAAGCATTTCTTTTTCTTTTGACGCCGGCTGTTTCTGGTGTGTTGAACCTTTACTCTGAATGGTGCCGTACTTTTTATTGCAACATGCCCATGTCCCAGACGCGGGGGTGGTGTTGGGGCGTATTATGTAGACACCCAGTCATGGCATCATTACTAGTACTTACTTCCAAGCCGATTCCATCATTACGTAGTTGATTAGTCTGTAGCTGCCAATAGAGTTACATGCTAAACGGCCAGCGGGAGGCGCAACCTTCGAGCGCGGCCATCGCCCAGGGAGCTTATATAATCAATTCACTTGACTAAATCACGTGCAGAAGACACTAGCGCTGGCTCATGCTGGCCAATCAAGAACGCTGATTGTGCACTGCGGCAGGTCATCTCACAGGCTGGCAAGCAGCCCCCTTATCGATCCGTGGTTTAACGCAAAACGACCACAGCGCAGGAGGCCAGGTTCCATTGAACACCCAACCTTGATCCCATCCATTCGCTTGGTTTCTGCTTTTTGTTTTGGCGTCAATTTTCCGGGTGTGAAGTTCCCGTCAAACTCTCATTTTTTACGAAAAAAAAACTACAGGGGTGCAGAGAATCTGGCAAGCTGAAGCGCTCTTGCTGAACTTGGCTCGCTACCACCCAGCGTGTCCGAGGGAGTACGGTAGACGTGAGGAGAATCAAGGGGAGCTTCGCGGCTTGGACGACGAAGCGACAAAGCCTATTTTCGGATATTCTGTTTCCTTTCGACAAAGTTCCTCCGGCCAATTGTCACCAACCTCCAACCATCACCACCGCCGTCATCACCACATTATCAGCAACAACAGAACGAGCAGAGACATTGCAGCGGCAGTCGAAATTTGAGGGTCGCTGAAGATATTTAGTATCTTTTTTCTTTTTCAATTCGTCGTGGAAAGAGGGTGTGGACACATTCAGCAATGTTGCTTCCGAAAGGTGGCATCTCGTGGAAAGGCACGCAGGCCAGGTTACCGCCATGGAGGGCGGTACTGACACTGCTGTCCAAGCCACGCTTTATCCTTACAGTTACAATCATCGGGGCAATGATGTTACTGTGGAGGGGAATCACACGTTCGGCGACGGAGATGCAAAGGTGTGTTGCTTGGCGGGATCCTCGCATCATTTTTCATCGCATACCCGTTTTGGGCCAATTGCTAATATTGTTTGCGTTCTTTTTCTGGTATAGTTTTTATTGCTTCGGTCCTTCGAAACCGCCCAATAAGATGACGGTCAATGAAATGGTGGATTGGCATGCTCACCTTCAAACCCCCGTCCTCTTCAACCACCACGAACCATATGAAGTGAACTCCAGCACGGTGCAAAAGGTGGACCTCAATGCTATCCGCTCGACCCCCAAAGCACTTCAGAATAAGGAACGCATTCTTATTCTCACTCCTCTTCGTGATGCTTCGCATTACCTTGGGAAATACTTTGATCTCGTTTCGGAATTGACCTATCCCCACGAATTAATCGACCTTGCCTTCCTTGTCAGCGACTCCAAAGACGATACATTGGCAATTTTGGCTGCTGAATTAGATCGAGTCCAGGGTATGCCGGGCAAGATTCCCTTCCGAAGTGCCATGATCGTTCAGAAGGATTTCGGTGTCTCCGTGGGTATGGATATTGAAGCGAAGCATGGATATGCAGCCCAGGCCCCGCGACGAAAAGCAATGGCCAAGGCGAGAAATTTCCTCCTCACTGCTGCGCTTAAGCCCGAGCATTCTTGGGTCTATTGGCGTGATGTAGATATCACGGACAGTCCGAAGAAGATCATTGAGGACTTTGTGGCTCATGATAAGGATATTCTTGTACCCAGTATGTATTTTCAGCAGTATGTGCAGACAATCTTGTGGGCTGACTTGACTTGCAGACATTTGGTTCCACAGATATGACCGAAATGGGCGAGATATTGAAGGAAGATGTTTGTTATCTCCCTGTCTATCAATGGTTAAAATGCTGACCCTTATTCAGTTGATTATAATTCCTGGATTGAGTCCGACAAAGCGCGTAAACTTGCCTCTACGCTTGATAAAGACACCATCTTAGTTGAAGGCTATAAAGAATTTGATACTGGAAGAACATATCTGGTTTCCATGGGTGACTGGAGGAAAAACAAAGATGAGGAGGTTGAGCTAGATGGCATTGGTGGCGTCAACATTATTGTTAAGGCCGACGTGCACAGAGCTGGTATGTTATCACTTGCTTCTCCTTTGCTTTCGCGCAGTGAGCTGATTTGCTCGGCTTAGGCATCAATTTCCCCTGCTATGCTTTCGAAAATCAGGCGGAGACCGAAGGCTTCGCAAAGATGGCAAAACGTGCTGGCTACCAGGTCGTCGGGCTACCCAACTACGTTGTCTGGCATATTGATACCGAAGAGAAGCCTGGCAATATCGGCAATCGAAAAGCGTACTAATACTAGCGATCCACAACTGAAAAAAGAAATAGCGTGCATCCCCTCACACCATACACATTAAAACTCCCCCTGACACACCAACAACTATTTACCTTACAGTCTCTGCCAGCACATCAGCCGCCCATATCTCCAAAAACCACTCGTTTGAGATGTGGACAAACAATGCCACCTCTCGCAATACTACTCGCCCACTACACCCTACCGGCAATGCGATTGGAATAAATCAAGGCTACAAAACTGAAACGAAAACACCAAATAATGACTTGAACTTACACTCCTGCCAAAAAAACAAAGCAGGTCCTTGTATTCGATTTCCACCTAAATGCATGCCATATCAAAGGCAACAAGCATTTCTCACCCTTTTTCGCATATTATATTTTTGGTACGGCTTGAATTATTTTTCTTCGATGGCTTCTCCTGATTCAATTGGAGAGGTTTAACCACATTGTTTGCCGTGTGTCTTTTCTTGAACCATAATGGGCGCCCGGGGTGTGATATTTTTTTTTTTTCGAGTGAGGTTACTTCTTACTTATCCCTCGTTCGACGTCGTATACATTCTATCTGTGTTTATAGAATAATATTTTGATGTTTCTTTTCTACTTTATGTATTTTCTTACAATATGAGGGGGAGTTACCCGCGTTTCTTCCTGTACGAGACTCACTCTTGACTACCTGCACCTGGTGAATGTCCCCGTAAATGGTTTTGTCAAATGAAAGGAGCTATTAGCTTCTTAATAATTTGGCCTTGATGTTAGTATGGCATGCATTGGGTCCGTCGAGCCATCCTCGCTCAAGTTTCTTCATGGTTTTTAACCCTTTTTTGACATTCCATAAACTCTCGGGGAACACAAGTTTGCATGTACGTATGTATGTACTTCACTCTATCTTTTATTGTGTCGCGACTTCTATATGAATTTTACAGACGCCATGCGAGACTCTCGACCGCTATGTCTTCAATGATTGGGGTAACCAATCAATAACAGTGCAATTCAAATTACGGCAGGGTCCATTGTAGACGTAACTAACCCTATGAAAAAGACATAAGGTAACAAGAACGGCTTCGATTTATAATTACTGCGAGCTCCGTGCCGGTCTGGCCGGCTGTCTGTAACAAACCGTCCGCCTGGGTGCATGCTGGCTGTGGTCGTGCAAGTAATTGTCCTACCCAAATGACGGCTCTTGCGATATCGAAGTTATAGATCGCACCAAGGGGAGATAGGCATAGTTGCAACACGAAGCAGGCCTGGCACAGATGTCGCACCGGCGAACGGCCTCGATCCGCGCTTCCATCCTGGGCAGGCTAGTTAACTAACCAGCGAACTCTGGCGCTCACCAACCCTCCAGCACGCCCGCACCAAGGAAAGCTCCCCGCACACGCCCCCCCTCCCCCGGCTGTTCCGCTCGTTACTAATTGCCATCGCTCCCGCCGAAGTCCAGCAATGATCCGACCAACCCCCGCCTCTGCCCTCCGCCTCTTGACCAGCTCTTCGCGGTTTCCTCCAGCATCGGCAGTGACAAGCAGGTCGACTTTGTTCTCGAGAGCTATGGCCAGCAACGCGGCGCAGAAGCCGGATTGGATTGTGGTGGTGCACGACCGGAAGGATAGTACGCTGGAGAGGAGGATGGCCGCGCGAGAGTAAGTTGGGTCTATCTGGGCGACGATATTTAGTTATGCTTTCGATTCTTGCTGGATGATTCAATTTGTCAGGAATATGGGTCTTGTTAATCTGGTTTTTTGCTAATTGGCATGTTGACTGATATCTATTTTCGGCCTGTCTTTGGATTCGCGCGTATGTGACTTTAATGTGGGTTGTTTGTTGGGATAAACAAACTACATCCACCTGGAAAGCAGTGCTGGTATCTGATTACTGTTGTTATCCGCATCAACTAACTTTCAATAGCCAGCACATCGGCAACTTGGGGCCCCTGATTGATTCTGGGCTCCTGAAGATGGGAGGTATGCCCCTCCAACCTTTCTCTAGGGTCAATCCGTGGGGTGCCATTGACTGATTGTCCTTCAGGAGCAATCCTCAAAAACCACCCAAAGGAGGGTGAAGCCCCACCAATGAACGGAAGTGCCTTGGTTGTCTCCGCAGATACAGAGGAAGAAATCCGTGAGGCATTGTCTAACGATATCTATGCTAAGACTGGAGTGTGGGACTTGAACAACGTAAGTTCTTGCTCGTTCAACGCTTTAGCTATGTAACTATTGTACTGACATACTTCTAAGATCGAAATCTATCCGGTAAGATCATTGTATTCTTTGGCTCTATAGAAACATATCCTGTCAGATGCTGCTTGTGCTGACAATCTGTGGATGTAGTTCCGATGCGCTCTCAACACCTATGCAAACCCAAAGAAATAGGTGAAAATCATCCCAATTCTACTTGGTAGGCCATTGGGAATTGGCAACTGTTCCGGGAATCAGAATATCCGCATTTTCTACATGATGATATTTGTCCCTCCTGTACCTGTAGAGAATACGTATTATAGATCATATCATTTCGGTTATATATTCTACTCTAGAACCGCCCTTCAAAGTCTACTTAAAAAGAGATGTAGAAAATTGATTTTAATTGACAATTCAATTCAATATATATATTTTTCTGAGGATGATGGAAATCAGGAAAGCAGTACTCCGTACAGAAGCTGATACATGACTGGTTATAGATAATCAAAATTTTTGTCTTTCGCTAAGCAAATAGTGAGTTGGCAAAGTACCGCATAATGCTTTTGACACGCCAATACCCGAATAATCGGGGCTATCTCATCTCTCTAACAGGAAATAGTGGACTCCTCAGAGTTTAGGGGAGGAAGAGTCTTTCTTGAGCATTGCCTCTGCAACTTTGCGGCGCTGGACTTTACCTGTTGCAGTTTTGGGTATTTCGGGAAGAATCCAAATCTATTCATTGTCAGCTTCTGTCCTCTCAATTGCTCCAGGACATGGTAATTACCTTCTTTGGCACCTTGAACTTCGCAACCTTTTGCGCAATCTCGGTTCTCAGTTGATCTTCAGAGATACTTCCCTTCTTCTTAATGACAACGGCCACGCCAATATCTTCTCCATATATTTGATCCGGAATAGCGAATGATACCGCTTCTCCTACATGGGGATTCTGGGTGATGATGTTATCTAGCTCGATAGGACTAATCTTCTCTCCACCTTTGTTGATAAGCTCCTTAATGCGGCCTGTAATATACACATAGCCGTCTTTATCTTTCTTTCCCTGGTCACCGGTTCGGAAGAACCCACCCTTGGTGAAAGACGACTTGTTTGCAGCGGGATTGTTAAGGTAGCCTTTAGTAACATTTTCGCCGCGGATGCATATCTCGCCCTCAGAGCCCTGTGGAACTTCGTTACCTGCTGAATCAAGGATTCTAACATCGACGCCTTGTCCAAGCCCAACACTGCCAGGTACACGCTTGCCAGGTGGGAGTGGATTGCTGGTCATCTGGTGAGCTGCTTCCGTCATAGCGTAGGCTTCTAGGACAGGAGCTTGAAGAGCTTTTTCCAAATCATGGAACGTCTTTGGTGCCAGAGGAGACGAGCACGAACGAATGAAGCGAATATTTGGGACAGGAGACGGTATGGGGTTCTTGAGTAGTATCTGATGTATTGTTGGAACTGCAGTATACCAATTGGCACGGTGTGTGGTGAAATCATGCCAGAACTCGGACGCAGAGAATTTTAAAGGTACTACAGCAGAGCCACCGGATGCCAATGGCGCAAGAAAAGCCGCTAGAAGGCCGTGGACGTGGAAAAGCGGCATCACAAGCATGGTTCGGTCCCTCTCCGTCAAGGAGTAGGTAGCTTGGATATTTTCTGGAGAGAAATAAGCTTATTATAGATCCAGGTGTTATTGGTATACTACTCACTCATTGTTCTTGTCAAGTTTTTATGAGTGAGAGGGACCTATGATATCGATATTAGGGTGCCCCGAAGTTTGCGAGGAAGCTGCAGACTTACAGCTTTCGGTCTTCCGGTCGTTCCACTGGTGTGTAGAACAAGCGCAACATCATCAGGCTGTGCAGTTCCAATGGGCTGGTTTCCTTTTCCTAGTAATTTTCCATTTTCCCTAACGTCGAGAACAACCTCGGTACCATTCCAATAGCACTCCGCAATGGCAGCTTTGTATTTCCTTGCGGCTCTGACAGCTGGCCCTTCCTGATCATAAGAGCCTTTTGGGACAAGTGCCAGGGCTGAGCTAAGATCATCGATGTAGAATTCAAATTCGTCCTGTTTGTACGCTGGGTTGAGCGGCGCTGCGATGGCTCGCTGCCACGAAGCTGCAAGAAACGAGACTATGAATTCGTAGGAGTTTGGGAGTGCAATAGAAACTGCTGCACCAGGCTTAATTCCCAATTTGGCAAGTTTCGTCTGAAAAGAAAGGATATCGGCGTGTAGCTGCTTGTATGTCACAGTCAAGGCCGACGGCTTGCCGGGAATGATGATAGCAGTGCCCTGGGCATTGCGGGAAAACGAATTGGCTAACGTTGACATGGCGGAGCTTAAGATGTAAAAGAAAGAATAAAAACCAATGGGTAATAGGAAGAGCTTGGGACAAAAAGAGGGTTGATAACAAGTGTGCGAATTTACTATTCACAAATACATTTCTGCTTGCGCGTTGCAGTAGTGCCGCAGATGCGTTGCACCAAAGGGCGGCTCGGGATGACATCACACGAGATCGGGGCTGCTGTGCCGAGGTGCCGAGAGCTGCAAACATGGCAAACCAGCCTCATCACGTGGTACTTGCTGATATAATCATTCTATTCGAACTTTAGTGGACACGACTAATAAGCATCTTCAGCTTCATGAAAGGGAATCTTCAATCTTGTTTTCGGAATAGGCGCCGTATATGCCTGAGCTTTCTCCAATGGCCGCGCAACCACCCGCACCTAAGAGTGGGCTGTCTTTATACGCGAATCTCCTCGACCCCTCGGAAACTCCCTCTACTCCTGGCACCATCTCTCGTGCACCAGTAGTGTTCAAGCAAGCTACTGGCGGTGATTCTCAACAACATGATGATGCAGCTTCCAGAAAGCAGCAGATAAGTGCTGGTAGATCAACTATCCCTCCTATCGCCCGTTGATTGCAACTTCAAACTCTCATTTTGGACGATATGGTTTGCTCACTTGTTATCTTGGGTTTGTCCCTGTCCCGTCAATTTTACAGCCTCTCTACGATTTCAACCTACGAAAAGGCCCCAACTGCCTTCTCAGAAACTTAAAACAAAACCTGGAATACCTAAACCACCTGTTATTCCTGCTGCTGCTGCCCCAAGTCAAGGCACTGCTCCCACTCCAGCACCAAGCGCTGCTCGCCCTCCGGTAAAAAACACCCTTGCAGACTGGGCTGCGACGGCAGATGATGACGACGTGAATGGGTTTTTTGGAGAAAAACGACAACGGGGTGGTCGGAAGAAACGGAAGAAGAACCGCGAGGCGGAGGTGCTTCATAACTGGGACGATATCTATGACCCTTCCCGCCCAAATAACTATGATCAGTATAAACACAGTGACGAGAAAATTAGGGAAGTGAGAGAATGGAAGGATCGCCTATATGCCCACCGCATCGCCAGAAGGGCTAGCAGCGATATGGAAAGTGATGATGAATACCAAAACCAGCCCATGAACAGTCAGTATCCTGTTCCTGAGTTGATTGTGATTCATTATTTAACCCCGATTTTCAGTGAAATTTGCACCTCCAAAACAGTTTGCTCCACCCTCTAACCTCAATGATATACCTCGCGAGCCCTCTCCGTCCAACTCACCCGCCACGGAGGCTACCCCCGTTCCATGCGCTCCGCTCCCTGACGACCAGACCGGAGAGGATGCTTTTGCACGACGCCTTCGAATGAGTCAAAGCGCCGCCCCTGTAGCAAGTACAGTAATTGAGCAACCCTCCTTCGCACCTCCTCCACCTCCACCTCCGCCTCAAGATGATATCCCTCCAGAACCTACTACGGCCAAAGACGTATACTCCGCAGCGACTATTTCGCGTGCACCTGTTCGATACACGTTACCACCTCCCCCAGAAGATATACCTGCAACTGAAGAGGAGCTCGAAGCTGCATTCGCTGAAGAAACGGAGGATGTGCCAAGTGAAGACGGCCCGCGCTCACTACGACCGGGCCAAAAAGGTTTCGCTGAAAGATTGTTAGCAAAATATGGGTGGACCAAGGGATCTGGCTTAGGTGCCAGTGGAACTGGAATAGTTAATGCGTTGCAAGTAAAGGTTGAAAAACAAAAGAAGAGACCGGACTCTGAAGGTGGGGGGTTCGTAACGCCAGCAGGACGGGGGAAGATAATCGGTGGACGTCAAGCGAAGCAGGAAGAGGAAGGCAAGTTTGGCGCCATGAGCGATGTTGTTGTATTGCATGGGATGGTGGATGGGATGGACCTCGATGCAGAACTAGAGGGCGGAGTGGATGGAGGCCTGATACAGGAAATTGGCGAAGAATGCGGTGAAAAGGTACGGCCCATGCCTTCCCATGTCAATTGTCGCTCATGGCTAATCGTTTGCAGTATGGGAGAGTTGAAAGGGTGTTTATTGACCGAAACACCGAAGGTCAGGTGCCTGTTTTTGTGAAATTCACCAACCAGCTGTCTGCATTGAGGGTGAGTCGTTGTGACCTCTCATATTTTTAATAATATTAACCGCCGCGTTTTTATAGGCCGTGAATGCCCTCGAGGGCCGCATATTTAATGGAAACGCAATTATGGCCCGCTTTTTCAACTCTGAAAAGTTTGAGAAAGGGATCTACAAGTGATCTATTTTCTCCGCATGTACTTACATACGCAAACTTGCCCCCTTCTTTGGCTCATATTGATGCACAGTCTACAGCTACTTGCAGGTCTTAGCAGTCAATGTATTCAACGCATTAGGTTCTTTAGATTTTTCTTGGGCGGCCGTAGTGCCTCGTCGTGCTTCTTGTTTTCACCTTGATAGGCACAGCATTGCCCGGGGATTTCCTCCAGGTGCAGCCCCGTTCCATCCTAGCTGTTTTTGCTTTTCCCTCTTCTATTCTTTTTGAGCGCTAGGGCCTTCACAAAAATATCCCCTTTACATGGATTCGCAAAGGATTAAAGGGGTCGAATACATCCGGCTCGGCCCCAATACAACTAACTACTATATAAGAACCCAACCGTGACACGCTCCGGCACTGGGCATACGTGCTTCCAAGATGGTAGAATAGTATCAGAGGACTAGTCTGGGTCTCTGGACAAACACACTGCCAAGGCGGCTTGCTAGAGACAAGAAAAAAACAGCAAGGAATCATCATGTGACCCCTTGTTGGGCGTAGATTACGCAGGTCTGAGGATAGTGATGGGCTGATATGTGTGATGGAATCAGTAGAGCTTCAGCTTCCATTATTGTTCAAAATCCGGGAAAAGGCAGCCTAGGCAGGTTGTGCATATTGCTTAACTAACTACTACCCCACAACGTGAAGCCGGCAATCTAGAACAAATACTAACTAATTGCCCTTGTGGCGGCCAGCTTTTACTTTGTACATACATAAGACCACACATACTCCCTACATTCTTCCTTATCTACGTCCTTCTCTCCTTCTTTACCAGCGGTCTTCTCTCCTTTATATTTTGCTTGCATTGGCACACCCTAAATACCGCCCAGCCCCAAGTCGTGGTCAAGCTACAGGCATCCAAACAAGATGTCTCTGTGTCTAAACCGCCTCTCAGAGGAAAGGTATGTTGCAGTTAACCGGCCGGATTGCAAGACTTGTTCGCTGGATAGCCTAACCAATGCGATGTGTTTTGTAGGAAGCAATGGCGTCGAGACCACCCGTTCGGTTTCTACGCCAAACCTCACCGAAACCCCCAGGGAATCCTTGATTTGAAACGATGGGAGTGTGGGATCCCCGGAAAAGCGAAGACAATGTGGGAAGGGGGTCTTTTCAAGCTGGACGTAATATTTCCCGAAGGTGTGTGCACGACAGAAATCTAGCTACGAAGTTCCAGGCTAATAGAGACCCCGTTTTGCAATACCCACAGAATATCCTACAAAGCCACCCAAATGTATGTCATTCTTCTGACTCTAAAACCGAAATACCTAAGGACTGACCCTTATATCCCCCAAGGCAAATTTAACCCGCCGCTATTTCACCCAAATGTCTACCCATCCGGCACGGTCTGCCTATCTATCCTGAGCGAAGAGGACGCATGGAAACCCGCAATTACAGTGAAACAAATTCTTTTGGGCATTCAAGATCTCTTAGATGACCCAAACCCGGATTCTCCAGCTCAGGCAGAAGCGTACAATCTCTTCAAAAAAGATAAACCCGCATATGAGAAAAAGATACGGCAGGTTGTGAAGGAAAACCCGGGTGTTTAGATCCCGTCTTCGAGTTCTAGCAAATGGAAAAATGTCGCTTGCATTTTGGCGGCATTTTGACGACTTTTACGGAGTAGACGAGAATATCTTGTGGCCCTCTTCTTCTATATGCCTTTTTATTTATTTTCACAGCCGGGAGTTTGGAGCCAATTTTGATTCGCCAACACTTTAACATATTCCTTTGGTATTTTGCTTTACTGCACCGAGTTGGATCTGTACCCTTCTCAACCTCGGGTTCTTTACACAGTGGAGCAATGCACCAATGATTTAAATGCCTAAATGGCTTTAGTGTTGGGAACTTACGATGAATACGCGCAGCCCAGAGTAAACTACGAGACAATGTTGCAGTATGCAAGTCTGACGAAGCTCGAAACAAAAAAAACGAATGATATCTCGCAGGCAAGCCCTTCAGAATTCCAAGTGGCTCATTTGTTGTAGATGGCGCGCTTGGCTAGTTTGCCATCGGAAAAGGTCAAACCGGGTCTTATCTTATCGGCGTCCATCCCACCAGGAGTGTAACTAAATAACCTTAATGGATGACTCAAACTTTTTTTCGTTCTCGCTCGATACAAAAGAACCTCCTGCACGCCTCTTTATTCCTCATTTTCTTCTTTATTGTCTTCTTGCCGTTCTTATTTTCTGGATACCAATAAAAAAGCAGTCATGTGCGGTATATTTGCGTGCCATTGGTATGTTCCCAGGCCTGGTTCACCCTACCCATGCCCCCCTGCCCCGCGACTCTGGGCCTGAGCATTCTGATGACTCTTTGAATACCCCGTTACGGAGCGATTGGACTAATAAATGCCTTGATACAGTCACCCGGATGTACAAAAATTCAAGCCGACGGCTTTGCGTATGGCAAAAGCGTGAGTTTTCGACATATACCTTTTCCATGTGGGAGTCATAGCTAAAAGCATGGGTGCATAGCGTTCGGCATCGTGGCCCCGACTGGAGTGAGTGGAACACAATCCCTGTCTTGATGCTGCACCCTGCGCTTCTTATCACGATAAGTAATGGGCTAATGGATGGTCGCGATCAGGTGGTAACTTTATCGCGAACAACACAAGTTAGTATTACAAAAGTGGAAATACTTCGTGTGATCTGCAGGTACTAAGTCTGTGGATAGTCCTCGCGCACGAGCGTTTGAGTATTGTCGGTGTCGGTGAGTTTTTAAGACTCTTGCGGAATATAAGCGAGAAGCGAAGGAGACTAATCAACAGGTAGAGTCCGGCGCCCAGCCCTTGGTCAACGATGACGGGACATTGGCTCTCGCTGTCAATGGAGAGATTTACAATCATCGAATCTTGAGGAAAGGGTTGAAAACTCCATACCAGTTCAAGACACACTCCGACTGCGAAGTTATCATTCCATTGGTATGCATCTGCGCATCTCTGCAACGAAATGTGTGCTAACTTTCTTTCATTTTTGTAGTACCTGGAACACGGTATCGATGCTCCGAAATACCTCGATGGAATGTTCTCATGGGTTCTTTTTGACAAAGAACAAGACCGGGTAGTTGCTGCAAGAGATCCCATTGGAATCACTAGTTTCTACCAAGGATGGTCTTCCCAGACGCCTAATACCGTCTACTTCGCATCCGAGCTGAAATCGCTTCATCCTGTTTGCGACACGATTATCGCATTCCCTCCTGGCCATGTTTATGACTCCAAGACCAACACTACCTCGCGCTATTATGAGCCGAAGTGGTGGGATCCAACCAATGTCCCTTCAGCACCAGTTGACTATAAATTAATTCGAGATTCCTTGGTCCGATCTGTTCGCAAGCGATTGATGGCGGAGGTGCCTTACGGCGTTTTACTGTCTGGAGGACTAGATTCCAGTTTAGTCGCCTCGATTGCTCAGCGAGAGACTTTGCGCATGGCAGCGGTACCAAGTGGTGCAGTAACAAACGAGGAATCTGGCGCAGCTTTGGTAGGAATTGACGACGCTAACGAACTTTCTACCGTGACTTCGTTCTCCCAGTTGCATTCTTTTTCCATTGGTCTTCCAGGGGCCCCTGACACCAAGGCTGCTATAGAAGTCGCTAATTTCCTTGGAACTAAGCATTATGCTTTTACGTTCACCGTCGAAGATGGGCTCAACGCTCTTTCAGATGTGATCTATCATCTGGAGACGTATGACGTAACCACAATCCGCGCTTCCACGCCAATGTATCTGCTGAGCAGAAAGATCAAAGCAATTGGTGTAAAGATGGTTCTCAGTGGTGAGGGTAGTGACGAAATCTTCGGTGGCTACCTGTATTTCCATGCTGCTCCAGACAAGAAAGCATTTCACGAGGAAACGGTCCGACGAGTTAAGAACCTGCATTTCGCAGACTGTTTGAGGGCCAACAAGTCTACTTCCGCATGGGGCCTTGAGGCTCGTGTGCCTTTCCTGGATAAAGACTTTTTGGAGGTCTCTATGGCGGTTGATCCGCAGGAAAAGATGATCACAAAGGACAGAATTGAGAAATACATCTTGAGAAAAGCGTTTGACACATCTGATGAGCCAGACACGAAGCCTTTCCTTCCTGATCACATCTTATGGCGCCAAAAGGAGCAATTTAGCGACGGTGTCGGCTATTCCTGGATTGATGCCCTGAAGGATAACGCTGAGCTCCATGTGACGGATGAGATGATGAAGAACCCGAAGCCAGAATGGGGAAGCGATATCCCAGACACCAAGGAAGCGTATGTCTTGCTTCAAATCCCATTTGAGGTATTGTTAATCAATGTGTTCTCTAGGTACTGGTATCGGATGATGTTCGACGAGCATTTTCCACCCTCTTGCGCATCGACTGTAGTACGATGGACGCCAACATGGTCAAAACAGACTGACCCTAGTGGACGGTAGGAAGCCTTTTTAGCCCTGTAGTTTTGCGAGGAATTGCTACTGACCCTGACACCAGTGCCATTACCACGCACGTCGCCAAATACAGCCACGCGTAGATGAGATAGTTAGAAGGTCTGGCGTGGGGTGTTTTTCTGCTGTAGCCTCGATAGTTCTTCAATGCTATTATGATTACATTCGAGCCCTCTCCTCCGTAGATCTGTAACGTCCGCGATGTTCGACGGGGCTGCCGTTCCATGGGTAAAGGCCTATCACGTGGTGGAGTGCAATGCCGCCGGAAAGCGGACCAATCAGAGGCGCGATAGAGTCACGATGCCCGACTTTTCCGCTTCGAGCATTGTTTTTCTGTTCCCCCGTGATTTCGCCCGTCGCCCGCCTATCCCAACGTCCCAACTCCGCCTCCCCAACGTCCGACCTCGCCGTTCTCTACACTCCCACAGCTCTCTACGCGCTCTCTACAACCGCTTCTTTCACTATGGCTGCCCCTGCTGCTTTCGGCGATATCGCCAAGACTGTCAACGATGTCCGTTCCTCGTCCTGCCCGCTGTAACTGCGTGTCTTGAGCCGTTTGCTGACATTGTTGAGTACCTATAGCTCCTGAACAAAGATTTCTACCACACCAGCCCTGGTATGATATCGCTGAGCTTACATCGGACGGCCGGAGGATTACTGACAACAGTACTTAGCCAGTCTTGAGGTCAAATCCAAGGCCCCCAATGGCGTCACGTTCAACGTCAAGGGAAAATCTGCTCATGAGGGTGCCATCTCGGGATCGGTAAGTTTGATATATATATATAACAGAATACTGCCGGGGAACCACGCTCACCTTCTTGCCATTGCAGCTCGAAGCCAAATACGTTGATGCGCCCACTGGTAAATACCCATCAAATTCTGATCAGACCTCACTTCGCACCGCGACACATGCTTCACATCCCTCCCTAAAATGGATACCACTTTTGTCATTTTCGTTTATTCGTTGTTATACTCGTTTTAGCACTTCTTCCCTCGCTTCCACACCTCTACACAGAATTGACGCTAAGCTAATATCGTGCTCGCATCCAGGCTTGACGCTCACGCAAACGTGGAACACTGGCAATGCCCTCGACACCAAGCTTGAGCTGGACAACAACATTGCCAAGGGCCTCAAGGCAGAGGTTCTCACGCAGTATCTTCCATACTCCAACGCCAAAGGTGCCAAGTTGAACCTCCATTTCAAGCAGCCCAACTTGCACGCCCGTGCTTTCTTTGACCTCCTCAAGGGCCCCACTGCCAACTTTGATGCCGTTCTCGGACACGAGGGTTTCATTGTCGGTGCTGAGGGTGGTTATGATGTCCAGAAGGCTGCCATCACCAAGTACTCTGCTGCTGTCGCATACTCCCTCCCTGAGTACTCTGCTGCCATTACTGCCACCAACAACCTCACCCTCTTCTCTGCCAGCTACTACCACCGTGTGAATGCTCAGGTCGAGGCCGGTGCTAAGGCTACTTGGGACTCGAAGGCAGGAAACACTGTCGGCCTTGAGGTTGCCAGCAAGTACAGACTTGACCCTTCTTCCTTCGCTAAGGTAATTAATCTCCTATGATATACGTTGACTTATGTGCTAATTATATTCTATCAATAGGCCAAGATCAACGACCGTGGTATCGCTGCTCTTGCATACAATATCCTTCTCCGACCAGGTGTCACCCTTGGCCTTGGTGCCTCCTTCGATACCCAGAACTTGAACCAGGCTGCCCACAAGGTTGGTGCCAGCTTCACCTTCGAAGGTTAAATGACTTTGCATGGATTTATTGTTTGGTGATAGACGTTTTTTGTAACATCAAATAAATCAATTGAAACCTACCATATTTTCTTTTCACACAACACTTTTAATTCATTTTTTTGTATTGATTCTGCTAGATTCCCACCTAAGTTCTCAATATGTTAGCTATGAATACATATTGTATGTAATGTAGCTACATGTTGAAATATGTCTGATTTGTGTACGCCTCCGATTTACAACCTCAAACATGATTTATCCAGCATCGGATGGAGTACACATAGTTATCGATCGAACTATCCGGTACCAGCCTAAGCTACGTATAAGTTGAAAGTGGATTTGGAGGAGCTTATGCTTGTGGGGAAGGCAAATTAAAGGGTATCAGTAACCATTCATAAATTCTGTTTATATATTCTTTTTTGTGGTTTTTATAGGAATCCAGTCGTGTATAAATGCGTCCGACAAAGCTTCCCATATTTTCCCTAGAACCTAGGATAAGCAGGCTATTTTAAACCTTTAGGGATTTTTATTCGTTGCATCGCTTTGGTCAACCAGTCGCATTTCACCATGAGGAGCTACTTGCGGCTCCTGCCGCACCACGCTGGTCACCCGCATGTTATACTCCTGGGCGTGCGGCTTCCTCGGCGCATACATGATCGGCGTAGTCATCCCAGTTGAAGACGATGATGATTGCGCATTCCCCAGAAGTCCATGGCCTACTACCATCACCGCCCAACCAGTGCCCATGATACCCAACACCAGAAACAGCCGCATCGTCGTATTCCCTTCGCCATCGGAGATGTCAAATCCGCGTGCTGCAGCTTCCTCTTTTGCCTGCCGGGTGGCTCTAAGACGGCGCTCACGACGCCGGGCGTCTTCGTGGGTCTGGGTGCGGAAATGCGACGCGGCGTTGAAGTGGGGGACAGGGTTGTGGTAGATAAATGCATCCGGGTTATCATATGCAGCGGGACCGCCTTGAGGCTGCCTGTGAGAATGGGGGTGTTGGTGTTCATGGTGCTCGTGGCGGTGGTGATGTGGCGGAGGGCGGTTATGGTGTGCTGTGCCATAACCTCCATGAGCATAAAAGCTAGGCGGGGGTCCTCTAAAGGGGCCCCTGCGCTTGCTTAAGCCTGAAGGTGGTCGTGACCCGACGTATGAACCGCGATGACCACTTCGTGTGCTGGATGATGCTACTGTCGCTGCACGGTGTATATCATGATCGTGATCATATTTTGCACGCTTGGCAGCATTGGAGAGGGTTTGATACGCATTGGATATTGATGCAAAGCGAGATGAGGCATCGGGATCCTTTGGATTCTTATCGGGATGGTGGGTGAGGGACAGAGCGTAAAATTGTCTAGATTCGCTCACGCAGACGATACGTTAGCCTCTCTTCATGAGATTGCAAACCTCGACGATCTTAACTTCGAATACAAAAAGCAGACATCCACTGAAAAGAAAAACGGTAATTATTCACTTCTTAATCTCCTGAGTAGTAGCAGTTATTGGCACATTTAGAACTTCATAGTACGTGGGATCGCGACTATCTGCAAACGACCGGGTTGCGGAAGCGGGAAACGGGTATCTCCGTAGTCCCGAGGGCAGGCGGGAGAGGATAGCAGCAGAGTTGAGGCATGGCGAGAAACGGTGGGTGCAAAAGGGCATGCCGCTGCATGGTCTTTGGTGGCTCCTCTGTCGTTATTGTTTAATATCAAGCGGAAATTTGAGACGGAAATGCTGATGAGGTCACACCTCGCTAGTCCAATTTAAGTAAGGTTTCGTTCTGGGTGGCGGTTCTTTTGCTTTGTTTGAAAGTTCAATTTGCCTGCCACTCATCAAGCAAGTCCTTAGTGGTGTAGTGGTTAACATCGCTGTCTTTCACACAGTAGCCCTGGGTTCGATTCCCAGCTAGGGAGTTCAAATTTATCTTTTTGAATCGTTTCCAGGTGGATCTAACTATTCGAGTCGGCTTTTTTATCACCATCGGTTTCTCCTTATTAAATAACGAAGCTTGCGCTGTCAACCGATCTTGGATTTCGGGCTTGCGGGAAAATGAAGCCCGAGCCAAGATGGATCTAAAAAGTATCTGCACTCCATAACAATAGCACCAGCTGCTTTTTTTTTAGACAGGATGGTTGGGTAGTTAGCTATTTCATTCTCTAGTATGAAAGACTATTTCGAATTGCGTATAGAACGTTTTTCAGCACATTTTATTCATTTTTGAGGTATCCCTCAAAGCTGCAAACGTCGGCCCATGCAAATTTATATACATAATAGGCCTGAATCATAGAAAAAGTTAGGGGGCAGAGAAACGGCCTCCTTAGAGATCTATTAACCTACTAAATTGCTTCGCAGTTTTTGAAATAATTACCTGGGATATCTACATTCAGTCACATGAAATCTCGCCGATTAGCTGCCGCCTGAGGGAGAGCTTTCCATACAAGGTAGTGGGGGCTGAACATGCCCTATATGTATATCCCCTAAACGCTCTTAAGTGATCCGATGCGAATACTGCCTGTTTTATGAGGGATACCCCTTTTGATCGTTCTTCTCCACTGGCCCCGTAACAGCCAGTTCTCCCCTCTCCTACCCCGGGTAATGACAGGAATGGAGAGGTACCAGAAGCCATGTCACAACCAGTTCACCACCCCACTGCCCTGGATAATGGCTGTAATGGGGCGTTGGGTTCACTTCCATTGGTGTTGATTTACCAGTCAGAGAGTTACATCTCATCAGAGGTTTCCGTCTGGAGCCCATCACACCACAGCCCCCCAGGGTCAGAGTACTAGTTAAATGATTATTCCTCTTGTTTTACTTCATAAACAATCTTGGAGAAATCAAAAATGTCCAGAAACGTGTTTTCAAAGACATAATCAAGAAAGTTATATAATTTGGCCATAAGTAATTCTCGGCCAAATGCCCAAGAAGCTAGCCAAATAAGTTGGCCCAATGAGGGAGTGGGTATGCAGCGGGAAGAAAGCCAAAAAACAGGCGTAGTTTATCATGCAGTAAGACGCTCAGATGGTCCATATCTACTGAAGGTTATACTTAAGCCTAGGAAGAGTTCCTAGAAGTATGGTCATAAAGTAGACATGTGGTGGGAAATCACCTGGGTATAACACGTCAGATGAGCAGTATTGTTACCTGTAAATATATAACTATGCATTTGCCGGCTCTTATATATAAACTGAAAATGGAAGGTAATCAAATTTGTATATTTCTTTTTGCCTTGTGTGTTTTGATTTTGCAGGATAATGGAGTTATCGCCGCCTTCTGGATTCTTACTAAGCATCTTGGAAACCAACAGGCGGCTTAATGCGGCGAGCCCCCAACACAGCCGCTTTATTCGTATAAATCGAATAACGTCTCCCCAGTCCGCCTACACAAGAATCACGCAAAAAATAAGTTTGAGAGGAGAGCTATTACCAGGCTGTCAAAATGGCCGTGCAGGCTCCTCAGGTTGATACTCTTAGCCGTAAGTTACAGAATTTGTTTTTTTTGTTCATTGGCTGCAGATCCTTGCTTGCTAAACTCGTGTGTAGTTAACGAGGCTCTTGCCGCCAAAACTCCCGCCAACGGCAACGCTACGCAAGGAACTGGCGGATCCGCGGATGCATCGAATGACGATTCCGATGATGATAAAGAGGATGATCAGGTGGTAGCGGAGGGTGCTGCTGCTACCGGTATGGGGTATCCTATTCCCTACCTTTATGTGTGTGCCTAACGCATGCCGCCTTAGGAGAAAAAAAGAAGAAAAAGAAACCCAAGAAAAAGAAGAAGAAGGGTGTGGCTAAGGTTCAGAGCAACCCTCCCCGTGTCCCCTTGTCGACCCTCTTCCCAAATAACCAGTATCCGGAGGGAGAAATTGTCGAATATAAAGATGAGAACGCTTATCGTACGACAAACGAGGAGAAGAGATATCTCGATCGTATGAATAGCGATGCCATCAATGACTTCCGCAAGGGTGCGGAAATCCATCGACAGGTTCGCCAGTATGCACAGAGAGAGCTTCTAAAGCCCGGCAAGACTTTGACCGAAATTGCAGAGGGTATTGAGGATAGTGTTCGCTCCTTGACGGGACATATGGGTCTTGAGGATGGTGATAGTTTGGTTGCCGGCATGGGATTCCCTACTGGGTTGAATATCAACCATATCGCTGCCCATTACTCTCCAAATGCTGGAAATAAAACCGTCCTTCAGCAGGGCGACGTCATGAAGGTGGACATTGGTGTTCATATCAATGGAAGAATTGTTGATAGCGCATTTACTATTGCTTTTGACCCAGTTTATGACAATTTGTTGGAAGCGGTGAAAGATGCCACCAACACTGGTATCAGAGTGAGTACATTATGGCTGTTCACTACGACGTTCAGGGGCTCATTTTTATTTTAGGAAGCAGGTATTGATGTCAGAATGAGTGATATCGGAGCTGCTATTCAGGAAGCAATGGAAGCTTACGAGGTTGAGATCAATGGCACCACTTACCCCGTGAAAGCCATTCGAAACCTCAATGGTCACACAATTGGCCATTATCTTATCCATGGCGGAAGCGTTGGAAAGAGTGTTCCTATAGTCAAGGGTGGTGACCAGACGAAGATGGAGGAGGGTGAAACCTACGCCGTCGAAACCTTTGGAAGTACTGGAAAGGGATACGTGAGAGATGATGTGAGTTCATTTACGCGTATAAGAAAATGGGTTGACGCTAATAAGTTTCCCAGCTGGAAACTTCTCATTATGGCAAAGTTCCCGATGCTCCAAACGTGCCACTTCGTTTGTCTTCCGCAAAGAATCTATTGAACGTTATTACGAAAAATTTTTCCACTTTGCCGTTCTGTCGCCGATACCTTGATCGGCTCGGCCTGGACAAATACCTTCTTGGGGTAAGCCCTGCGTATGGTTTTGTATATGCAGACTGCGACTGACTGACGTTGAATAGTTAAACAACCTAGTATCCTCAGGCCTTGTGGAAGCTTATCCACCTCTAGTCGATGTGAAAGGCTCCTATACCGCTCAATTTGAGCATGTGAGTTCTGTTCTACCCGAAAATGTTGAACTTTTGCAATTGACTATTTATTTAGACATTCTTGCTTCGGCCAACTGTGAAGGAAGTCTTCACCAGAGGAGACGACTATTAAGTCTCGAGGGATTGATGTACCCTGGTAATAGGGGTTACGTGATCCATCCATCGGATACCTTTCGGGTTAAAGTCGATCCTTCTACAGATCGCAGTTTCCCTAGATATTTGGTAGGAAAGAAAACATGGACAGTCTTTTCAATATACATCAATATATCAACATCTCATCAGACGTAGTGCAGAAGGGTTCGTGGCGTCTTTTTCCAATGGACACCCCTAGTTGGCTATTTCGACGCCCGTTCTAATATTTGAACGACTCAGCATGTGTGGAGTAGTTCGTTGACATGACGGATGGCAGTTGGGGGCCTCGAACAGGGTATAGGTTGCATAAGCCGTTATCACCCTGCGCCAAGATAATTATGTTTTAGCCAGACTAAAATAGATTAGTGTATTTCAAATTAGGGTTTAGTGTCTTGGGTGTCAACATTAGGTAGCCAACTACGGAGTACTAAGGGTGCCCATTTAACCAGACTCTTTAATCCGAAGACTGAATGTAACAGGATATCCTTCCCTCTTTTCTGGGTGCTGTGCTGATTGAATATTCTAAGACTATTATTTGGATTGAATGCCTATACTAGGTGTCAACTCTATCTCCAGGAAATCCATCCTTCCCCCATTTCAAGTTGATTCCCAGCCAGACCAACCAGTTGCTCGATAGTGCAAATATCTTCATTTGCAAACTCTCCACGGTCAATACCTCCCTCTACCTCATCTCCAACCAGTGAGCACCCACGAACGGCGACACCGGCGGCCCCCAAGACAACCTGATGCTTTTCGAACCCCTCATTTGCGATCTCCTGGTCAAATCTCCTCAAGGCATTCTCACTAACATCTGGGTGGAGTAAAACAATGGTACATCCGCCTCCTCCAGCGCCAGTGAGCTTCGCCCAGCCGACTTTTGTAATGTCTGCCAACTGGACCACACGATCCAGGCACGGGTGGGATACCTCAAGGCTATTCAGCAATTTTTGATTCTCACCAAACAGTCTCCCCAAATTCTCAATAGCGGCTTGCCTTTCCTCGCTGTCGTTGAAGGACGTGGCGGTGGAAGAGAGAAAATGCAGAGCCTCTTCGACAAGCAGACCGATGGCGTCTAAGATGGGTTCAATATTTGCGGGGTTTGCTTCCTTCAGTTGTCGCACCTTCCGAACCTGGTCAGCGGTTGTACGTGTTCGTTTCGTGTCTATGAGAAGAATGCGCAGTTCGGGGAAACAGTGAAGCGGCTTAACAGATAACAGGCCATCGGTGGTTTTGCAGAAAAGCACGGCTTGGCCCAGGCAGGAGATGGTGTTATCGACTCCGCTCGGGTCTCCGTGGATGCAAAGTTCTCCGGCGTAAGCCCAATTGTTGATTCGCTGTAATTGATCTTCCCGGTTGCCACTTGGCCCTTCAAGTGCATTGGCCTGGATGAGCAGCGCAGTGCTTATGCAGATGGACACACTTGCACTGCTGCCCAAGCCAGCACCAACAGGAATTGCGGACCGAAGTGTGTACACGGCGCCGGGGCTTTCAGGGGAGCCAAGTGAGAGGAAGAGGTAGAGAAAGACTCTGGCAGATCCTTGGTGTATCTTTCGTTCTTTCTGCGGGAGATCTGGCGAGACGGCCTCGACAAGAGGCTCAATAGCCGCGAGCAGGGTCCCATCGAGGGAGGAGCCGTGACACTTGCGGAGCCGGCTATCGGAAGGCGGCCAAGGTAGGGTGTCTATTGACCAAGTGTAATACAAGTCAATCTCCCTAAAGTCTAGCGCGACGATGTGCTCAGAGGCAGGCAGGGTCTGGACGTGGAGATACGATCGAAGAGAGATGGCCGCAGCAATGGCAGGCTTGCCATATACTGCTCCGTGCTCACCAAAGACAATGACTTTCGCCGGCGCGGAGACAATGAAGGATTTCTCCAATGGTGACAATCCATTTTTGAGCATGGCCACCGAACGGCGAAAAGGATGAGGTTGGCAGTGTTCTCTTGTCTGGACGGGTAATATCGAGACGGGACCTGACTAGCGGATTGTAGCTGGACGCCGGGCGGACCTGCAGACGGGAGCTACACGGAGTAGGCAACTATGGACCCACTGCACGTGGCTAGTGCTCAGTCGGCCAACAGAGTTGAGACCCTCTCTGATTTTACACCAAAACCTATGCTTTTCAAGTTGGAATTCCCATAGGTGCTCTACCTGGTAATTACTGGTGCCAAACGTGGTTGTTAGCTACCACATAATCGCAGGCCTCTTCTGACAAGAAACGTCATTAACTGTCAGAATGTGAGCGTTACTGGATCTCGGAGAGGTAGCTCGCAATCAGGTATACCGGCGATCTACTTCTCTGGATTGGGGGGAAGGCAGCCAGTCGGGCCAGAATTAGTGAGTGTTGCTTCAGCGTAGGGTGGACAGGATCCCACTATCTTCGCGTCTTGCACATTGAGAACCAACGGCAGGTCTCTCAGAACCTGGTGGAAGGTCAGGTTATTTACATCGCTTGTTGCGAGTGCACAAAAGACACTGTAATATCAATTTATGGGTTTGGGAATATGCATTCAAGCTGCGTATGTCCTGCAAGCCTATTCACCCATTGCGTGAGAGTGAAGTCGATGAAAATTGAATATCGCAGAGGATCATCTCGTGAAGTGGATCTTGACGCGAGAGACATGGTCTTGAAAGGGATGGCGGCTCGAAGAGCAGACAATCCGTGCTTATAGAAATAATGGTCTGTTCTACAGAACTAAATAATATGTCTCAGGATAACTTACTTCGTTCTAACCATAATAGTTGCGGGCTAAAGGGGCAGTGTGAAAGGTTCAGCACCCGGAACACGAAGGCTTCTGTGGGTCTGTTTGATCGAATTTATGATACTCCGTACTTTGATGCTTCTTCGATGAGGGGACAACGGAAGTGGACATTGCCCGGTAAGCTCACGTAGCTTAAAATCTTATGTTTCGGAGATGAGCAGGCAAGCGTCTATTCTTGTATCATAGACTTTAACAGCTGTTTGTAAAGGAGTTTACTCCGTACTCCGTATTGCCACTGCCCTTGAGCTAGTTAACTACGTTACGTAATCGGATCTCGCCCCACGTGGAAGCTGGACGCTCCGCGAACTAAAAACGATATCAAATCGAGATCCTCCAAAACACAGATGAATTGACCATGCAGCACTTCACATTTCGCCTCTACTAAGGCCTGATTTTGTTTTTAGGGCCAATTCTGTACAGTCCAAATCATGCCGTCGATCGTAAAGACAACCTCTGTTCAGTCTCCGCCCCCTAAAACTACCTCCCTTTCCGGCCGCGTTCCTCCGCCACCTTCCAGTTCCTCCGTGGAAGATCACTTCTTTTGGACATACACGGAAGAGCCACATAAGTCAAGAAGGCAGGCGATTATTAAAGCACATCCAGAGGTTAGATTGGAGAGTACTGCTGCTCAGCAGGCCTTTTTCGTTAATACCATTGCGTTAAATGTAGGTCCTTAAGCTATGCGGCATTGAACCATTAACGAAATATGTCGTCCTCGGCGTCGTTTCTCTACAAGTTGCCTGCGCTTATCTTCTACGAAATACCCCGATACTATCATGGCCCTTTCTCCTGACCGCCTATGTGATTGGGGCTACTTCGAATCAAAACTTGTTCCTAGCAATTCACGAAATCTCTCATAACCTAGCCTTCAAATCCCCTTTGGGGAACCGGCTATTGGCAATCTTTGCAAACTTTCCTATCGGATTGCCATATAGTGCTGCATTTAGAGTGCGTCTCCCTTCCCTATCACTTGGGATCAAACCTAGCTAACATTCCTCCCAATATCTATAGCCTTACCATCTCACCCACCACAAATCTCTCGGTGTTGCATCTCTAGATACAGATCTTCCAACAGCCCTTGAAGCTGTTTTCCTGGATTCGATTCTGGGAAAGGCATTTTTTTGCACATTTCAAATCCTGTTCTACGCCATTCGTCCCATGTTCATTTATACTCCCGCCTTTACTGACATTCACTTCCTGAATATCATTGCCCAATTCGCTTTCGACTTTGCCCTTTACAAACTCTGTGGCTCTTCCGTGCAACCAATTTACTATCTTCTTCTTAGTTCATTTCTCGCCGGGTCCCTACACCCTTGTGCTGGTCACTTCATTGCAGAACACTACTTCTTTTCAAAAACTGGCGGGGGCACAGAATCCCTTGAAGAACAGAAAAAGGCAAAGAAAGAATCCTGCATTTCTCCCTTGGCATCTCTTACTCCACCAGAGACATATTCATATTACGGCCCTCTTAACATCCTAACCTACAATGTTGGCTTGCACAACGAACACCACGACTTCCCTGCTATTCCTTGGACTAGATTGCACAAACTGCACCACATTGCGAAGGAGTTTTACGAACCCCTACCGTGCCATCGCAGCTGGGTGTGGGTGATTTGGACGTTCATCTTAGATAAAAACGTTGGCCTCTGGTGCCGAGTGAAGAGAGCTGAGGGAGGAAGAATGGTCGGAGGAAAAGATGGGAAGGGCTGGAAGGAGAGCGAGATCCAGAATTGATGTGGGAAATAGAAACAAGTGATATCTTGATATTTGTTTTTTTCTCTTGGATATCCATCCTCTTCATCTTTTCGAGCGTTGTTCTGGGGCGTTTTTTTATCTCCTATTCTCTGCATTTTAATAACGATTGCTATGTTTGAGATAGCATTTGCAGCCTGTTTTCTGAAATCTACCCACCGCTTTCATCTCTTTATCTAGTATCACAAGTCTAAAATGGGTTCTTGTTGATATCTTATGTACATTATTTCTTATTCAAAACTGTAATAAAATGGGAGCTAATTGATAAAAGAACGACCTTTGCAGCACTAGTTCTCATAGGACTCCCTGCTGGAAAATATGCAAGGAAAAGGATACGAAGAGATTTACCTTGACGAGTCAACTGCCTTTCTACTCTTTCACATAGGACATCCGCGCAAAAAAGAGCACGTGAAAGGAAGATTATAAGGACAACTAAAGAACCCACTCCCATATCGCATGTTTCATATCGCATTGAGAGAGAGAGAGAAAAAAAAAGAAAAATTACTGAGAAAGAGAAATAGACCGGACAAGCTGTGGGACAAAGAATTATCGGGAAGTTCAGGTGGAAAAACGAGAGAATTTAACAGAATAAGTTACAGTATGTATCAGGGCAGCATGCGCTTAATATCAACACTAGTCCGGGGTGGATGACTGGATTTGGCAGAAGAAAACATAACTCCCCGGGTCGAGACAAGTCGCTACAGGAGAATCAAAGTAAGGAAAAAGGATTGAAGTAGGAAATATGAGAGGCCTCCAGTCGATGAGTTATACGGGGTAGCACAGCCGTGAAAGTAGCATAGAAGATATCGAATTGAGGCTTGCATGTGAAAAAGAAGCAGTCGCGGGCAACGCATAATCTCACAAACACTGTAGGATGCCTTATGATGTGTTCAAAGGGCATTGGTCAGCGTATCAAGAAAATAAACACAGGGTTGGTCTAAAAGAAGAAGTATGCCAATAGGAAACTAAGTAGGCAAAGACCGGCAACCATCTGAACAGGAACACCTCCAGACGGATGTGATTGTTGTTGCAAGGTAGCCATTTCCGAAGGATTTTGTTTTGGGGCGGCTTTTCGTTGCCGAAGCTCGCTGTCGGCCACCTGCTGCTTTAAGGCTTGAATCTGAGCCCGGGCATCTTCAAGTTGAGATTCGACATCTTCACCGGCAGATGAAAAGGTTACTCTCTGCCGCACCTTTTTCGTATCTTGCGAGGCGGACGCAGAGTCGGGTTCTTGCGGCTCTGATTTAAGATTCGGAGGTGGGATTGGCGGCTCGGCAATCACAGCGGCTGCACCAACGGGGGCAGCTCGGGTGGGAACCGACGGGGTTTCAAACTTCGGGTTTGCTGGAGATGCGTGTAAAGCGCTTGCATCATCTTCAGCGGGCTAGGAGAAAAGAGACGTGAGTTTGGAGAATACACAAGTAGGGAAGATTCTCAAGAACATACAGCTCCATTCGTTGAGGGGGCATCAGCCGGAGCTAGGTAATTGACACGAATCTTTCGCTCTTGGATGGTATTTTTGGCCGACTGTTCAACATCGTGCCACTAGGATTGTGTCAGTAATCCGGTCCCATTGATGCTTCAGTCCCAATAAAAAGGTTGTAGGTCATTACTCACAATAGCGGTTACGTTGGAGAATTCCTTATCCGCGGAAACAGCGACGGATTGGACAAGAAACTTATCTCTACATTTTGTATCGAGCGGCGGTTCATCTTTCATTGCCTGAAGGAGAACTGTGTTTGATAGTCAAATTAGCGACGAATCGCACTACGGATCAGAAAGAAAATACCTTGAACTTCGATATGCTTGCCAGGCTCAATGCGGCCAGAATTTGGACGAACACAGTATCTAAGAAAATGTTAGCGCACTTCTGGGCTCCTGGAAGTGGCTTAAGCGGTCTGCAGTACCTTCGTGGTGCAGTGGTTTTTACCTGTTATTAGGAAGAGGTGCATTTAGTTGTCTATTCACAACGTAGAAGAAGGGAAAGCAACGGTACCTTGAACGCAACTGGATCGGAATTTGGATTGCGCAAATGTAATATCTGACTGACTTCCTGGTCAAAAGGGCCTAAAGCGTCAAACGATTGTTAGTAGGTGCCTTGGGGCGTTGAGAGGGGGAGGCTCTTACGCTGAAAGCCCAATTCGGCGGGCTCGATTTCGACAGACATTATTCGGAGAAAAGAAGAGATCAGGAGGCGAGTATGCTAGTAGACCTTGTTGTGAATGGTGGGTGCTTGAGTTGAGATGCGCATTGCCTGGTCTCGTCGGGTGATTACCTGGAACGATAGCTGGCAACGTTAATCCGCCGGCAAAGCTGGACAGGCACGTGACCGTCCAAGCCACCTCACCGGCTCCACGACTGGCATCGGAAACGGCGGACACCCAGACTCCTAGTGACGTCCTAGCAGCGCTAGGTTCTCGTGGACTCCTCGAGCCTGATTAACCAAATGAAACAGCTGATTTTATCAGGAATACGGCCCGACCAGCTTGCTGTGCATTTGCATATCCTCACGTTCACAGAGACAGCTCAGTCGTCTGTTCGTACATACCATGGATCAGGCAGCTATTAGTCGAATATGCCCCCATATTATAGAGTTCCACCCCCGGCAGAAATTACAACTATCTTCATCCCTCTATTGGTAAAAGAAGTACATGCCTTGCATGCTTATGCACTCTCTATGTACAATACAGCACACCCCGCTGAAGCATTTCAGTCCATAGACACAACAATTTGTCTTCTACTTAAGATACTGACTGGTGTTGTTAACACATTTCCTTTCAAGTTTTGGCTGTGAAAGCAACCTGTTCCATCATCCCAGCATAAGTACATGGATTTCACTATTTCATACAAGTATTGATATATATATCCCCAGGAAATTCACCATAAACAGGACTTCATGCTCTCTTGCCTTTCATACGACATTCGGAGTAGAGAGATTTCAAAAAACTCCACCAATGTCCTTAGGGCACAACAGGGCCTAGCCGCGAGGCCATGTTGAAAGCTAGAAGAGCCCAGCACTCGTCTCAGGTCCTCATGATGACGTCAAAGCTTGGACTCAGTTTCTGCCGTCTCTCCTTATAAGTATTGGGAACGGCTTTGTTACGCTCTGGTCACATTTGCCAAAGGGCCTTCAATAGCTGATCGCCCGCGTACCTAGTTTAAGGCTTGAATCAACTGTAACATGCTAGAGCAATTTGCTGCGTTTCCATTTGATTGATCAAAAATATTGGCTTAGAGTAAAATTAAGAAATCTTGTATGCGTCAGATAAGTGTAGAGTAGATGTAGTTATAAGACATAGTACTCCGTACATAGTTAATTAGGCTACCTGTTTGCCCTCCAGTTTGCGAGCGGCGCCGCAGGCGCGTAGTTAAATAGGCTGCCGCTCGGAACCAACCCCCCCCCCCCGCACTGCCTGGGCGCATCCCACATTCTTCCCTAAGCTACATAACTATGCATGACACCACTCCTTGATTTACTTACACACTTTATTAGTTCTATTCCAGCTTATTATCTGATTTTGTTAGCTACCACTTATATATTTAGAGATGCCAACCGATCTAGAACAGCTCGTTGACATGGGCTTTGACCCAGACAGAGCGAAGATTGCAGTTTCACAAAGTGGCGGACGTATGAAGCTACTTCAAACATATATCCAGCGAGGAAACTTCCTAACATGTCTATTTAATAGTTCAAGGCGCACTTGAATGGCTCGAGACCAACCAAGACAAATCGCTCGAAGAAATACAGTCGGCAGTCGCCCAAGACCAAGATGATGGAGGGGAACCTCTAAAGCCGGGCGAGGAAGCGAGGAGCTTGGTTTGTAACGATTGCGGTAAAAGATTCCGTAGCCAAGCGCAGGCCGAATATCACGCCTCAAAAACAGAGCATGTTGATTTCTCGGAGTCCACGGAGGAACTTGCCCCCTTGACGGAAGCAGAGAAGGCTGCGAAGCTCACGGAACTTCGAGAGCGACTGGCTGAAAAGCGTGCGAAGGTATCCGAGCAGGACAAAGCCGATAAAAAAAGAAACGAGGTTTGAAATTAATTGAATAATGATTTGTGCCTGAAGTTTTGGGTCTAATTCCATATATTTACAGGAAATACGGCGGAAAAACACGAAGGAGTCTCAGGACATTAAAGAGGAGTTACAGAAAAAGGAACAACTAAAGGAAGCAGCCAAAAAGCGTCGCGAGAAACAGGAGGAAATAGATGCCAAAGCAAGAATCAGAGCTAAAATAGAGGCAGACAAGGCGGAAAGAAAAGCCAAAGCAGAAAAGGAAAAGGCGGAGCGAGAAGGTCGGTCTACGGCGGCTTCAGTTCCTATTCCGGCCGCCGCCCCAGCTGCTCCCAAAGCCGCATCGTCATACACAGAAACTAGATTGCGACTTCAGACAGCATCTGGAAATGTGATGAAGGCCTTCCCTGTTGAGACAACGCTCTTTGAAGTAGCCACCTACCTCAATCAGGAGAATGGCCTGAACGTCCAGAGCTTCACTCAAACTTTCCCTAAAAAAATTTTTGATAGTGGATACTTTGGAGAAACGTTGAAGGAGCTTGGTTTGGTCCCCAGTGCCAGCTTAATTGTAAATTAGAGCGCGTTGGTTGAGCCATTTTTGCATTTGTTGGCGAAGACGGGGGTGTCACCATGGATAACTACACCTGTAGAATGGAGTTGATAGGGTGAGAATAAGTTGAATCAGCGCAGAATTGACAATAATTTGTCGTAGTACAGATTAGATTTGATTTCATGGAACAGCTCGATGCCGCTTAACTATAAATAGAAAGCCAAGGTGACAGTCACGTGTCGCGATTCTTCAACGCGTTGGACGCGTCTTGGTTGCCCGATTCGGAGATATCAAAAGACTAATTCGATCTTCAAGTCCAGTGACGCCACTGGCATCTAATTCTCTGTGCCGAGTTGTTTTCTGATATCTAGATGGTATTACGCGTCCACATGTTCTGCTAAGCCTTTTCGCAATGCCAGCGTAAGTTTGAATGACTGTTCCCTATGCAACGCTATCCCACTAAGGACCTTGATCTTGCATCGATATTAGGCCAGGGGACCAACACAAGTCCTATTCGGCGAATATAAGTGCTTCCAACCCATTTGAAAATACCCCTCAACGCATGAACGTGTATACCGCACAGGAGATTGCATCGCTACAGAGCCGCCTTGACAAGCAATTAGGCCCCGAATATATATCCTCACGGGCGGGTCCTGGTGGACAAAAGGTACACTACTTAGCAGCAGATAAATGCATTAATCTAGCAAATGAGGTCTTCGGGTTTAGCGGCTGGTCAAGTTCGATTCAGAATGTTTCGATCGATTTTGTGAGTTGAAATTACGCGGGAAACCTCTATAGATGGGATGGGAAATATGCTGATTTAAGGGATTCTTGTTAGGTCGATGAAAATCCGAACACGGGCAAAGTGTCCTTAGGATTGTCAGTTGTCATGAGAGTGACACTGAAGAATGGAGCATATCATGAAGTTGGTTTGACTTACGGCTCTGGTACATCAAGTGCTGACGTTTGTTCCTATGACAATAGGACATCGGATATGGTCACATCGAAAATGCGAAAGGAAAGGCTGCTGCATTTGAGAAAGCTAAGAAAGAAGGAACTACAGATGCTTTGAAAAGAGCTTTACGTAATTTTGGTAACGTTCTGGGGAATTGCATATATGATAAAGACTACCTGGCAAAGGTCACCAAAGTCAAAGCTATTCCGGTATGACATGACCATTGGACTTGTGTGGCGCTCAACTTTTGCTAATGAAGGTATCAGGCCAAATGGGATATCCAAGAATTACACCGTCATGGGGATTTTGTACCTATCAAACAAGAACCCGTTGTTGCCCCGCTTGTTCCCAAGGCCGAACCTGTCCCTAATATCCCGTTTCAATCAAACGTACCCAATATCTCCAAAAAACCACCCAATGAACCCCTCTCTATGGACCTTTATAATGATTTCGGAAGTGAGTTGCTTCTCACAAACCACATAAATATTTCTAAAGATAGTCTAGGCGATGCGTTCGACGAAGCAGATTTCGGAGAACACGATCTTACTCACCCCGATGAAGTAGTTTTGGAGGAAGAACCCGCTGCTCAAATCCAAAACAACAAACGCCAGTCATCCGACGTGCAAAGACAAGGCTATGCTGCCGGAGGGCCGCCACACGCGATTCCGAGTCATATGGTCACGCCATCAAAACCTCCCCAGCAGCCTTATACAGCAAACCCCCCATTTTCTCAATCAAAACCAGCTCTCCCAGTCCCTGCGGATCGTATAACAAGGCCTCCCCAAAATCAGTATACGACCCCCAAGCCTCAAGCAGTAACGCGGTCACAAATTGTACCAGCCAGGCCTATGCAAGGAAGCCAAGATTTCCCTCCTCCTTTACCCTGTGATCAAATGAAGGCAGCCATCGAGCCGGGCACCGACAGCAGAGGAAATGCATCTCCGTCGAAGTCATCGTCTCTAGATGCAGATAACCAAGAGAACTCTGTCGTAGAGCCCGGGGTTTGGTATTCTGCGCATGCTGCCTACAAAGTCGACCCAGGAAAGGGAGCGCCCACTTTTGATCCCAAGTTTGACAGCCCATCGATTCGAAAGACTCATAGTGTCGATCACGCCAAATCGGCACCAGTTACTCGAAAAACGTTCCAAAACATACCGCCATCCTCCAGCCAGGTACTTCACAAAACAAGCATTAACAATGCTCCTTCCGGCAGTCAAACTACACCCCTTAGGCCAAATCCCGAGGCAAACAAAAGGCCAGCACCTAGTAATTATCCAACTCCTGCTAGGCCTCCTTTAACAACCTCGTATCGACCGCCCACCCGGAGAAGCATGACAGTTGCCCCAAACAACCCCCCGGCACCTTCAAACCCAAATACCAACGTACACCATAATATGAATGGCAAAAGGCCGCCCCTGTCGGACATGACGAATATATCCCCCGCTCCTGAAAATGCCGATGCTACAAAGAAGCCTAAGGTCGGTTCCGCTTCCGTTCCTACCGGGGAAAACCAGCAACGACAGGGTGTGAGAAGCAACTGAATTTCCGACTATTATTTATTTTCTGCGCCAAATGCGCACTTTATAAGCTTATTCTTAGCGACATTCACCATGACAGTACATCTCCTGTTTTTCTACTACGACCTGGGAGACCGTTTGTGCTCTGGGGATTATTCGGTACCTTGCTTGTATTTTATGCATGTAAATATGTGTAGCTGCATGTTTTACTGGAAAGGTAAGGGTTATGGCGTTGAGGAAGCTATGAAGGGTGAAATTCTAACGAAATTGTAAATCATATTTTGATATTAGAAGAAGCTAGGCAAACAAGACCTAAGCACGAGACTTGTATTTGAGAAAACTATGCTTGGATAAACGGATTATGCGCTGGGTAACTTTTTGGCCAGCGATATCAAGGCATATGAGGCAATAAAAGGGAAGTTGAGTTCCTTGTCTGTAGGGTACCTGAGGGGTATGCCATTGCCGTCTCCAAGAGATAATTAGTTATTAAGTAAACAGGCATAATAGGGAAGTGTAAATTTCAAAGCAAGTAGAAACAAGAAAAATTGGTAATCAGCGCCTTAAAGAGTTCGAAAACCGACCTGGACGAATGCTCTTTATGAGTTTCGAATTGAAAAAACCCTACCGAAGCGCAACACGCTCGATCCAACGCCATGTGTAAGTTAGTGCGCCCATCTAGACGCCGCCAGACCAGAAGAGGCTGCTTTCTTGGGCTCTTGTTTGTCGTCTTCTGATGCCCATCGCGAAGCCCCAAGGCCTTCTGGCTGCTTTTTCTTTCTTTCTGTCTGTGGGCGGCTTCCATTATCAGTGCAACTTGGCGCTGAGATATTACTTCGTGGGCCAGGAGGTAGCTGAGCTTGCACAGGTTCAGGTTTCTTTATGTTAATTTCCGACTGGGACAAACGGGAATGAGAAGAAGGCATCGGAGTGGGAACTCGAGTTGGGTGATATGGTGGTGTTAAACGACCTTCATTGGAGGAATCGGTGCATTGTTCACGATGAGCACCGCGGCCTCTAATGCGAGGCGGCGCGGGCTCAGGAACGCGAGCGGGGACATGTTGCCTAGAGGAGCGAGAAGGACTAGTTTGAGAAGACTGGCCACCATACTGCATGGCAGCTGCGGTCTGGGGAATAAAAGGTGTCTCGCGCATCTGCAGTTGAGAGCCATATTGCGGGGGTGGAGCTGGTTCAGTCGTGCGAGCTGCCACGGCTGTTGAACCGGGAGGGTTTGAACTCGCTAATTTAGAGGAATTGTTCACCTTGGCCTTTTCATCTTTAACCACAGCCTTCCCCTTATTTGGCCTTTCAGAGATTAAGGGAGGAGACATGGGCTCGAACAAGCGAGTTCGGCCGGGGAGGAGATGGTTACCAATGATATTGCCCCCGTCATTGGGAACGGGTGGTTTCCGGAATTCTCCAGACAGGCTCGGCTCGGGTTCATTGCCATTAAGATCGTCATGCTGGTAAGGAATTTTTGATTGAATTGCAGAAGTTATGTCTTCTGGGTGAGACTTGATGGCCAGGCCCATCTGTGCAGGGTCATCTTTTGGTGCCAAAATAGAAATAGACTTATCAAACCCGCTGCTGGCATGTTCAACATTTTTCTTAGATTGAGGAGTATCTGCTGGTGCGCAGGGGCGAGTTGACTTTAAAAAAATCGTCTCTTCGAGGTCCTTCTTACGACTCTCTAAGACCCTGACGATCGAGGGTGCAAGTGCCACTGTTCCCGAGAGCATATCCTTCAACTCCTCCAACTCCTGCTGCATCTTCGACATTTCACCCGCCACATTTACCTCAGCTACATCTGCGAAAGTCTCCGGACTAGTGAATGTCTCTGATTCGCTCAAAGCTCTGCTATCAGGAGAAAGACTAGACGCACGTAATGTATTGACGCTGACAACTTTCGTGTTCTTGGATTCTAAAGAAAGCGGGCTTGAGGTAACCGTCGATTCGCTGCATTGCTCTGCCTGTTTGGCTGATGCAGGCCGAAAATTGCGACGTAGGTAGAGGTTCGGTTGTGGAAGGCTGCTGCTAAAACCATTATCAACCTTTCGTTGTCGAGAGTTAGTCTGGCTCTCAACTTCAGCAGAAGGACTCCCAAATACTTCAAGTGGAACCAAAGTTTGGGGCTCTGGTGTTGTATTTTGAGGCGGCGGAATCGCCGTTTTTCCTGGTGTCGTTGGGATCTCCACGGCATCAACAAATTCTGCTTCCAACTCGTTTGCAGCGACTTCAATAGGGCTAACGCTGTGGTTAGCATTGTTATTATCTATGATTTCTTCCAGTCTTGTATTAACTGAAGTGTCTGCATGCTTCTCAGGGGTAATGAGTGGCTTTAAAGCAGTGCGCACAGTCTGAAGATTCGAAACGGCAGCCATAAAAGAAGTGGAGTCTGCTAAAATTATATTTTGCTTTCTCATGCTTCTTTTTCGGATGTCAGTGTTGCTAGGAAACAAAAGAAAACGGCCATTACTTACAAAGGTGACACGATAGGCACTCGAGGTCTCATCGTCACCGGCCGAGGGGGCCTATGTATCTGAGCGCCGCGTTTTGATCCACGCCTCGGAGGAGATTGTGGATTATTGATATTTTTCGCAGGATCCAATGGACGTCTAGAGGCACTAGGTGCAATTTTACCCCGGTCAGTGGTCCTGATCATGAAGCAGCCTGGTGTTAGTAGAGAGAAGGCTCCTTCTTAGATAGTATCCACGTACGAGGCTGATTGGCGCCCACGAGTGCCAATAACGCCGCCACCTCGGGCACGACTACCAGGAGCTCCCAGGGCGCGCCTGCCGCGTGGATGCACAGATGTGTCTATTTCTTCGTCATATTTCTGCCCACCGTTTGCCTTAATCGATTCGATCAAGTTGTAGCGGTGGCTTTGGCCTTCAAGTATTGGAGCCAAGTCTTCTCCTTCTGTTGCATCTCCTAAAGTTTTCCAGGCTTCTGTGATAGACGATTAGTCGAAAATTTATATCTGGCAATATAGTCTAGTTACCTTTCCAAGCCTTCAGTTTATCCTTGTTCTCTATGGCAAGCCGATGGGATTGCGTTCCCTCTTTATTCGAGGCCCTACATGCTTCCAAATGGTCCAGAGAAACAATGGGTTTTCGACCTGCCTCTCTCGTTGAGATATAATCCCGTCTTGCAAGGCCGAGGTCCTCCTATGAAGGACGTATATCAACATTGTATCAATTTGAAATATAGGAATACAGACACATACCATTTGGAGAACCTGGAGACGAGAAAGACGGTGTGTGGAATGATTTTCCGCCATCTTCGAGTGGAATGGCGATCAAGTATTTTGGCTACGGCGCCTTTTATTAGAGTATGTTTGATTAACAAAATAAACAAAAAACCTTTGAGATGAGAGAGAATGGAAGTTTAGGGCAAAAACCAATAAGAACCAAAACCAAAAGGCTCAGGGGAGGATTACAGACCAAACATATTCAGATGAGGTGAAAATGAGAGAAACATAAGAGGGTCTGCACAGATTGAAACGCGTCTAAGGAAATGAACTGACAGTAGAACTGAGAGGGAAAATGTAAAAGCCAAAGGCAACTCAAAATTGGTTAAGAACTGAAACGAGAAGCAGACAAAATCTCTGTCAGATGTATCAGTTACGCAGTAAGAGGTAGAATTAGCACATTTGTTAAGAACGCACTTGTAACAAGGAGTGCCAGAGAGTGACTAGCAAAGGGTAAGAGAGGGGATCTTATTTGGATGGAGGGCAACCCTCAAAATAATATCAAATTGAAAGGTCAAGACACTTGCAGAAGCTTCTTATAATATTGCTCAGTACCTTTTGGGTAGGGAGTTTTGCGGGAGATTCGTAGCGATGGCTTGGTGGAGTTGGAAAAGTTTGATGCTCAAAGGTCTAGGTCTAAAGAAAAAGGTCTGGTAAAGGGAAGAGAGAGATCAATTCAGAAAGATAAAGACTGATTAGAAAGCGGGCTTCGAATGGTGGTTGAGAAAGGGGAAGAAAGAGAAAAAGAAAGAGGCTAATTCAGTTGAAGGTTGCTGTTGATGGAGAACGTGACGGCCTAAAACAGTTAAGAGAAGTGAGAATATCAAAATACACATAGTTAACCAAGCAACCACTTTCGGTGAGTGCTAGTGGAATCACCCACCAGCCCCATCACGTTGTTGCTTGCAGCTTCACAATCACAGGGTGTGAAGGGGTTTAAGAGGGAAAAGTCGAAACAAAGCCATTGCTCGATGCAGGTTCCCTTTCCACTTTGGATCTGCGGCTTACCGGGACCAAAAGATGAACAGCATCCCTAGGATATCGACTGTCAAAATTTTTTTTTTTACATAATGTGGCACGTATATGCAGGCATATACGATATTTCTAGGTTTTGACTCCGCTCAAGTAGAGTCAAATTTATATCAAAGATGAACAGTCAAGAGGTCTTCACCTAGGACGCATATGTGTTTCACCTTCAAATGTCAAGAATAGCTGGGAAAAGATGTTAAGAATATAGAATCAAAACCATATTCTTCAAGCTTAATGCCGGGGCGCACAAGGTTGGACTTGTGAGAGAAAGGATTCACGGGGAGAATTCATGCGCGGTTATGAGCTAACTCTCCGAGTATGTCTAGGCCTGGGCTGGAGTAATGGGAAAAATAAATACATCTATATAATATCTAAGACATGCTGGAGAAGAAGAGGGTATGCACAAATGGGTTGGGGCGGTTTAATTTGAACATGTCATTGGGCCGCCTTCATCTATTGGTGGTAAAGAGCAGGTCAGCATCCTTGAGCACAGAAACATGTCGCTCAAGCGAGCACGCTAAAAGAGCAGAAACTTACGTTTAATCATTTTAATCGACGCCTGCAAGACACTGATGGACATGACCAAAGAGCCAAAGATAATGCATAAAACTGCCGGAATTTTGGATTTCCAGCTCTGCCCGCTTAATTTGATGAAACAAAGTGGTGGAAGTATGTACGCTAGAACGCATGCACTTGTTGCTCCGATAAGTTCGAGGACAGAGCCGAGGTCACAAGTGATCAAAGCCATCACAACAGACGTGACAACCAGTGAGGTCGTAAAGATGAGATGGCGGCTTAAGTCGTAAGGCTCGTCTGGAAAGTAAAAAGTAGTCATGACAGATCGGCAAACGAATGCCTCGAGAGGGAGTGTTGCCAACATATTAAGACCAAAGCAGCTATAGTCATATGCCATTAGCAAATAAAAACAGTGCGATAGGAAAAGAGGCATACAGTCGTGCAATATTTACTAATACATTGTCGGCTGGAAAGTTATTCAAAACGTTGCCCTTTGTCCTATCACCAAAAGTAAGATAGCCTGCGGATGCCATGATCACGCACATGACCATCGAAATGCCAGTGGAATAATGAGTTACAAGGGCAAATCGATCCAGAGTAGGCTTCTTTAGAGATCCGTATATCAGGAGGCTGTTATGATCTGGTAGAAGGTGAGTAAAGACGTAATAGATAGCAATACTACTGTGTACATACGGCAGACAAAAGCTACGATATCCAATTAGTATAATGAAGGCTTAAGATAGGTATGTTAATCTCACCAAAAGATATAACTCCAACAGCCTGGAAAAACCCAGAGTTGATCAGAAGTGAGCCTTGGATTTCACCTTTAAGGTCTGATGGGACTCTTGGACCTTGTGTGATGACGGCAAACACAATCACAAGCATGCTTATTAGGGCGAAGGTCGAAGCTTTCGCAAGCTAAGGATCTTAGCACAAACCATTTGAACGGGGGGGAAGGCCCATACCTTTGCAATGTCTCTATACAATGATAAAGGATATGATATTCCAAGAACGAATAGGATAATAACCGCACGTCGATTGGTGAGTAGCCATAAAACCGGCAACTCGTTCAATGAAGGGAAGAGAGCTGACAAGACTGGCGGTATGGTGTCGCCGACAATGATACAGAATGCAATCATCCCACCAAATGCAAACGCCCATTGTGCTATCGATATTGCTATTAACCCAGGTCTGCCAAAACAAAATTCAACAGTTGCTTGGAAGGAATCGGCCCCGCTTAGTTTCGAATTAACAACGATCAAGCGAATAGTCCAGTCAACAGTGACCGTTAAGGACAGTAGAAGTAAAAGACCGGTTAACATCCCGGCCTGACGGAAAGCATACGGCTGTCCAATGATTCCCGCTCCTATTATACTATTCGCCATATTCATAAATGCATTTCGAAGATTGCTTTTCGGTCTCGCACTCTCCAGGTGTTCTTCAGGAAATATGGGCAAGTCGGAGGTTGCAAGAGTCACACTAGGTGCCTCGATATCTGTAAGCAGCGGAGCCAACTGCCCCGTACTACTTCGTCTCGACCGGCCAGTATCATCGTCCAAATAGTCTTCTTCGTTGAGCCATGATTGATCTCGGGCATGTGAGGAAGAATCACGTCCAGGAGTTTCCTCTGCACCGTCTCCAAGGTCGAATCGAACGCGGTTAGGCGTACGGGGGTTGCGGGGCTGGCCATTGTTCAAAATCGGAAGAGCGAGTGCAGAAGGGCATCGGGAGGGAGAGTTGGAGCTTGATATGGGTCGTGAAGGTTGAGGTTGGTCATTCAGCTCGTCATCGTCGACGAAGTGAGAAAGCAGATGCGCTTCTTCCTCGCCATGCCGGGGCGTCTCAGTCTTGCGGACATCGAATCTGTCGGTGCCTTTGGGCATAGCTACATGTATCGTTCATCCTCGCACTGAGAGAACCGCGTAGACATGCCGGATCAGGTCCCCCTGGGAGCATCTTCGTGTCATTGCTGCAATTCGAAAGTCTCCTGTGGCTTGGCCGAGACTCCCACGTGATCCGAAAGCTTGCACGCAAGCAAGATTCCAGCAATTTACCTCCTTTTCAAGCCATAAGGAGAAGTACAGGCGACAAACTAGCTCGAAAGCGCACGTCCCAGAAAAGCTGAGTTGCCTTTGATGCTGGTGATAATGAAGAAGAAAGGCATTGTGTGCAATGTTGGCATACAATGAACTTGTTTTCCAGAATAGGCAATCTAACGTCTGACGATCTTCGCGATCAACTAACTAACTATTGTTCGCTGCTGTTCATCAGCTCTATCGTCGCTGTCCAGGTAGCTGAAATTTATTATGACGTGCAAGTCATGGCTTCAAACTGCATCCAAGTGTACTCTGATATTCAGACTCATGATAACAACCCTCTTCGACTCGAGGTATCCGGTTCTGCTCGGATTTCTTGCCCTCCGAACTCTGCTCTGGCACCCCAGCAGCCAAGTTTAGGCGTACTAAATGTCGACGATATATGGCTTCGCTTGAGTTCGGCACTATTGTTTAAGCTTGATATCCAGATCCAGGACTGTTCTGAGGATGCGCTGTTTGCTCTACACATCTTAAATACCATCAGCCATTTGTTGTGTTCAGCAAAGGCAAGGTCTAGCTTTTGCCGAAGGTTCATATCTCTCCATACTAACCTATTGTAGCTGTGGTCCGATCTTTGCTTGTCCGTATTGCTGGAAGGGTGTACGGTCGTTTCTGATGGTACAAATCTTCAGCGAGTTTGCATTTCTATCCCTCTACAGCAGAATTACAATCAACTCTCTTACGTAGAGAGCTATGGTAAGCGGAATGCGAACCCCTTCTTATCAGCAGCCTATACCCATGTTCTGCCTCCTGCTGGGGTGCAGGTCGTCACCGTGCGCGAAATTGAAGCTTGCTTCAACTTTTCCATGGCAAACGTGAATGCCATAAAACCTCCAGCAAGGGGGCTTCAACACTCGCTTCACTCTATCGATCCTTCGTGTATCAGTAATAAGCTGTTCTTTGAGTCCATGTCTGCTGGCGGCGCACTCTCTGGTCTAGATGCGGATTGGGTCTCACTTGACGATGACTCCCCGTTCTCTAGCCAAGAATTTAAGTCAAGTTTTAGTTCAAAGGATTCCCAAATAACCGGACCGGATGACGAGCAGCCATCTAATGAACGTCCGAGGGTAGAAATTGCCGATACTTATGTAACTTTGCTCGACTATGGGCTCCGGACTTTACTCTGCCACCAGCCATTTCGACTAGAGAGGCATCTTGATAGTGAGGAGAAGAATGATATACCACTCGTCCAAAATCTCGCCTCAACCCTCTTCAATAGTGATTATGATCATGCAAGTTAAATTGTCTATCTACCCGTTTGGATGCCCTCAGCTAAACCGCAATAGGGTATATCCCAACGAGCAGCTCTGATCCCTATAATTGCCAAGGGAATACACTCGCTTCTTTCAACTACTTCGTCCTTGGCTCTCAAGTCAAGATTTGCAGAACTTGAGAAAAATCACCAGGAGACCCCGCGGGCCGAAGAAAATAACCTGTCTGACAAAGTCTCGAATACAAGGAAAGTCATCAAATACCTGTTGTGGACAAAGATGCAACGAAAGCTATTATCACCTTTTCCAATGCGAAAGCTCAGCCCATTAAAGCTTCATAGCAGCTTATCAACTTCTTCTCAGAAACAGTCCACGCCTGCTATTTTGCCGTCTGAAACAAAAGGCATCATTTCTGCGCCGTACTGCCCAATTCTCAACATGGGTGAACACGATGATTTCGACTGCAGTACAGACAGTGAAGATTTCCTTGCAGACGAGCTCGATGAGCTTGAAAGCAAATTGGTAGAAGAAATGATAGGGGCCAAAAACAACAAGTTTTCCCCCACTTCACCCACTCTATGTTCGTCGCCCATGCTTGACGAGGAAAAATATGACCAGGATGATGTATTCTGCTCAGATTTAGACCATAATAGAATAGAGGCGCCAATGTTAGATGGCTTGCCCAAAATTTCATCTTCACCAATGATTTCGGAGCTATCGGTCGACTCCGATCCTATTTTAGATGACGACGAAAATGAAAATAATGACACGGACCTTGGTGACATGATACTAGATATATATAGTGGTGTTGATAATATAGACAATGTTCCGGGCGCCGGTGCTGCAAACGAAGAGATGCTCTTCTAGCCCACTTGGATTTCCTGTTATAAATGATGTTTTTATACTAATTAATTAAGCCACTTTTCTCCTTGAATGCACGAACAGAATATGTTGAAGAAAAAGTAAACACAGGCTCTACAGAGTATAAGCATACGCCTTTCAGAACCAACTCTTTTTGCGGCCTTCGTCCCCTGCCCAACGACCGCCCTAAAACAACGCTGAACACCCATTAACCAATAGTCAAGAACAACATCTAGACTCAGTAGTGATATAGCACATACGACCACAGGAAGTGGAATACAGGGCTTCCCGTCCGCTCAGCCGTACTTAAGCCACTCTGTATCTGCGTGGGACATACTGGCCCCAAATCCCCGCTGCTTTATGGGTGAGGAGCGGGTGAGTAGTGGGTGAGCAGGGTGAGGAGCGGGCGAGCAGGGTGTTTTAATAAAAAAGCCACACTGCTAGAAAATAAATATCAGAGAGGAGCCATGCTGATTCTATTCTTGTTGATCTCTTGGTACTTTCAAAACATATCTGGTGTTAGCTTTTGATGTCATCTAATTCTAACCGACGTAGGGCAAGGAAGAACATAACCTAGTAAATGTATTTAAGAACAAGATGGAAAATAAATTAAATGATGCGAAGGCTCGCAAGAACAAGGCCAGTGGACTAAAGCCATCGACAAGAGGTAAAAGCGAAAAAGACCAGAATACCACCCAGAAAGAAAAAAAAAAAAGTGAATGTGTTGGTAGCAAAGGGTTCAGCTCCGGGCCCCAAACTAGCAATAAAAATGAACATATTGATAACAAGGGTACAGGCCCAAGATATGAACAAGAAGTCTCAGATTGGGATGCAATCTGTACAGCAGCATGCCTTCTACATGATGTGAGGGGTATTCGTAATGAATTAACCATTTTTCGAGCCCTGGTAGTTCAGCAAAAATTGGCATGGGATGGTCTACTCTCGAAAGGCTTTTTGAAGGCTAGCGACACAGATGGCCCTGATTATATTCTTCGAGAGCTTGACAGAATGTGTGGAATGACAGATAACATCAAAAAATCTGTGAGTACATAAGAACTTTTTGAGGCTAACACCTACTAATGATTTTTTAGGTCCTTGATATTCTCAGCCTTGAGCAAAGTAGTATTGGCATCACAGAAGCAATGGAGGCGAGTGAGCAAAGTGAACAGGCTATGAAGCAAAGTGAACAATCTATGAAGCAAAGTGAACAGTCAATAAAGCAAGGGAAAACCCTTATGGTGTTTACAATAGTGACAATTGTCTTTGTATGTGCTCATTCTTCATTCATACTATTTAACAAGCTATATCTAACATTGCTACTAAGACCCCAATGTCCTTTCTCACATCACTGTTTGCCCTGAACACATCAGCCTTTCCACATGATGGCCACGGAAATCTCTTCTATCATTCATCGTGGATATTTCCAATGATATGCAAGTTTGTTCTCAGCCAGCTTTCATCTTGAAAAAAGCTAACAAATTTGATAGTTTGTATATCAATTGCCATCACTATCCCCTTGATGCTTCTTGCTATCTACTTTGAAAAAATAAACACTATTATGACCAACGTGTTGCCAGGCGTCATAATATGGCCCCGGCACTCGGACAATCCATCAACGGTGGAATCCCCGGTCAATAAGGCTAGTGATCAACCAACATCCACCACCACCACCACCAACAACAACAGCATAATAGGCGGCACACCGCCACCTACTAATACTGTGGACAATAAAAGATTTTCCATCGAGGCCATCTTGGCCAATGGTGCACTTGCTCTTTCAAATACAAACAAAGAGAAACCGGAACGGCTCTCTCAGTATATTTCTCACTTACTTCGGAGACACAAAACAGTCGGCGACCCAGAAGCAAGAGTTGAGGAGGGGGTTGAGTAACTAATGCCTGGCCCTGAAGGCGTAATGACGTTGGGTAAACCGTGATTTTGGATCTGGTAGACAGCATTTCTTTGAATTTCGGCCGATTTCTTTGGTGAAATCATTTTGAGCTTTAAAAGTGTCTTTCTTTCGGCTTATCTATTCACCTAATATCTTGCATAATCCCTTGCTCTCCCATTTACGGACTATCATGCTGGCATTTTTTCCCACCACCTGTGGCTTTTAGAGCCACTCGTTAAATACCACCTTTCGAATAGAGTCTAGACCTAGTTTCTCGGTTAGACCAGACCATAATAAAAGAGATATGAGCATAGAGTCGAGAGTAATCTGTATAAAACATGATAATTCGCATTGTGTCTTATCATATGACAGCAATACTCATTTTGCACGTTGTAGCTCGTGTGAGTCTCATTAATACCCTTGCTACTGGTCCAGGCCTAGCAGCTCCAGAAGAACCGCCCATCCGAAGATGATTAAAAACGGTAATCAATGCCCATCAGGCATCAATTCGAGCTGGGAGTAACTTGTCAAGAATGGTTTAAACTGCCCGTCGTCTAGGTATTATTATCGACAGGCGTCTCGTATTACGAAACGTAACATGACAAGGGGGATGGATGTGGAAACACCAACGCCCGTTTCTCCTCCACGATTTGACTCCGTTTCGAGAATTAAAAAGACAAAGAACCACCCCTGGAAAGCAAGTTCCATTCACTCTGCAGACCCGCGACCCATTGCCACACACAGTCTATTCGCCGAAAAGGGCCAACCTGAATTTAAACGCCTTCTCAAAGCATAGCCAGGTCTGAATGGGATAACTCCGAATATTGAAGAATGCTCATCATGGCCGGGCGTGAATGCAATCAATTCGTAAGGTAGATCGGCGGCTCCTGGAGAATAGATTTCGGAGTTGGGGTTTTCTCACCTTCATCAAGAAAATTTCGATCGCCGTCGACTGCGTTGCACAATTGCTTTTGGGTAGCTTTTTTCTCTCGACCCCAATACTGAACTCCATGGTGCCCCACGAATTCACCTAGGATGTTGGCTTCGAAGCTCTCGATGTATTTGCGGTCTAGCAGACGGGTCTTGGGCGTTGAATATCTAACATATTCTGCCACAGCTGCCGCAGTAGACCATCCTTGAGCTCTTCTAAAACAAGCAATCACACAGCCGGTTCGGTGCTGGGAAAGGAATTAGAGAAGATCTCTCAAACTGACATCGAATTCAAAAACACAATACCTTTCCTTTATTGCAGTGGACTAGGACCGGGTGAGTGTCAGGGTTGAAAAGGATCTTGAGCACTTCGAGAATCGTGGTCTGAGGAGTAAAGACTTTTGCGTCTTTATTCGCCAAGATTGGAATTACATGAGTGTTTATTCCGTTTTCTTTGACAAATTTCTTGAACTGTCGGGAGTACTCCTGATCGACAAGTGTACTGGAGCCAATAAGCAATGACGCCTTGTAGGAGGGAAATATGGTCTACTCACATGATGGTTTTCAGGTTTAGACTCTGGATGGATTCGAAGTGATCTGGTAGAGGGTAGCTGCTTCGATAAATCCCCTTTACGACCTCAGCAAAGTTTGTAGGAAGACCAGGGCCATGAGGAGTCGGCGGACGACTAGGACCACTTTCTAGATCGACTGAGTTGTCCTCTTTCTTATTGCTCCCTGTGACAGTTATGAGAAGAGATCACAGCACATCGCGTCGCGTGAATGACAGTGCAAAGTCGAATTTGGATTCACCACAGTTCAAGAAGGGTGTTTACGGGAACAATATGGGGATGTTGACATACCGTAATTTCCAGCTCCATCATAGTCGGGTGAGAGGACAGGTAGTTCAGGATCAGGTGCAGACTTACAGCCGTCGCCCATCGCGTTGAGTGGTATTAAAAGAGTTAATAAAGAATAGAGTGGAAAAAAAATGGAAAGTAAATATAGGAATAGAATAGGGCGAGGATCAGTATTACACGAGCTGAGGACAATAAATGCGGGCGATGGGCACGAGACTCGCTAAAGAGCCGATGGAGAGTGCAAGAGATCAGAGGAGGTGGCCGCGGAGCTGAAAGGGGGCGCCAGCGGGAGGGGGGGAGAAGTCTGGGGCGAGGCCGAGGCGCGCGGGGAAAGAAGGGAGGGAGGGAGGTCGAAGCTGGCAGTTGGGCCTGGCTTAGGAGAGCATCCCCGGGGAAACAGGTAGGATAAGGGGAGCAGCGATATAGCAGAGGCTTAGAGTTCCCAGGGTGATATTGCACTCAGCAGCACAGCTGGCAACTAACCACCAATATGGCAGAAGCAGAACAAGATATCACGCGTGAGATCCATGGTGAAGGGCGGTGGTGTGGGGATACCATGCATTACAGCCTGCCAGCAAGCAAGGGGATAGGGCAGCAGCCAGCAGAACAGCGTGGGCTGGCAGAGGATAGCTCTTGTGCAGCAAGTGTGCCTGCTGGAGTACCTGCAATGCCCGGCGGTGTGGTTGGTGCCAAGCTGTGCGGAATGACTCCCGGCCCGATCGGCCGTTTAAGGTTAGCGTTTCCCCGGATTATCTTAACGCCGCGCGACGATCGTCAGCCCTATGTGAACAACCAGGGAAGTCTATGTATTGCAGTACATTGCTTTCTATGTGCATGGGAAACCGCATCAACTGCACGCTGCTGCCGGCACTTGCACCACTATTCCATTGAAAGGTTCCTGCTAGGACAGCCGCTCTTCTCCCAAGCCAAACATCCGGATGGAGTTATTCCACGCCCTAATTGTATAGTTCGTCAGCAAGGAGTCCTTCGTCTAGGGACGTCGTTTTGGTGTACTTACGCCTCACAGACTTCCTCAACCGAAATCCCTTTGACTCGGGCAATCACCTGCGCCACATGCGATATCGCCACAGGTTCGTTCCTTCCTTTGACCATGCTCCCTTTCTGCCACCGCTCCTTCTTAAACGCCTTCGGCAACGCCGGTGCGTCTTGGACATATTTAAACGACGCATGAGACGGTCGAATCTCACACTATTCCCCAATGTCAGCCATCAAAGTTCTCATGTAGATTCAAGGGCTTCAATAATCATACCCAAGGACCATCCGTTTCGATCTGTATTCTATTCAGCGGCATCGCCTTCACAACCTCCAGGTTCTCCTCCGTTTTCAGACTGCACCCATTGACGCCAATGTTCAACCCCAGTGCAACTAGCCGCTGCATTTCTTCTACCGTTCCCGTAAAACTATGCACCAGCCCTCCTTTCGGCAGCTTGGCGAGTCGCGACGCCACCAGCCGCTCGAAATCTTCGCTAGCGGCGCGAGAATGGAGAAACAGCGGTAGCTGAATTTCCACAGCAACGTCTAGCTGTGCTTCAAAGTATTTCAGTTGCTGGTCCTTGGGTGAGAGGAATAGGCGATCGTAGTCGAGTCCAATCTCTCCAAAAGCAACAGCATGACCGGCATCTTTCGCCTCCAGTGCCAGGGCTTTAATCGCTGCCAGATAGCTGTCCGGTCCTTCGGGGTATGAATCGAAGAGTTTTGCTTGGCAAGGATGCACACCGACCGTGGCATAGCAGAGGCCAGCTAAATAGTATTAGCTCATCTCCTTTCTAAGGGTAAAGCATGGTCAGGGTTTTCATACGGTGATCTTTTGCCAGCTGGATTGCATGTTGCGACTCACGAAGATCCGAGCCTGTCACCATGAACTTTTTGCAGCCGGCATTGACTGCCCGCTCAATGACATCCTGTAAATCATCGTCGTGGACTTTTCTGCCGTGGTATTCACCCCTGAAAACCGGGTCACCTAGATTTATTCCAATCTAGCAACAACATTAGTATTAATCATACAACGGAAATAAACGATATTTAAGGGCGGCTTGATCATGCAGACCTACGTCGACATATCGCATCTGTTGAGCGGATTCTCCCATTGCGAAACGTCCCACCAAGGTACTCAAGTACCTCTCAGGACAACTATATGGTCTATTTACACGCGCCTGGCATCTATGATACTGAAATGCAGAGGTTGTCTGGCCTTTTGACGATAAGCAAGTCTTCGCCCTGCACAAGCGGGGGGAGCCAGTAGCACCAGCCGCATACCTCGAAGCGCTCCACGGAGGCCAGAATTACTTTGCACAGGCGACAATCTCTGCCAAAGGCCTTGAGCAGCAGACAGTCGTATCATCGGCTCCGGGCCCCTGCAGACACATCCGCCAGCCGGTCTCTTGCGACGATATTTCGAATTTCGGTCGTCGTCTTGGCGGCGGGTGGGAGATGTTGCTTAGTCATGCGCCAAGCATTTCTGGCTGGCCAATAAGAGACGCTGCCAAAGCCTTACGTCCCGGCATTCCAATTGGCCGTTTTTCCTCTCACTCGCCGCTGCGGAAATTCGCCAGAAAAGCCCAACCCAGCGAGGGTCAGCCCGACGCTCAACGACTCAGAAGCTGCAGCCTCTGCTGGCTCATCATTATTTTGGCAACACACATGTCTTTCATGCATTCACAATGCATGAGTCTTAATGCTACTCCATCTACGGTAGTTTGTGCATGAACTCCAATTCCCCTGGACGCCGCCGCCCATGTTACACAACCCAGCTTTTCAGGCTTCTCGCTCGCCCGCCTTGCCGACAAAGCCCGTCCATATCGTGTGATGCCCTGTCGCCATACATCCAGCTTCCGCCCAGGAACGGAGGAGTCCGCATATACTTAAAGCCGTCTTCCGTATTCCGTAGTGTAGTTACTTTCTAGACGGTGAGGCAGATGCAGGGCCGCGCCCCCTCAAAAAGCGGTGACAAGGCGAGAAGCCTTGGTTTATCCGGCCATTACTGCGTGGAAAAAATCAATTAAGGGTCCAGATACGCCAGACGGGCAGACTGCTTTCAGCATCGGAGATCTGGGCCCTGCAGACATCCCAAGAACGCCTGCGAGATCCACGGCGTGGGACCGGCACACGCCTCACCTATCATCAACATGCCGTGCGGGGTTCCCAAAAGATCACCGCAAAGCCACGCCCCCAAAGAACGCCGGGTATGTAAAGTCACCGGACAGGACGGCAAGAGCTGAAGGTCGAGGCGTGCGGGCACAGCTTGGGTTCGAGAAGACGGCAGCCGCCCATGTCTTTCCCCAGGGCGAGAAAAACCTAAAAAGCGTCAGCCGAAAGGCTGTTTCTCATAATAGGCGTCTTTTCCCCCAAATTTTGATCTCCACAAGAGGCTTTTTTTTTTCGTTGCTGGCGATGGAGCACGGTGAGAAGCCAGTTGTTTAAGTATCGCTCGTTTCATGTTTAGAGGCCATCCTACTTCGACTGTCGTTGCTGGCCAGATATTTCTAGAGAGGAGCTCCTACTTGGTATATATATAAACTGTGAACAGACATAACAGACCTTCTTTTAATACCCCTCTTGTGAATGATGTCAAGCCCAGGCGGCCGTTTGATTCCGTGTGGAGAAGTCGCTGCGCACAACTCGTCCCACGACTGCTGGATTGTCGTCGCCAACGAGGTGTGGGACGTGACGGAGTTCTTGTCGGCGCATCCGGGCGGCGCTGCGAGTGTGTGAGCCCGCAGCACGTAACTTATGCAGACGCTGTTTGGCTAACAAAGACGCCCAGTCATCCTGCAGTTCGCTGGCCGAGACGCAACGAAAGCGTATGCAGATATCCATGCGCCCAGCGTTCTGCGAGACAACCTCGCCGGCGACAAGTTCAAAGGCGATCTGGACCCGGCCACGGTCGACAGCGAATGGCTGAAGACACCGCCGGAACAGGACCCTGCAGTGGCCGTGAGCGATCAGAAACCGCCTCTCACGACGCTCATCAGCGCCCATGACTTCGAAGAAGTCGCCTCGAGGACCGTCGCCCGCAAGACCTGGGCGTTCTACTCCAGCGCCTCCAACGACCTGATTACTCGCGATGCCAACAAGTCATTCCTCAACCGCATCTTTATGCGGCCCCGCGTCCTGCGCAATGTTCGGCAAGTGAGCACGCGCACCAGGATCCTCGGCTGCGACGCGAGCATGCCGCTGTTCGTCAGCCCGGCCGCCATGGTCAAGCTGATCCATCCCGATGGCGAGCTGGGCGTCGCCAGAGCCTGCGACTCCAAGAACGTTGTGCAGGCCATATCCAACAACGCGTCGTACTCGATGAAGGACATCACCGCCGCCGGCCCCGGCGCGGACTACTTTTTCCAGCTCTACGTGAACTGGGACCGCAGTAAGTCCGAACTCCTGCTGCGCGAATGCTCCGCGAACCCGCGGATCAAGGCCATCTTTATCACCGTGGACGCTGCGTGGCCGGGCAAGCGCGAGGCCGACGAGCGCGTCCGCGCGGACGAGAATCTACGAGTCGCCATGGTCGATGCGACCACGAAAAATGACAAAAAGGGCGGTGGGCTAGGTCGCATCATGGCGACGTCGATCGATCCGGGTCTGTCGTGGGAGGATCTGGTTTGGGCCCGCAAACACACTCATCTCCCGCTGGTGCTGAAGGGCGTGATGAGCGCCGACGATGCCATTCTGGCCATGGAGGCGGGCATGGATGGCATTCTGCTGAGTAACCATGGCGGCCGCAATCTCGATACTAGTCCTCCGCCGATCATCACTCTTCTCGAGCTGCATAAGCGTTGCCCGGCAGTGTTTGATAAGATGGAGATTTTCGTTGACAGCGGGATTCGCCGTGGAACGGACATTCTGAAGTGCATATGCCTTGGGGCCACGGCTGTGGGTCTGGGCCGGAGTGTGCTCTTCGCGGCAAACTATGGACAGGAGGGTGTCGAGCATTTATTTGACAGTATGTTGTCCGCTTATAGCAGCTGACCTTCTTTATATACCGCTACTTTACTAACAACTTTACACAGTTATGAAAGACGAATTAGAAGGCGCTATGAGACTTGTCGGCATCACGTCTCTGGACCAAGCCGGACCTGAGCTGGTCCACACTGGAGATATCGACCACTTAGTACCCGACTCTGTAAACCACCCGTACGCGAGAAGCCCCGCCCGACGTCTATCAGCGACGAAATTATGGACGCCAAAGGCCAGGCTGTAGATATACGGTCTGATTCAGTCACGAGCGGAAGGGAAGACAGACTTCCCCCCCCGGAGAGGGGCACATGTACGGAGTATACTATGGGTACATTGGATGATGTTTGTTTTTTGTTTTTTAGAGAGTTTTTTTGGATTCGTTACATTGGTACGGAGTACCATCCACCAATATGAATGTCATGGCCGAGTGAAGGAGGAGATACTCTACGGATGAAGTTCCGCCGACTAAACACTAAACCTGCAAAGGTGATCCAACTAGACATATTCTTAGTGGTGCAGGTAAGGTTCTTGAATTCGAAGAAGCCACATTTAAATGAGTGAGGCGTCACTAGCCTTGGAACTAAGCTCGAGGAGGGTAGAGAGTGGTTCGGGGGCTGCAGTAGCGGTGAGTGCCGTAATGCTTCTCCTCGGTCCTCCAACGCTAATTCCACAGTCCTCTGCTCAAACGCAAAGAATCAGTATTGAGATAGCCACTGTAGCCTTCTGAGTGATTTCTTTTCGTTCGACACGAGGCAGCACTAAAGCGACTCAGGGACTTTAGGATAGCGGACGCGGAACGGCCGAACCCCCGGCATCCTAGCCACTCCGACAGGCCGAACGCATGACGGTCAGGGATTCGTCTGCGCAGGCATGTAACGAACTAAGCCTGCGGAGCACCAAGAGGCCGCCGGGCGCGAATCTGGGAAGTCGTCGCAGGAATGCAGCCCGGTCAGACCACCAAGACTGGCACGCTTCCCCTCACTGAGCTAGTAGTGGGCTATACCTAGTGAGTGACGCTTCCCCTCTCCCGCCCGGCAGTCTTTAAATTCGCCCTCCTCGCCCGTCACTGGCTCTGCTTCTCTCCATCTGTTCCTCGCGCATCCCTCTTGCTCGCCTGACGTCTCTTCTCGCCGGTCCGCACTCGGAGGCTAACCTGTCTTGGCGCCTGCGCTTTGGCCAACTTGCGGCGGCGGAGTGGGTACCCCTGGACCCAGCCAGATTGCGTGTGGTAGCTTGTACCCTGTCCGCTCCCCCAACAGCTTCCTCAACCAGCTGCGGATTAGGCAAGTCAGCTGATTTGTCGCCAACTATCTCGCCCGCCGCGCTCTTTCGCTCTCAATTGACCTCGTTTCTCGCTCCTGTATCATTCTTCTCTCTCTTTGACCCATTACCCAGCCCCTGCACACCCACGGGCAGCTCAATCCAGCACACCATGGCGGCTCCTCGCTCTACATCGTTACGTGCTCTGCGCATCCTGTCCCAACAGCATTCGCCAGCGCCGTCGTCGGTGCTTCGTCGCTCGCTCCATATGACGGGCGTCTACTCTGCACAGCCAGCGTCTGGCCCCGACGTCACGTCGATATACCGCTCACGAAGCGTCGCGGACCTGAAAGCTGAGTGTGAGAAGAGAAACATTCGGACCGGTGGTAGTAAAGCCGAGGTTTGTCCCCACTGCAACGCTCACACGACAGGGAACTCGGGCTAACTCCATCGTGCTCCGTAGCTGGTCGATCGCCTGGCGAACCATGATTTCCTTCAGACCAGGGCATTTAGCATCGCCATGAAGAGAATCGATGGTCCTGCTTTCGGACAAAGGTAGGAATTGTCGTCTCTTTGGGCTTCGACCATTGGGCAAATCGCTGACATAGAATGAACGCTTAGCTCCGACAAAGGAAGACAGTTCAACACTTCCCGCGCTAACAAAGCTGTCAATGACTCATCTCCCGTTGATTTCGTCTTTATGCCGACCAACAACGCCGAAACCGGCTCAAACATGGCCCCCGGTTTCCCCCGAATGCCAACCCCCCCGGATTATTATACACATTATGAACTGGTAAACACGAGCGGTACTCTCCCTATGAAACCCGAAATCTACAGTGTTGGTGGTGCACCACTGGATGCCAATGGACCAAGCCCCATGGCTGAGGTGGTGGACAACTATTCCGTCGACATCAACCCGTACAACCTCACCGAGATTGTTACGAGGTCGAAACGTGCTGCAGCGTCGTTAGACGTGGCCAGGAGTCAAGAAGGCGAGGTGACGATAGCAGGTATGGCAAAGGGGCTGTGGAATATGATGATTGAAGATCATCCCAAGAAGAACTCAGATACGACTTTGAAATGACATCTGCCTCGTAGCTTTTGCGGATAGGGAGTGTCCATTGTTGTTTTTTCGTTTTCCTTTTTTTTTTTTGTTTTTTTGGTTTCCTATTTCTTTTCGTTCTTTTCTAGTCGATCCAGACGAACTCAGCCAAATGCATCGCCAGTGCGCTTGCATTTTCCCACTTCGACCGTGGGTTCTTTCTACGCTCTTTTTCTGATCTCTGTCTATTTATTATCGCTTTTATTTTCTTCCGGGCTACGACCCTTCTTTGGCACGGTATACTATGTCTATACTGGATCCCAGAATGGGAAATGCCCCTTGAACATATCAAGCCATATATATGGCGGTATAATATATTTTGCTGGAATCTCTTTTCTGGAGATCTACTCGGCTGTTACTCTGATATTCACCTATTGGAGAAATTTTGAATGAAAGCTTTTAGAGCCATAGATATATTGCGATCTATGACGGTTGTATCATTGTCAGTATTTTCGTATGTTTCGCGTGTTGAGGTTAGCGTTGCTTTCTAAGGGTAGCATGCGAGCGGAGCGGTTAAATATTCTTGGTCCCTCGAAGGCCATTACAAGAATAGGTACAGAGGTGGGGATACGCTAACGATATCTTTATATATACTCTGCATTGTTAAGTGTATATCTCCACACCTCCGATTTGCTTTCTTCATAGCGGCTATACTATGTTCGCTATTTCTCGGTCAAGCTAGTTTCAGTAAGAGATACAGGTGGCCTGCTTTATCTAGAGCCAGCTCAGCTAGTCCTCCCTAGCTTCAATCCCATGATTAAATCTCCTCCCCTGACTCCCGGGCATGATAGCATATTTGCACTGGGCTGAACTAATTGCTTCATCAATATACGCACATGATCGTAGCTTCGGTAGCTATAGATGCAATAGTCGTAGTTTTAGAGTTCCAGGCTGTCCAGTACAAAAGGTCATTTGCGTCTCGTTATATTTCTAGGCTTTCTAGTTCTAGCTAGAATTCCGACTTCCCTTACGCCAGACGCCAATGGATGCTTCGCCGCTGACTTCTCAGCCGAGTAGCAACCTCGTAAATTTTACATGTGTTGCAAGAACCAACCGGCTGAAGGATGACAAAAATCCGCCCCGGTGGTTCGGGCCGGGGCCGCCAAACGGCTAATCACTGACCCAGAGTTCGGCGGCCCCAGACCCGACGCACGGGCCCTGGCGACCCTAACCACTAGGCCGTACCACACCCTGGCCAACTCTATATATCGCTCTGGAATCAGAAACGGGTTCTTGTAGAACAAGGCAGAAGGCCTTTCTCATTTAGGCTCAAAGAACAGTGCTTAAACCAGCAGCTTCTAAGTAGCACTTAAGAAATCATATATGCAGACTAAATTTCTCTGTACAAACAAAATTTGCCATTCTACCCTGTGATGCTATGAGCTACAAGCTGGAGAGAAGTGCCTGATTCATCTGATCTCAGATTTCTAGGCTGCTTTATATAAAGTGAGCGACTAGCCCTATGTGGGGCAAAAGAGTCAATCAGAGTGAAGCTCTGACATGTTTATGTGGCAAAAAGAAGACATGTTCCAAATCTACACCATACAAAGAAACAAAAAGAATGCTCTACTCTCCGTGCCGAGCCTCGCCTAGGCAGGCCTCCGGCTGACATACTCATCCCAATTTATTCTACTACCTTCTAGGCTTAGGCTTGCTGTTTTGTTCAATCCAATCAAGATACGCGCTGATCCTGGTGAACACTGAAGGCTTGTTTTCTGTGCCGCAATACCGTCCAGCTGATATAATCCCAATCAGATTTTTCGTTGCTACGTCAAATATCGGTCCGCCACTATCGCCATTGCATGGAGATTTGTTCCGTGCACCTGCGCATATCATTTTTTCCGTAACGTGGAAATTGGCGGGGGGTGGTTTCGATAATCTACGACAGGTCTCGCGATCGACAATAGGAGCGTCTACTTTTAATAAAACGGGCGCTCTTTGTCCCCCATGAACTGTTTGTCCCCTACGGAGAAAAAATTGGTCTCAGCCAGGTGTTAATGCCAAAAGAAGAGAAACACAAACCAGCCTAAGATACTTGCTGTGGAGCCGGACCTAGGATCTGAGCCCTTTGCGGGCAACCTCGCTTTGCGAACGTTCCGGCTTTGCTGGACAGATGTGCTTAAGTGAATAAGCCCAATGTCGTTCGTAATTGTCGAAACATTATAACCAGAATGTACCGTGACGGACGTGAATCCATAAACCGTACCTCCAGAACCGGCCTCCTATTTAAAGAAGCAGACATGTTGGCTGCAATTCCGCTGTGATAGAATTGTTTGTTATATTACTCACTAAGGATCCGACCCGCAGCTGGCCTCTCCGGAGAAACTCTGCAGGAAGCTACTTTTCAATGAGTATCGAAGTTGGTCGGTCCTTCTGAGAGATAAGGGCTTACCGCGGTACCATCACGTTCTGTAAGGCAATATCCAGCTGTCACCGCAACTTTATCACTAATCAGTACAGCACCACATTGTCTTTGTGAATTTCTCCAACTGAGGAGAAGAGTCTCGGGAAATTCTCCCAGCTTTGCTGCTGTTCCACCAACGATTCGAGAGTTAAGAGCAGATGGAGCGGCCGCTGTTGTAGTCGCAAGAAGGGCAAGAATAAATGTTTGAGCCATCATTTTAGTGTCACACTTTCCAAACGTTCCAAGTCCCGAATAATAATCAAATAGAAGACTGCTCTATGAAATATCAACTCAGGTCTTTGAACTGGGAGAAGCACGTCCGTTTTTATATTTTCACCATTGTTCATGCTATATCCCCTGAGAATGTCCTGATATTCTTGATACCTTCCTTAGCTGGTTGAGCACCGGGCTCATGCCATGCTCCACAACGGAATGTCAGGTACAAAAGTGAGGCGAATGATATTAAGTTTTCAATTGTTACATACCACAGAGCGGCATCATTTCTCACCGGTCCGGCTTGAGCACACTCTTGGGCACGTCCAGGCCATTTCATCAGAGGAAATACTGCGGTCAGACTATAATCTAGAGAAAGTCCAATTAGCCACCAGCTTGGAGAAATACGTGCCTCTGCTCCTCCCAATCCTTACCGCCTTGTATCTTTCTAGACCCATGAAGCAGAAATGGGCCTAAGCTAACCAGGGTTTATATATATTTAGGAAGGCGGAGAGAAAGACCTGGAAGAGGAGGGCATAAAACAGCTTGCATGGGCCCGGAGGACGGCTGATCTGCTGAACGGTGCGGCAAAATATACCACCTGCGGGATGGGGTGGGGGGGAAATCGTGTGAATAGAAACATTTTTAGTAAGTAAGGACTTAGGAGTGGCGAGACAAACAAGACATGTGCGTAACTATACCAGATACTCAATATGTGTACCCGCTAAGTCCAGACACATGGTAACCCTTAGTCCAGGCTACCATGTGCCTTGGTATTTTTCCGGGAGCATTCCCGGATTTTATTCAAGGAAAATCAGTCGCCCCAAGCATATTATCCCAAAGTGGTACGGATACGAGTCAGATGCTTGTGAAAGCACCTCAATCATAGAAATTATTGGCCGTGACCAAAGTACTTGCTGAGTGGGTAAAACCTGGGCCCAGCTAGATAGTGCGACATCTTTATGGTAAGACGCATGGGTAACGACTTGCTTGTTTCAGTGTGGGCCGTGTATCTTAATCGTTTCTAGGCGTTGACGTTGGCAGATTGCCGTTGCACGAAGGTACGGAGTACTTCGTACTCTATAACCGCGCTACGCGACTTAGTTCTTGGCTTTCACTCAAGATGTCTGGTATCAATTGGAGCACAGAATAATACTCCTAAAGAACGAAGATTGTTTCTTATTGAAAAAAGGTCTTATTTTCTCCTCAAGGAATGATATTGACTATCCGAAGTCCGTGGCGTGGAGATAGGAGTATAGAAGTAGGCTCGAGCCGCTCAACTCGGCGCCAACCCAAATCTTACCGTTCCTTCGGGAAGCCTGCGCTTCACGGCCTGGCCGGTCTCAAATGGGTTAGGGTACCAAGTCCGGAGGTACCATCATTGGAGGGAAATTTCGGTAATCAGGTAGGGCTCTTGCGTGATCAACAGTCTCTTGTGGTGGAGAGGTTGGAGGCCACTGAAGAATACGTCATAGATGCCGCTCTTATGTAGAGAGACTCTGCGAGGCGAAAATAAGCCCAAAATAAGGATTTTCAACAATGAATGTAAAACCCTAAGCCCTAATTTCCTAATGCGTTACCCCATCAAATGCTATTACTGTGATTGGTCCAAAGACGTGTCCAACTTTACAACTTCTTTTCATTGGATGTGAACAGGTTCGCCCTATGCCCTTTTTGCTTAGACAGGACCACTTATTAGCAGCTACTAGCAAGGCTGAGCAGCGAACGAAGTGAGCGAACTCTTCTCGTATAAGTTGGTGCATTATTTTCCACGCGGCATAAGCGGGAACTATTGTGTAGTGCTGATTGAAGGCAAGATCGTCTCCCATTAATCAAAATATGAATTCTGCGCTCATCGGCTTAGTGCTTAAGAGTTATATTGCGTACGGAGTACGTCATTCGGATTGAATGTCTCCGTGCCCAAAAAGGCGGCTTGGGGCGTTACATTTGACGCGTTGGATCATGCTGGTGGCGAGGATAACGGCTCGCACTACGGAGTAGCAGGCCTCCCGAGAAATTGGACAGCCTTATATTTGGACGAACGGATGGTAGAAGTGGTGTAAGGATATTTCCATGAGGGGTCTGCGAGTCGATTGATTCTCCCACAAGAGTGGCCGGACAGGGCAGGTGGTGCGCTCGTGTTGGTGATAGGCTGGCGCCCGAAATTTGGGACGCAAAGCGCGCAAAGTCTGAGGCTCCCTGAATGCCCAGAGCGCCCGACAACTGCGAAGAAACAAGGTTCGTAGTATGATGTTGCAGGAGAAGAGGCTTGCTGGCCAGACTGTTTGCTGTTCCATTTTTCGTCGGAGTTGAAACAGGATGCCCCAAAAGGCGTTGGCTGGATGACTGGTCAGTTCTTGTGGCCTGCAAACAAGGCAAATGAGGCTTTACGCGGGCTTAGCGGTGCTGGACGGGACCGGTGGCGGTCTCGCCCTGGATACTACAGCCAACTGGGGTTAGCGGGCTGGCTACTCATCAATATTTTCTCCCGTTGCCTGCTGTTTTCTCCACAAGATGACAGTCTCCGCCTCTTACATGCCAGATGTCGACGCATTCCCTTGCTTATGATCAATTCCATTAAGGACTGTTGGAAGACAGCATTTTTGAAGACAGCACTCGAATCATTGATGCCACCGCCCGTGATTTCTGGCATTGAATGGCAGCAATATAGATCTTTTGGTCTTCTAGGAGAGAAGAACTTGCAATACACCAAGGTTGTCAAGGCAGAGATATTGGGGGAAGCAGGCTGTCTGTTGGAAAGGTACGATTGATGAGATTCGTCAATCATTAGTATCTTGGCTGTGACCTGTGGATATTCTCACTTACCTTTTGACATTATACTGTGCATCCATGGGTATGTTTTTGGGTGATAGATCGCCATATTTAACGACAAAAGATGCATCTTTAAGTTCAGGTAAAAGAACACTAGAAAGAAGGTTCATTTGACCAGCTCAGTCTTGTTTAATATCTGGAAGAAGACCCATGTGGACTTGAGGGATCTTATTTTGAATTATCCGGGTATAATGCTTATGGACGATCCCCCTAAAATTGCGAGTAAGATTTAGTCTGAGCAAAATTGAACTTACCAGTCCTCTTGGTACATTCAATCCGTGATGTGTGCATCATTGCTGCTTGATTTTCAAACTGGTTGCTTTGAAACTCATCTGACCATAAAAACTGGCTGCCTGAATACCCATGTCGAAGCAATGAAGGGGCATCTGACTGGATGGTTGAATTTACGGAGTAAGTCCGCTTCTCTGAAGACTTGCAGCCCATGAAAACCCAATGAGCTCAAGTTCTTCAAGAATATGAATCTCTGACGCAAGAAGCTGTGTAGCCATGTCCTGCGAAGTACTCTTAAAGTCCAGCTCTTGCCCTCTTTAAAGGTCATCTTGAACATGCACAAGGTAGAGGTCTGTTTGTCGCTTCGAAGATGAGACCTTGTGACGGGAATAGTATTCTCGTAGAAAGAGTGTTGTTGCATGTTTTTAGCGTAGCTGTGGCCTGTCCGATTATGGTTCCTGTGATATTTAAGCCTTCCCTTGGTTGGGGCTTCTGGGGCTAATAATCGTGGATGTTGCTTGGTGGCTGTCTGCTACCAGTTCGTCGACCCCGTATTTGGCCATCACGAGACCAGCCAACGAAAGAATAAGAATGAAAGGTCTACGTTGAGTCATGCATATATATTGTAAGATTTCGAAATATATAGTCATAGCTGTGATACCGAAAGACTTCTATGCTCAGGATCTATGATGTTTTGCTGAAAAGCAATTGTTTTGTAGAGAGTGGACTGGCTAGCGCCGCACCCCCCCAGCCCCTTATAGCCGCTAGTTAATATTCCGGGCTGCTATTGGCCCAAGCTCGCAGTCCATTCACATGTCTTGGGGGCTCCACCCCCTTTCAGGATCGGGCGGCTAGAGCGAGCCCCTTCCCTCTTTTGCCAGCGCGAAATCAGGGAAGCCGCGAAGGTCCCTGGACATCCTGGGCAACTGCAACGACATCCCATCTGCAACGCCCTTCCTCCTCTCCGCCTCGCCATCTTCACCTTCTCCCTCCTTTCTCTCTCTCTCTCTGTCTCTCTTGCTTTTCGTGTGTTCTGCAACGTCCTTCTCTTGCTGTCTACCCTCAAATCACAGCCGCCGGGCACATTCGGCCTTTTGACTTCCGACCCCTTCTCTTGCACTGTTTGTTGTTTATTCATAGCCTGGTTGATATTCCTCCCACAATCTATTTACTCTTACGTGTGCACACGATAGCAATTGTTTATGGGCGTAAATATTTACTAGTCTGCAGCAATCAGCGGCCGTGTTCTCCGCAGCGTTTCCACCTCCACGTTTCGTTTCATGTCGATCTAAACGGCGGCTATTGTATGCGTCCAAACCCATCGTTTGCTTCCACGCCTCCACCAGCGAGCTTTCTATATATTTTAATATTTCTCGTCCGGCATACGAGCGACTCTCTTTTCGCCCAGGATATATTTTGGATGAACGTCGTTGAACAAAAGTGAATAACACATAATACATTTTGAGACTACCGAAGCGTGTTTACAGATGCCCAGACGTTGAGTTAGTTTAGTATAGACCCTACTTTGGGATCATGATTTTGTTGCCATGTTTTCTTGTTGCAGGCACTCTTTCTACCGGGGTGTCTGCCTTTTACCCTGTGAAGATTCCAGAATGGGATGCCCCGAGTCCTCCTAGTTCTAATCGGCGGCGTTTTTTCCCTGTTTCCCTTCCAAAGATTTTTTCTCCACATGAGAGCACTTCATTGTCGTTTGACATCGTCAAGGTTCCGACAATGGTCAGTTATGTCTGGCATTTCTACTGATCTGGATGAACTGACAGCCTCATAGTCCCGACGGGAAAATAAATACAGCGCAATCATGTCTTCCGAGCCGAAAATGAAGAATAGTATTGCTATCAACCAGGATGGCAGCGATTATTCTTACTTTTCGGTTGTCAAAGTGGGCTCTAAGGGCCAGAAAATGTGGATGCTCCTAGATTCCGGTGCTTCTGAATCTTGGATGATGGGTTCCAATTGTACTTCTCCTGCATGTCTAAAACATAATACCTTTGGGACAGAGTCGTCGGATACTTTGAATATCACGAATAAAGATTGGCGTGTTACCTATGGGACAGGGCATGTGGAAGGTATTATTGCGGAAGACACCCTTTCACTGGCTGGCTTCAATGTCCGCCTTGCTTTCGGATATGCGCTGAAAGCCTCAGATGACTTTTTAAATTATCCAATGGATGGCATTCTCGGGCTGGGACCGTCGAAAGCCACCAAAGTACCACCGTTTTTACAGGTCATAGCGGAGAATAAGTTATTGAAAAAGAACGTGCTTGGAATAAATCTCCAGCGAGCTGCAGATGGTACCAATGATGGGCAAATGGTGCTTGGGGATGTTGATAAGAGCAAATTCACGGGGGATATTATCTACACCAAGATAATCAAGGAGACCAATCGTTGGGAAATCCCAATTGATGGCGCACTTGTTGACGGCAAAACTATCAAGTTCACCAACAAAAGCGCCGTGATCGATACAGGAACCTCATTTATTCTTATTCCGATGAAGGATGCCGAAGCAATACATGCACTGATTCCAGGGTCAAAAAAAGATGAGGATTATTTCAAGATTCCCTGTAATACAAACACCTCTGTGGAAATCATGATTTCTGGGGTAAAATGGACCATCTCTCCCAAAGATTATGTTGGCAGTGGCAGGGACAATGTTTGCAATTCATATATCCTAGGTCAACAGCCTCTAGGACCCAACCAGTGGCTTCTTGGTGATACGTTTTTGAAAAATGTTTACTCCGTGTTCGACTATGATGAGAGCAAGATAGGTGAGCTAGGGACCTTCTTTGTCCTTGGAACAGACAGCTAATTTCGGATCAATTTACAGGATTTGCCAATCGCAAGTCCTCTGGGCCTTCCTCCGCCGGCAATATGGCCACTCCTAGTTCCAGTATGTTGTTTCCCTGATATATCTCCCCTTAATTTATTTTTTCAATTGCTAATGCCTGTTGTAGCCACGTCCAGGTCCTCTAGCCCAGAATCGACGGCCTCTCCGGTTCCTCCACAGGATGTTAACAATAAACCAATAGCAAAACCAACTCAGTCTACTCCAGCCAACTCGCCAGAACATAAAGGCGCTGCTGCCTTTATTTATACGCCTTCCTGGCCCTCACTTCTCCTGCTCTTCTCAGCAGGGCACTCTTGGCACCTGTTGTACCATGCATTTCTTTGATGTTGACGGTGAAAGGAGTTCACTCCGGAGCCTCAACTAAATAGTATTGCTGCCATGTATACCCCGGCAACGACATCTTCTAATTTCCGCACCCTGGCTCTAATGCCTCTTCCCCTTGCCTTTAAAAGCGCGATACCCCTCAAATTGTTGATCTAGCTACAATATTTCACATATCATTGCGTGGCGTTAGTTTTCCTTCGTCTGTGTTCATGAAGCGCCCACCGTTGGCCTGCTCATCTTTTTGCTCTACAACATCTTCTATCTACCTCGTACTATAGGGTGCTCAATCGTGACATGGTGGGCTTGAAATATATTACTCCATCATATAGAATTATGTTGAAATTTATATGCATTTTGGATCAGGACAGATCTTGATTTGGTAGTTAGTCTATAAGTTGTAGAGCCCCATTCTTTGGCTTGAGTACTCCGTATTCATACAAGGAATATTATTTTATTTATACCATCTTGCGCAGTGTACTCCGTGCTCTATTGGAAATTCGCTTCCAATCCATATACATAAAGCCATCAAAGATTACGATTACAAAAGGCTGACGGATTATGACAGTTAAATGGCGATTGCTGTGTGGAACTCCGGATATGGAAGGTTGTTTAAGCTTTCGAACCAGGGGCTAGCAAAGTTAACTACGGAGTAACTAGTTAACTACGTCATCGCCAGGCCCGCGTTTCGACGAAAGTCAACCACCGCCAGGAACAACCCCAGCAATCTCTGCAGCATGATACCCAGACCTTCCAGCAGGCGCGCACCACAGACGCAGTAGCTTGATACTGAACCAAGAGGGGGGAAGAAGCATGCCACTCCCTTCACTGCACCGTGTCGCGGCCCAGCACTTGCTTGCAGCACCAGCAGCCGCCGCCGTCAGTGCACCGCTCTCGCGCCCAACGAGCCTCCTTGGAGTCTCTGGACTCCAGCGGCAGTATTCTAGAAAGAAGCAGCTATCAGCCAGCAAAAGAAGCCTCCATCAGACCTGCGCGCGCGCGACGTTCCGGCCCGTGTGGACGGAGCGCAGGGTCAAGATGCCGTGGGTCGAGGCGCTGGCGAAACAGCGGGAAGAGGAGGAAGCGGCGCAGCAGCGGGGGCGAGATGATGGTGCCGCGATGGGAGGTGGGAAGGAGACGGCGGGAGCGCCGTCGGGGGTGAGAGTAGATCTGGAGCCGAAGAGGATGAGTGAGAGCTATTATCGGACTGTAGGTGTTGTGTGTGTATTTGTTTGAGGAATTTGTGTGGGATTTGGGTTGGATATATTTCCTTTTTGTCGATTTCCCCCTTGTTCTTCTCATGTAGGTTAGACTGATGGTGCTGTTCGTGTAGATATTGCCTCTTGCGCAGGACCCGTGGCTGCTGGATACATATCTCAATGCCTCCGGACATATCAGGTACGTGTACCACAATGCCTTACTCCAACCCCAGTGCACACTTCTCTGACCGGAATCTGCAGGCTTGGGTCTCTTCTCATGGACCTCGATGCCCTCGCTGGCGTGGTTGGTTACCAACATACGGGCGACAACGTCACTATGGTCACGGCCGCCGTGGATCGAATCGTGATTGAAAACCCGCTAAAGGAAATCTGCGATCTCGAACTGAGCGGCCAGGTCACGTATGCCACGGGCCGTTCGAGCATTGAGGTATCGCTGCAGGTCGCGAAAGCGCCGGCGACGCCGGGCCAGGAAGTCCGGCCGGAAGACGTCTTGATTACCTGTGCGTTTACGATGGTCTCGCTGGATCCGGCGACTAAGAAGTTCGTCCTCTTGAGTTTGCTGGGCTTCAGCTGTCCGAACGGTAATTTTTGTTGACTGACGATTCGCGGCTAGGCCGGTGAATGTTCCACCGCTTTTGATTGAGACGGCAGAAGAACGGCGATTATTTGAGAAAGGGGAGCAGAACTATAATGCAAAACGGGCATTACGGTCGCGAAGTCTGCGTCAGGAGACGCCGAATGATGAAGAGAGTGATCTTATTCATGCTATGTGGATTACTGAGTTAGCATACAAAGGTGAACCTGATAGAGCCCTTCAACGTATACTCCGTACTGACACGGCACTTCCCAGACCCCCAAAACCCCATTGTGCGCCCTGACAACGTGATTCCAATGCAAGAGACGGCGCTGCGGTCGGCTCAGATCATGCAGCCGGAGTACCGCAACCGCCATAACTTCATGATCTTCGGCGGCTACCTGCTGCAGCAAACGTTCGAGCTGGCATTCTGCTGCGCAGCATCCTTTTCCCACAGTCGGCCGACATTCCTCTCGCTCGACCCCAGCACGTTCGACAATCCCGTGCCGGTAGGAAGCGTGCTGTATCTCAAGGCGGTGATATCATACACGGATCCGCCGCTGGCGTCCGCGGGCCCCACGACTACGACCTCGGCGGCCGCCGGCAGCGGCGGGCCTGGCGCCTCCTCCGCAGGGAGAAGAAGATTCACGAAGGTGCAGGTACGCGTCGACTCGTCGGTTCGTGACGTCTCGCACGGCGCAAAGAAGCCCACGGGCGTGTTTAATTACACGTTCCTGGTCGAGAGGGATATGCAAGTCATGCCGAGAAGCTACGGAGACTTTATGGTTTGGGTGGATGCGAAGAGGAGGGCGATCGCGACCGACAAGAGTTTGCCGGAGTGGGCGGTCAGCAGCATGGCGAATGGCGAGAAGGACTGGGAGGCGCTGGGGGAGCAGGTCAGAGAGGGCGTCACGGAGTGATTCTGGTGGTCATTACGATTGTCGTGATTGATTGATTGCTGGCTGGCTGGTAGGGCGGTTTGGGCATATCTGGCGAGGGATCAGGTCTGATAGCAGGCCGTATACTCCGTAGTTATCTGCGTATAGATTATGTTGAGATACCTAGGCAACGGCCACTCCAAAACCCATGTCATACCGTCAGACAGCGGCTCCGGAGCAACAACAGGCTGATACTCGGCGATTATCTTACAGCGCCGTTCCTCGGCTCGTCCAGGCGCATATTCGCTCGTCTCACATGCTTCATCTCCACCGCACGGCCCGTGGCGGTTAAAATAAGAAATACGGAGCAGTGTAGATAAGAAGGGAATAAGGCTCGAGCAACAATAATAATAATAATAATAATAAATGATGTGCAACCGCATCGCACTCACGCAGATCCTCCCGACGCGGCCGCCGGCCAATCTACTGCAAACACGTTCAAGAAGGTCATCTAGTTAGTTAGATCCCATCGCCAGCCCGGCGATTAACCACTGCCAGGAACGCCGGGGCCCGGTTTGGGCGTTTCGCGGCGTAACCAGCGAGTTGAGTTAGCTATCTCGGACATATCTCGGCGACGCAGCGCCCGAAACGCCGGAGAAAGCCCGCGCAACCCAAGAAGGAGGAGGAGGAGGCAGAGGAGGACGAGAAGGAGGATTTCTTTTTTATCTTTTTTTTCACGTTTGACTGCTCGGTTTTGCTCAGCTTCGGTCTCTGGTCACGGGAAACAACAACGAAGAGGCTCCTTGTCGCCTAGTTGGCTGCTGCTGCTCCTGCTACTACACTACACTACCCTACACTTACGATATTTTCTGGCTCGAGCTGATCCTGAATCGGCCCCCTCGTGAACAGCCCAAGGCAGAGAGAAAGAGAGAAGGAAGAAACAGAAGACGCAACCTACTTGAAACAAACCACCACTCCCTCCCACGTCGTACTTACACGCCTCACCGCGCCCTTCCTCTGCGTCCCCAAACTAGTTATATTCTCGTGAGTGTGCCGGCGGATCACCTCCCCTCCTCTTAGGCCTACTACTGCCTCCCCCCCTTCGTCGAGGATTAATTAACCCAGCAGCGACAGGATACTAGAGTAGTGAGCGGCAGCAGCAGCAGCAGCAGTAGCAGCAGCAGCAAGCAGTGCGTGCGCGCGCGCCACACATTCCCAATCAATCATGCTGTTCACGCGGTCGGTGTCGCTGACCAACTTCATCGTGGCGTCGTCGGCGCTGGGCTTCCAGGTGTTCGTGCTGTATCCGTGGCACAAGCAGCTGGACGACAGCTTCGAGGCGCTGAAGAAAGAACACCTGCAGGTGCTGCATCGCGAGGCGGTCCAGATCGAGGAGCTGTCGCGCGTGCGCGAGCAGCTGAAGGAGGTCGTCCGGAAGCAGCGGCGGTGGTGGTTGTTCTGAGGAGGACGAGAGAGGGGGAGAGAGAGAGAGAGAGAGAGAGAGAAGAGAAATGCAAAAGCATGGACTGCTGGAGTTTTTTCCTGTGGATAGAATTTCATATTATGGGACGGGGGTCCGCCTCCCCCACGTAGAAACGACATGAATAATAATACATACATACTTCAAACGATGATGACAAAAAAAGAACGACCCTGCATTGCTAGTCTTATTCTCCTCCCAACCCAACCTGCGAGAAACTCGGGATAACCTTGCTTCTCCGTGGGTGTGAACGTCATCGTATAGATAGCCAATTTAGCCGTATCAACGCCCCAAGCCCCTTGCCCGGCGATCAGAACCTCAAAAACAAACCCCCAAGACACCGCAAGCTTATCCTGCTGCCTACGATCCTGCGTTCAAGCCGGAGACCGCAGCCCTGTCCCCGGAGCGGCAGTAGTAGCCAAAAAGAGCCCCGAAACCTCCGATCCCAAGGCCAAAGAGAGCCCAGGGGGGGAGGAGGCGCCCCGGTCTCCACCTGCCCAAGCTCGCCGCGTCGTTTTACCAAGTACGGCCAACAAACGCCGCCGGCCAGAGAGGGCCTGGTAGGGCTGGGAACACGGGGGCGGCGTTAAGGGTGGGAGGCGCCGCGGGTGGCGGTTTTGGCGGGCGGTAAGGCCGGGTGGTTCTGAGTGGTCAAGGGGGCCAAGTTCTTAACCACAGGCCAAGCAGACCCCGTTGTTGCTTTGGAGCTTTTGTTTTTGTGCCGTCCGGGGGCTGGGCGCGACGTCTGGTCCGAGGATGAGAGAGAGAGAGCCTCAGGGGGAGAATATGGATTACCATTGATTATGGAATAATAATGCCTAAGCGAGCACGCCTGTCGATGGGTCTTGCTGGGTCTTGGGCTGCAGGAAGGGTTTCTGTCCGTAACAAACACTTCGTCATGACGGCCGTGTACAGCAGTAGCAGTAGTATCTATGCATTGCATGCAATATCATATCCTCCGTAACTATCCCCTTATCAATCTGGAACCATCCAAAAAAAAAAGAAAAAAACAACAAACAGTTTCACCTTTTTCCTCGTTTCCCGGTTTTTTTTTTTTTTTTTTTTTTTTTCTATGGGTCGCCCTTGGGCGCCGACGGGAAGAACGCCGCGTCCTTCATCCGCTCGCGGTTGCGCTTGGCCAGTTCCATGTTTCGGAGCCGCTCCAGCCGCATGTTGTAGAAGTTCCTGGCAGATGTTCAAAAAAACGCAAGAGATTAGACACAAAGGACCCCGGTTCCCGGTGAGCTGGAAGCTATATGTGCCTAGAATAAAACTCCCACAAGATTACGTACGTACCTGTGAAGCTCATAGATCCGAGGCGTCTCATCCTCAGGCGTCCCGTCGCCTTCACGAGCTTTGATAGCCTGGATCTATACACCAAAAACAACCAGCACCACGGGGGAACAATCAGTGGTTTCCAGAAATCCAAATGCCGCGCCCAGTAGGGCTTTTTTCGGGAGCAAAAAAAAAAAAGAAACCCACCTTGTCATCCTTTTCCTTCTCGGCCTTCTTCTTTTTTTCGTCCTCCTCGTCCTCCACGCCATCTTCCTTCTGCTGCTTCTTCCCGTCCTCCTCATCCTTCTCCTTCTCCTTGCCTTTCCCTTTCTCCCGGCGGCGCTTCATCTTCTGCTCATACTCGCGCTTGACCGCCTCAATCTCCCGATCCAGCTCCTCCTTTTTCTTCTTGGCCGCCAGCTCTTCCCCGTCGATGATCGGCGAGCAGAAATTGCGGTCCGACAGATGCGCCTGGCATATGTAGAAGAAGTCCTGTTTTTTTTTTCTTTTTAAAACCCCGTGCGAAAGAAAAAACTAAGTATAGAGTAAAAACCAAGCTGCAGAGCTCTAGGCTTTCTTTTCCACCTCGGCACTGCACTGCACTGCACATTGCACTGCACAAGCACAGCCCGGAGGATTCACAGCGAAACGTGCTTGGATCAAAGACAAAAAGAGGGGGGGGGGGGGAAGTGGGGTGGGGAGAGGGGAGCTCTATACCTTGTTCTCCGGCGTAATCATCACTCTGGGAGTGGGCTTATAGCATACGAAACACGACCTGGCCGCCGAGTCCGCGACGCGCCGCAGATGCCATCGATTTGGAATAATCGGCTGAGACATCTGGCACTTGGATATACTTCTCTGTCTGACAGCAGCAGCAGCAGCACCAGCACCAGCAGTGGAGGTAGGTAGAAACTAGTAGACTAGGGAGAGGAAGGAGGAGACTTGGTTAACTTAGGTCCCGGGGCCGTTTTGAGCTCGCGCCTGGCTGGCGAAATAACCAGTTAATAAAGCATGGGAAGGAAGATTATTAATTCTTAATTGCTTTGCTCCACCCCACCACACGTACACACACCCCCTACCCCGTGTGGGTGTTTTGTTCAGTAAGCAAAAAAAGAAGAAAGAAATCCTTTTTTGGCGCGGCGGGCGGGCGATGTTCGGGTCGTCGGGGCGGCAGGTTCAAAGCAAGAGAGAGAGAGCCTGCGGTTTGTTCTGGAGGGAGGCGGTCGATGATGTCCACGAGGGCGGTGGCGGGCGGCAGTAACTACGACTAGTCACATGGACGGACACGGCAGGTTACGGGAGAGCGATGTATACAAGAATGAGGAGCACAAAGAGGAAGCTGTGCAGAAGAAAGGAGGTAAAATGATTCCAAGTTTTATTTATTCCAGAGCTAGTAAGTAGAGAAAAACAAAATCGATTTTTGTCGTTTCGGCCGTGATAGATTCTCTCTTCTTAGGTATACGGAGTATATCAAGACAAGCCAACATCAAGAGAAAACAGAACTCAAGCACACACGCACACACACATATCAAGATATAACAAAAACAAAAGGCCAGGTATATCCAGAAAGTATTAGAACGCAGGGACAAGAGGAGGGCTGTGTT